TTCTCTAAAGTAATAAGGTAGTTATTCTAAGCTATAATATAAGGAGCGGGTAATATTATAATAAAGATTAGGCTAGAATAGTATATTAATATATTTATTTACTTTTAGATTTATATAAAATATTAATTAGATAAGAAGTAATTCTTTATATAATATATTTTATCTCTATAGTAGAAATATTTCTTATACTTATATTATCCTCCCCTAGGAAAGTATAGTACATGGTAGGTATAGAATAGGTTTATAGTATCTAAATCTCTTCTAGGCATGGGGAGTGTAACTAGGTAACTAGGTAGGATAGAACTAGGAAGATTCCTTAATACTACTAGATTAAGGTAGTAGGAACTAGATATCAGGTAAGAATAAGATATTTATAGCTAGTATTAATAGTAGTAATTTTCTAGTAACTAGAAATAGTTAGTATATTCTTAAAAGTCTTAAAATAAGGTAGGATTATAAAGTAATATATTTTAGAATTTAATTAAAATATTTTAAGTTAAGAGAGGTATTAAAGAGTTATTAAATATTTCTTCTTTTAAAGTAAAATAATAAAACTTTATAAAGTAAGTACTAAAGTTTAAGTTCCTTTATTTCTAACTATAGAGGTAGTTCTAAATATTTTAAACTTAATTAGAATCTCTAAATACTATTTCTAGATAGTTAAGTAGGTTAAGATAGTTTAGGAACTAGAGAATATTAAATCTTATTTTAAGTAGGATTAGTTTATAAGCCTTTCTAGTTAGATATTCTACTATATAGATTAATCAGGCTTTAATAGCTAGAAAATAGTCTAGATTAATATCTATTTTACTATAAATCTATTATATAAAGTAGTAGAGATTAGAATAAGTATTATTAAACTTTTATAAATTAGGGAGTTTCTTACTAAGATAAATACTAGGGAGAGAGCTAGTAAAAATAGATATAAATACTTTTATTATATTAGTTATTACAGCTTTAGTAAGGGAAGTATATTTAGTAAGGGTAGGAGTAATAGTAGGAGTAAATATAATAAAGATAGTAGTAATTTATAGTATAGTAAATATATACTTAGATTTAATTAACTTTTATTAAATTATTTCTAGTTCTTTCTTCTAGTATAGTACTACTCCCTCCTTCTTAACTAGCTTTAGGCTAGCTTTATTAATTTAGTTTTAGAGGGCATGAATCTCCTTCTTTAGGGAATTAGTATATTTATTATAAGACTTAAGATAAATAATCTAGATAGTAGAGTTATTAATAATATAGCTTATAAACTCCTTAACTAAGTCTATAATTAGGGGTGGTTCAGGTTATTTTAATATACTAGTAGTAGTTATACCTGGAGTAGGAGCTATATAATATTATGGGGAGTAGATAGGTAGTAGGTATAGTTAATAGCAGGGTATATATTCAGGCTATCTATGTATAGGTATAATAGGTAGAGGTCAGGTTAGAATAAGGATATAGCTTGAAGAGCTATAACAGGATCAGGAGCAACATGGCTTAAATACAGGAGTAGAGGCAGATAGTTAGGGCAGAATCTAACCAGATAGGTACACGGCTACGCCGTGACAAAATCAAGCTAAATAGAAGCTACTAAATTATATAGAAATTAGTATTCATGGCAGGGAGGTTAATATAACTAACCTAATAAGATAGAATACTAGCTTCCAAGGTAGAAATATAAAGATAGAATAGGCAACTAGAGAGTCTAATTAAGACCTACTTAGATTAGTTATTAACCCTTCTAAAGATACACCACCAAGTCAAAAATTACTTACTATCTAAAGAATTTATGAAGGTAGAGCAGGACTACCTAGCTAGCCATAAAATAATAAAAATATAGGTAGAGATAGATAAACCTAAATATATAAAAGTACTAGAATATAAATAGGTATATATATATAAAAGTAATTAAGGTAGTAACCTAACTAAATATAAAGCATGCCTAGTAGTAAGAGGAGATTAATAAGAGAATTTAATAAAGGACTTATATACTATAACTCTAGTAGTAAGATCTTTCTAAACCTTCCTAGTAATAGTAGCCTAATTTAATCTAGAATTAAAGTAATATAATATTATAAATATATTTATTAATATAGATAATAATAAAAAAATATATATAGAAATACCTCTAGAATATTAAAAATTAGGTAAAATATTAAAGCTAAAGAAAGTACTATATAGATTTAAATAGTCCTCTTATTTATAATAGATAACTTTTTAAAAGATTCTAAAGTTACTAAGATATAAATTTATCTTATATAAACTATATTATATTATTAGAGGTAGGATCTTAATATTCTTTTATATAGATAATATTATATTTACCTATTACTAAAAATTATTAGTATAAATATAAGCTACTACATAAGAGCTTTAGGACTAGTTTAAGATAATAGGAGGAAATAACCTATAATAGTTTCTAGGAATAGAGATTACCTAGGATAAAGAGAATAAACTTATCTAGTTAGATTAGTTAGTATATATTAATAAGATTACTAACCTAGTAGATAGAAAGGAAGATCTAGATACTACTCCTATATTAGAAAAAATAGTACCTTAGAAAGATTAAGATAGAGTATTTTACTTATATACCTAATAATATTAATAAAAGATAGGATCTATAATATATATAATAGTCATAATATGACTAGATATTATATTTATAGTATTCTAGCTATTCTAGTATCTTATAAACCCTAGTAAAGAATACCATACTAAAGTAGATTAATACTTATAATATTTAAAAAGAATAAATAAACTTACCTTATAACTTAAAGATTTAGATAATTACCTATTATATAGTAATGCCTTATTTATAGATAATTAGGACTAGAGAAGCTTGCAGGAGTATATTATAAAGCTATTTAGAGGTATAATAGAGTAGAAAGCTAGCAAGTAGGTAACTATAATAATCTTTATAATTAAAGTAGAATTATTAGTATTATTATATATAATAAAGGAAGAAATCTTTACTAAATATTTACTAGATAAAATCTAGGTAGAGTTAGAGAATCTAACTATTAATATTTAATATAATAACATGCAAACTATCTAACTAGTAAATAAGGAAATTAACTACCTAAATATAAGGCTATATTATATAGATATTTATAATTACTAGATTAGATAGGAAGTCTAGAAAGGAAGGATAAAAGTATTATATTATCCTATTATTAAGATAATTATAGATAGGTTAACTAAGGTACTACCCTACTAAAGCTTTAAGATATTTATAAAAGATTTGGGGATAATAAAGAGACTAAAGTTAATAGATAACTTATTACTAGATATAGTTTAAACCTATCTAGGATAAGGATGGTGTCTTAAATTATATAGTTATAGGTTTAAACTAGATGAAATCCTTTGAACCTAAGGGGGTGTGTTAAATTAAAGGGGTATCTTATGATATACTTAGTAAGTAAAGGGGGGTTATTACCCTATATTAAGGCCTTAGGCAAGCACACAACCCCCCAACAGACACACACAACAATATATCCGATCACCTGCTTCCATTGAGCTACCCCTAGGATCATCATATATCTGACAGTCACTGACAGAATTTTGTCTCCCACAAATCCTTTTCTCCTTTTTCCTTTCACACACCTGGACACGACGACAACTTGAACTGCTGCGACCATTGATGATGTTTATATTGTGGATAAGTGGCATTGTTCAATTGATCGCTATCGCTGCGATATTATAATATATTCACGTCGAGGCACAAGCTGTCGGGTTAATATTATCGACTCCTTGTTCACCTTGCCTGATCTCCTCGACACTAACCACAATTTTTAAGGTGAGCCAATTTTTTTCATTTTTCCCTCGCGCAATGGCCCATCTTTATGATGATCACCATATTCATAAGCATAGTTCACCTGAAATCTTCGGATTGCTGAACGACAACCATATACCATCTTTCACCTTTATCTGATACTTGACTCTCATTTCTCATTGTCACTCGTACTGTTTTTGTTCTTTCACTGACAATCAAACATCAATAGGGTTTACCTAGCAAGATAGAAAACAGAAATGAAATACAGTACACTTTAGTTCCAAGCTCTGCCGCGGATACCAGTAAATCGAACTGCTAATTCGACACCTGGATAGTATGTAAGGGGACGTAGGACAATACGGCGCGGAGATCGCCTAGGGAAACCTTGGAATAACTAATTGGTACCGTATTTTGATGAGCGTTACGTGACGGGGATATTTTGGTGGGATGATGAAGGTTGTGATATGGGGACTGAACTCCCTGGCTGCTTCTTCCTGTTTGGGATATCACGTGGCATTTCTGCATATACCAAGTCTATGTAAGGAGTCGTATAATTCCGTGATAATCGACTTGCATTATCATACCCTTGGTTCGAGTGCATGGCATCATGTTATTTTGGACTACATCTGTAGGTGCCATCAGGAAGGCGTGGTAGCGTTACTCCGTATGGGACTTTCCATGCTCAATCTAATTAGTTAAATGTGCGTATATTACTGATCAGATCGATTCCGAGCGGGACGGTCAAGGATAAGACGGCCAAGGATCTTTCCGGTGATATATGTAGGGCTTAAGTGACGAAGTACAGTGGCCCACATTGGTTTGATTAAAATTAAAAACAGAAGAACCTTTCTCTCGGGCCCTCTTTCTCTTGATCACACTACTAGTACTCCGTATACTCCGTACTCTGTACACTGGATAGTAGTACATACTACCTAGCTTGTACAGGACTAGTTTCGCTTTTGGAACTTGGGATATACTGTACATAGTAAGTACTCCGTACCTTATGATATGCCTATGTGGAAGTCCATTTTCCTGCACCCGCCAACGCACAACACATTCCCTTAAATTAGAAGGGAGATTCTGGGATTTTAAGTGGGATCTTCGCTGGTCAAATCCCGAGTTAATCATCACTGACCCCTTTTTTTTTTTTCTTTTCTGAACTGCCCCTTTTCTTGCGCGTTTTCATTCTCCTGGTCATGACTTGACTCCTATTAATTTTATCTATTTTTATTTTTATCACTCACAGGAAACAAAATGGGATCATCTCTTGTAAGCCTCGGTTGGGACGTATGATGGGACAATAATAAGCGCAAAAAGTTTAATAATAAACTTGGTGGAGAGAAAATTATTCACACAACCCCCACTTGTCTTGCGCTCTCCTACACCTGTCTCGGGCCCGAAGAATGTGTTTTCCAAACTGCAGAGATTCATCGCATGCTACCCCTCCATTTTCATTCTTCAAACAAGGTCCCAGCTGGCGACATGATGAGCTAGTTTTTCTTTGTGAGCAAAGAAAGCGGGGTCATCCCACCCCCCTCTGACCTGACACGGTGACACTGACATGAATCTGGCTGCAGGAAAGCAAACAGTATGACCCCTGTCGAGCGTCTCCCCCGAAACAAAAACCGGATTGACGTGGATGTTATTGCAGCCAAACAAAAAGGGCGCAAGAGTGGGCGACTATCACACGGAAAGCGGGGCTGTTGAGGGAAAGGATGATGATTGATCGTTGGAACCCGTCAAACAGCATTTACTGGCTCTGGGTAGATCCGGACGGCGTTCCATAGTTCCATTCATGATAAGCCCTGTCAGCGACCAGCCAGGCTGAGACGAGGAGGAAAATCGCTGAGGTCCAATCATCTCAGTGATCCGGATGCAGACTTGCATCATCCTGTCCGCGACGTCTTGGCCAGGGACGCAAGTCGTTTCCCTCCTCAACCCAATCAAGCAGGATTTCTGCTTCACCGCTACTTTTCCCAGCCAAAATCCGGGTCGTCCCGTTACCTGTGAACCAGTGAGACGGTCCCCCGTGGCCACGTCAAGTCCCAAAGGATTCGCATCGCCAGAGATTTATTGGTAGATGCGGTCCGAATAACACCACCTAGCAATGCAGCGTCTCTATTCCATATCACCACCATGTCTCGCAGTGTCAAATCACCGTGCGCAAAGCTGACAGTGAGGCAACCGGCTGCTGCAGAATGCGAGTCCGGCACGCGCTTGGACTCTTGGTCTTCCCACCCTGTTGCCCCTCCCCATGTCGCAAGATTGAGATCGAGTGCTCTATAAGGATGCTGGATTCCCCCCCCCCTTCCCATGTCTGACTCTTTGAACTTTTCCTTTTTATATCGACGTACCAGACTCAGTACCAGGACTTCCTCTCTATCATCACTGCCAAGGATTCACTAGTCATTTGACTTCTTTGTTCTTTTGTCACTACAGACATTTACCATTACCTCGACCATCTCTACCCCTTTTCTACCCTTGCCCAGATTTGTCACAGTCAAATCTCTTTATCCCACTTCAAAACATTGCTGCCCAAGGACCCATCTGTCTTGATTTTTTTTTTTTTTCCTTCTCTCCCAGCAATCTCACCCGAGGATCTTGGAAAGAAAAAAAGACCCTGGCTAGAATCACCCCGGATTAACCACTGGATTCCAGTCCATATCCTGGATAGGACTTGTTTCTGTTTTCATTTCATTTTGATTTACACCAGGCTTCTCGTCTGAGCACGTATCTTCAGAGAACAGGTAGACCCCTTGATTATTTGTTTCCCCCTCTTTTTTTCTTTTTTTTTTCTTTCCACCATTCATGCGCATCTGGTCATTTCACCTTTTCTGGACAACTTTCAACGACATTGACGACACTCTTATGGACCCGTGGATTAATACTTCTTTTCACTTGCTTGCTGGAGTCTTCCGGTGCCGCACAGCGGTTACCCAGAATTGATAATGATGATATGGCCATGAACAAATTTGTCCACAGCGGCCGCTGTGCGACTGGACACTTTCGAGTGCTGTTTAATGTGGCACACTCGCTTCGATACTACTGGACCTTGACATGGAGTCTTTTATAGTCTTCACTCCAAACCTGGAGCGGAGGATTGAGTCATTAGCCTGGATTAAACCTATCATGGATCAGCTCCGTCCGGAGTGGAAAACACCGTTATTTGTGGATGAAGTTGAAAAATGTCTCCCTGGATCACAGTTCTCGGACCAGTTCTTGCTCTTGTTTCTTGGCTTGGTAGCTAAGTTTCTGCCTGTCGACACTCGAATGGAAATGTGCATCTAATGTTGTTGCACTCCGCTTGCTCCCAGAGATATTTGTAGCCCGAAGGATTTCAGCTCAATGGAAACAGTCCCTCCAGGCCTAGGAATGAATTTCAACATGCGCCTAAGTGTAGCCACCAAACTGAACCACTAGGATCTCATCCCAGTTTTACTCGCTCTCACTACGCCCTATCCAGGTTTCCGGATGACGCCGTCTCCGGATGTATGGACCGAGTCACAACTTTACTGGGTCAGTATTGCGACGACATATCAACGGTTTGTAAATACCTCCCCTGCGATGTAGCTGGAGACTCTTGACTAATGATTGCTTTAGACCTCTGGACCCTCGGACGCATGATTTCATTTCTTTTCTATTCTCGTACATCTTGAAATGTAGATTGACTAACTTGCTTTACTTTTTAGTTACTGCATACTGTTACCTCTCAATCCGGCCTTGCTGGAAAGAAATTCATAATGACCTCCATCAAGACCGAATCAGAGAACATGACTTTGTCCCAATCATCTATGCACAACCTGGACCACCTGTCTCAACCGAGACATTCCCAATTAGTCCCAGGAAACTCTTTGGCCTCAAGAACAGCCCAGGATGATGACCTTTCGAGCCAGGATAATTTCTCCTTGTGTTCCAGCACAGCCCAAACCTGTGATATTTCAAACGAAATGAAGCCATGGGGCTTGAATGATACAGATACCCTGGATAGTGGATCCATCGCATCCACCAAACCTGAATCCCCAGAGGTCCAGATGCTCTCCTTTTCCCTATCTCAACACGCCCTGCTCCACTCTGCCGTGGGTGCCAGCGATATAATGTATTCTGCTGGTTCTCATTTCCATGGACTCCCGGATGTGGAACAAAATGAACTGGATTACTCCAAAGCCCAAGAATTCAACCACTATACATCCCTCTTTGACTTTTCTGCCTTTGAAAATGATGTCCAGAATGGCTCCCAATCATGCACACCCGATGATGGATTATCCATCAGCCATGGCTCTCCCACAGATGATAGTCATCTAGCCACCAGTGAGGCATGGAACTCCCTTGTCTCAGACAGCAGGAATTATCAAAGATCATCCGTGGACCAATTTACCGGAAACGTTTTTCAACCCATTCCCGTTTCTCCCCCCTTGACCGAAGCAAGTAATGATATTTCTGTTACATCGTCTTGCTCTCACTCTGGATACCCCTCATTCATGTCCCATGAGGATGCCATGCTAAAGGATATCACTGCCACGCCTGTTGGACCCCATGGCATCAACCTAGGAGACCCTATCTTCCCCCTTACTCCTCCCCTCAACGAGCAAGATCCGAACAGGTAAGTATCCAAAAGCCGTCCTTTTTTTTTTTTTTTTTTAACTTGATCCTACATTGAACGGGATCTGACTAGCAGCAGGACTATCCGACCCTCTAAGAGTGCGCGCAGGCCAACACTACAAACTTCTCCATTCCAATCGCAGGTCAAGCAGGATCCTGAATTTTTCCCACCCCTCCCAGTGAAGGAGCCGCTCCGTCCAAGATCCAAGGAAGGCGCCGAACTACGAAACCCACGCGACCATCCTTACTATTCCCTGCCTACTCACAACGATGGAAAATACTACTGCCCATATGCCACTGGAGACAAGCCTTGCAACCATCCTCCTACTACTCAGAAGTGTGCCTATCAGTAAGTTAATCTCAGCTGTTGATATTTGACCCGAGACTAACATGAAATCAGTAAATACTTGGATTCCCATCTCAAGCCCTACCGCTGCAAGGTCTCCTCCTGCATGGATGCTCAGCTCCAATTCTCTTCCAATGCCTGCCTTTTCCGTCACGAGCGTGAAGCCCATGGACTCCACGGTCATGGAGACAACCCCCACCTCTGCCTCTTTGACGGATGTGACCGCTCCGTCCCAGGATACGGCTTTCCCCGTAGATGGAATCTGTTTGACCACATGAGGCGTGTTCATGACTACGCCTCGTCTGAGCGACCCAGCTCCCCGGATGCCTCCCCCACTACCAGCCAGGCCAAGAAGAAGGAATCCTCAGGGCGCAAGCGCAGGGTTACCGGTGTCACGGGCGCTCAAACCATGAAGCGCACCCGGTCTACACAGTCTCAGAACAGCACACTGAAGGCCGTCCAACAAAGCTTTACCCAGACTGGCTCAAAACTACAGGCCACTGAACGAAGCTACTTTAGTTGCCGCGCGCGCCTCCTCGAGCAACTTCGAGATATCACCCCTGGAGATGCCGCTCAGCATGATACTGTCAACGCCATTCTCCAGGAGATGATCACCTTTGGAATCATCTACCGCCATGAACAAGCCACCCAGGCCGCTGCCCATATTGCCAATGGTCTCCCTGCGTGAATTTAGTTTTATGTCGAACCATGCTTTTAAACCGAATTTTGTTCTCCAAAGGATTGCCTGAAGGATGCTCTACCTCGTCGCAGGAATTGTCTTGTGATATCAGTGAGCTACGAGAATAATGACTCTCCCGGATTGACTCCAGGGATGATGGATGGACACCTGGTCCACACATTCTCTCCAGCTGCTATGGGATTTCCATGTTTACTTTCCAAGGGACTTAGATTACATTCAGGTCGGCTAGGAACTTGATGTCATGCATTATGTGTCATCCGACACGTGCAATGCTTAGACTACTTGTTCAAGCACGAAAGATTCTCTTGCATGCACATATGCATCTTTCACTGTTGGCAGGCGCCTTGAGCACCCACTGGTGGGAAGCTTATGAAGACAAATAAGCGCCTCTGGCACTTATTTCTTCTCTTTTTTTCACATTATTTATCTCTTTGCGCTCAGTTGCTTGCGCTGGATTTGTATAAAACACTTTTGTATTCTGGAGCTTGGGACGTTCTCTACTTTGTCGCTTTTGGAATGGTCAGGCACTGAACAAGGGCCAGATGAGGGGGAACTCAAAAAAAAAAAAAAAAAAAAAAAAAAAAGGGCAAAAAAAAGGGCAAAAAAAAGGGCAAAAAAAAGGGGGTTTTGTGTATAAGGGTGGGATTTCAGCTTGGCTTCATTTTATTTCTCCACCTCTTTGCTCTGTTTATATTCTTCTTTGTGCAGAGGGGCAGTCGGAGGATTTGTGTCTGCGTTCGTGTGATATTTAAGATCTTGTCAAAAAATTTTTCTTTTTTTTTGTATTTTGTTGTGTTTATTTTTCTTCTTGTTGACTGACTGACTGACTTCTTTGCTGGGCTTTGATTTCAAGCTTTGGATATATTTGGTTTTATTCTCGGGACATTATCATCAATACCATAGTATTTTCGAGCACCTACCGGGCAGTAAAACATGAACATAGCCAGTCAATATGAGCCTACTCTTGTGGATTCCTAATATAACTCGACCTAACTAACTACCGAGTGCGAGGATGGCAATGGCAATGACAACAAACACATACGAGTGCAGGCCATACATATACAGCCTAGAGCATAAGCAGAAAGAACATCTGATAATCTACATACACACTATCACCATCACTAGTTATATGCAGTGTAGGTCCTCCTCCTACTACACCTACTACTGTAGGTAGTAAGTAGGTAGCAGCTAGGTAGCTAGGCTCCAGAGCCGCTGAAACATACATACCTTGGCCCAGCTCCAGGGAACGTGTTAGTTAGTTAGTTAGTTGCTATTTCTCACTTATACCTGACAGAAGAATGCATGTATAGTATAGTAAGTAAGTATAGTAAGTAGTATGTATATGCATGTATGTATGTATGTACATCTATGTTATGTGCCTAGCTAGATGTGCTTGCTCTCTCTTCTCCATACCATACCATAGTAGTCTGTCTGTCTGTCTGTCTGTCTGTCTTTATTTAGCTTGGAGGGTGGGAAAACTACTACTACTAGGACAAGGGCAAGATTTCATGAGTGATTATCGGTATGGTAGTAGGTAGGTACAGTATCTGATTTGAGTCTATTTCAGGTTGGGTGAGAGATATGCTGAGCTCTCTTCTAGACATCCTTGTCTCTCCGTCTCCGTCTCCGTCTCCGTTTGGAGATTATTGATAGAAAAACAGGAAAAAAAGACTGCTTTACCAACACCTCGCTAGACATGCCATGCGTCTCTAAATAAATTGATCTAAATTTCGTCAAGTCATGATTTTACTATACTCTACATGCATCCTTCCAAGTTATTTATATAACAGGAACTACTACCTCTCATCAACCTCGTCTGCGAAATCGGCATTCAAAAACCGGACAAATGCATCTGCGATCTGATCATCCATGAGACCACCCTTACCCGACGCATGAGGACCTGCAACATACGCCCTGTTCAATGCAATCCACTGCCTCCGCAACCTCTGCAGCCGCGGTAGAGCCAGGATCCCACCCGCGGCAGCAAGATCATCCGTTGTGCTTGCGGAGGCAATATGCGCAGGGATGAAAATAGGGATCGAAGCCTCCGGGACAACGATAGTGATGCCTTCTTCGCCGGGCCTTGTGCGAACCTTGGCGCTTTGGCTTTGCGCGAGGGCGGCCTTTGCGGAGGGGTTTGAGAGAGAGAAACTTCGGATCGCTTGGACGATTGCGGAGGTACGTTTTTCTATATTGTATAGAGCTGACGAGGCGGTCGCCGTGGGGAGCACGGTGGCTTGATGCGGCTTGATTCTGGGTCTTTGGAGCGCTGCGGCGCGTGTTCCAGATGGTGCTGCGGTCGTTGTGCTGGCTGCAGATAAAAGATTTGTGGGAGAGGTCAGGGAGAGAGCAGCTGCGAGAGTGGAAATGGAGGATGCGTCGTCTGGTGCCTGGTCGGTCTGAGAAAGAGTGGATGGGTGCGGGAGGCCAGTGAGGGCGGTCCAGATCTCTGCGATAGGGGGTTCGACGTCGGACCAGGGAACCGTGAAGAGGGGTTTGTCCCAACGGCTATGGATGTTGGGTTCTTCGTAGCGGAAGATGAGATTGTTGAGGAGCTCCGGGGGGTATGGGTCTTCGGTGTCTTCTTCTTTTGGTGGTGGGGGTGGGGTGGGGCAAGTTTGAGACTCAGAGACACTTTCCTCTTTGGCCGATTGCTGTGCAGATTCCAGTTCTTGAGAGTGTGGATTTTTGCGACGCAGTCGTGCCTCGTTGTTTGCGACGCACTGATCGATCGGTGTGCCGACATGGACCTTATCAATCTTAGCTTCTCTCTCTCTCTCTCTCTCTGAATATCTGATATGTTGTTTTAAAAAGAAAACAATCTTACCACACAGCATGATGTTCCTAGGGCCTTGGCCTCACACCAAAGCTGGTACCTATATCCCTTAATGTAGTTCATTCCATCGAGAATCACAAAGCTGTCGCGGCCCAGGGCGCGCTTCGCCCGCGTATATGCCACACCACGAGTTTCCTTCTCCGTACGCGCGGTATCGTACACAGTTCGCGGATGCGAGACATCATGCGTCGGCACGATATGAATCTTATACCGGGGTTTCGAAGAGGGGATTGCTCCCGACGCGAAGAGTTCGTTCTGTGTATTTTCGAGTTGGGATGCGAGTTGACGGGCGCGGTAGCTGAGTCCCGAGCAGGGGTATCCGGTGAGAACGATAAGCTATATAACCATAAATGGTGCATTAGCTGGCCTGGTCTGTGGAACGGATTTGATTTAGAGTAGCTTACCGGCATGATGAGTGAGTGCTCCTCGAGGTTGGCCACGGAAAAAAAAAACGTTGGATTCGACTTTCGTCGCGGGGATGGCGGGGCATCTTGACCGCCTTTATATATATACATACATACCATCTATATATATGAGTTCGATTCTTTTTCCAATGTTTCTAGGGTACTTTGATCTCCATATTTCATTGGCTTGCGTATTTATATGGTCAAATTTACAATTGGCTATTTCGTGGGTTGATATGTAATGAATCTAGGTGTACAGGAACATTATCATGATTATCATCTATACATACATAGTACCTTGGTAGAACTTTTCTTTAACGCGAGACACTACAAACTGCAGTATCAACAAATCCCTCTATATATCTAACTGTCATAAATGCAACATATCAGTGGTATCTTCGTCTATTTTAGCTCCTCATCAGCCCATCGAATCTCATACCCAAAAACGGTTCTTCGTAGTTTCTCGTCCTAAGTATGATTAGAACTTCTGCAGGAATTTAAACGCAACTTGCATACGTACCCCAGGATCATTTTCAAACAGAACCTTATCCACTATCTGCTCAAACACCTTTGTCACCTTGAATCCGCTCTGTTCTGCCAGAGGGAAGAACTTTTCCGTCTTTGGTAGCAACCAAGGTTCATATGGTGTAAAAATCACCAATGCAACTGCCTCACGTTCCCGCTTAAGAGCTTGCTGCATTGTCTTAATCAGGTTCCCATGTTCGCGGTGACTATATACCACATCCGCCATAATGAGCACATCAAATCCCTTCGACCTTGAATCCTCAGGTAGATAAGCTAGAAGCGGCTCAACAGAGCTACCCCATAGATACCCGGTGACGTGCAAAGAGGAAGGGGGATCGGTGGGTATCATTGAGGCAGCCGCATCGGCATTCTTCTGCATGTTATCGACGAGATCGAGATCCGGGTAGTCGGTCATCACGGTTGTGCGCGCGCCTTTGATAGCGCTAACGATACTAGGAACTCCCGCTGCGGCACCTATCTCGAGAACATCTTTCCCGGTGATAAGGGTGGAGGCATGCGTTTCAATGTATTCTGAGCTTATGCGACCGGCGTTCCAGAGCATGTTTCCCTCCATAGAGATGTTAACGACGAGTGTATTAGACAGTGTGAGGGGGTTTCCTACATAAAGAGGGTGGCTGCCAACAAGGCGAACACGCACTACTTGCCCTGAGAGCATGCGATGCTCTGCAGAGCTGGGTTCTTTTTCAGGAGGGTAGAACCCCTCGGGGTCGTTGAACATGTCGCCAGTGTCGAGGTCTTCGTCGGCCATACTGACAGATTGAATTGGATTGAACTGGAAGGGGGTAGTAGGTATTAAACAAATGGAATTAGAAACTTTAAGGATAAGATCTCTTCAATTGGAAGACTGTGAATTAGATTTGAATTGCCATGAACTTATGTTATCACTGTAAAAAAAAATAATTAAGAACTGAATTCTATCGCATAGTGGGGGAAAGAAAGGTGGGGTGAACAGTTTCCATTTTAGGACTGGCTCGCGACCACCTGACCAGACGCGCCCGATCTATCAAGAGGCTGCAATGAATAGTTAAAGTAATTTGACCAGGATATCACAAGGCCATCATATAGTTAGCTAGATTTATTTTGATTACTACTATGTTCAATTTTGACAAGAGTCGGGATAGAATATGGAAAAGAAAACGAAAAAAAAGAACGCCCGACGTGAGGGTCGAACTCACAACCTTGAGATTAAAAGTCTCACGCTCTGCCGATTGAGCTAGCCGGGCAGCTCATGAGAAATGTGTGAACTTTTCTTCAATTTAAGCTAATTGGCTGACAGCGCACCAACCAGTTTGACAGATTGATGAAGCATCTATACCAGAGGATAGAAAATACGGTTCATTTTACAAGTATACCACCTGCTGGTGCTTCTTCTCTTCTTCGTCCTCTTTTTAATGGAATAACAAAATCAAATGCTAATCTTTGTTGTGTAATTTCGCCTATAGCCATTACCCAGGCCCAATACACTACAGCCCTAACATGGGATGAAAAGAACCTATAGTTACTGGACAATACTGAGTCAGGATGCAGGGGCATGTAACAAAGTGACATACCAAATGCCTGTCGACAGCAGACACGATGCATATATGTAGTATAGAGAAGCCTTTAGGGTGTTGCAGCCAACCTGAACCCGCAGAGAAGTGTATTTTCGTGAAGAAATGCAATGAGAGTACGGTATTTGACAGCCCTGGAGCTTTCCACGAGGCAGGCTCTAACCGAGTATATTCCTGTGGCTGGGCTTGCTGCAGATAGTAGACTATGATTATCATTATCTGTGTTATATACTATATATACCTGTTTATATATTTTAGATCAATTGTCATTCACTGTCCACCATCAAATCATAGCATAACATACAGGAACATACTAGACAAGTTGCTTTACACAGCGTTAGGAAACCCTGTGCTCCTACACTTCACGATAGAGTATACATTTGACGTTGTGTAGCTCGTGACCTAGAGATAGATCCTATCACAGTATATATACATATATGGATAGACATATAGATACTTGACTCTGGAACGGAAACCTGGAGCCAAAAGTACAACCCGGGGTAACGACCAGTTAATTGAGACAATTCATCTCCCATCATTGAATGATCTTCCTTCCCCCATATCTTCTAGAAGTTGCATGATCTCGACTCCTTGCAGCAGCGTCACCACCCGGAAACAAAAGCTCCTGGTTGCCGAACGTCATACCGCGGTATACCCGGACTACGCCCCACGTGGACCCCATATCGTCGTCAATCCGAATAATTCTTCCTCTTCTTTTTTTTTTCTCTTGTTCCTTCTCTCGTCCGTCCTGTTCTCGCTCCCTTCGTTTCTTCTTGATCGTGTGAAGATTGCTTTTCATCATTCCCTATCTGGGGAGTGGTCTTCCTGCCAATCTGCCTCCTCTCGTGCCCTCTCCATCCCGAGTCCATCCCCCCACCTACGACCGAGTCGCATTCTCCACCTGCCTTGAAGCTCCCTCCTGTCCTTCAATATCACCGTCCCCCCAACGCAGATTTAGACCTCTTAATTTAATCAACCCTTTCATCACCGATAAAATCTCCATCATGGACTCAAGCTCCTCTCTCTCGTCACCCCACCGGGATGCGCAGACATCCAATCTTCAACAGACCCTAACCTCCCCCCCAAATGCGAATCAAACCCAGATATTCCCTGCCCAAGCGACAACTGAGCAACCACAAGAGCCCTCGCAAAATAACGCACAGTCTACCACTACCTTGGTATCATACTCGACACTCGAGAACTACCCACACCAAGTAAACGGTGCCGGTGGCCCGACCGCGACCGCGCCGTTCCTGCGAGACTTCAGTTTAGTTGCAGAGGCAGCGAAACGGGCGCAAATGGCAGTTGTGATGCGAGACTTAGAGGGTGTCACCCTATAGACCCCGATACACTTGTGCGATCTGTTCAGCGGAATTATTACATGCTCCCATTAATGATGTCTTATGTTCTGCTTCTCTTTCCCTTCCTTCCGTTTCTTTTCTCTTACTTTCTGCGAGGGTATGGGAGATATCTGCCCTTGTTAGGGACGAATGAGTGAGTGGGCACGGTTGCATACTGGTGCGCTTTGGATATTAATCTTTTTTCTTTTTTCTTTTTTTTTTCTTTTGCTTCTGCCATATATATATATATATATTTATGGCATTTTCTTTCTTTTTACGATTTGGACCTAACGACGACTGGGAAGGCTGGCGTCTTTGGCAGGGACCCTTATCCTCTTGATACCATTCTTGCTTCTTTTTACTCCGTATTACTTTTTATTGATCTCGGAATAAATTCAATTTCCAGATACTCTCTGCATTTCTCCTCCCCTAGACCCTCTCCCCCCCCCCCCCCCCTTTCTTAAAACAGGAATCACAGCCCCATCCAGGTGCGGAGACAACAGAAAAGCGAGAACAGAACAGAGTTGGAAGCAGCCAGACTCCGGGACCAATAAGAACCCAACAGTCCGAGCACGAACATGCTAGGCAAGGCTAACGCAAACCTGACTGACTCGAACCCAAGCGCTTGCAGCTGGCACTTGGCCAGGAATACACTAGGCGCGACAAGTCCCTGTGCTGTCTTGTCATCAAGGGTTTTTGTTTTTTTCATCCACAGCCTTGCGACGCAAATTTAGTTTTGTACATTATACGAGGACGGAGTGCGCAGTTTGCCTGTGCGTCCAACCACATACATGCCTTGTTAGTACCTACCTTAGTAGCTCTACCGGACTATATTAAGTAGGTTAGGTATGTAGGTATGTATGTATGTATGTATGTATGTATGTATGTATGTATGTATGTATGTATGTATGTATGTATGTACAATACCTTCCTAGTGACTTACTAGTAGTACTAATAGCAGGGCCCTGAGTTCGAGGTACCTAGTTAACCATCTAACCTTAAGTACCCAGTAGGCACCCAAGGCAGGGATTAACATTTTTAAAACAGCAAGGCGATCAAGATATATCCAAGATTGAGATTGAGATTGATATTGATTAGGGCAGATAATGTAAATGTACTAGTATCAGGCTGTGTGTGTATAATGTGTATGTATGTGGTGAGGGAGCGAGTATGTAGGTATATACTAACATAAGTCATGAGAATTATTGTTCAACAATAAGCAGCAAGAAGCGAATCAAGTAACATATAAAAAAAAAAAAAGGAAAGGAAAGAAAGAAAAATACACGAAGGAGGCTTTATGACCACCAAACACCTAATAAATGCAGCAATGTAGGAACCCAAGAACTGACTTGCTTCTAGTTGGAAGTTGAAATCAAACCAAGACAATAAAATAAATAATAACTGATAACACAAGAAGTGTGAAAACCAAAAAAAAAAAAAAAAAAAAAAAAAAGCTTTTGATCGGGGCGTAATGACAAGGGCTAAATGAGCTGGATTAAGTAACGATGATGGCGATATATGATATGAGATGCGAAAACAATTATCGTGGTTTATTCCTCGTAATAAAGGAGGAATACCAGGTCGATTTGATTGGTTGGTTGGTTGTATGCGGGTTCAGTTCGGAGACAGGAGACATGTCTGATTTCGGATGGGAGACCCAGGCGTTTATTAAATTTCTTCCTGCAGGGGTTCGGCTGCTGATCCATCCCTGAGACAGGGGCAGACAGGAATAGTATGGATTGAGAGAGAAAGATTAGATGGGAGTTGAGGAGCTGATCAGATTCGGCTGCGAAATGCTGGGAGCCCCTCCACCGCGATATCTGTGCCTTTTTTGCGAGAAGCTCAGCACCGAGAGTCTGCGGCTCAGTCTGCGCACGGGTGGCGTCCAGGCATCTGGGGAGAAAATCATCGAGAGCGGCCGGGATCCAGACGCCGGATGATCCTCTTCCGATGGACTATCCAGGCCGCTGGGGGAGGAAGCAAACATGGACCCCGAAAAGCTGGCGCTAGATCCCGGTCGTGCCGAGGGCAGAGAGGGAGTGCTCGATGTTTCCGGCAGGAAGGTTGACATGCGTCGTCGGACTTTGGCGCGGTCTGCCAGGGCTTGCGGTTCAAGTTGTAGGGTGATGTCTTCTCTGATGTCGTCGAGGGCGCGGGAAAAGCGTTGAAAGCGGCCGCGTTTCTCGGCGATCGAGGGCTCGCGCGGCTCCAGGCCATACAGCTGCAACGGGGTTGAGTCGGGAATGTCTTCTTTCAACGGGGTTGCGTAGTATCGGGGGTATTTGGGCGGTTCTCTGCGGCGAGGAATGGATGGAAACCAGGCATGGGGATGTTGGGAGATTGGACTCTCGAACGAGGACTGTGAGGAGTTTGATGCGGAGGATGGCAGCATTCTTTTATTTTCTTTGAGGTTAAGATGTAGATCCGGTAGTATAATGAGGTGGAGAGGTGGGAGAGAGAATAGAAATAGTATGTTGGTTGTAGTCCAGTTTCAAGATTAAGGCAGAGAGGTAGCAGAGGTAGAGAGAGAGAGAGAGAGTCAACTTAGACCAGAACGAAACCGTTCGCAAGAGAGAGAGAGAGAGAGAGAAAGGGGGGGTAGAAAAGTAATTATAGCGCTGAGTAGTTCAACCTGCCTGTGGGTATGAAAATAGAAAAGGGAAAAAGGACGCCCCAAAAAAAGAGGACCAAGGGAGAAGAAAGTGGAACTCGAATATCCCATGAGTTATCCCCGATTTTTATAAAACATCAGATCAGGATCTCCGGTTTGCTCGATGCAGGCACGTACGTATCTTGGTTGGTATTATTGGCGTATGTATTGATACTTTACTTTGGTAAATGCTACTATAGCCTTTCGGTCCAGTAATTTTCTTTCTACTGCCTCGTGAGGCTGTTTTGTCCTCTGAACAAAATCAATTTCCATCCTCCATGGTGGTTGGGGTTTGGTCTCCAACCCTCCATATAGACAAACCACTACTACGTCTCTGACTGATTAAGAGTGAAACTCGCGTTCATGACGACTGTCACTACTAGATGACGTGGCTCTGGAAGACATCAACCCACCAAACCGTGAGGTTGGGATTCGGAGTATAAGAAGATAGATACCCAGGCCTACCTCAATCCAATCTCTGCATGTCATCCCACAGCTAATAATAATCTACGGATGATAATTCACCGGTAGAGGAGGAGATGCTTCAGGTATGAAGCCATGAACCGCGGATCCGATGCCTGTGGACCTCTCAGCGTAGCGGAACCAACGGAGGTAAGCAAGAATCTGAGCATCTTCTCAGACGAAAATGATGAGATCTCCTTCCTGTCCTGTACATCTCGAAGATAATAATAATAATATCCCCGACCCAGTCCATCCATCCTGTCACCCATGTACCAAAAAAAAAAGAATGGAAGCCAGAAAGAAAGAAAAAATTCAGTGGCATGGCGTGGATAGTGGACCAGCCAGAGTGAACCAGAGCAGCCACTTTTGCTCATTGCCTGCAAGGTGAAACACAATTAACACTGCCGCTAAGCGGGAACCGTCGCAAGTGGCCCCCACTGATATAAATATATAATTATCATCTCATCCGCTGGAAGGAATAAATTTCCCATTTGGTTTGCATTGGTGCTCTCTGGAGGAAGTAAGGAGTGAGTACGGAGGTACTAGGTAGGTATGTACAGAGCATTACTTACCATTGTAAAGCCACCAGAGAGTATCAGTGGAGTTCTTCAAATGATTCCCAAGTCCGTATGCGACATGTGTGTTGAGAATTGCATGATCATTGGCTTTGATTCATCCGGATCACGGCAGTGTAGCCTAGTGACTGTTAGTTAGTACTAATTGTTAGTGGGTGACTCTTCCTGGAGCGTGCGGAGGGCTTCGGGTCACTACTACTAGTACTCCGTGTTTCCGTCCCTGGAAATATCCATCTCATCTTCTCGTAATTAGGTACAGGGGATAACCAAGAATTCAACTTGCAGAAATATTTCCAGAACCTTAAAAAAAAAATCTTAATGATGCCCGATGTATTTTGGTGCTTTTATCGCCGATCATGCGTGTTTTGTTAGGGGGTGTGGCTGAGTGACTGACTGCTCTCTCTCTGCGTCGTGCGATGTTGTCTCCATCCGGAGGAGTATGGAGTACCCGAAACCCCAACAAGCTAAATAAATGCGTACGGTATGTATGGTGGTGGTTGCTCTGTGTACTGCACGGACTACTAGTCCTACCTACCTACGTACGGCTTCCACGCAGACGGTTCTAATTATGGTACCTTGGTATGTATGATCACCAGATGGCTGGGCACAAGTTTCAGATTGGCATCAAGACATCTACAATACTGTCTCTACCAAGGGAGGAATCTATTTATTTCTGGACAAGGCCAATCACAGATTCAGCATTTATCAATCCCCCGCTCTCCCCCCCCCAAAAGAATCCAACTAACTAGAGAGAGACGGAGAGTAATAGGCACAAAGATAACATCCATCACTGGTCTGGATATGGTTGCCTGACACTCTCCGGGTAAACATAGTTTTCAGCCATCCGTTTCTGTCAACAAGGCGTCCAGTGTGCATTTGCTGTCACAACTTTGCCGTTAAAAAAGTTACTTTCGGTTGGTATTTTGAGAGTATATCTCCCAACTTTATTGGGGTGTGTCTGATGGTAGGTAAACCTGACACCATACGGAAACTTGCAAGCACTGTGTTTGGCTCCTTAAAAAAAAATTCGAATCGGGATTAACCAGAAGGTTGCCCGAGCCTCCTCTGCACTGTCCTGTGGTTCAGCTTCAACACGGGCTTTCACATCCATGGTAGAGGCTCGAGCGACGACAAAATCCCACAAGATACGCGTTCTTCTTCTGTCACATGTGAAATACGATCACATCACAAATAGTAGGTTGGTATCTAAAACCATTAGCAGGTGCGCGAATAATGACTCAAGCAGAACTCACCTAGAGGATGACTGCAACTTAGTTGCGGCTTCTGTGTATACTTTCCATCTAATTCTGAACGAATCACATTCAGCAGCTGCACGTAGCTCAGGTTCGGAGATCGCTGGAGGCATTTGATAAACGCCCAGCTCAACGCCCCCCGCGCTTCTCCATCCTGGAACGTATCGGCTCTGTGATAGGCTAGTTAGTGACGACGCGCACATTCCGAACCAGCTGAGATACGCACGATGTCTGAGTATCCTTCGAACCCGAGAACATGATTACATCCGCCGGGGAGGTCTTGGTTCGCACGGTTCGCTGGCGTGCAGAATCGCCAATTGCAGCCTTCTTGAATAATCCGATCGCGGTTTGAGCCATGCCACTAAGGTCTCCTCTTCCATATGATAGCATGGCGCTAAAAAGGTCTTGGGCTGCTTCCTTGGCAAGATTTGGCTCTTTCAGAGTACCCTATATCCGATCAGCAGTGTCCCGGGGTCTCGGATGCGGGCCGAGCGCGAACCTGCGTAGAATACACATATGGGAGATCTAATGCGGTTCCTGAATGGCAGGAGTCGAAGATTGCGGTCAAACGCACACCAGGGCGCAAGGGTCGAACCCTATTCGAGGTCAGAATGCTAAATATTAATCATTTATTGGGAAATAGCGCATACATGATGTCGTGCATCTGGTCATCTACGATATGTCCAACTGTCCGGTAATCCACGGGGTAAATTACATCGTCAAAGCCTAGGGGATGGTCAGTCTCGTACTAGTTCGCAATTACAATCCGAGGAAGCTCACCATCGTCTTCATCACCATCAAGATCCGGGGTACGGCCACCGTGACCTGCCAAAATCGTTATTCGAGCATTCAAAGAAGATTGCCACTGAAGTTCGTACCGGAGAAATGAATAAATAGAGAATCGTTTGGTTGCGCGTCCTTGACAAGCCACTGCATGGCTCGAAGAATATTAGCCTTGGTGGGAATACTCATCGGGTTCTTTTGGTCATCAGTGAGGATGACCATGTCTTCGCGGCGGTACCCATGGCGATTATGGAGAAAGGTGGACATATTGGTCACATCGTTGATACATCCATGGAGTTGGTTTGGTTGTCCAAAATAGTTAATTCCGATTAAGAGTGCTTTTCGTCGACCGGTACACGTCGAATATTGGAACCGATAGCTCGATGGCGCTCCATGGCCGAACTGCTGGGCGCCCTCCGGGGGACGGGGTGGGAAATTTGCACCCCCTGTGGGCGGAGCATCTGTTTTTCAGGTCAGTTGACAAGACGACGCAATCGAAGATATTATTAGGTCTTACTTGGATAAGCTTGTGTGTAAGGGGAGGACGTCTGGGGACGTTGTGGTGGGGTAGGAGGGGGGTGATATCCAGAAGGAGGATAGTACGGCCTGGGTCCTGGTGCAGGATAACTTCCTGGTGGTGGATGAGGAGGATGGGGAGGATACTGATGAGGATATTGAGGACTGTGAGAAGGTTAGTCGATGCAATATGCTGAATGAGAGCCGATGAGAGGATCAAAGCACCTGTAAGACGGCGGAGGAGGCGCCCACCCGGGTTGGCCAGACCAACTCGAGGGACGAACAGGCAACGGAGGACCTGGAGGAGGGGGATGGTGGTAGTACATCAATTATCTTTCGCTGCGAAAGAAATTATAAACGGTTGATGGGCAGATAGAAAAGCGGTTTATATATTGTGCGTTCAAAAAGGACAAGCGGGGAATTGATCCAGGGGCGGTGTAATTCGCAACTGGAGTAGTGGTGTTGGTGTTGATGATATGATGCTTATGGTTTAGTTTGATTGTTAGTGAGAGTACTTTGGAGTGGAGAAGTCACTCACACAGTAAGAAACTCACACAGAAACACACACAACACCAGCAACGTGAGACTTGACTCCAAAAAAAAAAAAGATGATGAGGGGAAGAAGAGAAGAGGAGAACAAGGGACAATTAACTACTTTAATTGCGCGGCTCTCGCTGGTACGGGGCTGGCTGATGCCTACACGAGAGGCCCTGGGATTCGCTGTCCCTCGGTAGCGGGCGGGTCGGGCTACTATCATGCATAGAGCAGACTGTTTTCCGTCAGGACTCGGGGCCATGAATGACGCCCTGGTGGATATCGTTGCTTTTGGTAGATGATCTTCTTCTCGTCATGATCGCATTTCAGCATGGCGGAGATGCAAGGATAAGATGCATCGGCGAGTCCGGAAGATCAAATTGAACCCCAACTAGTCACTCGGGGTCTATACTCTATACATGGTAGGACTTAGTCCGAAGTGCTTAGACCTTGTCCGCCTGATCTGAAAAGCTCCATGCACACGAAAACTACTTCTGAGTCCCCTCCTCTCCTTCCCTTGGAGGTGAAAGTTCACCGTGGATTAGGTTTCTACTCCATGGAATTATAAACTTCCCTTTATTACGGTACAGTCCAGGGGAAAGTGATAGAGGAACACTGCGTTAACGGTTCGTTGCCTCGTGGGACTGCTTACGCTAAGAATTTGCTAACAACCAATAGACCAGTTTTTTATAAGTTATCATTCCTCAAATTTAACTTGATCCAGTAAAGTCTAAAGCTTATGCACTCTTTTCACGTGGTTTTGCCCGTTCTGTCGATTTCCAGTGCCCTGAGTGACTCAGTCATTATTGCCACTAGGGCTGAGGGGATGCGTGCCGAATTTATGGTCAGGTAAACTACTTCTCTAATTGAATAAGAGATTCGATGATGTCATTCCTTTTGTTTTTAATGAAATAGTGAGAATTTTCGGCAGATTCGGATCGAAACAGGATTATCCTTAGGTATGCTCTATGCTTAAGGAAAAACAGTAAACTTGATTACAGTCTCGATATCTGTACCAGCTGTTATGTAGAGTCAATTTAAGACAAGGTATTTGGCAGTCATCCTTCTCGTCATATTTCGCACTTGAGAAGAAAAGAAGGAAAACCAAGAGATATTAATCATAAAATGAGCGGGGACTGTCACTCATAATTGCAGACGCTCTGATATACCGACTATCTGGGCCCTCTAACACAACCCCATACTTGGCCAGGTCCAGTTCGAGTTTATACCTCAGCTACCTAATACTATAAACTTCGCAGTCTGTCGAGACGGGAGTGGGGTGTCTAGGACATATCTAGTTTAGACTAGATAGGATTCCCCCTTACTCAGAACATAATATCTGTAACTATACTGGCGTGGGCTAATCATCAAGGCCAAAGAAAGGTACCAGAAAAACGTTCAGCGCACTTCGACCCTCCTCTATTGAGGAAAGACACGTACCAGAGATGGTTCGGAAAAAATGCTGTTTATAAGAGATGTAGACTAACTATCATAATAATTTTAGAATCCAGGAACGAAATTTCCTTTTAATACAAGGTAATACCCCTCTTTTTATGTAGTTTTCAACAACTTTATTCTTGTACAGATGCTGCATCTATAACGAGCCGCTATAGCATCAAGACTTCTCCCTCCATTCACCAATGTCTCATCTCATGTTTTGGATTTGCAACAAAAGAAAGCTGCTATAACTGAAGACTACCTAGGTACTTCCCTTTATTTGCTTTCCCTTCTCATAGGTTTTCGCATACATTTCGTGGGTCAACCCTATCCTCATAAAGAACATTAAAACAGCTCTTTCCCTCACCCGGGTGATTCTCACCATCAAGCAGCCCCCCCCCCCCCCCCCCCCCCCCCCCCCGGGAGATATCGAGCCATATGATGGGACCTACCCCCAGTTCCGGTATACAACACTTTCCCCTGCCTCTACCATGGGCCCGCACAAGAGTATTGGCCCTGGGTGGAGAAGGGGCCAAAGCTTCTCTACAAAACGCCTCGAGTCCCCATCTAGGTACATCGCCGAAAACATCGTCGCTCAAAGCGTCCCCCCAGGAACCAAAAACTAGATTTCAACCGTGCGTATACTCCCCCAGCTTTGATTGGGCTGTGTTAGGCTGGGGCTCAACGAAGTCCAGAGAACATTCCTGCCTTACCAGGTACTGTAGGTTAGGTACTCTGTGGTATATGCATGTATACTAGACCAATTATTAGCAAGCAACTAACTCAGGTACTGTACGACGAATACCTACAGTACCTGGTATTACACCTAGTACTTAGTAGTAGTACTCCGTACTAGTAGATGAGATATTGTGGTGAATAAAACAGGTCAACTGATTAAGGGACTATGGCGTATACTACCTAGGTAATAGTTAATAGTGGATTCACAACTAAGGTCACTTGACTGAAGCCAGCAGATTGACTGGCGGAGGGACTTATTCTGATTCTAAAACACAATTCAGCCACATGTAGTTCTTTGTTTTTCCTCTACTCAGATACGGTCTATGTCTACCATATGATAGTAACTTCGGCCACGTACTGCGGCTCATATGTCATCTCCAGTCTTAAGGGTTTTTTTGGTTGGATGATTAGTACATTTGATTTGGTCTTCAACATCACGGGGGTGACGTTGTAGTTTCCCCGAAGGATTCGAAGATATCTGTATAGTGTGGGACAGCCTCATAGATCCGGTGCAATCTACTCCGTACTCCCCTCTTAAGCTACCCGATTCCGGCCAGGCTCTCTCGTTTTGCTCGCCTTGAATTAGAGCAATTGACTCACCTGCCAGCCTCTGGTTCCAGACTTTGCATTGCATCTAATGAGGATGATGTAGCAAACAATGGGGAATAATAGCCTTGCTTTGAGCCAGGAGGTATCGGCTTGGTTGGTCAGTTTGCAGCTCGTTGAACTGCGGGAAGCCGTGGACGGAAAAAATGCCTTCTGCACACAAGAAATTACCATTTCCATCCCACTGCTGAGACGTTACTATAGTATGTGTTTTATTTGCTTTTGGTGTTGAGAACTGGTCTCTGTTTGTACGGGAGCATCTCGCAGCGTTTCTTCAAATTGAGGACTACCCCGCGAAAGGTAATAAACAAGGCAGGGAAAGGCTGTGGATATCCGTATCTTGCTCTCCCGGGGAGGAGAATTGGGGCTCCTTGGTCTCCCGGGCCATCTCTGGGGGATGAGGGGCAGAAGTGAGTCCGAGCTAAAGCGTGATATACTCCGTCAATGGGCCAGGAATTCGACATGCGTGTATCATGAGACCAAGGCAGTTTATGTTATAGTGCCTTACTAAGGTTGTGTTCAGCCTTGTCAGCACTGCCTCACATTGTGGCAGAGAATCATACATTCATTGTCCGCTGAACGTGGCGATCTTACACGGTCAGCGGTATTATCACAAGACCAGGAGGTATGTGTCCGTGTACACAATGAGTTTAGAGGGGAATTTCTCTTGATAGGGGAATTGAGGAAGTGAGATTTTCAGGATTGAATTTGAGAGCAGATGATGAGCGCGGAAGAGGCGGATCAGGGAGGGAAAAAAAAAGGATAAAGACAAGGAAAATAACTGCAGGGAGGAAACTAATCCTAATGTAGTGTCGAGATCCTACAGGAAGAATAATATACAGCATTGGCCACAAAAATGTCAGCCTCCTTGTACAGAGTAGGACTCGTAGGCAAGAGAAATCGATTCTTTATACGGAGTAACTCCAAGGAAGATTCATTAATTAATTAATCCTGAGTGGTGGGATGCAAGTAACTAGTTGACTCCTTAGTTGACGAATAGTTACGGACGGAGAGGTACATAGGAGTGAGTGAGAGATGCGGCTCAAATGGCAAAAATTGTCTCATAAAATTCGCCTCTCATTTTTTCTTCCCTTTGGACCTTTGTACTACGTAGATTTGCGGTAAAATTAAAAGAAAAATGTCGTGTACCGAACTGTAATTATTTTACTTTCTTTCTTCCCCACTGGGTACTTTTAGCTCTTCTTTCATCTCTCCCCCCCTACCATCGCAGAGCCTCAGAATCTAGACGGGTACTAAAGCATGCCTCAAGTTACATGATGATGTCTCTCTCGACCCTCACCATGTATTTGCCCCTAAGGGCCTTGATCTAGATCTGGCTACCCTCTCAATTCATCACACATCCCGTCCTGCAAGCCTTGCGCTGCCATCTTCATTCACTGCGCCATCCACTTTTTCTGTTACTCCTGTTTTCTGCCTTTGGAGAACAGATGTCTGGTGTAATCGTGAAACTGCACCGGTCCGTTTTGTCCCTGGTTTGTTGTAGGCCCACCGTCCGCCGTCCTGGTTATCGGAGAAATGGTCAAGAATCTGGACTCCATTCCCTACGATGTCTTCTATCAGGTGGCCTCCAGACTAGATTGCCATGACTACATCCATCTCAGCCGGGTCAATCGACCCATCAATGTGCTGATGAAGAATGACTCGATGGCACGGAACACGGTCAGAGTACGTAACACCGGGTCCTCTCTCTCTATTCTTTGCTCCCCCCCCCCCCGAGTCCATCCAAACTAAAGCGAAAATAATAACCTTTCCTCTAGAGTGAGCTCCTGCATACTAAGGAAGGAAGGGAGGCTGATCAGGCTAAGACTGGTTACTGTGAAGCCCTTGGACGGTTGTACGACATTAAGGAATCCTTTGCAACTGCGGAACCTTACTCCGCTGTCATTTTGGGCTATGGCAGCTCTTTCCTCTATGCAGGTGGCTCACTCTGCTATATCTATAATGATGAAATTCGTGCATTGGATGTGCAGGGTGCTAGTCGCGTCGAGCAAGTCCTGAATCTCCCGAAAGTTATACGGAAAGCGCTTCGCAACTCTAACCTGGATACTGGAAGAATCCGAGTCTCGCTTATGAATTACAGCGAATGGGTAGTGGCCTTCTTAGTGGAAGTGGATGATGCGCGTGACTCTTGGTTGCTCGCGGTGGATCTTAAGCGCCAATCGAATTATGAAAAGTCCGGGCGATTGAGAATGCGAGCGCATCTCGACTCAACCGAACGACTGTTTGTGCGACATAACCGGTCGTATCTTTATTATGGCACACATTCTACCGTGGGGACCCATGGACATACCCAGTGGGAAGTCAACTGTGCGGATCTGAGAACGGGAGCGATTAACAGTCAAAATATGGTGGAGCTGGATAACTTCGCCGGAAATGAAATTGGACAAACAGTCTGCTTTGAAGTCTATAAGGATCACCTTTACGCTATCTCGACACTGGTTGATTTTGAGGAAGAGGAAGTGGATTGGACATCCTACTATGTATGGATGTGCTTACCACCCAGCCTCAAGATATCAAAGACTGCCCAGCAGCCATTCCAAACCTGGCGTCGACAGCATCGGGAAGGACCAATAAACGATACTTGGTCTGATCTCTCGCTCAGAGAGGATGAGGCCACTGGGCAGCTTATGATTCTGGAATGCCGGCGAGAATGGCGTGATGGAGGAAGTGAGAATTGTCGGACCTACTATGTTCAGCCTCTTCCCGGGCCACACGATATTGGCAAGCAACAACCAGAGTCTGATTACTACCTTACACCAACATTACCAGACGAGCCGTTGACTAAAACCTTGGATGAATACAGCAAACCCCATTACGAACGACCACGAAAGAGATTGCGCAGACACTACCACCCTGAATATGACGGTGGCGTCGAACCCAAGCCTAGGCGTGACTTTATCCTTGCCCGAACCAAGTTCCGCACATACAACCCGTCTGCATCGAGCTATCTGGACCTTGTCAACGACCCACTTCCTGGCCGGACTGGTGGTGGCGGTGATCTGGTTCCGCGAGACCGAATACGGCTTCGTGTGGTTTCGAGGAAGCGAAAGTGTCCTATTGACGAGGACGGTGTTGAAGAGCAGGCTGGGTTCCTGTTTAAACCCGAACTTAGTGAAGCAGACGGGCGGCTGGTTGAGAACAGTGAAGAACGCTTTGTCCCTCGGGGCATGTATCTCTGGCCGCCAGATAGTGCGCCACAGGAGTTAAACCACCTACTTTGTCCGTCCAAAAGAACCGGTCAGATCCAGGCTATGGCTGATGATCGATCCATCGTGTACTCTGTCAACCAGGACGGTCTACAGGCTGACAATCAGGCGCTCATTCTCATCAGTTTTGACCCTCTACTGCGACTTCCCGGGCTCCAACGCTTAAGCTTGGGTACTCAACCTGAGAAAACCAAGACTGCTATTGGTATTAAAAGGCCGCAGGTAGGGGATATTGGACAGGAACGGGCAGCCATACACACAACATTGGAAGGAAATACGACGAACCAAAACATGCCATCTGTTCGGGAAGAGAGAGCCATGTACCTTGACATTAGCCGTGGCTTTTGGCTTCGATGAAAAGGGGGGGGGGGGGGGGGGGGCTATGTGGTAAACACGCTAATGGACACAGCCACGGCAAGAATTAAAAAAAGAAAAAGAACAGGAGTCGTATGTGGATAATCAATAATAATAGAAAAAAAAAAAAAAAAAAAAAAAACCAGGAATACGTACAGGAATACATATGCTATAATAAAACACCAATTAAGCTCTGACAAGCCTTATTTCACAAAGCTACCTACCTACCTGTCTCTTCTTCCTCTGTACATACTTACTTCGACAACAAACCGAATACGAGCATCGGAGAACCAGTCTAAACTGATAATGACAAACTAAACCCAGCCTTGTGAACTGAAAGGGCGCAGGCACTAGTTACTCCACGCGGAGTCCTTTGAATAATCATGTATCTATAACTAGTTAACTAGAGTAGGTAGCTAGCATGTTACAAAAGAGCTGCCTGTCTGCCTGCCTGCCTGGCTGGCTGGGGGAAGGCGGGAACCGAGTGAAACATGATGCCAGAGTGGATCTTTAACCCGGATAATATAATAATATGTCTCTATCCCATCCTCGTGTTCGGGACTCGTAATAATGAGCCTCACGCAGTCAGTTACGGGGCTCAGGTAGTTAGTACGGAGTAGTTCGATCGACGAGCGGAGGGCGAGCAAAACAGCAAGTGAAGTCAACGTCAACATCAACGTGATCATGATTGCTTAGAGAAAATCCATCGCGGCATTGGCTCCTCGCAACGACGATACAACAGAATCCACAAGGAATGTAATCTGACTTTCCTTGTCTACTGTGCCTGTAATAGTGAGGTTGATGTGCTTCCTGTCCTGGGGCATCTTACTGGAACCGCAGGTGCATTACAGAGTATATGTTACATGTCTGGTGTAGTAGGCAAGGACAGACCGGACGGCAGAGAGAGAGAGAGAGAGAGAGAGAGATAGTCCGCAGCAGTCTGTCTTTTGGTTAAGCTGTAGGTACTCGGTACTCCGTATACAGAGGCTATTCCTATTCCCTCCACCGCTGTTCCCGCTAAACTAGATAGTGGAGTCGTGTCGTTGCTGATACTTGCTAAGAAGGAGCATCATACTCACTGTATAGAAGAGTACGTACAACTATTGGATGTAGCCAGCTGCTTACAATACAGGGTTAGCTGGTCTTGGGGTAGAGTATGCTTGTTGAACAGCACATGCTCTCCTAACCGAGGCTCTTCTATTCTATACATAAACAAAAGAGGTAAAGTAGGTTCCCTACCAGCAAGCTGATGCTAGAATATTCGGCAACGAACCGGATACGATAGCTCGTAGCATGCATGATATCATGATACTAGTTAAAGCACCCTTGATATCTGAAATTCTTCTTATTTTAGCCATCTGATTCAATTTATTTCCTTGGAGTGGACGCGAGTCGTCTCCTGTATGTATTAGTAATTTAGTATTCTTCGGGGTTGGTAGAGGAATCTATCTACACGTACGGACGAAATACAGCGCATTCATATAACTGGCTTTCTCAAAGATGGGGTACCTTTTGTAAGCTTGAATATGAGAGGTCTTATCATGAGCTAGCTAGTCAATGTACTCTGTAGCTAGCTGGGTTGGTAGGTCTACTCTACTACTAATGCAAGGAGAGAGTAGTCGTCGTAGAAAGCCTCTAGTTTTAGATCTATCAACATGCCTCTATTTTTCTGTGGTTATGAGATGATAATCCTTTGATAAATGTAAATGTATCATGATTCTCAAATACTAGATATATTTTTTAAAGGAAAGAAAATAACCTGAGTATAACTAAAACTAGTTAGTTAGCTGCACGCGCCTGCACAAGCAATCTCTTGGTAAATAGAGTATTCCAAATCACTAATAGCCCTATCATTCCGGACTTTCTTCCATGAGCATGGCCAGGGTGCGATGAACTCCCCTGATTTAGTTACTTATAGAATCTAGAACTCTCCCTACTCTAGATCATGAGCGAGCAATACAGTAGATATAGTCCCAAAATCAAGTTTTCCAGTAATCGGGCATTTTGGGAGTCAGAAACTCTCAATTTCTGTCCCAACGTCAGCCGAGCGTAGCGAGGATTTGAGGCTAGTAGGTTATCTCTATACATCATCATGGATACAACAGGCACCATTCTAACTCTAAACGGAACTTGATTTTACTTTAATTAAACAATCACCGTCGAAAGAACCACCCTGCTAAGGAGATGGGGTGTAAGCCGCTGTAAAAGCAGAGAAGCATGCCAGGGTAAAGTTGGCGACCAGAGCTACGGTTTCTGGGTAATCTCGTCCCAGTTACACCATGCGTAATCGACTACACAATTCTTTTCAATTGTTCATTTTCGGGGTTGGCCTATGGCTTGGAATATGCATCTTAGGTGGGAACACAATCGGTCATCTCATTTCAACGGAGTGATAGTGATATGTTGAATTTGGCCTCTAGCAAACTGGAAACAACCATTCTTTTCCTCTCAGCACTTGCTCTGTACGCCATGGTCATCGTAAAAAACAGAACGCTTCATAATTATGAGAATCAAGTCGTAAATAGTATCTGTACATGCAAAAACAGTCGAACCATTGCGTCAACTGACGATGATCAATTTGTCAATCTCGCTCAGGTATTGCGGAAACTCAAAATGCAGGTCATCTTCCTCTTCCCTTTTCTACTCCGTGCTCACCAGTGGCAGATACCCCCCTCGCTATCGTCGGCAGCCCACGTCCCTGACAGACCAACCACCTCCAGATGGCCATCGGGATGCTCGCCTACTTTGCTTAATGCCGCGAAACTTGATTCTGCCGGCCCATTGGTCAACAATCGTCGTGCCCACGCATCAATCGCCGGCTCTCCCGTCTCGTCACGAGCCTGCTTGAGGAATGGAATCAGCGCGGTGCCGCCTGTGCCTCGAAGTTTCTTGCCGTCTGCTTTCTCGCCATGGCGGGCAGTGGCCAGGTTTAAGGTCGCTGCTCCCTGTCGCCGGGGGCTGGACGATCTAGCGGCCAGTCCGCGGGCATCACGAGACTGGATGATGATGTAGCGTGAGACAATTTGAATGTGTTTGTCACGCATTACTCGTAGCATAGACAAACACGCGTCGTACGCAATGCATAGGGCTTTGTCTGAGCGGCGAGCTTCCACATATTCCCGAATATTAGCCACCGCACTGACATGTTCCAAGAACCGTCGATGGGGTCCGGGCATATATGACCGCATCTCCTGGATAAAGCCATGCCGTGGGGCTGCAGCAACCCCTTCCTTCTCAGTCACTGCTGAGGCACCGTTAGGGCGGGTTTCACCCGTGGGTCTGTGCTCCACTCCTAAAGCAATGTCAAAAAACTGAATCAGGGAGCTCTGAGCATTGCTTCCACCTCCATACTGGCGGTACTCTGGCCTTTTGCCGTCGTCGTATAGAAGACCGTTTGGCAGCCCTGCATCTGCCATATTTTTGCTACCCGCCAAATATGGCCGGATACGGTGATAAAACACATAAGGATCATTATGTTCGTACATCCTCTCCAGTAGAGTACCGACCTCGTCCAGAATTTCTGCCAAGGCCTGCAAGCATTCTGTGACTACCAGGCTGTTTCCAACCCGAGCAGCAGCGATTGCCTGTAACACCAACGAGATCGACGGGCCACCCCTGGCCTCGATCGCGGTTGATACGAGATAAAACCATTGTTCGTCCAAGGATCCAGTAAATGTGTTAATGCAGGCAAGGTTATTTAGGTCATCCATAGGTTCGTCAGACAGGATAGGCCTAAAGTTCCACAAAACCAGCCCTGCATAAGTAGCAACTGGGGGAAGTTCCAGGTGCTCGCACACTTGCAACAGTGGCACAGTTAACTGAGGTGGGATTCTCTGGTTTCATTAGTACACAATCTGGTGATACCTTAGAAGGCACGGCATACCTCGGCTGGTTTGGGACCACTCCATACATAACCATGGAGAATAAAGCCCAGTATAGAATATGCCCGCCTCCACTCGGGTTCTGTCTGAAGATATGACGCAGAGAGCAAAGGCATGGTATCTACTACTTTCCGGATCCTTCTACTCAACAACAGAGGTTGAATATTGGACACTATCCATTCCCACTTGGAATAGTAGGGGTCGGGGAGCTGTTCAAGGGGTGGTTCGGAAGGAAGAAAGCCAGAGTCTGGTGAGATGCCGTAGTCGGCTAGAACTGGAATTGGGGGAAGCATGATGGGAGGACGCAAGATATCGATAGAGAAGAAAAAGAAATGCAAGAAAGATAATGCAGCTGGAAAGCAGACAACACCGTATATAAGTGTACAGGGGTGCTCACGTGCACCTCAGTAAATGGGATACAATGCTGTTCCTTGCAGCAGACCTTGAGAGGTTTCAAGTCTGGCGTTATAAGACGCTCAATCAAGGCCTCAAAAGGTCAAAGGTCATTGACAGGTAAAGGTTTCCAATAGGGGGTACTGTGTGACGATGCTGGTTACAAACTAGCGAGCATGCAGTCGGGTCAAGCCGGTTGGAAATTCAATAGCCTTGCACAGCTCGTGCCAGTCATTCTTGGACTGAAAAGAGGGGAGAAGACGGGTCAGAGAATAGATTGATTTGTCTGATTCCGGGAGGGAGCAGAGGAGAAGGGGGGAAGAAAGTATTAGAAGAAGAAAAAAAGAAAAGAAAAGAAAAACAGGGATTGAGAAGAGTAACAAGTAAAGAGCCCGGAGATGCGTGGAAATATGCCAATATTGACGGAGAGTGGGGAAAATCGAAGATGGCAAGATAGGACGATGCAAGGAGTATCGGAGAATTTCTTTCTTTTTTTTTTGGGGCAAAAGCAAAGAGCAGGTTGGTTAATTCAGAGATCTGAACAATGAATGGATCCTACTCCTGGCCTGGAAGAAGTTGGAAGAAGAAACAGCAAAGAGAGTTTTCTAGAAACAGAGGCAAGGAATGGTTTGGGAGTAACCGGAAGAGGTAGAAGAAAGAAAGAAAGTATCAGGAGATATGACTGACCTTGAAACGAGGGACTTTCAAGTGATTGTGTCATTCCGTTCTCGGAGGCGATACGGCCGCGGGAGAACCAAAGTACATCGGAGAGGATTGTTCTCTGTTTGGCGGATGATTGATAATTTTCTCGCGGGCATTAGTTAACCAGTTACCAAGGGCCATTAATAAGTGACCTTCAGGGCCGTAAAGGAATAGTCATCAGAGACAGTCTGGAGCTTCCTGGGACACCGGAACACTTGCGAACTCTGTCAGCCATTCACGCAGGCCAAGTGGGCCAAGTAGAAAGGCAAAGACGGGATGCAAGGCGAGATTTTGCTCGTTTTATTGGGGTGCTGTACATAGAAGACATCGTCATCGTTATCATGGAGATAGCCGTGCAGCCGTTGGCAAGGAAATGGGTGGATGGAGGGGACAGTAGGGACTGCAAAGGTCAAGTGCATGAAAGATGTCATACATCGTAGAGTTCCATGTAGATCGCGACCCTGCGATCTTGTAGCTTGACGCAGTAGACCAGCAGCAGCGTTGGGTGGAAGCGAGAGGGGTGGGCGACTTGGGATTTAGTGTGAGTGCTAGAGAATGAACCGGAAGGTGGGCGGAGGGGCGTCGGTGGGTGCAAAGTTGGACGTTCGGGCCGATAAGATCCGTTAAGCGAGGATTTAGGGGGAATTCGCTGTCACCCACGCCACCCCATTCAAGTCTGCGGTGAAAGCAAGACAGACATGTGGAGGCGCATCTTAATTTAACCCGTCTCTCCACTTTTGATACCTAGTCCAAGGAACATGCAAGCAGGTCTTAAGATTGATCATTTATACATTCATTCTGTACATTATACCTCAAATTGTTGTTACAAGTGGTTTTTAGTTTAAAAAAACATGCCAACGCCATAAACCATTGATATCTTCAAAATGTACTCAGCCAACGTGACTACGCCAGACAAACTCATGCCTTCTTCCTCCTCCTCCTCCTCCTCCTCCTCCTCCTTCTTCCACACAGAAGGGATGACACCAACATACACCGATTAATGCTGGCTCCACTCAATAGTGTTCAGGTCAATACCCTCCTGCACCAACTCCCACAACGGGCTCAGCTCCCGCAGGAAATGCACCCGGTCTGTCACCGCCTTCAGCACATAGTCAACTTCGGCCTCTGTGGTGAATCGGCCAATTCCAAATCGAATACTACTATGAGCACTCTCATCGCTGCTACCTAGAGCCCGAAGAACGTAGCTGGGTTCCAGGGATGCAGAGGTACAGGCGCTACCGGACGAAAGCGCAATATCCTTCAGAGCCATCAGAAGGGACTCGCCTTCCACGTAGGCAAAAGAGACATTGACGCAGCCGGGATAGTGGCGGTCGGGGTCTCCATTCAGGGTGGTATGCTCCATGGCTAGAAGTCCATCTGTCAAACGCTTCGAGAGCCGAGAAATGTGCTTGGAATCGTACTATTAACATATCCGTCAGTAAGTGCATATTTCCTTTTGCTTTCCTATTTTTTCCCCTTTTCTTTTCTGGCGACGTGTCTCCAGGCAAAGCCCACTCATTACCCCTGCTACGGTCGTCAAAAAGCCAGGTAACACGCACGAAGCGTGCAGCTACATATACCACGACTCTCATCTTTGAGCTCATAATCATGGCGAGACAGGTAGAAAAGGGGGGGAAAATTGAAAGAAATTCAAGACATTGAACGTACCTCCATATCTTGAGCAGCAATACGGCAAGCCTCACCAAATCCAACTATCAGATGAGGAGCCAGAGTGCCACTGCGCAAGCCTCTCTCTTGGCCACCTCCAGTGATGAGGGGGTCAAGACGAACCCTAGGTCGACGGCGGACATAGCAGGCGCCAATTCCCTTAGGACCGTAAATCTTATGACCAGAGATGGACATCAAATCAATGTTCAGCTTGTTGACATCAAGCGAAATCTTACCCACGGCCTGGGCCGCATCGGTGTGGAAAAAGACCTTCTTGGAGCGGCAGAGCTTTCCAATCTCTTCCAGAGGCTGGATGACACCGATCTCGTTGTTCACAGCCATAATACTAACAATAGCGGTATCAGGGCGCATGGCTGCTTCAAGGTCTTCCATTCGGATCAAACCATTGCTCTGCACAGGCAGATAGGTGACCTCGAATCCTTCATCCTGAAGATGTCGGCAGCTATCCAGGACACACTTGTGCTCTGTCTGACTGGTGATGATGTGCTTCTTCTTGCCCGACCGGCCGAAAAACCTAGCCACGCCCTTAATGCTCATATTGTTACTCTCTGTAGCACCGCTCGTGAAAATGATTTCCTTCGCATCCGCTCCGATCAACTTGGCGACATATTCTCGGGCCTGCTCGACAGCTTTCTCTGATTCCCAACCGTATGCGTGAGTCCTCGAGTGGGGGTTGCCGTAGATGCCGGTAAGGAACGGAAGCATTGCATCCAGCACGCGGGGGTCGGTCGGGGTAGTGGCCTGTGCATCGAGATAGATGGGACGTGTCCCTTGGTCCATAATTGTAGCTTGCTTGAGGATTCCGGCAGCCGGGCTCATCGCCGCATCTCCGGGGATGCCAGCGCCAGGGAGCTCTACTTTCTTAGGGGAGACACCGGTCTGCTCCCCAAAAGCCTTCTGTTCCTGCTTAATAGCAGTGTCAATGGTGACCTGAGCATTTCCAACCTTGGTCTCGGAGACGTAAGTCCTGTAGCTAGGGGTGGCAATCAGTCTCCGAGAGAACAGGGAGGGACGCTGCGTTGACGATAAACGACGCGCATAGGCTCGGGATGCCTGTCTCAGGGCAGAAGGGGCCACACTAGACATGATGAAGATAAATTCACACCTAGACCATGAAAGATCGATAAGAATTTGATGGCTAAACAGCACAAGGATGACAGCAAGGGTGATACTGTAACCTGAGGGGGGGAAAAAAGTTTGGATCCAGTTATATCATTGCCGAGCCAGAGACTAAGCCCGATCGGATTTATCAGATAGTCCGACGGATTTCTTCCCTTTTCGTCATACCTTCTTCGGCCTCGGGTTGGAGAGAACCGTGGGGTTTCTCCACGAAAATCATGATCTTAAGACTTACAATATCGGGACGAAATTAAGATTGCAATCTATTGATCTTTATTGTAATATAGTGGGCTGGGTCTATGTTTTGTATACAAGAACCAATGAGTTGACTGTATAGAGTAAGGAGAAACGAAGCTGAATCCTCATTCTTCCGAACAACCGCGCAATCGGGCGGAGAAACTGTGGGGGGAAATCCTCTTGGTAAAGGGATAAAAATCCTGAGATTTGCCCTCTTGAAGATAAGAAAAACAACTGTGACTCTACAGTCTTGAACCCACGGAATATATCACGTGCCCCGTCAAGGATCTCTCTCGATATAATAGAGGTAAAGATGGCATGTGGAGAAGAGTTGAATGTTGAAGAACAGTTCTTGGGAAATCCCTCATTGAAGAAGGAAGAAATACCTGGTGCCTAACGGGTCCTTCAAGCAGAATTCCACGGAAGTCCGAAGTGCAGATGCAGATTATGGAGACGAACAAATTCTAGGATGCCTGTCGGATCGGGCGTTTCTTCCGGAGCCTGCGCCACGATTGATCCAACCCCATAAGGCAAGGAAGCAGTCTCTCGTTTCTATAGAATGATAATCATCGTAATCAATCAACATTCTTTTAGAACCATCAATAAATCATTGCGACGGAGTGCTATTTGAGTAATCGATCCACTACTCAGCCATTTAACCGCCTCATCAGTATTACTTACCTACCTGGTAGCAGGTTTCTCCCTCTTATGTCATAGCTCAGCCACAATTCAGTGGTGCTTTTCTTTCTTTCCTCAAACAGGTAACCAACCAAACCTCCCGCCAGGACTTGACTTGAAAAGCAAACCATTGGAAGTCCGTCAGCTCTAGAAAGTCCTCACCAACTCCCACCCCACTTACGCTTCGCTCCCTCTTTCTCACTCCCTTTCTTTCTCTTTCCGCACCCGTCGGTCGAACTTTACCTTCAGTTACTCTTGAATCTCTCTCCTCATCCCGCCTTTTCTCTGTGGTTCTATACTTACTTCACCTGCTACTGTCGCCACTAAAGAATCCCGCCGCCTCCGAGCTGTCCGTGAAGGGTGCGAGATGAGTTTGAAGGGCATCCAGAAGAGCATTATCCGTGCCCCACAAACGTTCAAGGCCAAGTTTAATATTGGCGAGCACACCAAAGATGCGGTCTACACCGATGCCGAACGCCGATTTCAGGAACTCGAGAAGGAGACTAAGAAGCTGCACGATGAATCGAAGAAGTATTTCGATGCGATTAATGGTATGTCTTTCTTCTGCGGTGATTGTCGCCGCTTACCCCCCGCCCATCCCGGCTAACGCACACACCCACACATCTAGGCATGCTGAACCACCAGATCGAATTCTCCAAAGCTATGACAGAGCTCTACAAACCCATTTCTGGTCGTGCGTCCGACCCAAGTTCATATATCATTGAAGGAAATCCGGAAGGAATCAAGGCGTGCGAGGAATACGAAGCGATCGTGCGGGATTTGCAGGAATCTCTCTCGCCCGAGCTGGAAATGATCGAAACCCGGGTTGTCAGCCCCGCGGAGCAGCTGTTGGTGGTGATCAAGACGATCCGTAAGGTTGCCGTGAAGCGAGACCATAAAAAGCTGGACTATGACCGGCACAGGAATACACTGAAGAAACTCCAAGACAAGAAGGACAAGTCACTAAAGGACGAGAAAGCTCTTTACCGGGCGGAAAGCGATGTGGAACAGGCTACCCAGGAATACAACTGCTACAACGATCTTCTCAAGGACGAGCTACCCAAGCTCTTTGCTCTTGAGGCGGAATTCATCCGACCGCTATTCCAGTCCTTTTACTACATGCAGTTGAATGTCTTTTATACATTGCACGACAAAATGCAGGGTCTCGATATCGGATACTTCGATCTGACCCTGGATGTCGAGGAGGCCTACGAAGCTAAGCGTGGCGATGTCAGCGAGCGTGCGGAAGCGCTTACCATTGTCCACTTCAAGACTACTGGCGGCCGTCGCACGAACTCCAAGCTAGCGGCTAAGGACAAACTCGCGAACGAGAATAAGGGTCGGTTTGGTGCGAAACCCAGCGATCCCGATGTTGTCGAAAACCCCCCGCCTCCTTACTCTGCAGGCTCAAGTGGCAGTGCCCTCGCTGCAGCCGCGGCGAAGAAACCCGCACCCCCACCCCCGAAGCCTAAGCCAGCTCGCTTCAGCGCGGCCATCGAGACGGCGACAGCTTTGTACGACTACGAAGCGCAGGCACATGGTGATCTTAGCTTCTCTGCTGGCGAGGTCATCGAGATTATCCAACGGACTAATAACCAAAACGAGTGGTGGACTGGTCGCGTAAGTGGAAGAGAGGGGCAGTTCCCAGGTAAGCGTCGACTCCAAGTATCGACCAAGTGCTTATCACAACTGACTGATCCGTCCAGCAAACTATGTTCAACTCAATTAGCAATGAGTAGTTTATGTTATTGCTATAACTTATTTCTAATCACTATTCTTTGCAAAATTTATTGTTACCCTTGGGAGTTACGGGAGTCTCAAGCTCCTAGTAGGGCTTCTCACTTTTATAAAGAACCGCCGGTCATTTGCCTGCCTTTTTGCATTGGAGTACCTTCGCGTGATCATGACCTTCGCCTGGGTGTGTATATATATACGTATATATGTATCTTGTTTATTTTTATAACAGCCAAATGACAAGTAATGTCAACACGATTCGTAACTCGATTCTCTATGATCGTTTTGTTTCACTACCTAGGAGAGTACATAGAGGCTTCAATCCATACCTAGAATAATATAAAATCAATGTCTTGATCGGCCGAGTTCAGCAAAGATAGTGCCATTCTCCAATGGTTGGAGAAGAACGGCCGCTAACAATCCGTGGCCACAGTCCAGCCAGCCCTGCTGGGAGATCATGATCTTTCCTCAACAACTTCTGACTCCCTGTCTCTTAACCCACTTAACATAATTCAACACTGTAAAAAACGAGAATATGGCGGCGATTAAAAGCCTGAGTTCGACCTATCGAATGAACTCGGGCTATGAAATCCCGATTCTTGGATATGGGGTCAGTGCTTATCCAGCCCACGGTGGTGTACAGAAAGTTAAGAAGCAAGCTGACCAAGTTTAGGTCTACTTAGTGTAATATCCATTATATATACATATTATATATATCACTGTCAGGTTAGCTAACGTGTTACCGGTTCAGTCCAGCCTCCAGAACTGAGCGACCAACTCTCGAGGCATTACGTCTAGGCTATCGTCATGTGTGCCATGCCATTCCCTGTTGACCTTGCTTCAACCCCCGAATTAACTCAATCCTAGGTGGACTCTGCCATCATGTACCGAAATGAAAAAGCCTGTGGGCGAGCTATTGCCAGCTCGGGTGTAGATCGCGCTGAGATCTTCTTCACGACAAAGATCCCACCCGAGTCGATGGGCTACAATGCCACCAAAAAGGCCATCGATTCCAGTCTGCGAACAGCAGAACAGGAGTATTTCGATTTGTTTGCTATCCTTTTTTTTTTTTTTTTTCCCTCTCTCGCTCCCTCGCCCTATTTAACATGTCGTGTATTACTTAGAATCCTCATTCACGCTCCCTACGGAGGCAAACAAGCCCGACTCGGCTCATGGCGCGCCCTTGTTGAAGCACAGAAAGCAGGCAAGACTAGATCTATTGGGGTCTCGAACTACGGAATCCACCATCTCAACGAACTGGAGGAGTATATTAACTCCAGCGAGGACGGCAGCACAATTGACGTCGGACAGTATGAGCTGCATCCTTGGCTGGATCACTCGGACATTGTCCAGTGGCTCCAGCAACGCAATATTGTTATCCAAGCCTATTCGCCTCTTGCGCATGGCACAAGAATGAAGGAGCCGTTGTTGGCGTCGTTGGGGAAGAAGTATGGCAAGTCTCCAGCACAGATTATGATAAGGTGGGGTTTACAGAAGGTTCGTTTTTTTCAGTCTTTTTCTTCTAACTTCTAGATGAGTAACATGTGTCTATACTATAGGGATTTGTACCCCTCCCCAAATCTGTCACGCCGAGTCGAATCAAGGAAAATTCAGAAGTATTTGATTTCGAGCTGGAGGAGGAGGATATGAAAGTCCTGCATACAGGGGATTATTCGCCTACTGATTGGGATCCGACTGTCGATTATGATTAAGCATCTTTTTTTATCCTAAGCATATCCTACATGCATACCTAACATACGTAGCCAAAAAAAAAAAAAAGAGCTTATTAAGGGGTGAAAGTGTAGTATGTAGAAGAATCCCAAAGACCCTCTTTCTCCCCGCGGGGCTGCTTAGCAATCGACGCAATTGACATCAGATCGAAAACCCCCACCATGAGAAACTCCCCCCGGCTAACATTCTTTCCACCAGAAGTATTCAATCAACAACCTTGCGCCATCGATAGGGTACAACTCGAGTTTCCTCTCTCTCATCACACCATTATCAACCCCGGTCTTGTACTCCAGCAGCCATGAAATTAATCCTTTCTACCTCGTGCGTGTGCTTATACACCCCGGGCCACACAGCCTTACCCTTTTCCCTTTCCCCCCTCCCCGATCGAAATGAATGAACGTAAGCACAAAGGCAAGAGGCTAATATGATGTGCTCTGAAACAGGAATATTATGACCGCCGGCGGTCCATCTATCATTCGACAGCCGACAACCTTCAAGTCCAATGTGGAACTGGTGAACTCTCTCCGGGCGAATTTCGACGCCGCACGACAACTCCAATCTCCCGACACATCCGGGTCAAGCTCCAGCTCCAGCTCCAGTCCCGAACGCTACGCCTCGTGGACAGAGAAAAAGGACGATGCGCTCTACATCCCCGCCGTGGATTTCTCGGAACATGGACTCGCCGAGGAACGATCGCAGTACGACATTACAGTGAAATTATTCTATCTACCGGGGATCCCCGTGTCACGGCGCTGCGCGCATACCAGGCAGGCGATTGATCTTGTGTTGAAGGAACTCCGTGTAGACTCTATCGATTTGTTGATTGTCTCGTTTCCTGGGATTTTATTTGACGCGGAAGACGACAGCGAGGAGGAAGTGTCCTCGGAGGACGGAGGCAGCGAGGAGCAGCCCTCGGATGACTTTGACAGTATGATCCAGACCTGGAGGACTTTGGAGAGTTTGCAAGAGAAGGGTATGATTTCGCAGCTCGGTGTTGCGGAGTTCGGGAGTGAGCGGTTGGCCCGGTTGCTCCCGCACACCAAGGTCAAACCCTCCGTTAATCAGATCAATCTCAAGGATTGCTGTGTGGTGCCCAAGTCCTTGATTTTGTATGCGAAGCAGGAGAAGATTCAGTTGTTGACGCATAACGACTGCAATGATATCTTGCCTGTTGGCACAACGCGCGAGCTCCTCGGGCCGGGCGAGAGGGGCGCTGGCATTCTTGCTTCCTCGCCAGATGCGAATGACGGTATCCAGGGTCATATTGAGACACAATGGGTTGTCAAATATACCGCAGTTGTCAAGGACCGAGGGGTCGTTGAGAACAAGGGATACTTTGCCCTAGCGGATGTAGGAAACTGCGTCAAGCCAAGTTCATGAACCATTCCTTTTTTTTTTTTTTTTTTCTCTCCTTGTGTTGATGTTATCCCTACTTACCCCAGCATGTGATGATAAAGCGTGGCGTTTGTCGCTTCAGGAATGATAATGCATGCATGTCTTTCCTCTTAAGATTTCAGTAGTCTAGAAGCATATATATAGTTAGAAAGAGAGAAAAGAATTTTAACCGATCATACTCCTCTTGCGCCCTCGCAACCGCACATCCTCTAGCCTCTTCAACGCCGATACAGCTCCCCGATAACTCTCCCTATACCCCTTAAGAAGCTCCTCGAAGAATGGCTCCGTCCGCGGATGTGAACTCCCAAAGGCCCTCTCAAGCACATACAAATCCACTGCCCGATCCTCATCCTGCACACTCTGACTAGCCAATCCAAAATCAATCAACACCACCTCCCCTTCCATCGACGGACTCCTTCCATCTTCCTCCTCCTCCTCCTCCTCCTCCTCCTCCGCCCGCCTCAGCATCAAATTACTCGTGGTCAAATCCCCATGTATCACTCCCGCCCGATGCAACCCACCAACAGCGAACCCAATCCTCCTCATAAGACCCCGGACACGGCTCTCCTCCTCCAATGCATCCCGAAGATCCCCCCCCGGCTTCATATACACCTCCCACCTCTCCAAAACCACCCGCACAACAACCCCCTCAATCCACTCCATCATCAACCAGTTCCCGCTCTCCCAGTCTATCCCCAGAAGAGCAGGCACGCTCACTCCCTCCCGCACCAGCTTCGCCAGACATCGCGCCTCCTGTAACAGGCGTTGTCGCGTAAGCCGCCGGTCGAGAATCGGATGGCGGTATGGTTTTGATGGGCGGATCTTCAGTGCCGCCGGTGTAGACGGGGATAGGAAGATGGTTTTGTATAGGTGGGCTTCTGCGCCTTGCGTTAGGAGGGTTGGTGGCGGGGTGCTGGTGCTGGTGCTGGTGCTGGTGGTTTGGAAGGGAGGTGGGAGGGGTGGTGGTGGCATTTCTTTCGTTGTTTCTGTTTGTTTTTGCTTTAAGCTTGTGGTTTGGATTTCAGTTTGGATTGTTTTTTTTTGGTTTTGTTTTTTTTTGGTTGGGATGTTCTGAATTGTGAAAAGGTAGGTGTAGGTGTTGAAGAGGGGTCGCGGCTCTAGAATAAATTTATGTAGTAGTGGGGAGGAGGGGGCCCCTCTTAAAAGCTAATTAATTGCGTTCAACTACCACAGTCTATGTACAAAGTGATATATATACTACTATATTACTACTAAATCTAGGGAAAGGATTGAAATTCAAGAGATAATTTATTTTCATAGCTTTTCTGTGTAAATACAGAGAGGTCCACCCTGCGCATATCGCTGAAAACATATCGCATCATACATAAGTGATTATACATGAATCAAATCAAATGCACTCTCAAACGCCATTAATGCTACCCTTTGACAAAGCCCTAGTTCGCAGACAAACGCGGCCAATTACGCTCTTCTTTTAGATTTGGTCTTCTTCTCGCCATGGACCTGGTTCCACGAGTCTTCAAAGACTGTCTTCTTCGCTCCGATTTGACCCTCGAAGAACTTCATCTCGCGCACGACTTCCATGGCACCAGTACCGAGAGAGACAGTCTTGCCCATAATGATACACTCGGAAACACCCTCAATAAGGTCCGTACGACCTGCTCCACCCGCATCGAACAGATGGTCTGCGGTTTTCTCGAACGAAGCCAGCTGCAGAACCGAATCACGCATCTTCGCGAGACCAAAGCGGGTAATTCCGAGTACTTCGCCCTTGTACGTCATCACATCAGCAAGGAGCTGCATGTGTCGGGGATCAATGTCCATGTCCTTCATGACTTCACTAATTTCCCGAACAATGGTCGTACGGGCGGCTTCGATTCCTAACACATCACGCATCTCCATCACGTTGTTGGTGGAGGTGCGGAGGCCGTCAACACCAGCCGTGTTCATACACTGCCTTAGCCCGTAACCTTCGACAAGAAGAGTGTTGGCCTCGGATTTTTCGTCAGTACGAATGATGGCTCGGCTAGCTTGTGCGTGACCAAGCACCTGGATGTCGGGAACCATGCGCTTAAGATGCTTGAGGCGAAGGAAAGGATCAGAGCTTGTAGCAGCGATCTCCGTCTTTGATAGTTTTTCTTTGCTCGCGGGGTCCAAATCCATGAAAATATCGATGTGTGAGCGTTTAGCGATGATTCTCAGATCGTCCCCCTTGAAACGTTTACTGTTTCTGATCGCTCTCACAATTGTAGATGTCGTCAGCTCAAGCTGCAAGTCGCTGATGGTCTTTCGGTTGATTTTGACGGTGATGTACGCCTCTTTCCCGGTCCAGGTTTCCCGTACATAGTGAATGATATCACGCAAGTACGTCTTTTCAATTCTGCCCTTGACGATTCGCGCGGTTGCTACGTTCCGCTTGTCGACCAGTTCGCAGGCAATGACAGGAGTACTGATCTCCTTAGAGGCGTTGATGATTTCCTTAATACGGGGAACACCCTGTGTGATACTCATACCAGCAACACCAGCAAAGTGGAAAGTTTTAAGCGTCATCTGGGTTCCGGGTTCACCAATGGACTGTGCACCGACTGCACCAACTGCATGGCCTGGCTCGACCTGGGCTCTTTTGTACTTCATCAAACACTCAGTAATGAACGTTCGAAGCGTCTTTTCGGTCAACTTCCCCGTGTGGTTCAAACCCTTCAGAGTTCTCTCGTCCGAAGGATCGCTATCACCTCCTCGAGAGATTAACTTCTCCGCCTTGCTTCCGACGTATTGCTGGATCGACTCGAGGAAATCACGAGCACTCTCGAATTGATCGACTCCATAATCGCTGCGGTCCATATAGCCGAGTTCAAGCCCCATCAAATCTTTGCGCACTAGTTTAGCCCGCTCCTTGCACAGCATTTGCTCGCAAACTTCCATGATCTCAGCCGGGGACAGACTTCGCTCGTCGTTGTCGTACGTCGTAGACTCCGAGTGAATGAAGGTTCGGTCGAAGTGCACTGGCTTGGCCTTACCCTCCATGTCCACGGGGTCCAGCTTATCGTCACCGTATTGGAATTGGACAATGTTTTGGGACGAGTTCCGGACGGTATCATCGTACCCAGTGGAGAGATCCTCCAGAGACTTCATCAGCCGACGAGACATGTAACCAGTCTCGGCAGTCTTGACGGCAGTATCAACCAGACCTTCACGACCGGACATGGCGTGGAAGATGAATTCAGTTGGAGTAAGACCCGAGAAGAAACTGTTACGAACGAACCCCTTAGAAGGGGGCTGACGAGCGTTCTTGGGGAAATGAGGCAAGGTTCGGTCCTGGAATCCATCCTGCACACGCTGACCACCAATAATTTGTTGACCCACGAGGGCAACCATCTGAGACACGTTGATACTGGAACCCTTGGATCCAGACGTAGCCATGATTAGAGGAGAGTTGTACTTGCTCAACTGGGCGATACATTCGTCACCGGCCTGCTGACGGACCTTACTCAGAATTCCAGAGAGCTGGTTCTCCATGGTCTGCAGTTCGTCGCATCCAGGGTACTTCTCAAGCGTTCCGGCCTTGTACTTGGCAATGACTTCGTCACACTGGGCATATGCAGTTTCAACAAGGTCGTTCTTTGAGCGGATAAGCCTTTCACTCGGGTAAACATCTGTAATTCCAATGGAGAAACCCATGTTTGTGAACCAACGTGCGGACAGCCTGGACAAACGATTCATGCCCTCCGCCGCAGCGGCAGGACCAAAGTCACGAAGCATAATATAGTACACATTATCCTTTTTTCCCGAACCAATTGTCGACTTGTCCATCACACCACACATCATTTCGGAGTTACGAATAACGAGCCAGGCATCATTAGGATCCAAGTCTTTCGGGTATCCCTTGGGCTGCTTGAACTCTCTGCAAGCAGCATCCAGGTTAACCATGACAGGATCATCCTTATTGGGGCGCATCAAAATATTGAAAACCTGCTTTCCGGTCCACAGCATTTGCGGTTTGAGCACCGAAGGTGGTGGGAGGTCGAAACGGGTCTGGGGGCCAAGCATGTAGAGACAAATTTGTGTAAAGGAGCGCCGGTCGAAGAAATTATCCTTGCTGCTGAGGATGTAGGCTGCACTGATGAAATCCTGGATAGCAGAAATAATGGGTTCGCCGTTCTTCGGCGTTGCCAAGTTGTTCTTCACACCCATCAATTCCATAGCTTCCGCCCTTGCCTCTTCCGTTTGAGGCACATGGAGGTTCATTTCATCGCCATCGAAATCCGCATTGTAGGGGTTACACACACATTCGTTCAGTCGGAACGTTCGGTGAGGACGCACTTTGGCAAAGTGGGAGAGAATACTGAGTTTGTGAAGAGAAGGCTGGCGGTTGAAAAGGACGATATCGCCGTCTTCGATATGGCGTTCAACTACATCTCCTTCTTGCAGCTGGTCCGCAATAAACTTGAGATTACCGTACTTCAGGAAAACTTTCAGCGGGTTACCTTTCTTGATGATATAGTTCGCACCGGGCCATTTCTTGGTTCCATTGCGGACTCTCTGCTGTAGTTTTTCTTTGTTATATCTGGTGACTACCTCGGGGTAAGTCATGTTCTTAGCCACAAGTTCAGGCACAGCGACTTCATCGACTCGCAGGTTAGGATCAGGAGAAATAACAGTTCGACCCGAAAAGTCGACACGCTTTCCGGACAAGTTACCACGGAATCGTCCCTGCTTTCCCTTCAGGCGCTGCACAAATCCTCGAATGGGCTTTCCAAGGTCTGCCTTGTTGAGACCTGGAACGTCACTGTTAATGTAAACGGCAATTTGAAGCTGCATGTAGTCCCAACATTCCATTATCGTCTGTACTGGGGCGCCTTTCAACAAGGCGGCCTTGAGGTTTAAATTACTCTGAACAATGTCGCCCAGCTTGGCAGTCAGATCATCTTCAGTCGAAGCTGCATCTTGGCCCACTGAAGGACGAATACAGACGGGTGGAGCAGGAATGAACTGCCAAAGGAACATCTCCGGTCTAGCCTCCTTAGGATCCAGACCCAACAACTCGCAATCGCTATCCGAGATACGCTTAAACAGGTTCAAAACGCGCAAGGCATTCAGATCGTCCTGGGCCTTCTTGTAATGCTTCTCAACCTCCGCATTTGAGCTCCTCGCTTCGTCAAACGACCTATCGAAAACGATCTTGCTGGGTGGTGGGACCTTCTTCGCTGACGTAGAGGAGTTAAAGGCGCGAAACTTGTCGTGCGTAATCTTCAAAGCGCTCGACCCAGCCTTCTTCACTACACCGTTGACGGCACCACAAACTTCACAGTTCCGGGTTTTGCGGCAGCGATCATTGATCCGTTTGGCGATCTGCATCCGGCGCAAATTATCCAGTCGCGGGCGACGCATTTCACGAAGAAAAGCACGGCGCTCTCCCTCTGGCAGCAAAATATGCGAACACTCCTTGCAAATTTCCTGGAGGATACTGATAACCCGCTTAAAATAACCCACATGAAAGGCGGGAAGGACAAGCCTCACGTGGCCGAAGTGGCCGTTGCAGACCTGCAAAGAGCCACCACATGTCTGACAGGTTGCCGATTTGCTGGATATACCCATGCGTCCGTCGAGGGGGCCATGAGGAACCACAGATCGGTCGTTTTCGAGGTTAAAGAATTTTCGATCAGATACTTCCACCACACCTTGACTGACAATATCATCGTTGGACCTAGTTTGGGCGGGGGGATTACCCCCCTCAGCAGTTAGCCTTGTTGCAGACTTGCGCGGCGACATCTCCCCGATCGGCCATTCTTACAGAACACCAAATTTCAACTCGTTGATCACTTTAGGGACACGATCGATGACCTGGGCCTTGCCCAGGTCGACCTGCACACCTTCCGGAGGCTGCATCTGCGCTGTCAAGAGATGATCATGGCAGGGCGATAATGACTCAATGGAGGGTCCGGGCTCGAGGGCTCCAGAGCACGCACGAGGGGAAAACGAATTTCACTGAAAGGAATCAAATTCGCGAGACAACAAGAATTCGAGTGGATGATTGATATGCCTGGTGTCAGAGACTGCAGAACGTGAAAGCCGTGATCGTGCGAGGAGAGGAGAAACTGCAGCTTTTGACCGACGGCGGGGTTGGCGACGAACTTATTTTTTTTTTTTCCCTCTCGCCGGTTCGAAAAGATGGAAGCTCCAGCTTGCGCCCCCTCCGTTTTTTAGTCCAATCAGCAATCACCCGGTGATTCTGATACGAAAAAAAAAGAAGAATAAAAGAAGAATAAAATAATAAAAATACAATATGATTCTCTAGGTATCTATATAATAATATACACACTGTACATATTTGGTTTTATTTTGCAAGGAAGGCCTGGAACGCCTTGTGCTCAATCACCACATTTCCAACTGCTCGGAGCCTCTTGCGTCCTTCCTTCTGCTTCTCTAACAGTTTTCGTCGTCGACTAACATCACTCGCATGGAGTTTGGCTAGGACATCTTTCCGATACGGTTTAACTGTCTCGCGTGCCACGACCTTACGTCCCACTGCCGCCTGGATGATCACCTCGAAAAGTTGCCGATCGACATGCTCTTTGAATTTGGTCACCCACTGCCTCCCCAATCGATCTACTTGGCTGGTATGAACAATCCGAGCAACAGCATCGACTGGGGCTTTGTTGACAAGTAGCTGCAGTTTGACAATGTTACTGGGTTGCCAGGCTGACTCCTCATAATCCAGCGAAGCGTATCCTTTTGTGGATCCTTTGAGCTTGCCGAAGAAGTCGTCGACGAGCTGTGCAAGAGGCAGCTCATATTTGAGAATGACTTGCGTGGATGTAAAGTACTCTAGACTCTTCTGTTCGCCGCGATTTGCTTCGCATAGTTCGATCACTTTCCCAAGATACTCATCTGGGAAGGTCAACGTAGCGAGAACATAGGGTTCCTGAAGCTCTGCAATTTTAGATCGCACCTCTTCATCTTCCGGGAAGCGAGCGGGACTCGTGACAATCTCCTCCTTGCCATCTTTCCAGATAACCTTAACAGGCACTGACGGAGGGGTGATGATAATGCTAGCTCCATGTTCCTGGCGCAGACGATCCTCAAACACGGAGCAATGCAGAGTACCCAAAAATCCTAATCGGAATCCAGCGCCAAGTGCCTCGGAGGACTCCTTTTGCAGCGTGATGCTGCGATCGTTCAGCACCAGCTGATTGATACTATCCTCCAGATGTTCAAAGTGGTCAGCATCCACGGGATAAGCAGCCACAAAGACCATTGATTTCGGCTCCTCAAATCCAGGCAATGGTTCAACGAGTTTCTCAGACCCCACTGTCGTAAAGGTATCACCAATTTTCGCCTCCTTGCTTCTTTTCATGCCCGGATTGAAGTATATATATCCCACCTGCCCAGCACGGAGGACGGTCTGAGCAGTCTCGTTCGGGTACATGATGCCGACTTCGCCGACATAATACTTGAGACCCGTTGCGAAAGACACCACTTGCTGACCGGCCCGGAGTTCGCCATCGAATATCCGGACCAAGCATATCACGCCTTTGTAGGAGTCATACCAGGAATCGACGAGGAGCATACGCAGAGGCTTCTTTGAGTCACCTACAGGACTTTACATAGGTCAGGAAAAGTCAAAATGAACAGCACGAGGAGATGGCTTACGCAGGAATCTTGTTCACCACAGTAGGAAGCAATTGTTCCACATTTAGCCCCGTCTTGGCCGAAACTAGCACTGCATCCTCGGTATCAAGTTCGAACGAATGCTTCATTTGCTCGAGAGCCCGCTCCGGTTCGGCCGACGGAAGATCAACCTTGTTGATGACAGGGATCAACTCAAGACCCTGGGAAAACGCAAGGTAGAAATTGGCGACCGTCTGCGCTTGAATACCTTGGCTCGCATCCACCAAGAGCAATGCGCCTCCACAGCTGGCGTAACTCCGCGACACCTCCGCACGAAAGTCAACGTGGCCCGGCGTATCGACAAGATGTAGAAGATAGTCCTCTCCTTCGTGGTTGTAGATCATTGTGCATGTTTGTGCCTTTACTGTAATTCCCCGCTCCCGCTCGACATCAAGTTTGTCCAGAACTTGTTTATTCATTCCAGGCTCGATCGTACCGGTAAGTTCCAGCAGTCGATCGGAAAGGGTACTCTTGCCATGGTCAACGTGGGCAACGATACAAAAATTGCGGAATCTTTCAATTGGAATCGCGGAGATCCTTGTTTCGAGATCGGTCATAGACTTGCCCGTACTTCCCCTTGACGCTTGATAGGGGGAAGATGTGGTGAAAAGCCGAGTTGCGAAGCAAGAGCCGGAGGGTGCCTTAAGAAGGCTTGAGGCAGGCCATTTTGGTGCTGCGCTCAGCCATCTGGCTAACTGCAGGCATCCTCGCATCGGGAGTGCTGCAATAGCATGGGAATGATGCCTGTGGGAAGGGTGAATGAATATTGATCGTGGAAGAGTTGACAGTCCAAGCAGTGGGAGTTCGATTGGCGGGCAAAAAAAAAAGGCTCTGGCGGGCGGTCGACCACATTGCTGCGGTGACTATCGGGGAGTAAACAAAGCTTCCGCCTCGCACTTCTTTCCACCACCCACAACGCAGGACGACCTCATTGCTGCCATAATCTATTTTCAGAAGTTGAAGCATCATGTCTACATCAAAAGACAAGTCTAAGGTCCACAAGCTGTCCTTGAAAGGTGAGAAACAACAACCCTGGCCTCTCCCAGTTTGAAGGCTTACAAGTCGACAGGATCGGCCAAGCTGGTGGCAGAATTTGTGAGTATCATCTCGTTCATTGATTTCCGTGGAATATCTGTTAATTCAGATTAGTTTGAATATTCCATAAACTCGATTCTGTGAGTTGACTTCTACGTCTACAATAATTGCCTATTAACGCAGCACACACAGATTCCAACGAGGGGTGTACCCTCCAGAGGATTTCATGACGTGAGTTATCTTGCTCTAGATGTTATCAAAATATCCCCAGCTAACCTCTCTCAGTGTTAAGAAATATGGCCTGAATATGCTGAGTTGGTTCACATTCCCCGCGTTCACTGCAAGCCTCGTTAACCGATCCCAGTTACCGCCGACGACCAGGTTAAAGCATACATCAAGAAGATCATGTCCCAATTGAACAAGTGGATGATCGGTGGCAAGATTTCCAAGCTTGTTGTGGTGATTACAGATAAGGAAACTGGAGAACATGTGGAACGGTGGCAGTTTGATGTATGAAAAGCCTTCCTCTTCGCACAGGTGCAGAACTAATGGACTTAGGTCCAAATATTCGGCAAGCACAGCAAGAGCCAAGCAGCTCGCAAAACCGCCAACAAGGAAAATGATACCCCAGAGTACGTCCTACGACCCCGATCTGTGTGGGTGTGGAGCTAACAACCGATTTCATAGTAATGCCGAGTCCCAGCCCGTCGCCGTGGAAAAATCAGAAAAGGAAATCCAAGAGGAGATCCAGGCAATCTTCCGACAAATTACTGCATCTGTTACCTTCCTCCCTGTGCTTGATGGAGATTGCACATTCAACGTCCTTGTATACGCAGACGCCGACTCTGAAGTGCCCGTCGAATGGGGCGACAGCGATGCCAAAGAAATCAAGAATGCAGAAAAGGTACAACTCAGGAGCTTCAGTACCAACAACCACAGAGTCGAGACCTTGGTCAGCTACCGCCTTGCGGATTAAATGTGCTACTACAACTGTATTTTCAAGTTGGAGGCGTTCGGGTTATGTCGGTGTTAGATTTGCAGGAAATCCATACAATTTTATCTCTTCAAGGCATTCATATCACATCAGATGTCATCAATAGATAATGCTCTTAATAATGATTGACGAGTCTACATTTATGCACTATCCATCAGATCTCATCGTGGCCTACACCACGGCAACTGATCCATCTTTACAAACCATTCATTGCCCCCCAGTCCTCCATCCCAGCAAACCAACTCCTCCACCACAGGTTCCAACCCAACGCCCAGGAAAACACCCTCCTCCATACCCTCCCTCCACCCCCTCTGCGCCCTCTTTCTCCCCAACTCCCTACCAATCCCATATCTATCCCCCTTCCACAACCCAATCCCTTTCTTCTCCTCCCCCTCGACCAACGACTCAAGCGACGTCACCTCCTCAGGAGGATTGATCCCAATCACATGCACGCTTACTCCCTCCTTGATCTTCTCCGCCCCTGCCGCCACTACATCCACCCCTACCCCAAGAGCCGGAAAATGACACTCCAGAAACCTTCTCCTCTTGAACTCGTGCGTCACAACCGTGATGCTTTCCGGGTACATGCCTGTATACAGCCTAAACCGCAGAACCGAGAACAGGACATTTTGGTAGGAGTCCGTGGCGTAGGGGTCAACTGTTATCTGGGAGGGGTTTATCCTAGCAGAATAGGAATAATAGGCGTTGGATTCGACCAGGTTCTTTTTTTTTTTTTTTTTCAACTTTGTTAGTGGTCATTGTATAAGTGAGTGGATGTGTGTGTTTTCCGGGGGGAATATATAACGGAGGACTACTAACTATGTACTAGTCGGGAGGAAGTAGTAGTTAGTTGGTCTGAACAAAACGTACAAGATACGACTCTCCCTCTGTTAATTCTGTAGCGGGTCTCTTTGTTGCACCTCTACCGAGTAGATAAGTAAAACGTTATACATGGGTAATTATTGATCAAATCCAGTCCATTAGATTTAACACTGCAGACGCCAATGATTTAAACGCATCAAAGGGAGGGAGGGGTCGGAGGGGGGGGGGAGAGAAAGAAGGGACCGGATTGGATCGAACTGAACTGAATTCATACCCTGAAAAAACCAACAACCCTTGCGGATCCTCCGCGAGGACCTTGAGTCCGGCTTTAACGTGGTTTGTGAAGGTTGGCGTTTCGCCCTTCTGGAATGGTTCTATCAGCCTATTGGATTGGCGGTTGGTTAGCTCTTTTTCTTCTTCTCTTCATTATAAGATTGGTTCTGCTTGTAGGATACCGCATGGGATAGATAGAATAAAGCTATTCTAGAGAGAGAGAGAGAGAGGCATGGACTTATAGGTAGGTAGGTAGGTATGCACCATTCTTCTTCAGAGGCGCCGTTGGTTGGACCGCCTAGGTAAATTGCGTGACAGCAGACGATGATAAGGTGGTTGCATTTCGAGAAATTCCGGGGCGATGGTTGCATTATTTTGATTCGGACTTGGATTGAAGTATTTGTACTATGATTGTAATGTCGGTAACCGGACCGAGGGAGAAAGAGTGGACGGAGGTTCGACGGAGGTTGGTAGAACCAAAGAGGGGAGTTGGATTTCGGCTACAAAACGACAACTACAACTTGTACCTGTACAAATGCAAGGTCATCCAAGCTATGGGACCCTCCTTTTTGGGGTCATTACTTTTGCATTCATTTACTTCTTGTTTGAAAATTTTCACAAAGAAATCCATGCATAAAGAAATATCTCCTTGTAGACTTCTCTCTAATGTACATACAATGTTCTCTTTGCTGGAATCAATGGTTGGCCCTCATGCAGGACACGACATACATGCCATTTCACAACTGGTGCTGTAGGGGAGCACAAAGGCCCCTAAAGATACCACAACTCCTCCCAGGTAGCCATGTGTAGTAGAAGATGCATCATAACCCACAATGCTGAGATGACGAGTTGCGGAGTCAAAGGAAACAGGTAAATTACAAGACAAAACAAATATAAAGTAAATCACAACGCCGAAATATGACCAAGGTTACATGATGGGCCCAGAGTCCTGTTAAAAGGACATATGCAGGAAAGAAAGTAAAGTTGATACAAAAATGTATGTATTGGCACAGCCATCGCAATCGAAATAGGGTATCAAAGGTTCCGGAGAAATAGGAGATTAGGTTAAAGAGGATCGTGGCGGAACGTACAGTCCTCGCCTTTGAGACATTTGCCTTCTCGCCAGTATCGGCAAGGGACCAGTCCGGCTTTGGGCTAATTTGTTGTTAGAACAGAACTATTGATCACACAAAAAAAAAAAAAATTTGGAATGCTTACATGTTTCTTGTTCGGCACATTGAGCCGGTTCCGTTTAGGGTTGCCATATTTATCGTCGTCATTATTATCATAGCCATTATTATATTCACGCATACGCTTGCGCTCTGGATCTTCTAGGTGATTCGATGGCTGTAGTATACTAGCTCCAGCTTGCTGGTTTTGGTTGGCGAGCTGGGATATAATTGCAGCAAGGTTTGGTGGAACGCCAGTTTGCTGCTGTTGTTGCTGTTGTTGCTGTTGTTGCTGTTGCTGCTGCTGGATCTGTTGCTGCGCGTTAAACACAGCCAACAGTTTCTGGTAATCTAGGCCCTGTTGTTGTTGGGGCTGGGAAGCCCCAGCTAATTGAGGAGTCTGAAGTATCTGCGGTTGCTGTGGTGCTGGTTGTGCTGGTTGGCGGAACATGTTTATCGTTCGCTCCAGATCAGACATCGGAACTTGCGCTGACTGAGTTTGGGGAGGCGGTGGCGTCGACTGGTGCTGCTGGCCAGAGCTCTGGATAATCTTGAGCAGGTTTGTTACAAAGTTGTTGCTGTTGCTGCTGTCGTTCTGTGACGTTGGCTGGGCCTGGGGAGCTGGCTGAGGGTTGATCATTGCGAAGTACCGATCTTGGCGAGTCTGCAAGAAAGAGGTTAAGAATATACCCTTGGTGTGCGAATGATGAAGCTTTACCTTAACATGGTCCGGGAGTTCTCCAAATGAAAGAGCGTCTGGGACAGTCTCGTCCGCATTGGGTTGGGGGGGCTCTTTCGGGGATGGGGGTATGTCTGCAGCCGACGTGTAAAACACCATGAGCGTTGTTGCCTCGCGATGTTCTTGGGCCTTTGCCTCTGCGCTAGTAGGTATCCGGCTCCCCCCTCTCTTAACATAATTCCGAGAGCGGTCCTCAGACGGCATATCCCCATCATCGATTTCTAAATCAATTAGCCCTGAAAATAACAACGTCGGATGGGTATGTTTTCTTACCAGATGGAACATAGTAATCAGACAGCTGCTCCTCACGAATCCCTCCACCATCCTCATCCTCCTCGAGCTCATCAAGATCTCGGTGGAGTTTAAGAACACTTCCTTCACCCTTTACATCCCCTGCTTCGTGCGAACGATCATTGGGCCCCAGCTCCTCATCTGGGTCATGAGTGAAGAGGCGAACTTCAGTAAGAGATTCATCGGGCTTCCAAGTAACTCGCAACTTCCTTCGCGCTTCCTTACGAAGTCTCTTCGTCCGCTCTTCTTCAGTCTCAGGTGTTTTTCTTTCTTCAATTTCCCGCGGTTTAGACTCCTTTTGTTTATTAAGATCCGCCATAATGTCACCAAAAGAAAATGCCGGGCGAGAAGGGGGTGGTTCCTTCTTCTCGGGAGCATTGCTATTCTCTCGTTAGTTAAAGACGCACAGGTTTCAACACATTAACAGTCTACTTACCCTGCTTTGGCGGCGGCGGCTGCTGCTGCCCGTTCCGCATTTGAAGTACCCGGCCTTTTGGAAGCAGACGTTAAGCTTCCAAAAAGACTTGTTGGCTTCGGAGCAATAATGTTTGCCTTTGGTCGAGCAGGGTTGGGGGTAATGGCCGCTGGCTGTTGCCCTCCTTCTTGCGGACGTTTGCCAAGGGGGTGGATAGGTTTCGCGGGGTTCTTAACATTAGACGTGACCACCACTCGCTTTGTGGCTGGCTGTCCATTAATATCCCCGTCGCGAGGCCGTTTCGATCCAGGGTTGTCATTACGCGCACCATCTACAGCCACTCCTTCAGTCATAGAATTCTTTTGAGGGGAGCCCTCTTTCGGAGTTGGCTTCCCGTTCTCCAACCTGCGTTTTGTGGATGCCGCAGCATTGTCGAGGATACTCTGCGCCAGCTCTTTAACCACGGACCCGCCCTTTTTGACAAATCTGGGGAGTAGCTTTGCAACATTTGTTTTCTGGAGAACCTCCTCGTCCATTGTAACAAACTTTGCGAGTAACTATGGAAATGAAGTTAGCGTACATTCACCATGTGAATTATAGGTTTTAGTTCTAGCAAGCAATTCACCTGGAGAATATTAACCGTCAGTGCTCCGTCAATATCTGAAGCCTGGTGGCGGTCCAATAAAAACGAATACAACGCTGCGACCGCCATTGGATGCTCACCCAACCTATAGATTTTCAAACAAGTTAGCTTTTCCAGTTTCATGTGGAGTTGCGAGTAGCTTAATAGCGCGACAATTTCATTCATGGGGGTCCCGGAAGTGCAGGTGATCAGGGATCGGTCTGCTATGGTCTAGAGCAGGTCTCCCAATATAGCCCCATACTGGGGTGGCAGAGGGCTCGTTCTGTTCTCCGAGAGAACAAGCAAAAGGATCAGGGAAAGACAGACAACTCGGCCTCTGCTTGCCTCTGCTTGTAATCGTTGGAGAGAGAAACAGCTAGATAACCATTTCCGCTAAGTGCCGAGTTAAAGGTTCACCCTTACTTATAGAGGGATTCTTAAAGAACACAATCGCAGCCAAAATAGGGTAATTACTTGAGAGAAACTCTCAATTTGTTTGTGACATCTATAGCCATGGCGACGACATGCCAGATACGCAAAATAAAAGGAAAGGAAGATCACATACTTCTCAACAATAATGGGGTGGCCTTTCTCTAGAGTGGTGCTGACAACCACATCCATAAGCCGTCGTTGAAGTGCAACAAGCTGCCTGAGTTCAGCCGTCTCACTGGTTTCACCTTTATTTTCTGCCGTCTTTAAAGCCTGGGTGTTTTCCTTCCACATATCCCTTACAGTTTTAACAACGTCTTTGAATGCAACTAGAGCAGTCTTGACCTTGTCCGCATTGGGCCGTCTATTACGCGGGAACCACACTGCACAAAGAGTGTCATACTGGGCGGCAGCTTCAGGCTCACTGGGGCGAGTAGCAGGTATGGGAGATGGCTCCTCAGGGGCCAGAATCTCCAAGTCTGATTCATCAGATGTGTCACTCCCGGAGCTTGAAGAAGCGGAGCGCTTTCCATCAAGCTTCTTGCTGTTCGCTTTCGTAGATGCTTTTTTAGTTTTTGGCTGTTTCTTAGTTGCTGGCTGGCTAGCTCGTGTTTCTGTCGGCCTTGTTCCTAAATTTGACATGAATGTATGTTGACCTAACCTAGAGATTAATAACAGATAGAAGTGGGGGGGGGGGGGGAAATGCAAACCAAGCATACCATTCATGGGAGGAATTCCAGTATTTAAAGTTTGACCAGGAGTCGTGGAACCATTCATGGGTGGTCCGAGGTACTGTAAATCATCTGGGAAGAGATTGTAGAGCCTAATGAAAGCATAAGAATCAAGGTCTAAAACAGGGGGGGATTATAATACTATGAATAGAAAACGTACTTAGGGTCATCAGCAGGATTTACAAAAAGAAACTGATTATGAAGTTGTGGTTGTTGATTCGCCGATTGCTGAGGACTAAGATACTGCGGGTTAATGGTGTGATCTGAGATATCCTGGGAAGGCGGAGAGAATTCATTTGCAAAGTTGATCGAAGGATGCTATCGCAGTCAGTCTCAAATATTTCAGGGGTGAAAAGGTCAAAATTCCGGGAAAGGGCTCACCGAGGAATCTTCAGGAAAGCCTGTAGGCATTGTATATTGCGGAACAGAGTTTTGATGCAGAGGTCGGTACGAAGCCACTTGAGGCTGAGTTTGAGAGGGCTGTGGCGAATGTGATTGCGGAAAGACATCCGGTATTGTGACACCTGGAGGAGTGTAAAAGTTTGGCGAGAATGAAAAGGACTGATAGTGTGCGTTATCCGGTGTGGACACGGGGCGGGAGTCAAATGTCACCTGTCCCTGAGCATACTGCGGAACCTGTCGATACTGAGCGGGCATCCCGAGACCTTGCGGCGTCGACTGGATCATCGGCTGGTGATGCAACAAATCCTGCTGCCAAGACTGGGATGTTGATGAAGAATAGATGTCATGGGTCTGATCCCGATGGGTGGGGAGCGGAGTGCGTTGAGGATGCTGTTGGTGCAGCACAGGGTGGTCCCAGCTAATACCCAGCGGCGGCGGCGGCGGTTGTTGTTGTTGTTGTTGTTGTTGCGGCTGTTGTTTTGGCTGTCGCTGCTTTTGTTGGGCCTGCTGTTGAGGGGACTGTTGTTGAGGAGGTGGATGCGGATGGTGATGTGAAGCATCGGTATACAAATCAAGGGAATCCCAGTACTCCGGCGGCAATGACGCGGGGTTTACTGGGGCATGGTGTAAACCCTGCATAATATTCTGGGACTGCGATTGCTCCATTCTGCCACAACTGGGCCCCTCTACCCCAAATAGACGTTCAAGAGGGAAGGAGAAGTAGAAGGCTCGGACAAGTTATGATACTACTGGTGGCTGGCCGACGATGTAGTCGGAAGCAAAGTAACGCCGATGTATTTGATCACATGCAGCCACGTGCAGAATACCTAATTAGGGCAAGGCTGCAACGCCGCTTTAAAGGTTTTAAGCCGAGCGGAAATCTTCTGGTGGGGCTCACAGATAACGCTTATTATTGGCCGCAGTCGGGACGATAAATTGGGGGTGCAGAAACTTTGCACAATAATACCGTTAATAATTGGGGATGGGCGATTTGAATCGAATCAATGATGCTGCCTAGGTCTGTCAGCCCTGGATGACGCTGATACGCTGAAGCCAGGCAGTCTGGCTATGTTGGTGTGTAGGACGGGTGGCAATCTGCGGGATTTCCGTCTCTCCAGCAGTCGGCAGGACCTGAGCAGGAGTACCGTAGTAGAGTTAAGCCGCCCTCCTTCTTGTGTGGGGGAGGTCTGGAAATACCTAACGGAATGGCTGTATGATCTTTCTCTCTTGAGCTCTCTCTCTGTGTGTGTATGTAGTCTGTACCTGGGATCTCCTGATCTCCTTTTTAAGGTACGTGGAGAGATAGTAGAAGAAGAGTGTCTGCAAGTCACGTTCCACGCTGTGCTGCACCTTGTTTCTTCTTTTTTATTATTTTTTTCTTTAAAGAAAAAAAGAAAAAGAAAAAGGAAGGGACCTCAGGAGTCTTTTTTTGTGATGCACACACAGTCTGAGTGAACTGTGTCTTGAATACACCGACCAAAATACCCTCCGTATAGTAGACGTATGTTAATCTTTCCTGCACCCTGTCTTTTTGGCTCTCCTCCTTCTGGTCCTTTGCTTTCCACTTGTATTCTCTTATTTCTTTTCGAGACTCTTTCAGTATTCCGTCTCTTCTTCCCCCTGTCTCACTTAATGTTCCTGTCCCTATTTCCTTTTCGTAGGACAATCACGAGAATTTTCTCACTCGTAGAGTCACTCCTAGAATTCTGTTTTTGACTTCTTAAACGATGAAAAGAAAGAGCTCTCATACAAAGAGCCACTCTGAGCTGCAGTTAAGCAGCATAATCTTGCGCTTTACGAGAAGGGTTGAAGAGGGGGAAGGGAGGGAATAGGGTAGGTAGTAGGGAAAGGGATTGCGTGGGAGAGGGAGATGAGACTGAGGGAATTCTGGACGCTTCGGTTGGGCCACGGCGCCTGGCACGTGATAGCGTGTGTTTTGCCTGGTTTGTCTCTGCCGGACGGAGGTTAGCGTGGTGTGATTATGTCAGCCATCCCAAACGGGGAGCTCGGAGGATGCCAGGTGGAGAGATGTTGTTTGTGTGTATAGGAGGGACCCAAGGAGAGCAAGCCAAGTACCTAATAGACGTCAGGTTAATATTCTGTTCCTTGAATTATTGCTCGGGTGGACTCTCTGCGTCATACTGTTGGCCCCCTCCCTTCTGCTCCCTCATCAGGCTCGGACTTGGGCTTCATCTGCATTCCCTTTGCATTTGTTCCTGACTGAGTGACGTGACTTCATAGGTCATGAATCCGATCCCCGCTAAGTAACTGTGAACTATCAGAACCAGGTGCCAGTAGAATCAAATCACCATGGCATCACAGCCAATGTCTCTACGAGACCGTCAGGTCGGTGCGTTTTTAGATGAACTATTATGGGCGAAGATTATATACTGACTCGAACTTCAGCTTCCATCCAAAAGATCCTCAACTTGAACCATGATCCGCAGCCCACAGAAGACGCCCACCATGAGGCCTCCGCGCAGGGCCTCATCTCCACCCCGATCTTGAACGAAGATGGCGATCCAATCTGGAAGGTTTTGGTCTTTGATAACATGGGGAGGGATGTTATTAGCAGCGTGCTTCGTGTGAATGATCTCAGAGCTTGGGGGGTTACCATCCATCTGTATTGCGCTACCCCGTCGCCGCCTCCTACTGTTTCGCTGAGGCTAACAATGAATTAATTCTCATAAGGAGTCTGAACTCTACCCGATACCCTATTCCAGATGTCCCCGTTGTCTATCTCGTCGAACCTACCCCTACCAACATTCAAGCGATCACGAATGATCTCGCACGCGGCCTCTACTCCCCCGCCTACGTCAACTTCTTATCCTCCGTCCCTCGGCCACTGCTCGAGGACTTTGCTTCCCAGATCGCGACAACAGGAGCATCGGAACACGTCGCACAGGTCTACGATCAATACCTGAATTTCATCGTCGCGGAACCAGATCTTTTTAGTCTAGGGTTAGGAAATGATGCCTACTGGAGGATCAACAGCGCACAAACAAGCGACGACGATCTCGATGCGATTGTTGATAAAATTGTGAGCGGATTATTCAGTGTCAGCGTAACAATGGGTAGGACAGCCTTTAATGAATCAAAGTGTGCTGTACTGACTTGATTGACGGCAATAGGCGCCATTCCCATTATCAGATGTCCGAAGGGTGGTGCGGCGGAACTGATAGCGACGAAACTCGACCGTAAACTGCGCGATCACATTCTCAACTCCAAGGATAATCTATTCTCAGGCAACAGGAAATCCGCCCCTGGTGTTCCTTCGTCACGACCCGTCCTGGTAATTGTCGACCGAAACGTTGATTTAGTTCCCATGTTGTCACACTCTTGGACATATCAATCTCTTGTGCAAGATGTTCTTCAGATGCGCCTTAACCGAATCACGATCGAGACTCCCATCGAGGAGTCGAATCCTGCCAAGAGTGTGTCTAAAAAAGCATACGATCTCGGTAGCAACGACTTCTTCTGGAAACGCAACGCTGGTGCCCCATTTCCACAGGTAGCGGAGGATATCGATGCTGAGTTAACGCGGTATAAAGAAGATGCCAATGAAATCACAAAGAAGACAGGTGCCTCCTCAATCGAAGACCTCCAAAATGACACCAGTGCATCCGCGCAGCATCTCAAGGCCGCCATTACTCTACTTCCCGAGTTGCGGGAGCGCAAGTCGATCCTCGATATGCACATGAATATCGCCACCGCGCTCCTCAAGGGTATCAAGGACCGTCAACTGGATAACTTCTTTGAGCTAGAGGAGAATATTACCAAACAGTCTAAAACCCAGATCATGGAACTGATCAACGACTCCGCAAAGGGCACTAATCCAACCGACAAGCTCCGACTCTTCCTCATCTGGTTTCTGAGCACCGAATCCGAACTGTCCCGCACAGACATCAGTCAATTCGAAGAAGCTCTTACTCGCATGGGAGTGCAAGACGTCAGCCCCCTCGCGTACGTCAAACAGGTCCGCGAAATCACTCGCATGACGATGATGACCACCGCCGCACCGCAACAACAGTCCTCCGATCTCTTCCGCGGGTTCTCATCCATTTCCAACCGCCTCACAGACCGCATCACCTCCGGGACCCTAGGCGCCAACTTCGACTCCTTAATCTCGGGAGTGAAAAACTTCCTCCCGGTCAACAAAGACCTCACCCTCACCAAAATCACCGAATCCATCATGGACCCGGCCTCTGCCTCCAGTTCCGCCATCGCCAAAACCGAAAACTATCTCTACTTTGACCCTCGCAGCGCCAACGCCCGCGGCGCTATGCCCCCGGCGTCTGCGTCCCGCAACGCCCAAACCGGAGGAACTATTGGTCCCGGAACAGGAGCTAGCTTCGGCCAGCGGCGTCAGGCCTTCAACGAGGCAATCGTCTTCACAGTGGGTGGTGGAAGCATGGACGAATACGGCAACTTACAAGACTGGGTGCATCGCACCAGTGGGCAAGCCGGACATGAGGGAGCGGGTTCTCGCGCGGGAGCCGAGTCGTCTCTCGGCGGCCCCAGACGGAGAGTCGTCTACGGCAGTACGGACTTGATGAATGCTAATGAGTTCCTTGCCGAGTCATTGGCGAAGTTGGGACGGGAAGGCTAGCTTCGCACTCATTTTAGTCTTTGTTTGCTGTGAGTGTGGATGATTGGAGTTGTGGCATGGAGAAGATCAGATAATTTTGTATCTCCGGTGACACTGCAGTATAATTAATGCATACTATACTTGTTATGGAAATAATCATAAATTTGTTTGCTTTTTTTTTAAAAAAAAAAAAAGAAAGGAAAGAAAAAATAAAGAAAAAATGGCATACATAAAACAATGACATTTACTCTGTGCTACTCCTTTTTTGATATGGATATATGCCTATCCTAATAACTAGGTAGTGTGATTATGTATCTGATTAATTTAATTATCTACTTAACTATCTACCTAGTTATCTCAGATTGTCAAGTCCCAGCGAAACCCTACGTTCATTGAAAGCCGAAAAAAAAAGAAATGTAAAAAAGCAGCAACACACAGAAAGAAAGAAAAATTCAACACAGAAGAAAAGGAATAGAAAGTGATCAAGTAACCCATCTACCACGATAATACCCAACCCTCCCCAAGTCCACTTGGTTGTGGGGACAAGGTATCCCTATCCCGAAAATAAGGGACTCCCAGTATGCAATGCAAGGCCATTAATTATTAAACAAGAGAATAATTCCTCGTGGTGCTGCTCACTAGAATATCATGCTCAACTGCAATCTCATACGGTGAGGTCAAACCACTACCCTTCTTATCGGCCGGGTGGGAGTCGGAGTAACATTTCGTGCATGACTTCACGCCGGAGGAGGATGAAGACGAAGATGTTTGTTTGCTTCGACTCGTGTCGGAAAAAGACAGGACTTGCCAGAGGTTACGTCGTGCGGAGGTGCTGCTTGATCGGTCGAGGGTTGTGCCGGCCCAGATTGAGGAAAGCGGGAGAGACAGGGTGACTAGGGTAAGGACGTTGGAGGAGAGTTCGGGAACGGTGGTTGCGTAGTGGACTATGGAGAATACGGCTGTGAGGGTGTTAGCTAGTTCCTTCTTTTGTTTTTTTTTTCCCCCTCTACCTCTGAATCGGTCGGATTGATGTGGTCAGTGGCATAATACCTGGAATAACCATGGTTTGGCAACCCATAACGAAGATGACTTTCATCGGGCCAAAGTCGTTAAAGCCAAGTTGTCTACGCAGTCGAATGGCAAACCCGAGCTTGGTCACGAAAATCGCGCAGAAGAAGCAGATGCTCACCGTGATAACGATGTTGGTTGCGCTCTCAAGCCATGCTACGCTATGGGGGTTGCTCGTATCGATGATGTTCCGAGCATTCTCGACCATAAACCAGAGACGCAAGGCAACCGGGATCAGGGCAACCAGGACGGATATACCGAGGAGTATGCGGCGGTATTGGCGTCTGAGGTTTGCGCAGACGACTTGGATCTGAAGCAGGAGCGAGGTTTCGATGAATGTGAGAAGAAGAGAGGTGAGAACAACCCCCAGTACGGAGTTTCCATATGCTGAAGCGGGCACGCTCGAGTAGTCGCCAGAGAAGTACTGGTACGCTCCCACAAAAGGCGTAGTGAAGAAAATAATTTCGTCGAGCAATCTGCCTATATTGAGAAGCAGGGCAAGACAATTCAAGCAGAAAACAAATGAAGAACGCTTCTCAGGCATTGTCAAAAGTAGAAGAATCACTAGAAGCACCACAGACGCTCCCAGCTGCGAAGAGTAGTTAATACAGATCCGGATTGCGTACTGCAGAAAGTCATCAATCGCTGTTATAGGCACATCGAAAGGCGTGCCATCTGCAAGGTGAAAAGTGACATTCTGAGTATATGGATCAAAAGTTGATGTCATGGTTGCTCATGTATAGCGAAGGCGAGTCGAGGCAGGGTGTCGGTCCAGATTTACAAGTTTGTTATAGTTGCTTAACACGATGAAGCACTTTGGGGCGTTATGAAATGGACGGGATATGGAAGATGGCAGAGGAATCTCGAAATAGAAAGCTGTATAAGAAGTTATTCCATGAGATATTCGGCATCCCTCAAACAGCAGCAGTCACCTCCCTGGTCGCTGACCTATTGAGACGACGACATAAGACCCTCGTTAAGTATAACAGCCGAGACAAACAATATAAAGAACCACCCCAGAATAAGGGGTAACAATGCTAGAGGGGAACCAGATGAGTACATAGGCCAAGACAATGAAAGACCGTCTCTCTGTCTTAACTCATCATCTGAACAAAATCACGGAACTGATTGTGTTGGGGGACGAGCTCGAAACAAACAATATTAAGGTGGGTAGAGCCCAACAATATGAAGCGGGAGTCTCGACCAGGTCCGGCGGCATCACAGAGACAGTTAATATAAATTGTCTATCATGCTTGCCGCCTCCGATTGAACTCCCTCTTAGCTATTCTTCAGGATCCATCAAACATTGACATCACCACTCTCCTGAACAGTCTGGAAGTAACCCATAAGGACAAATCGGCACCATTTCGCAAGGGACGAAGCTGAAACAACTGTTGATAGCTGCATTAAATTAAGCCCGTCTCAGACTCTCAGTCAAAAAGATGGTCATTGCAGGATATTGTCCGTCTCAGAGGTAGCCTCCGATTGTTGTAAGGCCTGATAGAGCCAACCAGGCCGGAAAGGATTGTGAGATCATTAGAGTATTTCATCACCTGTGGTCTTTTCTGAATATTCAGATCACTAGAGCTGTATTTAGTCAAACATACTGTTAGTGAAGAGATTCAGTGGGCTTCTTGTAGCCATATCAAACAACAGTATGGAAATCGCACGAAGTCAAAAGTGTCCTCCATTGTATTCCTGAAAAGACATGATGATGCAGTCATCTCCATTGTCTATCAAGGAATTTTCATTCCCCAACAATATTGGCCACATTGATAGAAGATAGTTCCATTTGAATGACAAGATAATGTGGATTGTTGTGTTCGTTGGTGGTTGTGAGAAAAAACAAAATGACTAAGGGAGCCAAGACTGCGGGGATGATGTCGTCGTCGAGGCTCAACCGGCTGCCCATTGATCGTCCATCGTTCAACTTCTCGCTTCAGCTTCCCCGCTATGGCTGCTGTGCCGCAGAGGACGCTCAACTGGCTCTACAGTATATTGATCAGGGTGAAAATGCTTAGGAGATGTCACAGGAAGTTTATACTAACCGCAAGCACAGGACCACTACGATCCCAGGCAAACATATCAAGACCCCAACCGGACCTACTCTGATGTCGCAAACACGCTGGCACAATATCCCTCCCTCTCTCCGCAAACTGAAGTTTACAGTGAGTGATTATTCTATCCTGGTGGAGCTTCCGGAGGCCTCGTTGAGCATTTGTTTATACCCTTGAATGCGCTGCTGACCCTGCTACTTTCCTGCAGCCTACGAGAACGGTTTCTCCGCCCTCCTCCTCCAGCTTAAAGGCACATTGCCTGTTACGTTTCGCGGCACAGTCTACAAGTTTCCCATCACATTATGGATTCCAAATGCCTATCCCCGCGAACCACCGCTGGTCTATGTGATTCCAACACAGGATATGGCTGTTCGAGTAGGTCAGCATGTAACCTTGGAGGGGAGGGTATATCACCATTACCTGGCACACTGGGCTGAAGCATGGGAGGTGAGTGTACACTTGCGCTATAATCGGGCTTATTGAAAGGCACCACCTAATACTGTTGACTCATAGCGCTCCTCTCTTGTGGACCTCTTGACAATTCTCCGGGAAGTCTTCGCAAAAGAGCCACCCGTTCGATACAAACAACAGGGAGTTCAACAGCAACCTATACCGCAGCAGGTGCAAACACCACCCCCTCGTCCTCCATTGCCTCCTGAACTCGGAGGATTTTCAGCACAATCCCCATCGCCTCAACCTCATACAGTCAGCCCTCCTCACCCCGTACTGCAGGGTCCACCGCGGCCCCCTCCGAAACCAGGTCCAGTAGTAGGGCCTGAGCAGCAGCGGCAGCAGCAGCGGCAGCAGAATAATCATGCAACCCAGTATGGCTCCCCTCCTCCATTGCCTCCATTGCCGCCAAAGGACCAAACCTATCGACCATCCGTGTCCCATTCACATGCTGCCGTCGGAAGTCCATCGAGTGGAGCTCCCCAGTACCTCCCTCAGCAAGCCGATTTCCGCAGGAATACACCAGCACAACCACAACAGCAACCGTCAAATGTGATGCCACAGTCAGGATCATATTCTCATGGGCCTACCTATCGCCAGCCTAGTGTCGCACATGGCGGACATGATCCCCGCCACGGAACACCGCAATATCAACCTCCAGCGCAATTCCGAGGTCCTCAGGCCCCTCCTCAACCAACACACCACCAGCGACCCCCTCCTTCCCAGCAGCTACCTCACCATCCATCGCCGCATGGAACCCCACAAGCTTCCCCCGGAATACAACCAAGTCCCCGATCAAAGCCCCAGACCCAGGATCTCCTCACTTCCCCTTTCGAAGTCGAACTCCCGTCCTTCGCCCCCACAGGGCCCGCACCACCTATCCCACCAAACCCCGAAAAAGACGCCCTGCTCCAAGCCGTTTCCAAAACTGTCACCGAAACCCTCCAAACAAACATTGTCCAATCCGAATCAGCGGCACAGTCTCTCATCTCACAATCCCAATCCCTCCACGCCGCAATCACAACCCTCCAGGGGGAAATCTCCTCTCTCAGCACCCTCAACTCAACCCTCGAAGCCAACACCTCCGTCCTCCAACAATCCCTCCACCGCGCAGATGTCGTAATAGCCGACGCACAAACCCGCGCCTCTTCCTCCCCTGCTAACCGCCTCGCGTCCTCTAGCACCGACCCCGCCCCCGCCTCTTCTCCCGGCGTATCTGGCCTCCCCCCCATTGACGAAGTCCTCGTAGCACCCACAGTAGTAGGCAAGCAGCTCTACGACCTCGTCGCCGAAGAACGCGGCATCCAGCAAGCCATCTACGCTCTCCAAGTTGCCCTGGTGAAGGGCATAATTGGCGTCGAGACCTGGTCCCGACATACCCGTGGTCTTGCACGAGAGGCATTCCTAAAGCGGGCCTTGATCAGGAAAATAGGCAAGGGAATGGGGCTTGAGGAACATCCATAGAGTTCCCCCCTTTTTTCTCTCTCTCTCTCTCTCTCTCTCTCTCTCTCTCTCTCTCTCAATTTTTCCTTTCTTTTACCTTTACCGGGGCCTTTTTTTTTTTTTCTTTGTTTGGATTTATTTTTGTTCAGGGTTTATCTATATAGATGAGAGATGCATTGATTCTGATTGACTGATTCATCTTCGGGGGTGTCCCTTTTTGGGTGTTGGATGTTGGATGTTGGATGATGATGATGATGATGATGATGATGATGATGATGATGTAGATGATACCCACTTCATGTAGAGTATAGGTAGGTAGTTTACTATCATGATGGAATGAGCGTGGGGTAAAAATGCATGTATATAGTTGATAGGATTGGCTACTAATGCTTGCTACATGAGCATCTTTACACCTATCAAAAATGAAATTCAAAACACAAGAGGTATATATTTGATAATTGATAGTTTGAATGGGTTTACACAAACCACACAAGGAATAATAATGGGTGAAAAAGGGGGAGGGCGTCAGGTACCTGATCAGATCTAACAATGGCCCGAATAGGAATAGAATAAGAAATCCAGAAGCATAGCCGTTCATGGGGACAAAGAAGAGAGAGATACAAGAGGTAAATGACATCAAAATAAAAAGCATCTATAAGCAAAATAGCCCAAATCTGCAATGCCTTCTGCGCCGAGTAACAACCTATTGCGATCAAGATGGTCCAGGGCCGCCCCCGTCATAAAATAAATAAACAGTTGAAAGAGAAGGAGGGGGATATAGCCAACTTATTTTATTTCACCTCATTCGCATCGGAGAAGGGGCTTTCGACTCGGGGAGGGGGAGTTCGGCTGTTTCGGTTCGACCTAGTGGACCCTTCGTGGGCCTCGAGGAATGATGAATTCCGTGGGATTGTATCGGTGGGTGTCTGGTCCTTGAAGGGACTCTGGTCAACGGCTGGTGAATCTTCAATCACGGTTGGGGCTTGTGATTGAATAGCAGAGCTACGCTTATCGGTGAGGGTGGAATTGCGCTTGTTCGAGGTCGAAGCCACGGCTGCTTCCTCTTCGTCGGATGAGCTGGCATCGAAGGCCGAGGTAGTGTTCTGAAGAGGGGATTTTTGACGCGAAGGAGCCTCTCCAGACACAGGCTCCACCTGCTCTTGGATTGTTTGCACGGCTGGTGCATTGTTCTTCTTCCCGGAGCCCTTCACCATAACTGGTTTCGCAGTGACAGTGCGAGCGACGATGGAGCTCTTGCTGTTTGCATCGGTAATACCTGCCTTGGTAAGCTGTGCCTGCGTGATAACCGGGACAGCTGGAGCATCTGGAGCCAAAGATGACTGAGACGCTGGCTGGCCATTGCCTCCGTTGTGGATGCTGACCACGGCGGCACGGGTGCGCATAATCTGTTGAGCTGGCATGGGGCTGACGATAGCGTTGTTCCGGTAGATGGTGGTTGCCACACTGCTCCGCAGACTGGGGGCGACATCCGACCAAGATGAGTCGCGCAGATCCCCAGGCATGAAGAAATGTTGGTCGGGCGAGGCGCCAGGAAGTGGAGGAACGGGGGGCACAAGGGCCCCTGGAGTTTCCGGGGGGGACCGGTTCGTTACTCCAGGAATATAGGCGATTTGGATGACATTTGATGCACGAGTCAGAACGGTAGAAGCAATCGAATGGGTTGATTTCCTCGCATCCCGGGCTTCGGCAAACGAGCTGGCTTTCTCGGATCGTTCTTGGTCCAACGCCTTGCGCTTTTTGCGAATAAAGAACCACCAAATCAAAAACGTCACAAGTGCAATGCATGCGACGCCTCCAACAACACCACCAGCGATAGCTCCTGCATTACTTCCACCACCCGAGTTGTTCTGTTGACTCGAACCGCTCGAACCATCCGAGATACATTCCATAGTTGCACACTGATTGCAAGACTGGCTGACCATGTTGCATTTGGTGCCACTTGGACAGGACGGGCAAGTAGGGGCGGTGGCGGGACATTTTACACACTCCGTCAAGCTGTCACGGGCAACCAGGGCTGCCGCATGTTAGATATATATTTCCAATTTAGCAAGGGAGAAACATACCGGGGTGGAAGAAAGGGTCTGCGAAAGTGGAAGACATGTTGAAAGGTAAATCAATGATGGTGATAACGAGGAGAAAGGTCGGATCGTAACAAAAAAAAAAATGAAGGCTCTGCTAAAGATTACACAAAAACTCGGAAAGAAAAAAGAGCGACAGGCCGGTCAACGGCGTAAATGAACGTATGAAGATTGGGTAAAAAAGAGTGTTCGAGAGCACCAGCAGACGTCAAGTCGTGGGCGTTATTGTTGGATCATGAGAAGAAGTCGAGATGGTTCCTTTAGAGGAACGAGGGAATATCAATGTTGGCGCACTAGGACAGAGAACTATAGGCAATGATGGGCATAGTCTGTCATGAAGTGGATCTGAAATATTCAATAAATCGAGAATCACTATTGGATTCCTCCCAATCGGACGTTTGATTTCCGTCGCAGCAATGGATAGTTCAACTCAGGGACATTGATAGGTCGTTGTTGGGCGAGAGAGCCAAGTTGACGTCGTAAGACACGCGTTGCGGCTGTCAGGTACCAGCGCAGTGACAGATCAGGGGGGAGGGGGGGGGGGGGGATAAGGCGAATCGGCAAGAGGAAGGAAACCCCAGAAGGTGGATGTGAGGAATCAAACGAGGGATAGATAAAGGGAAAAGAAAGTAGAGAGAGGGAGGAAGGAAATCCAAGAAGAAGGCTAATTAGAGAGTAGTTGAAAGAAGAGAAAAGAGGTGGATGGGAGTTGGTGGTTGGTGGTGGGAGGTGGAGGAGAGAGAGAACAAGGAGTGAGATTCACAAGGTTGCCCTGGACTTATGCCCACTCACTTATTTGGAATTGCCACTCACAATGCCACTCACGAAGAAGGATATTAGAATCATAGTCAGTGTTAAAAAGATTATAATCTCAGCCTACTCTACAGATTACTCCCTACAGTACGGAGTACTTCGTAAATTAATCTGGAGAATCTCTGGTTCCTCCCGAGACTGAGCCATGTTCAGAAATACCATCCAGGCCGCAATCGTACCATGTTTCCCAGCCTTAAGGTGCAAAAAAAAAAAAAAAAAATACAAAAGAATCCCCCCTGACATGATCCAAGCCAAATGTTTCATCTCTTCGTCCTTGGTGAGATTATGACTCTCCGTGTGCCAAACCCTGTGCAGGCCGTGTGTGTAAAATCCAGGGAGTTCTGGACCATCCCACGTTCCATTGCCGGGAGATTACACGAAGCCGTTGGTCGAATCAAAGAACGGCTGGGCGTCCAGTAGCCTCATGTACACTGGTGAGAGGCTGTCAAGGAAATCTCCACCACCCATTACTTCTCCCAATCCTTCGTCGAGGTTGTCTGCGTCCAGACCGCGCGGTGGGGACAAACCGCTTCAAGGCTGGGGATGGCAGATTGGCTGCCATTCTACGGAGTACAATGATCGAGAATCTCACCGTTCCCTGCTGATATTAGGTAGAGTTATAGGGAGGGTTCCATCTCTGTCGAACACCCGGGTATGCTTTTTTCGCAGAGGGTGTGCGGAGGCCCGGAACATGACCCCCCCAGATTCTGATTTGCTGGAGGTAGATACTTTGCTTTTGCATAAGCAGTATCCTGTCGGTCTGTTGATCTCTTGCTGCATTCATCCGTTTCCTACGGAGTACATAAAACGACGCTGTGGCACAGTGTACTCAACTTCATGCATGTCCATGCAGAGACATGGGACTCCGAACGAGAACAATCGTTGGATTCTTGTGGCTGTTGTGGTGTTCGCATACATTGAAAATGTCACACTAAACAGATATTCATTGTAAATATGCCTACAGAGTACAGCCAGATAAGAATCGTCCCCGCGATCCAGCCCAATGGATGGGTGTCTATGGGATTAGCTGGGTTTGATTCCCTCACGTGTGGCGTTCAGTCTGATGTCTGTAGACTCTGGCATTGGAAATATTTAAAATGGATTTTGTATTGTAGTACCAGGTGATTATTTCCTCTGTTCGAGTCCAGGTTGTGGTCTTGAGGAGAAGTTGGTTATTAAATAAATAGATATATGTATACATATATCTATCTACAGCGGCTCAAGCCCAGAGTATCGAGTACAAGACATCAAATTTAGATTAAACTCCAGTGACCTGCCTATGTATTCACTTTCAAACCATAGAGAAACTAGGATAAAAAATACAGCCTCAAGTTAACTGATTAATGTCTTAGATATCCGTTCCTAGTGACCTGTATGTTAATCCTAGAGAGTATGGTCTGTCTACTTCAATATGTTCTGCTGCGGCGTATATTTTCTGGATAGTCCTGAGATTATCTTTACCGGAGAGCAGATGAGTGTTAGGAGACTGAAACTGATTACACGCGTTAAGTTAAAACTTGACAGCTTGTTTATATTCCGTAGATATGCAGGTACCGTCCGTACATATCCATATATCCCTTCACTTCTGTATACAGAGTACTCTGTATGCTAATAGCCTTGACTGATCAAGCATTTAGGCCTCCCTTTTAGAAATATCTCGCAAGATCAGATGTGGGTTCAGATCCAATTGATCGTTCAATCGAGTTTGATCACTCTACAGTGGATAGAGTCAGTGAATGCTTGTAGTACGCCACTGCCACTGCCACTGCCACCGACCAGGAGGCTGTGCGGGACTAAGAATCTAAGAATAGGAATCGAAGACCGCTAGAAGACGGCAAACTCAAAGCCATAGTTAGCGGCTGTCTCAGCCCATGGAGACCGAAATGCCATGCCGTCTATTCAAGTTCGGTAAATGAGTGTGAGTGTAAAACTTCAACAACCTTTGATAACACGAGAGCCTGCGTGGCTGTTCGGCTGAAAAATTCCTCGGTAGGTGAAAGTTGAAACCCCAACCCGACCAGTAACCTCTCTGATTGGAAGTTATGATGGTTAAGGATTTCAAACTAGCGCAGTCGGTGGCTCCGGGACAACCAACCGTAGAGGAACACGGCCTTAATGTTGTCAACTGGCATGCTATATTTGGCTCCTTTTATGGGAAATAGCAGATGACCCCCTGAAATATTCTATTACTTCTTTAACAATACAGTATTGATCTTCAAAGAAAATAAATTTTTTTTTTTTCAGGGTTGCATTTTATAGTGGAAAAGAAGAGATACTCTTTTAGGTACTTAGTAGTGGCCGATGGGAATGTCATTCCTCGTTCATTTCTTGCTTGAGATGCCTAGGCAACGATGCGGATAAGGGATGGAATGCTTCAGGTAGAATGAATAACTAGTTAACTACCCTAGGGTAGTTATTAAGTAGGATCTCCAAATAGAGCAAAGATGTGAAGTGAAATATCTACGGTTGGAAGAGATGGGTTGAAAATTACCAAATCATGCGTAATGAATGCCTAAGGTGGCTGTAATGGATACACGAGATTCTCCGTAATTAATTATTTCTTCCCCCTCGCTGACCTCGGAATCCTCCGTACTTTATTGAATACTTGATTGATCTCATCATGTGAAAAAAGAAATCTTGAATCCATGTTCTTTACCATGTATTTGTGACAGCATCAAGAAATGAAGGAAAAGAATTTAAATTACCCACCAGCAACTGTTCCCAGCAGCTTAAGAGCCCGTTATAAAAGGGAAAAAAGGAAAAAAAAAAACTGGTTTATTTATTTATTTTTCAAGGGTTGCAAGTGAGACATCTGATGATCTACACAGTACTTAATTTTTATTTGTATTTATATTCCTATTGTATAAGCACTGTATATATTTTTTTTTTTTGCAAATTGCCTTACAACTTCCTGCGCCTCCCAACCATATTGGGGACCCGTTGGTTCCAAAGGAAGAGCCAAAGAGTAACTTCCATTGGAGAGAAATAGAAAAGAGAAATAGAAAAGAGAGAAAGAAAAGAGAGAAAGAAAAGAGAATGGTAGAGTTCGAACCACCACCATCAAACCGCTCCTTGAAAATAATAATCAATAATAATCCGCCATCATTTCTTGTTCTTCTTCTCTCCTCTTTCTTCATCCGCTTCCCGTTCCATCCTCCCTCCCCCCCATTCCATATTTCCTTCCCATCCCATCCCTAATCCTAACCTAGGCCTGGGGTTGGTCATGACGGTCATGACCATGACCGTCGAAATTTTGGTCATGACCGTCATGACGGTTTCCAGGTTGTCAGATCGTCGTTTTGCCTGCCTGATCGGGTTAGCTCCCGCGGGCTAGTCCTAATTAGGAATAGTAGTATTTATAGTAGTTATATGTTAGTTATTGATTACCTAATCTTATTACTAAGACTTTAGAAGCTCGCCATTGGCTACTAACAGACCCACCCTAATCACGTGCGGTCAGGTCATGACCGTCTGAAAACACCCGGTCATGACCATGACTGACCATGACCGTAATTTTCTGTCATGACCACCAGGGCTATCCTAACCTCTCTCTCTCCCTCCCTCTCCCTCTCCTCTTGACTGTCTCACCTGCGGCGGTCTCTATTTCTCGGGCTTCCTCTTCAGCCCTGGCGGCTTGCTCCACGTTCTTGCTGTACACACCACAACACGCCTCTCCCTGAGTTTCTGCCTTTTCTTTCTTTTTTTGTTGCCCCTTCCATCCCCTTCAACTTTTTAATTCTTTTATCTTTGCGGCCTCGTTCAGGTTTCGTGACTTAGTTTCCAGCCCCGTCGCCCGCCTTGACCCCGTACTGGTTTTGTTTGATCTTCCAAGTCGGGACAGATTTCGTGGCTTCTCCTTGTTTCCCTGATACCCCCCCTTTCCTTCAAGTCCTTGCGTTCTGCTTCTGCTTGTGTTTGTTTGATCTCTGCACGCAAGCCCAGTTCGCACGTCTCACGATTTAACTTTACTTTGCGACCATGGCCTACCACGGCTCTGGTTCCCAGTCGCCTGGGGAAAATTATGATGAGGGCGGTCACCATCTCCAGGACATCGCCAATAACCAAAACGTAAGCTGTCTTTTTGGGCCCCCTGAACGACTAATTCTGGTTCGCAACCGGCGAAACTAATACTCTCTGCCAACCAACTGTAGTACGAAGAAGAGGCCTCCAGAGGTTTACTATCCAGCCAGCAGAGCCCCTTCTCCGGCCCCTTCGATGACCCCCAACAGCGTGGGCTTTCACCTGCACCGCGACCGACCTCTGGATACAGCTTGACCGAATCCTACGCCCCAGAGGCCGCCTACCATGACCCTTATAGCGGTAACGCATCAGTTTACTCTGGTAATTCAGAGAACCCTGCGGCTGCTTTTGGCGTGCCTGGACGTGTCGCGTCGCCTTATGCCCGTAGCGAAACTTCTTCGACAGAAGCTTGGCGACAGCGCCAGGCCCCCGGTGGTAACAACACTGGCGGCGGCGGCGGAAACCTTCGTCGTTATGCTACCAGAAAGGTTAAGCTGGTCCAGGGTTCCGTCCTGAGTGTAGATTACCCGGTTCCCAGTGCTATCCAAAATGCTATCCAGGCGAAGTACAGAAATGACCTAGAAGGAGGTACTGAGGAATTTACCCATATGCGATGTGAGTGAATCTTCCCCCCCCCCACCTCGATGAAATCCTCAGCAATGCGATGCTAACACACTTATTTAGACACTGCTGCTACTTGCGATCCTAACGAATTTACTTTGCACAATGGTTACAACTTGCGCCCCGCTATGTATAACCGACACACCGAGTTGCTGATTGCGATCACTTATTACAACGAAGACAAGACTCTTACCTCCCGAACCTTGCATGGTGTTATGCAGAACATTCGGGATATTGTCAATCTGAAGAAGTCGGAGTTCTGGAACAAGGGTGGTCCTGCCTGGCAGAAGATCGTGGTTTGCTTGGTTTTCGACGGTATTGACCCTTGCGACAAGGATACTCTGGACGTTCTTGCCACCGTCGGTATCTATCAGGATGGTGTTATGAAGCGTGATGTTGATGGAAAAGAAACCGTGGCTCACATTGTAAGTCCCAATCTCCTGATTTGGATGGAGACACGTTAGCTAACACATGGTAGTTCGAGTACACGACGCAACTTTCCGTTACTCCAAACCAGCAGCTCATCCGACCGACTGATGACGGCCCAAGCACCCTTCCTCCTGTGCAGATGATGTTTTGCTTGAAACAGAAGAACAGCAAGAAAATCAATTCTCACCGATGGCTCTTCAACGCCTTCGGTCGTATCTTGAACCCCGAGATCTGTATTCTTCTTGATGCTGGTACTAAGCCGGGTCCCAAGTCCCTGCTCTACCTGTGGGAGGCCTTCTATAACGACAAGGATCTCGGAGGTGCCTGTGGTGAGATCCACGCCATGTTGGGTAAGGGATGGAAGAACCTGGTCAATCCCTTGGTCGCCGCACAGAACTTCGAGTACAAGATCAGTAACATTCTCGACAAACCCTTGGAAAGTTCCTTTGGATACGTTAGTGTGTTGCCTGGTGCTTTCTCCGCTTATCGCTTCCGTGCCATTATGGGTCGCCCTCTGGAACAATATTTCCATGGTGATCACACCCTCTCCAAGCAGCTGGGTAAAAAGGGTATTGAGGGTATGAACATTTTCAAGAAGAACATGTTCTTGGCCGAAGATCGTATTCTATGTTTCGAGCTGGTCGCCAAGGCCGGTTCTAAGTGGCATCTGTCGTACGTCAAGGCCTCCAAAGCCGAGACTGACGTGCCCGAAGGTGCTCCTGAATTCATTTCCCAGCGTCGTCGTTGGCTGAACGGTTCCTTCGCTGCTGGTATCTACTCGCTGATGCACTTTGGCCGCATGTACAAGAGTGGCCATAATATCCTTCGCATGTTTTTCCTACACATTCAAATGTTATACAACATGTTCACGACTGTTCTGACATGGTTTTCTTTGGGTATGTTTCCCTCGACTGATATATATATCTATGTCAACTTCCTGATTTGCTAATTCCTCCGTCTTCCCAGCGTCTTACTGGCTTACTACTTCGGTTATTATGGACCTGGTTGGAACTCCCAGCTCTTCCAACGGTTACAGTGGTTTCCCCTTCGGCAAGACGGCGACGCCAATTGTTAATACCCTGGTGAAATATCTGTATCTCGGATTCTTGTTGCTGCAGTTCATTCTGGCTCTGGGTAACAGACCTAAGGGTTCAAAGTTCTCCTACCTCGCCTCGTTCGTCGCTTTCGGTATCATCCAGCTCTACATTGTCGTTGATGCGATGTATCTGGTGGTGCGTGCGTTTACTGGAGGTGCCCCGATGGATTTCGTCACCGATAAGGGTGTGGGCGAATTCCTGAAGTCTTTCTTTTCTTCCACTGGTGCGGGTATCATTATCATTGCCCTAGCTGCTACATTCGGTCTTTACTTCGTTGCTTCTTTCATGTACCTGGATCCATGGCACATGTTCACCTCCTTCCCTGCATACATGGCGGTCCAGTCGTCCTACATCAATATCCTGAACGTCTACGCATTCAGCAATTGGCACGATGTCTCTTGGGGTACCAAGGGATCCGATAAGGCGGACGCCCTCCCCTCTGCGAAGACCACGAAAGAAGAGGGCAAAGATGCCGTCATTGAGGAAATCGACAAGCCTCAGGCCGATATTGATAGCCAGTTCGAGGCCACTGTGAAACGCGCCCTGACACCTTATGTGGCCCCTGTTGAGAAGGAGGAGAAGACTCTGGATGATTCTTACAGGAGTTTCAGAACTCGACTGGTGACATTCTGGATTTTCAGTAACGGTCTTCTTGCAGTCTGTATTACGAGTGATGGCGTGGATAAGTTCGGATTCTCGGTATGTCTCTCTGTCTCCTTTGGATTTCAGCCTGGAGCATATTCACTAATTCAATATCCCAGAATTCGGCCACTGTGCGCACTTCCCGTTTCTTCCAAATCCTTCTATGGTGTAATGCTATTGTCGCGCTTATCCGCTTTATCGGAGCTTGTTGGTTCCTTGGTAAGACGGGTCTCTTGTGCTGCTTCGCCCGGCGGTAGAGCCCTGCCCGTTTTAATGAAAAGCCAAGTAAAAGATCCCCTGCGAATGAATGTCTTCCAGGGCTTTCCCAGGAGTTATTCTTGGGCACATTTTTGTTGCAATTTTGTATTCTAAATATGATGTTCATTCTTCGTTTTCTGTTCATTTACTGCGCTCGCCGGATATTTTACGTTTGACCGAAGCTGCGGGGGCTTTGATGTTTTTGTAGACTCCTAGTGATTAGAATAAATAGGATGCATTTAAAGGCGTGGACCTGAGATCGCGTGCATGACTTGTAAATCCAAGTCCGTCAGCTTATGAGTTCTTGCATGCCGTCAGGCCGACGGCTCCACCCGCCGCCCGGTTCCTCCATCTGCCAAGTCCAGGCTCTGGTCTTCGTTCTCTGACTTTCTATACGCAGCCCAGTCTTTTTCCTCTCTTCAACCGTGTAAGTACAAGACTTCATTCATCTGATTCCTGCTTGATAAACGAGTGAGTCTGGCTGACTCAAGTTCCAGTGGCGACGGCCGTTTCCTAGCCACCAAACCCCGCCTTCCTGGATCTCCCCTCCTCCCGCTGGACCCTCTATCGTCCGCGACGCTTCACCACCTCCTTCTCTATACCCCGGAACGCTTTCAGACGGCGCTGTTATTACACCCAGTATTCAAGATGTTGAAAATCTGGTCCATGGTATGAGGCCCTGCGTCTACCTGTTCATTCACAGAGCGACCAACTGAAAGCATAATCCCATCAAAGAACCCCAAAACACAGCTAACGCGGGGATTCCTTGTAAACCAATACAGAAACAACAGCAGCAGCAGGCTGAGAATGCCGAAGGCGCTGCCGGAAAGAAGAAAAAGAAGGTCACTGCAGCCCAGCTGCGTGTGCAGCGCGGTATGTACTCCTTGCTCTTTACCGGGCACCCCCCTGCGTCTTTCTCCGATGCTCAGGCTGCATTCCATCCAGCCTTGCTAACGCCTGCTTTGCTCTAGATCTCCAAGAACTCACCCTCGGAAGCACAATGAAAATGGCCTTCCCTAACCCCGACGACATCCTGAATTTCACCTTGACCATCGCGCCCGATGAGGGCCTCTACAAAGGCGGCTCCTTCCATTTCACTTTCTCCGTTAACCAGAACTTCCCGCACGATCCGCCCAAGGTCAAATGTACCCAGAAGATCTACCATCCGAATATCGACTTGGAAGGGAATGTTTGTTTGAATATTCTCCGGGAGGACTGGAAGCCCGTGTTGAATTTGAATGCCGTTATTGTGGGGATGCAGGTTGGTCTCCCTTTCCTTTATTCACATTCATATACTGGGCTGGGCTTTTTTGTTTTGGGGGGGGAGGGAGGACGGGGGTCATGTTACTGACGCGAGACGATAGTTCCTCTTCCTTGAACCGAATGCCTCCGATCCTCTGAACAAAGAAGCTGCCGAAGACCTACGACAAAACCGAGACTCGTTTAAGCGGAATGTTCGCACAAGCATGGCCGGTGGTAGTGTCCGTGGCGTCCAGTATGAGAATGTGATGCAATAAGTATTGTATTGCCTGATGGGAGGCGGCTCTTTTTTAACGGACGGTTTTATTTCCCGAGAACAGAGATATTGCTTTTTCTCTGTCGAGAACCCCCCTCTAAAAAGTCGAGCGTCTGACGACCGTGCACGAAGGATTCGATTGGGGCTGATTGTGCAAGAAACGGATGGGTGGTTACCTTTGCATCAGCATGGGGATTTCTCCTCATGGTGGTATTTCATCTCACTTTGAATTAATTTTTTAGCGACTGGATAGATTCCCTGATGAATGCAATGAATGGACGAGCTTGCGAGGATGCTCTTTTTCTACATACATACATACATACATACATACATACATATATATATATATATATATTCATATCGTAGGTAAGGTGGTTATTGAAATACTCAGGTAGTGACCGTGAGCGGAGTGGACCGGGTTCCCACGCCCTTTTCATACCAGTTGTTCTGTGTACGTCGAGAGACCTAGGAGGAGACAAGTACGTATCTACGAGAGACAAGTCAAGTAGTACAGCCGCGGATTCGGAGCACAAGTGTATATATACAACTGACAGACAGGCACAAAGGAAACCTAAGCGGTAGTAGATAGGGAGTCTAACATTTCTTTCTCATTTCGTTCTCCATCCCATTGAATAATCAATTAGACAGCCTCCCAGACAAGAAGCCTAGACCAGCCCAGACCAGAACTGAACAGTGTAATGATGACTCGGGCTTTCATTGACGATGTGCCGGAACATATCCTTCCAACGCCACCTCTGTATCTTGACCATCGGTGAACTTCAGAATCGCATTGACATTCGACGAGACTGCGGGTTGACTGGCTAATTGACGAATTGACGTTTCTCGAGGGATCTATGCCTGGCTAGCAGCGCGCTCGGCCTCCAGACGGGTGTAGTAGCTGTCGCGGGCCTGGACGCGGGGGAGGTGGTAGCCTGGTAGAGTCAGAATAATCCAAGGAATAGAGTCATTCTCAATATGGAAAACAGAGAGAGAGAGAGAGAGAGAGAGAGAGAGAGAGAGAGAGAGAGAGGGAGGGAATGGTTGACATACCGTACCACCAGAGGTAGCCGAAAGTGGTACCGAAACCTATATACATATATACCGACGAGAAACCGGTTAGTGTTTGTCCTGGTAAAATGTCCATGTAATCCTATCCCGCAAAGTCGTGGCCGCATTGCACATTTGCCGAGCTTCGCGCGGGTAGGCTGGGAATGATCGCGATGGAAGAGAACTCACCGAAGGCGGTGCTCAGGTCGAGGACCAGGTTGCGGCGGAGCATCTGTATACCCAGGGGGAATTGTTAGTGAAGGTCTTCCTAATCTTCCTACTCTGCCCTTGAAGGGGTTCGTGGGAGTCAAAAGGTCGTTAAGGTGGGGATTTCGGGAACGTACGCCGGTGATGGGGGCGATGGGGGCAGCCATTGCGATGGTTGTATGGCTAATTTAGAGAGAGTGGGAGGATCCAAGAAAGGACGGAGCAGAGAAAAAGGCCTGCTTTGCGTTGGTGGTTTGGAGGTGGAGAGAGGAGAGGAGGAGACGAGTGGTGGATGTTGGACGTCAGGTCGAGGGTGAAGCTTTCCGATCCGGCACGGTACAGTAAGCGACTTGTCGTGAGTGGCCTGACTGGTAGCGGCCAGATGGATTAATCCTACGACAACGGGAGGGAATTGAGGGAGGACTTGATTACACCCATATATTACTCACTATGTACTTACTTTATTCTAGATAATTTTTTGGCGCATATCGGTTTATTCTCCTTGATTCTTCGGCTTGATTTCCACAGCTCACCGGTGCCTCAGGCCGACCTTCTTTACAGTCACGTGAAGCGAGACGGATTTGGTGTTGTCAGTATCGCCGTCCTTGTGTGTCTTCATCACAACATTACCAGCCCACCGCCATGCTCTCCTCTGAGCCAGCCGTTAAGCGGCCATCATCGTCGCTCTCTGAACAGCTGGCTGAGTCTGACACCAAGCGAGTCAAGCATCTATATCATCACCATCACCGTCTCCAGAATGCCATTAATCCAGGTCTGCTGGAACCCGCTATCACCGATGACTCCTACGTCGACCATATGATGAATCGCACTATTGGACAGTCGCTCCGAGACTGTGGATTCGATTTGGCCGATCCCGCCGCGCTTGATAGTTTCCGCAATGCAGCGGAGGAGTGTATGTGATGATACATTTGGATGGAGATCCAGTTGGAGGATGTATGATATTGACTTGGACATTCATGATAGATCTTATGAAGCTCGCGTCGTATGTGCGCATTTCAATGCTCTCGAGTCGCCGTCTACAGCCTATACCCCAGGATTTCGAATACGCCTTGAAGAGACACTCCTTGCCTGTGGACTCACTTCTCCCGCACCTAGAACCACTACCAAAACGTGAACCTGCGGCATCACAGCTACCAAGCCCTCCACCAGAAGAGGAAAACTTCAAAAGTTTACCTTCCCTCGGACCGCAATTAAGTGGTGAAGATGATCGTGTTAGGAGTCCATATATTCCCGCCCATTTCCCCGAGTTCCCTAGCAAACACACCTACCGCCACACACCCGTCTTCACTGAGCGAGAACGAGATCCGCGTAAAATCCGTGAGCAAGCAGCAGAGGATGGACGCCATGGGGAGGAAGCCTTGCGCAAACTCGCACGAGCAGCATATAAAGATAATCAGCTTGGTTCAGCTGGTCGCGACAAGAAAACATGGGGCCGGAGGATGGAGAGTCTGGATAGTATGTTTGAAAAAACCATCAAGGGACTATCCAAGAAGGCTGCGAAGAATTATCTTGCCCCTTCTACTATGGATATCGACTCAGGGGCAGCTCCCGAAACGGAGGCGAAACTAGCCAGGTCCAAAGGGTTGCTTGGTATAGAGTTACCACCTGTTATAAACTGCGAACGAGACCTTTGGCGTCGCAGTGCGATGTCGGGGAGGCGAAGACCGGAGGAAAAACCAGGCGATCCGAAGAACCCCCCGAATATATCGAGAGTTGATGGCTGGGTGCGTACATGAGAGGCATGGGCAGCGGTGACTCGAAACCAACAGCAGCGTGGCGTTTTGGTGTTTTCATTCCCCTATTATTCTTATAGCATATTTGGTACGATACCCATATGAAGCATATTTCAATATCATTCAAGTAACCCGCTCCTATGTCCTGTTTCGTTATGAACATCCAAACTCCAGTCCCTAACTCCGTAAATGCAATGCGATGGACCTGTAGCAGGGATTATGCCTTCATATTATTTTTCGCGTCACGTTCACGCTTTGCATCTTCTTCAGCTTGTCGAATAGGTTCCCATGCGGTCGTCTCAACGGTCAACCCTCCTGCACATCTGAAGAAGAAATCTTAGTTTGGTAACCTAGCACCAACCCCTCCCAGGGAGACATGCCATACCGTCTGAACAATCGCACCACTGGTTTGCAGACTACCACACCAGGCTTTGGGATGCCATCCTGTGGAGGATTACAGGAGTACTGCACCATTTCCAGAAGCTTGCACTTTTCAAGCTCTACCGGACCGCCCTTGCGAAGCTTTTCCTTGAAGTTTCTCGAGACGATGTTGACATGATCTGGAAGGGCAGCGGCGGAGAATACGGGAACGAGGGGCGCCATTGAGCGTGGTTTTTCTTCGGGATAGAATTAGAAGCGGGTATTAAATGCGTGATGCTTTCAGTATAGGTTGGATGTTTGTGGAGAAAGATATGGAGTGAAACGAGATGGTGGATGAAGGATGAAGCGGAACAATTTCTCGGAGCGAAGCTGCCGATTCCACCATCCTCCAAATCCCGTCCGTTCTTCACACGATGGACGGAGTACTCGTTGATTCTACAGTTGTTGCTAGTTATTTGACCTACTGGGCCTCGCCTCATGGATAACATTGCTTGAAATTTGCAATGTTTACTAGATTCGTTAACCCTCGACTGCAAGGCTCCGTCAATGGCCGCCAGTTTCGGGGAAAAGCTGCTGCAGGAGGTGCATGAAGAGGGTCTGGATGAGGTATGTTGATGCTTATGTATCCGGCCTTTGGGGAAAAATAGATAATTTTTGTCCTTGAGAGTCCCGAAAAGACACATTCCTTGGATATTCAAGTGTGCTTACGTATCTCTCTCAGTTACTGCGCGACTTGAGGGCTCTATATTATGAGAATGTAGAGAGTACTCGAACGGGCCGGGCCAGCCAGTTGGGTGTAGCGCCTATTGATGGACTCCTGGAGATATTCATGCCATCGACCGTTCGACCGCCATCTGAGCAGCATATCATAGAGCAGAGCACCCTTCATACGCACTCCGAAGCGCCAATTCAGCCTCTGCTTTATGTCAATCCCACGAATCCTGTCCTAGAGATCTCGAGCACATCGTCCGCAGCTGGAAAATCCCAGTTGATCTACTATTTGACTGCTCTCGCGGTATTGCCGCCCAAATACAGTGGAATCATACTAGGTGGTCATGCTGCTGCCGTCGTCTTCATTGATGCAGATGGTAGATTCGATGCCGAACGCCTGCGAAACATCGCTCGCGGAATCGTCGAGGACAAACTGCGGAAGAAACCCGAAACTACACCTGTGGGTGATATCCCAGGAAGGACCGTTAATCCGACAATGGATCAATGTCTTGAGGCTTTGCTTCTTGCCTCTCTACAACATGTCCACGTATTCCGACCGCAGTCGTCGTTAGCTTTACTTTACACACTACAGTCCCTGGACACGTACCTCCTAGACCTGTCTCGCCATGTGTCAGCCAACCGACGGGTGCACTCTATAATCGTAGACAGCGCCACGGCCTTTTACTGGCAGGACAAACTACAGGATGAAGTCGCACGCACCGAAGACATCGGGCGTCCCATCGATGAACTCGAACGCGAACGGCGAGAGCAAAAAAGCTTTTACCTCGCAGACATGTACGCGGATCTAGTTACTGCCTTGAAGCGGGTGCAGCGACTATTCGACTGTGCTATTATTTATACAAGCACGTCCTTGGCGGGGAAGTCAGTGGGAAAACCCGGAGCACCGTTGGATGCCTATAACCCCCTGGACACGGTTCTCCCAAACATGGTCTCGTTTCGATCTTCTCTCCCTCCCCCTTGGGGGCTGTTTCCAACTCTACGACTTGTTGTCCAGCGGGACATGGTTCGGCCCTTCCCGCCTACGATGAGTATTCGTGACGCCCAGAAGGACGCGCAGATGCGCCACGAAGTTGTCATGCAAGGGAAGTTTGTAGGAAGTGTGAATGGATGGGGGCGAGAAGATTGGCCACGGAGGGTTCTGGAGGGGGTCAAGAGACTTGATGGAGGCCAGTTTGTATTCCAGGTTGGACGAGATGGGGTTACTTTTTAACTGATTTATCCGTTTCTGAGCAAAGTGCGGGGGAATAATCACAGCTTGTCAGCCTGCAATTACAACTTGCGGGTATCGCGTGCTTTTCACTTGTTCCAAGGGTTGGTGCATAGTGCAGTGCATGTTGTGTTATAAATCATTCGGTCTATAACTAGTTCATGTCTATCAGCCCGCGTTCGGTAGATGTATTAGCATGTTCAAGAAATCAGCCAAACAGCTTCCCAATTGCCTCCACAGTAGTATTACCACCGCTAAAGACAACACCGACATCCCACCCCTGTGGAGCCTCCTTCTCAACAAGCCTTCGGAAGTCCTCGTTATACAAGCAAGCCGCCAGGCCAACGACGGCACTCGGCTCCACAAAGACCTTCATGCGCTCCAGCACCAGCCGCATGGCCGCCTTGATCTGCTCCTCCGTCACAGCGAATACACCGGCATGCTTCGTCCGATCCGAAATCACCTCCCAATTCAACAAGCCCACGGGGGTCCGCAACCCATCGGCAATAGTCAACGTCTTCACGGCGTCGACCCGCTTCCCTGCCTGCAGCCCGCGGCAGCAGTCATCCGCGCCTTCGAAACTGGGCTCCGCGCCAAAGACCTTCGTCCCTTTATCCGCGAAGAAGGTCGTCACGCCAGCGTTCAGCCCGCCACCACCAACCGGGGTGATCACGGCATCGATGTCGTTCTTCGCGCACGCATGCACGCTCAACTTGGGCTCCTCGCGCACCGCGCCCGCATACTGCTCGTAGATCTCCAGTGCGGTTGTGCCCTGTCCGCAGATAATGTTGAAGTCATCGTAGGGCGGGACGAGAATTGCCCCCGTGCGCGCCTGCACCTCTGCCACGACAGCTTCGCGCTCGGTACTGGTGGACCCGCTGAGGATCACCTCCGCACCGTGGGACTGTGTCCCCGCAATTTTCGAGGGAGTGCTGATGCGAGGCATGACGATGTAAGCGGGGATGTTGAGGGTTGATGCGGCGAGGGCGAGAGCCTGGGCGTGGTTTCCTTTTTAGGCGAGAGAGAGAGAGAGAGAGAGAGGGAATTAGCTTCCCCCTTCATTCCATTCCGGGGGTTTTGGGTGAAGTGACAAACCGGAACTATGTGTGGTCACTCCCTTCTCTCTTACTGCGTCCTCGCCGCGCTCCTCGATCAGTCGGAGCAACGCATGAAAGGCCCCGCGGGCCTTGAATGCTCCAATGCGCTGGTAGTTTTCGCATTTGAAGAAGAAGTTGATCGTGGGCTGGGCGGGGGGTTGGCCTTCAAAGGGGGTTCCGACCAGAGCGTCAGGCGACTGCGGTGTCGAGGCGATCTTGTTGAGGGTTTGGCAGGTGAGGAGCGGGGTGCGATGGATGTACGGCTGGATGATGCTGTACGCAGCGTGCACGGCGTCCGGCGTGAGGGATTGTGCGGCGACGGAGGGGTTGGTCATTTTGACTTGATATTTGGCTCAGGATAGATAGATATGATACTTTAATACTTTGTACTGAGAGAGTTGATTTCCAAGACAGCTTGTTGTTCCTAGATCGGAGAGTGAGTCAGTACTACAAATATAAGGAGCTAAAGAGCTGGACCGAGGGAGTCGGAATCGGAGCCCGCCGTTGATCCATTGAATTCCGAGCCGAGTGGACTAGTAACCACTATCAATGAATGATCTCTCGCGTGGAAATCTTTTAGTACCCTTGGGATACCTGGTTGGTTATACAGGTGGATTCGTTGCTGCAAGGAAATGGATTCAATTCCAATATTATTATCTAACAAACATAAATGAAATCAATTCATGGTACATTCGTAACTTTTCCCAACCCAGGATTGAACACAACTCATTAATTTATTTCTTGCTCTCAGGGCGGAGAGAACTAGTCATTTGTTAGCATCACTATTCATGCAGTAAAAAGGTTGGGAGGGAAAAAAAAAAGCTTACCGAACAGCCTTTCCGGCGCGCCAGATCTCGAGATCACGGATGTCCTGCATCTCCTTCTCGTACTTCTCGCGGTAATCCTTCTGGGAGTTGTATTCCAGAGAGCGCTTGGTCTCGCTGCCGTTGTGCACGCTGTCGTAGAGGTCGTTGAAGACGGGCTTCAGGGTGTCCTTGAAGCGGCTGGACCAGTCGATGGCACCACGGCGGGCGGTGGTGGAGCAGGCAGCGTACATCCAGTCCATACCGTTGGCACCAATCAGAGGGTAGAGGGACTGAGTGGCCTCCTCGACGGTCTCGTTGAAGGCCTCAGAGGGGCTGTGGCCACGCTCACGGAGAACCTCGTACTGGGCAAGGAACATACCGTGGATACCACCCATGAGACAGCCACGCTCACCGTAGAGATCGGAGTAGACCTCCTTCTCGAAGGTGGTCTCGTACAGGTAGCCAGAACCGACAGCGACACCCATGGCAATGGCCTTCTCCTTGGCGTTGCCAGTCACATCCTGGTAAACGGCAATTGAGGAGTTGATACCACGGCCCTCACGGAAGAGGGAGCGGACGGTACGGCCGGAACCCTTGGGGGCGACGAGGATGACATCAACATCGGTGGGGACCTCGACCTTGGTGAGGTCCTTGAAAACGGGGGAGAAACCGTGGGAGAAGTAGAGGGTCTTGCCCTTGGTGATGAGGGGCTTCAGAGTGGGCCAGGTCTCAGACTGAGCGGCATCGGAGAGCAGGTTCATGACGATGGTACCCTTCTGGACGGCCTCGGTAACATCGAACAGGTTCTTGCCTGGAACCCAGCCGTCCTGAATGGCCTCCTTCCAGGAAGCACCATCCTTACGGACACCAACAATGACGTTGAGGCCCTGGTCACGCAGGTTCAGACCCTGACCGTGACCCTGGGAACCGTAACCAATGAGAGCCAGAGTGTCATTCTTGAAGTACTCCTGGAGCTTCTCACGGGGCCAGTCCTCACGCTCATAAACAGTCTCCTGGGTATCAGCGAAGGTGATGGTCTTGACGCCACGGACGGGGACGGAGGGGATTGAGACACGGGGGACAGCAGCAGCAGCCTTTGCCAGAGAGGGCCGGGGGAGAGCGGCGGAGACGACGGACCGGGGGGCGGCGACACGGGCCACACGGAGGGCACGGGGAAGACCACGAGAAGCCATTGTGAAAGAAGGGGGGGGGGGATTGATGGAGGGGAGAGGGGATTGAAGGGAATTGAATAAAAGGTTGAGAGTGATGAGGAAGAGAAAGAAGGAAGAAAAGTCCAACCTGGCAACGAGGAGCAGACAAGATTATAAAGTCGTCGCTGGGGTCAGCCTGGTTGCTGGGCAGGCACGTGATCCCGGAGTTGGTCGTGGGCTCCCCGGCCGATGTCGGATTACGAAACATGATTCGGAGAATTATATCAATTAGTTAACTAAAGGTTGTTACAATAATGCATTATTAGGATGGATTTCATTCAAGAGTGCTTGTCAACTAGAATTCTATTGGAATTGCTGTACTCCGTAGAGTCTGTGTGCATTCCTTCCGGACAACTTTGGACGACTCCGGAGTTCTTGGAGCGCAAAGTAAGTAACTATTTAGTATTCTTATTAGTTAACTAGTTAGTTACAAAGTACTCCGTACTCCGTACAGACTACAGAGTATGACTCTTACTCAGGATCTCAACCGTGGATTCAAAAATGGATCTCCAGCTCTCGAAACGCGGAGACCAAGGTATGCCTTACTGCCTGAGGTGTCACTAACTCCATCCACGGGAGTTACGGATAGTTCCCTAGATATGGAGTACAAGCCTACAAGGTACTAATTACTATGTAGATGTAGACAATCTCTCTTTATTGACTTCATTACTTTGACCTTTCTTCCCAAAGTACTCCGTAGACGACAAACGAAGGAAAGAGAGACGCGCACTCAGTTGCCACGTGATCCTTTTCAACCATCTGGTACTTTTGACCAGCTCCATTATAACAATAGTACACTTAAGACTCACTCCCTCCCTCAGCCAGCATCTCGCATCTTTTAGCCCACCGTCAATTCTTATTCTTATTCTTATTCTTATCCTGCAGCTTCCCCCCCCCTGCTCCCTTTCGCAACCTTTTTCCGCCCTTGCCCTCGTCTCCAACCACCCTTCCCCCGGTTCCTTGACTGTTGGACCTCGAATTTCAACTATCTATCGCTTACCTTCCCCTTCCTAACTTGACCATGTGCAGACAAGAATGAATCTCTTTTCCGCTCTCGGAGCTCTGCCTAAAATCCAGACCCGAAAAGCCCTCATTTTGCTCGACTTCCAGAACGACTTCGTCCGGGACACGGGAGCTCTCTACGTCCCCAACACACAGGATTTTCTTGACTCACTTTCTCAGCTCACTAATGTCTTTCGTCGCACTGGGGATGTTGTTTGGGTTCGCTCGTATTATGAGTCACGTAGACAGCTGATCGGCCCAGATGGCCAAAGCCTTGTGGTTTTAAATCGCACGGAGGAAGATACTAGAAGCAAGCAATTACCACATGATGAGCCCGAGGGGCCTATTCATGAGGAAGCCTTTCTTTCAACTGAGTCACCACGCTGTTGCCTTCCGCACTCGGCTGGCGTCCAGTTCCCCGCTCCCGTTCTTGCCGCAATAAATGCCGGCTCAGATACGTTGATCGAGAAATCCGAGTATTCTGCCTTGCAATCCTCGGGTTTAGTCTTGTCCTTGCGCACGCGGTTTGTCACCGAACTGTATCTCTGTGGCTCCCTCTCCAATACTTCTGTGCACGCTACCGTGCTCGACGCTGTCCGTCACGGTTTCTCCGTCACCTTGATCGAAGATTGTCTTGGATATCGTAACTTTTCCCGTCACGAAGAAGCCATGCGATGCATGGCAGATATTTACGGAGCGAATGGTATTACCTCTCAGGAGCTTCTGGAAGAACTGGATTGGCAGGAAACCGATTGCATTGCCCGGAAGGGTGAGCCCCGGCCCGCACGGCCGATAGCTCCCGCTGGCATCGAGGGGGTTATGGAAGAACTTGAAGTCAAACCGGATCTTAGAGCGAGTCCTGAGCGAGATAGCCCTAAGGTTTCTTCAGCAGGTGCGAGACGCCGTAGAATTGCCGACCTTTTGGCTGAACTGCCTGACGACGAAGGACACCTCCTGGAGCTCACAAATTTGACCCGTACACGAAATATGTCGCGATACGCACCACCGCCTGGCGATGCGCAAACGTCCGAATTAGGAGACAAACTGGTTCGCACAAAGGTACGCCGCACGAAACGACCCGATACCAGGGGCGAGCCATCTTCATCCCGAGGGGAGCATCGCCGAAGCAGGAAACCGAAACAAGCACAGGATATTTGCCGACCGGGCGACGTCATTGGGGAAGGCGACTCTCGGATTGTCTACGATTTAGACCTGCCAGAGAATGCATTTGAGCGGATCCGTGACGAAGTGGCCTGGCAAAAGATGTACCACATGTCTGGCCAAGTGCCGCGTCTAGTTGCTGTCCAGGGGAAACCTTCCCCTGATGGTTCAATCCCAATATATCGCCACCCTGCGGATGAATCCCCCCCACTGCAGCCTTTCACACAGACAGTGGATCAGGTGCGCCTGATCGTGGAACGTATTCTTGACCACCCCCTGAATCATGTTCTGGTCCAGCTTTATCGTGATGGACAGGATCGAATATCCGACCACTCCGACAAGACACTTGATATCGTCCGTGGCTCATCGATTTGTAACGTCAGCCTCGGAGCTCAGCGTGTTATGATCCTCCGTGCCAAAGGCTCCGAAAATGAAGAGGGATCTGGTAGGGTCACTCAGCGCGTGCCCATGCCGCACGAATCGCTTTTTGTCCTGGGAGAGAAGACCAATACTCGTTGGCTTCATGGCATAAAGTCGGATAAGCGCCAGGGCTCAGAGAAGTCGGTAGAAGAGCGCGCATATGATGGCCAAAGAATTTCACTTACCTTTCGACACATTGGTACCTTCCTGGACCCAGCTGGCGATACTATTTGGGGCCAGGGCGCTGTGTCAAAACTCCAAGAGAAAGCTAATCCTGTGATCCATGGGAATCCCGAAGCAACAGAACGACTTATTCGTGCGTTTGGAGAAGAGAATCGTGCCATTGAATTTGACTGGAATGCCGTTTATGGTGGTGGCTTTGACGTGGTCAACTTCGTTACCCCCAGTACCGCAAAGCTGGCTTTGGGCCAGGACGAGATGGCTAATCTACGCGTTCAGCTCTGTTTGAGTGAGAATGGCATTAGATACGATCTTACACCCCTTGGTGCTGTGCACTCTAAGATAGAAGGGAATGCATTCCCACTGTATATTGACTCTGACGGGACTGAGGTTGCTGGTGATATTAAGATCATGACTTATCTGGCGAAGCGAGCTCCAGAGACGGTGCGGCCTGGTCTAGATGTGCTTCAGGGGGGCGATCGGCTCTCTGACATCGATGACCTGCTGGCCAAATGGCGTGAACGCCAGAAAAGCCACGGAGAAATTTCGGATGAATTAGGCCCTTGGGAAGAAGATCTTCACGGGCAGCATTATCTGGGAGGAACTATGTTTGGAATTGACGATTGTTCCTTATGGCCGGTCCTGAGGGAAATTGTTCTGGATAATGGGCCTTTTTCGGAGAAGGATTATCCCAACTTATCCCAGTACTACAACCGTGTTGCTAAGCGCGGCATGGTCAAAGCTGTCCTTGAGGAAATGAAGTGATTTTTGTCATCGGAGCTGATCACAAATGTAAGAAAATCCAACTAACACCTACTACCCTTACAATATACCGAAAGGACTTGGACATTTGTCTCGGGATCATGTTTTTTTTTATCGTGTGGAATCATAAATATATGATATTTTCTGTCTTTTACTTTGGATAGTGTCTCTTGTGAATAGTTACTTGATACCCCACTCAGACTGGATGTTTTTTTTTTTCTATTGCCTACCTGCCCGTTTACCAGACATTATTGTGTCCAAATTCAATGACCACGTAGCCATGATGGAATCCCGCCAGGTACACTGTGAACGGAACTAAGCTGTATATACAGTCTAACTAAAGCTTCTCAAATGTCGGCTTCCGTTTCTGAATCCCTGATAGCAACGCTGCAGAGACATCCTTGGTCTGCACCGCCGCACTGTTCCAGATAGCTGTATATCGGAGGCCTGTTTCCAGATGAGCAACCATGAACCGAACAAAAGAAAAGAAAGGGAATGAATGACCATGGGCTTACCGTCCTGCACCGTATGATCCCGCGACCAATTCAACAACTCCTTGGTCCCCTGAACGGCAACCGGACTCTTACTCGCGATCAACGCAGCCAAGTCCACGGCCCCCCGAACAGCCTCTGCCTTATTCTCAAACACCCGACTCACAAACCCAACCCGCTGGGCCTCCTCCGCCCCAAACATCCGCGCCGTCAACGCCACCTCCTTGACCCAGCCGAAATCCCCCACGATCTTCGGCAACCGGCTCAACGTCCCAACATCCGCCGCAAGCCCGATATCCACCTCCTTCACGGCGAACTTGGCGTCCCGCGCACAAAGCCGCACGTCGCATGCTGAGCTCAGGTCGATTGCGAGCCCGAGCGAGAAGCCATGCATGGCCACGATCACGGGTTTCTCGCACCGCTCGACGGCCGTAATGCAGTCTTGGAATGAGGCGATGTGGCGACGTAGATGGGCGGCTTTTCGGGCGGCGTCGGGGGCGCTCCTGTTGTTGTTGTTGTTGTTGTCGTCGTCGTCGTCGTCGCTATCAGAGAATAACTCCTGCGATGCGGCTTTGACGTCGAGTCCGGCTGTGAAGGCTTTGTCTCCTGCGCCGGTGAGGACTATTGCTCGAACGGAGGGATCTATGGATAGTTGGTTGAAGAGTTGGCCGAGTTCAATCCACATTCTTTTTTTTTTTTTTTTGCCCCCCTCAGTATGTTAGTAGGGTTTCTTTCCTTTTCTTCCAAACAAAAAAAAAAAAAAAAAAAACCAGGTAAGGGGGGGTATAATACGCTTCGAAGAAAGCGTTCAGCTGGGCTGCACGGTTGATTTCCACATGAGCAACATATTGCTGTGGGAATTGGACATTGAAGTGCTTGTATGCGTAGGCTTCTTTCATGATGGGTGTAGTTATATAGATACTAGTGGTTTCTATTTGAGAGTCGCTTTGTGTTGTGTTGCAGTCAGTGTATATATAGAGCGTAAATAATGCAAGGAGCGAGGCTGGCAGCCGAGGTTAGAAGTGAAAGTGGGTGGAGATGATGGCAATTTTGACTTGCTGCAGATACATACAGATACCACAAAGGTTCCAGGATATAGTAATATATTCGGATTTTTATAGCGTCGTCATCTCCGTGATGCTGGAGAATATAGTTATCTCCCTTGCGGAGGAGGTGGTGTTGGATTGAGCTCGCTCAGATGAAGCTATTCTTGGTCGTTAGCTTCACGTGCCTCGGCTCAGTTTCTCACGCTTCTTACGATTAGTTAATTGATTACTATTCATATTAAAAATAGGAATGTATTAAGCTACATACATCCGATCATAATATGGATTATTTATACGATGTTTATTTGTACTGAATGGAGGAAGTTGTAGGCACTATGATGTCATTCTCCTAGTACCTTATCAAATCAACACAACTATTATTCAGGATAATTATGATACAAGGTAAAGAAAACAGATCCACACAATTCAAAACTCCCCCAGACCGATAAATAACAAAGTTGCACTCGGAAAAAAAAGAAAAAAAAAATAGGATTCGTACTGGTGTTGGGCTGGCTCCCCTTACTGAATGGTAATCTTCTTCAAGCTCGGGGCCGCCGCCTTAGGAACCGAAACAGACAGAATGCCGTTCTTCAGATTAGCCTTGACATTGTCCTGGTTGACGCGAGTCGGGAAGTTGAAGGTGCGCTGGAACTCTCCCACAGAGCGCTCGCTGACCCAGAAGCGTGGCTTGTTCCCGCTGGTCCGGATAACTTCGCTGCTTTTGCCCTGGGCTTCTTCTTCTTCTTCTTCTTCTTCTGCTTCGGGGGGAGCTTCGGCGTGGTATTCACGTTCGGAGTGGCCCTTGATCACGAGAGTCTGCGGGTCGGTAAATTCGATGTCAATGTCGTTCTGGGCGATGCCAGGGAGTTCGCCATCCAGGTGGTAGGTATCTTCGGTCTCGCGGACATCGAAGCGCGGCGCAAAGGTGCGCACCGCAGTAGGTTGGCCTCTGCTTGAGCGGTGGACATCGTAGTCGTCCAGGAGGCGGAAGAGAGGAGAGAAGTCTCCGGCAGTGGGCATGGATCGGAAGAGAGACATTTTGGTTGAATTTGGACTGAGAGTCAAGTATGATTTGAGTAGCGAGGTTTGAATTAATCACTAGCTAAAGAGCTTGTGTTTGATGAGTTATCTCGGAGTTTGTCTGGTTGGGTGATTGTGATGGCGATGAAGGGGACAGACAGATGAGAGTTTGGGAGCTCTTATATAACCCCCTGGACACATTTCGAGAAGCTCCCATGATGTCGACGTCGGTTAATCGAGATGTCACGCAACGGTTCTAGAAAATGCTTGATATATCGCGACATTTCGAGCAAAGAGTGGTTGAACCGTCGTGGGAAGCGCTGGAGATTTCTCGGGCATTCGATGCCATCACGTGATACCAGCCACTGTCGCCATTTACCTCTTCTGCATTCCACGGTGCTTTTCCATTGGCATTTCCATCCTGATTTGATGTAATCTTTACATTAAAGGCGTCCACTCGAACTGGTTACTTTTGAGAAGTACACGTCCGGTTGGCTACCAGAATTTGATCGGGCGGGGAATATCCGCCCAGAGGCATCGAGGTCATTCCACCATGATATCTCTTCAGGCCACCTTTCTTGTTTGGTGGTAACTCCCGGCTTAGGGTGAGTATCCCCGGGTAGTTCTTTCTTGCAGCTGTGCTAATTTAAATTTAGAATCTTGTTTCTTCCCGTAAGCTCTTCCACGTTAGCTTCGAAGAGGTTCTAACTTTCGTCTGGCTCGGTCTCTTGTTTGTCATTGTGTGGGATTTGGCTCTCCCTGTGTTAACGCGCTGGTCGGGACGGGGATATTAACTGTGGCATAGAACGTCCAGATAGTATATTGGAATATCTGGTACTTGAAAATCGATATTATATAGCTTTACATGTCGAGTTGTGGGATGAAAGATACATTTTTATCCTTTTGGACACCCGATCCTCCATGATACTTAAGAAATTGTCCAGGAAAATGCCAACTTTTACTCTACAGCTTGTCAAAAGCCTCCACTGCAGCTTCAGCGGTAGCATGAGCACTAGCAGGGTTGGCGCCAGTCACCAGGCGTCTATCGGTGATAGTGAATACGTCCCACGGTCCAGGAGGTGAAATGTCTGCGCATCTCTTTATTAGTATCAATGGCCTAGGGCATGAAACGTCAAGGCACAAACAAACATGTAGCTCCAGAGGCCGCAGCGGAAGCTTCAATGGTAGGTCGGTTCCAGCTCTTGATAGTATCAAGGACACCTTCCTCTTCCTCGCCGCGAGTGGTGAACTCGGTGACTTGGCAGGAATCAATGATGGGTTTCCCTGTGCTGGAGTCAATGATTCCGGGGAAAATAGCGCCCCCATGGCACCTGTGTATATTTGTTACCATTGTAGCTTTTTATGCATATAGTCGGCCAGTCGCTTTTGGGAAGGGAGCTTACACGGCTGATACAATTCCGTCATCAGCATAGATCCTGGATGCAATAGCTTGTAGGCCTCTAGCATCTGGGTAGTCGATCAAGGACGCATGACCGGCAGACGCAAAGAATAGTCCATACTGAAGAGGTCAGGTCAGCCAAGTCTGTCTCTGGCCCAGGTAAATAATGTGCGGAACAGCTAGTCTCACGCTAGATGGATTGACATCACTTGGCTTATATAAATGATCAAGCTTTGAGCGGAATTCACTCGAGTGATCTTCCCAAACAGCGCGGTCTTCATCGTCCAGCCAGTCTTTCTGCTGGGACAGCCAATCGGCCTGGTAGGTTCCGGTTTCGGAAACCAGATCAACATCGAAGCCTGCTTGACGGAAGACGTTAAATGGGTGCAAGGCTTCAGTGATGAAGAGGCCTGTTTGAATGTGAGCAGTTGTTCTTTAGTTACAGACGGTGGTCGTGAGTACCTGTCTCCTTGCCCTCTGGGTAAAGTGGGGCGTGTGCAGAGGTGATAGCAATGACTGCTTTGCGAGCTGGAGACATTGTGATTCTAGATGAGATTATATTTCAGAATATGCAATGGGATTAGGATAAGAAATGAATTGATAATTTCGGTTTGTACCAGGTAGTTATACTCCGGTAGCTAGCCACTGATCCCATGATGTCATAGGTCATGACATGTGCTGGGTCCGTTCATGAGTTAAGATTTCTTAATGTAAATACATCTCACATTGAGGATCTTTAGAAGATTTGAAGAGTTCAAGAGTTTATAAAGTTGGCATTTTTATACTAGAAAACAAATATTAGAACAAACTTTCTAATTTACCTCTCTCTGTCAGTGTGCCAACCTATGCCGGGAGTGATTCTGTTCTGAAGCCCAACCTAAACCACCTATTTGTCGATCATTTTCAGCTGTATCCCATGATTATTTATGCTAAGCGAGCTTATTTGATGTTCGAGAAATAGCCATCGTTATTTGCGACGGATTGAAGTGGACTTAATCCGTGTTCGGTAACCAGGATAGACCACGCCCTATTCTATAACATCTCATAAGATCAGAGAAGACACCCGGGTGACACGTGTGTTAGGGCGAATAGATGTCTGGTATTTGCAGCTGATTGCTGTAACACGGGGGAGAAAACGATCACCGCAAGAACTTATAGTTTGGTGAAAACAGCTGCTGACCGTAGTCATTGGGACTCTGTTCTGGAATCGTGTGCGCGGAATTAAGATGTCATGGATCGATACCCAGCAAAAATCGAGCTGTCAACAGGGTCGACGAGAATAGTCTTGTTTCGCCATCCTTCACAAGGCGGTGCCGCGACCAGCATACAGTCGAAGCGTATCAATCGGTCGGGAATAGGAGAGCGAGACGGAGGAGGGGGAAAAAAAAATGAAGATTTCGGCGGGGTTTCCGCCAAGTTTATTCAGATTCGGATTCTTCAGGCTGCATAACTTTCTCGTCAAGCTCCTATCATGTTATTAGCGAGAGTCACTGCTAACCCAGAATGTTGCATTGGGTTCTCACCCTCCCTAGTCGTGCTTTGAGGTTCTGCAATTGACTTTCCTTGATCACCAGATGGCGGTCGTCATCCAAGTCTTCCACGATGTAGTCATGTCTCTCTTCGTCGTATTTTAATATGATGGCTTTGACTGACGGATCGCATTCGATGAGCACTCCTATCCGATGGTTAGCGTTTGCCAGGCTGAGGAAGCCCTTGAAGACCATAATCTTACCTCGAACGGCGCGGGGCATGATGGTTGCAGTGAATGAAGCGGACGGCAGAAAGAGAGGGCTGAAAAAAATAGGCTAATGGATAGAAAGCAATATCTGTCTTGTGGATGAGGTTGTTTTGGATGGGGACGAACTCGATGACGGGGAAATGCACTGCCAAGATTCTAAGGCACCAAGGCACCAAGGCATCATTTCATAGTGATGTATAATTCTTGTTATATAGTTATAGTACATGACATGAACATGCGATAAGAATGTCTGCTAGTCTTCGTGAAGAGGGCTTTCCTCCTCTACACTGTTGTCCTCCTCTTGTGGAGGCGTCCAGCCTGTTCCTGCTTGAGCGACAGTTGCCAGTAGTATGATCACAAAGCCCCCCAAAAGAAGCATTTTAATGGCGCGTTCATAACTTTCCATCGCAACCTCTCTATCTACGCTATCCAGCTTTCTTATTAACGCTGGACTCCCGAGGAGTTTGTGGATAATTTCCTCTTTGCCGGAGAGACCTTGCTTCGCGTACCCTGTCTCCAAGCCGTTCTTTAATTCACGTTGAAAGAACCCTCCACCTATGGCTGATCCAAAACTACCCGCGAATCCTCGGGACATGCCCATTAGCGCGGTCACAATGTAATGAACCTCTGGTTTCGTGAGGTGGAGGATGTGGGCAAAGGTATAGTTCATTGACGCGCCAATTATGAAACCGTTGAAGAACGTGGCGCCAATATAGCCGACAGCGGGAGATGTCTGCGTAGAAAGCGCGAAGAGTAATAGGGTTGAGATGGCGAAGAGAAGATAGACAATGACATTAGACCTATAACGGGGACTTCGCTTAGCTTTTGGAAGGAGATGATTTCCGGGGAAAGCTCACAGGTAATAGCTTTGTCCATGGTGAATATGCGTCCACCCGACGACCAAGCCTCCAAGTCCGAAACCTGCATTCGTTGGCATTAAGATTAACCCAGCAGATGCGGGAGACCAGCCCCGGACTGCCATGGCGTAGACGGGAGAATAAAAAAGAACCCCCCAGCGGGCCGTCATTGCAGCTAGTGCAGCGAAGCAGGAAAGCAAGACGCTCCGGGTTTTAATCACCTCGATCGGAACGATAGGCTCAGAGGCGTATTTGGACTCGATAACCCAGAAGGCAGCGAAAAATACAAAACAAAGCAGTATCGGTGTGATCAGGATTTGCGGAGAAGCAAGGCTAAATAGCAGAAGAAAGATACATGCCGTCTAATAAAGATCAGATTAGGCAATAATATAGACTCGTAGTTGTATTCAAATGCTTACCAAAGTTAATGCACCTGCGTAGTCCACTTTTTTCAATTTTTGGAGGAAAGTACTTGTTTTCGATTCGCCAGATTCAAAGTGAGGATGGGAAGGAATGGCAAAGAACAGAATTGGCCCGAGAACCACAGTGATAGGTGCTTGGACCCAGAAAATGAGACGCTGGGATATCTGGGTTAGCATACTACGCTACAGAACTGGGTATTTTGGCATCAGAGCGGGATGGGGCATACCCATCCATATGTTGGAGTTATCAGGCCAGCCAAAACAGCTCCGGATGAAACCCCGAGGGTCATCCCCAGGTTCACTAGGCCAATAAATATAGCCCGTCTTCTTGTACTGATCAAGTCAAGGGTCAAAATGATTCCGGTGATCAGAAGGCCACCAGCGCCAAAACCGCTGAGAGCTCGACCCAGAAGAAAAACTGATAGGTTCGGAGCCGAGGCAGTGACGAAAAGACCAATTGATAGGATCATGCAGGAGAACAGAACGTAGATCCGAGGCGTAAATATTTGGGTGAGTCGTCCGGCTAAAGGAGTGACGCTGGACATGGCAATCTTTCAGGGCACGGTCAGGTCTGAGATTTCTCATCCTAGCACGCAATTGGAGATAGAATATTACCATGTAAGCAGAATTAAACCATGTGGTTTCCTCAAAAGCATCCAGATCATCCGCAATTTCAGATTGCGCCGTTGTCATCATTGACATGTTGGTAGCTATACCAAGTCTTAGTACATGTTGAGTGCGATCTCCCGACAAGTTGAGGTACGCTACCTTGGATAAATACCAAAAGCCCCATGGTGAGGAGAATTGCCAATCCTCTTCTCACCGACACAGGAACCGGGGCTGTAGAACTGATGGACTCACGCCTCAGGAGCGGCGTTTCCTCGTCTGCCAATGCCTCCGCGAGTAGGGGATCCGTGACGGGCTGCCTACTGGTAGGCATTCTGGTAGATAATGCTGCTCTTTACCGGGCTGGATACGTAAAGACCTGAAAAAAGAAAAACAGGAAGCCAATACAGGATGAACCCCCATGTGGTGAAGGAATTGAGAGCAAGAAATGACGGGGGACCAGAGTTGACACTCGCAATGTAATGCTTGGCTCAACCAGTGGTTTGTGCATTTATAATCAAAGTCCCTAACTAACTAACTAACTAACTAACTAGTTAACTTAATTAATAGTTGCCTAGATAGTCAATAGTTAACTAGATGATATGTATTCAGATAGCCTTCTCATATCAGTCAGAATTCATACTGGGAATTATCCTGGATTTACTAGCATGACTCCGTAGTATACCTAGGTATGACAACATATATAGTATACTTTATCAGCAGGTCAATTGATTTCCTTTCCTTTCCCTCATCCTCAGCATCTGCTGTCATTTAGTTTATTGATTTGAAAAAACATGTAATTCATCCCCCGCATAATTCAATATCAATGTCTATGAGGACGGAACATTCCGCCAATTCCGAGGCGAGGGTTCCGAGCCCTCCGCATTCGTAGATAACGAACGGCGTTGGGATTCAAAAAACATATTTATCTTGGTTTCCCCTCGATCTCAAGCCAATTCTTCTCTCTCCCATTGTGTCTCCTTCCTCGAACTCGTCTCTCATCATGGTGCCCCATCCCCTGGCCATTCTCTCCGAGGAGGAGATTAACCTTGCGCGCGATCTCGTCCTCGCAGAGCACCCCAAGACCGTCGTCGACTTCCGTGAGATCTTTCTCCAGGAGCCTCCCAAAGCTCAGCTTCTTGAGTTCCTTGCGCTTGAGCACTCTGGTTGTCTGAGTCCAACTACTCCACGCCCTCCTCGCCTTGCTCTGTGCCAGTACGATGTCATTGGCGCCGACCGAGTTCCCTCGTACCAAGAGTCCGTTGTAGATCTAGTGGCCAAGAAGCGTGTGAAGCATCAGGTGATTGGCAAGGAGCATCATGCTGCCTTGAGTCTGTATGTTTGTTTCCAGTCAATATATCGTCATGATCGCTTACTGATTCCCTGTCTAGGAGCGAGTTTGATACCCTCGTCGAGCGTTGCTTCGCTTCTCCGCTTTTTCAGGCCGCTCTCGCCGAGTTTGACTTGCCAGAAGGATTTGAAGTCGTCATTGAGCCATGGCCATATGGCGGTTTAGACTATAGCGATTCCAACAAGCGGTACTTCCAGGGTCTTTGCTTTGCGCAGGACGCAAGCAAAAAACACCCCGATGCTAACTTTTACTCCTACCCCCTGCCGCTGATTCCTGTCATGGATGCTCATACCCAGGAGATTATCCGAGTGGACCGCCCAGCTACTGGAGGTAAAGGTGATGGTTTGCGCGAGCAGACATTCAAGCGCGACATTATTGGACACTGCAAGGCGTCCGACTACATCCCTGAGCTGCTCCCAGCAGGCTCTCGCAAGGACCTGAAGCCGCTTAATGTTGTCCAGCCGGAGGGACCATCCTTTCGTATCACAAATGAGTCACTTGTTGAGTGGCAGAAATGGCGGTTTCGTGTTGCCTTCAACCCCCGCGAAGGTGCCACTATTCACGACGTGTGGTATGATGGCCGCAGTGTCATGCACCGTCTTGGTATCAGTGAGATGGTGGGTCGCACAGCTCGTGAAAGCTGACGGAGGAAGCTGACCATTAACTGCCACAGACTGTCCCATACGCTGACCCCCGTCCTCCCTTCCACCGCAAGCAGGCCTTTGACTTTGGAGATGGTGGTGGCGGAAACATGGCGAACAATCTATCGATTGGCTGTGACTGCCTTGGAGTTATCAAGTATTTCGATGCGATTCTCACTGGGCCTGACGGCACTGCACGGAAGCTTCCCAATGCTATTTGTTTGCACGAACAAGATGGTGGCATTGGCTGGAAGCACTCCAACTGGAGAACAGGTCGTGCAGTCGTCACTCGCAACCGCGAATTGGTTGTGCAATTCATTATCACTCTGGCAAACTATGAGTACATCTTTGCCTACAAGTTCGACCAATCTGGCGGTATCACCGTTGAGTCCCGTGCAACAGGCATTTTGAATGTGGTCAACATCGACGCTGGAAAGGTCAGCGAATATGGTAATGTGGTCAGCGGTGGTGTGTTGGCTCAGAACCACCAGCATATCTTCTGTGTTCGCATGGACCCTGCCATTGATGGACCGACCAACTCGGTCCAGATCGAAGAGTCACACCCTGTTCCCATGAATGAGGCCACCAACCCCCACGGTAACTTCTACCAAGTTACCTCTGAGACCATTGAGCGCGCATGCTACTTTGACGCTGCCCCTGAATTGAACCGGACGGTCAAGATGATCAACCCTCACAAGATCAACCCCATCAGCAAGAAGCCCGTGGCGTACAAGTTCATTCCCCTGGCGACGCAACGACTGTTGGCTGACCCCAAATCGATTCAGGCTCAGCGTGCCCAATTTGCTCAGCACCATGTCTGGGTGACCCAGCACCGTGATGGTGAGCTGTACGCTGGCGGACGCTACACTCTTCAGAGCCAGAAGGAAGTGGACGGTGTATCTGATGCCGTCAAGCGTGGTGACTCGGTGAATGATACTGATGTAGTTGTCTGGAGTACTTTCGGTATCACCCATAATCCTCGTGTGGAGGATTGGCCTGTGATGTAGGATCTACTCACTCCCTTTGCCCATCGGTATTTTGATTGCTGACTACGAAACCAGGCCCGTGGAAATCTTCCAGCTTATGATCAAGCCCGCTGACTTTTTCACCGCGAACCCATCCCTGGACGTGCCCTCGGGTAAGGACGCAGCCTCGAGGGTAGTGAGTGGTTCGGAATGCTGCCGCAACGCACATATCTAAGTGTAGAGTATGTGTCGGAGGGGGGAACGAGAGTTGAAGTATGACTAACGACCCGATTTGCTGTAACTATATACTAGTAGCATTTAATCAATATATTATTGCAACATTGGAGAGTAATCTTGATCATAGTAGATGGTTTTAAAAGAACGATAGGTGTAAACTACCTAACAGATCTATGTGCGTCTTAAGAATCGGAACATTCCGACCAGCAGGTAAGAGATTTGGGATCTCATTGAAAGCTGATATTTTGTGTAGAGTAGTTTTATGCTACACCTTATCATTAGAATGATGGAAGGTAGATGCATTATTGGACTGCAACTTGATAGTTCCTTTCTTTCTTTATCATATTTAGTGACTCCAGGAGAAATCTTAGTTCCGCCTACTTCCGACCTTGAGGACAAACCTCAACTTTTTGCAGCTCATCGTCCATCCAGATTCCACCATCAACTTTGTCCTGCATTCAAGCCTGATTAGATATTGTTGAGTTATATCACACCCAAATCTTTTTCGCCTTTTCCTAGTCAATTTGTCGGAAATCATGGAGGGCGCAACGCCCAAGCGAGGGAGCCCTTCGGAACCGCCTCCGAGCAGGAAACGAGCCAAGTACACCCAGTTGGCCTGGTATGTTTACCAGTCTTAAAGCGTTCCTGTTGATGGACATTTCACTCTAACCTGTTTATAGTAATGAATGCAAACGCCGGAAGTTGAAATGTGACGGCGAACGTGTCTGCTCTCGGTGTGTTCGCCAGAACACCCAATGCATCTACACCCCCAGCAGCCATGTGGCAAGCAATACGCTGGTGACGCCGCTGGATGATCCCGTTCAGGATGATATGTGAGTGGGCTAATTCACCCATTAATTCCTCTGTGAGGGAAAGGGGGGGTCTATATTTCTAATCTGAGCTTGCTTACTTTCTCTGTAGAATCTCGACAAAGTTTAGAGCGTTTAATCAGCAGATCGAGGCACTGCATCGTGAGATGCGTGCCATGTCTGCTCGCATGCGTGCGCTGGAGGCGACCTCTGGTACTCCAAGTCATGCCAGCAACCATGCCTCTACATCATCAACATCACTCAGTGCCGGACTGCAACGTATCATGAACCGGCCGCTATCACCTGATTATATAGGTCCAACAAGTGCAGAGTTCGGAATTACGGCGCGACAGAATCGGGCTGACGATAGCGACGGGGATAATCCAGAATCAACAGCAGCATCTAGTCCTGTTGCTGTGTCTGATGTTGAAGCCATGACTAGTGATCCTCTTGGATGCCTGGGCAAGGAAGAGGCTCTCCGCCTGGTGACGGTTTATGAGGATAATGTGGGGTTAATGTACCCTTGTATTGACCTTGAAAGTGTGCGCACATATGTGATTGATTTCTATAAGGATGGGGATAGGTCGGGACCAACATCGCCTGATATGACGGACAAAGATTGGTTTTTTGCTCGTGATGTGGAGGTACTAAAGATTCTTCTGGCTACAGCACTTCTAGCTGAATCTCATGGCCGGAGTGAACGGGCTGCACTGTTGGCTGATAGCGTGGAAGACCGGTTTGCAGCACGCCTGAAGGTCCCAGAAGTGGATATGAAGGAACTTCTTATCTTGACCCTTTTGGTACTTCGATCTCTCTTATTACCCCCTTTTTTTTTTTTTGAATATATTACTAACATCCCTTCTAGTCCATCTTCCACTCCTACCGCGATGATGAAGTGATATCATGGCGTGTTATCGGGTTGGCCGTTCGGGGCTCTATGCAGCTTGGTCTCCACCGTCAAGAAACCTGGTTGCGGACAGGAGGCGTATTTCCTGGAGAATTACAGTGGACCTGGGCTAGTAGGCTATTCTGGTGCATCTACGTCCTAGACCGCAAATGGTCCTTTGGAACAGGCCTACCGTTCGCCCTCCAAGACTCCGATATGGACACAAACCTCCCCGAACCAGGCGCCGCCACGCCCTATCTAACATGTATGATTACCTACTCACGACTCAGCACTAAGATCTGGGGACTTGTGATGGGATGGCGTAGCCGCCCTCGAGCCGCAACCTCTGAATACTGCTCGTACCTGGACTTCCAGGTCCAACAGTGGATTCAGTCCATCCCCAGCGAGCTCCGATTCGAGCCCTCCTCACAGCACGAGTCCACTCCACAGACGGACAGGATGACCATGCTTCAAGTGCTCCTTGCCCTACAAGCCAACCAACTCCGGATCCTCGTTTACCGCCAGAACCTGCTGAGCAGTGAAAGCATCGAAACAAACGTCCCTGGAGCATCTGTCGCTGTCGAAACTGCAAAAAGCACGGTGCATATGCTGGCCTACTTCAGCGAGGTCTCTGATATATACTTTCAACGGCCCGAACCGTTCAACTATTTTCTTATCTCTGCGCTGGCCGCTCTTTTCCTTGCTGTGCTTCATGCCCCATCCCGCTTTAGTCAGGTCTGTCGACCGGAGTTCTACGCAGCGGTAGATATGGTGCGGCGCTCGTCCACGCGGGCGCATACTTCTCGCCGACTCCAGAAGATTATCCGGAGTTTGAAGCTCATTCGTCTTAACTTGGACGCAAAGTCGCCGCGAAGTAGGCAGAAACACCGACTACGGCGGGGACAGAATCCAACTCAGATCCCTCGTTTGGGTCAAGAGGAAACAACTCCATTGTCTCTCACTACGCCATGTGATTCACCGCACCCTCAGGGACACCACCATCTTTTTGGCCTGCCTACCCCACAGCCATCAGCGCTGTTGGGGCCCATTTCATCCTCCTTGACTGCTACGCCGACTGACCAGAACAGCTGTGAGGATTTAACAAGTTTCTTCGAGATGGCGGGAGGGTTATACTTTGATCCACGGACAGACGATGGTTTAGCGACGGAGGGATTTCTCCCGCACGGCGGACAAAGCGATGGAATTGATGCCTTTCAAGCGGAGGATGAAGCGCTGACTAGAGTTATGGCAGGGTTGATATGAATGATTGTGAGCACATGCTGCTATCTAAACATCTACTTTCTAAGAGCATAGTAAGTTGAATATTTCTCCAACTGAGGGCCAGTTATATTAGAGTGGCTTTTTCATACACCAATCCCCAAGATTCAAGCTCACGGAATTTCTTCCACCATTGGTGGAATAAGGAGCGAAATGGAGATGCAGTTCTTGCCTGTTCAAGGCTTGTCCCCGAGGAGGATTGTGCGCTAGGCATGAGCCAAGACGCTTCGAAGTGCTTTCAAGATGTTTCCGCGTCGTATGAAAGACATTTTGCAGAGTTTCTAGGCCTGTTACGGAGTACTCTGTACTGAATAGCGTGTTGGTTGTGAAGGTCGGGTAAGAGGAAGTAACATCGTTATATTAACCGACTACTACCCAGGTAGATTGGATGTTCCTGAAGAACTCTCTTGCTTTTTTCTTTCGCCCGCTCCCCCGCCGCAACTTCTCCGTGATCTAGAGAATCTAGTCGCTCCTGAAGAAGATCACTGTTGTGCATTGGAGGAATTATTCGCTGCGGGGAATTGCCGATTCCTGTTGTATCTTCTCCGTGTCCGCTTTGCGAAATGAACCAAGAGCCCCCCTGAAACAGTTACTCTACTCTGGAGAGATCACAGTTTGCAGAAAAGTGTTTCCTCAAGGACGATGCTCCGGAGATAGGGAGTAACCCAGTGTTATGCGCCTCTGGCCGCTCGCCGAAGTGTCCGTTGGCCGAGTATCATGCAAGCATGAAGGTTGCACGACCGGCGTCTTGTGGATACCCACCGGAAGCAACTCGAGGAATCCACGCGGTCTGGTTAATATACTGAAGAGGCATGATTAGATTGTGCACTATAGACAAAGGAGTTGAGCTGGCCGTATCTTCCCCAAATGACCGACATGGTTGGTTTGGACTGGCCGCAAATTATCTGCATATATAGCGGCCCTTCCCTACAGAAGCCCGGAACTGGAGTTCTACACGGTGGTATCGTATTCTTGCACATTGCCGCAACTACATCATATCATGTATTTGCCGATTTTCGCAGCCTCGGCCTCTCTGTTGGTGGGAGTGGCTCATGGCTATGCGTCGCCCGGATCGTGTTCGGGTGCTTGCAATGTCCATGACCCAAGCTTGATCCGCCGTGAGTCGGACGGTCGCTATTTCCGTTTCTCAACTGGAAATAAGATATCTTATGCCTCTTCTTCGTCGATCGCGGGCCCATGGACGACAATTGGATCGATGCTGCCGCATGGTTCGTCAATCGATCTGGCCGGGAACACTGATCTCTGGGTAAGTGGTAACACTGGATATAGTGTTGGGCTCTTCGATAGTATCATCTTGATCTGCTTTTCTGTTACCCCTTCCCACTCCCCTGGGCGTTGTATACGCTGACCCTGGGCCTTGCTTCCCATATCTATAGGCTCCAGATGTCCACCTTGTGAACGGCGTTTATTATGTTTACTATTCGGTTTCCACCTTTGGATCTCAGAAATCTGCCATCGGACTTGCGACGTCTACTACCATGAACTCTGGCACCTGGAAGGACCATGGCTCCGTGGGGATCACATCAGACTCCACCAAGTTGTACAATGCCATTGATCCGAATCTTATCAAAGCTGGTGGGAACTATTACATGAACTTTGGATCTTTCTGGGACGACCTTTATCAGGCTCCTATGAAGTCAACTCCGACTGCTTCTGCGTCAAGCTCCCATAACATCGCATTCAACCCCAGCGGCACTCACGCTGAGGAGGGAGCATTCATGTACGAGCATGGAGGCTACTATTATCTATTTTACTCTGCCGGAATCTGCTGCAGCTATGATACCTCAAAGCCAGCATCTGGTGCGGAGTATAAGATCAAAGTCTGCCGGTCAAAATACCCGACGAGTGGCTTTGTAAGAATATCCTGTGCTCTTTTGGATAATAAGGTGAAACAAACTGATGGAGTATAGGTTGATGCAAGCGGAGTGGCTTGCACCAACGGCGGCGGTACTACCGTTCTCGAAAGTCACGGTACTGTGTATGGACCTGGTGGACAGTATGTTTGCTCTTGTCTTCGTGAAAGTTATTTTCGTTAATTATAGTTTTTTGACTGACTTGATGCAGGGGTGTATTCACTGATCCCACTCACGGTCCTGTGCTTTACTACCATTATGTTGATACCACCATTGGCTATGCGGACAGCCAGAAGCGCTTCGGGTGGAACGCCATCGACTTCTCGAGCGGATGGCCTGTGGTGTAAGATATCAGTTTGCACGCGCGTTTGGCGTACACAATGGAAGACATTTTCAATCATCCAAAAGAGAGGAAAGAAATTCGTGGGAAATTCCAGTAGAGGTCTGCCTGAGGTTCTGTCATCTTTATCTACAAAGATCTTTTGGTTGCAACTCGGACAGTAATCGTCATAGAATCATATTGAGACCCTGTATGGATATTCTAACAGCTATGCAAAAAGATACCATGAGAGGAATATATCTTCATGGAGAGGGATAGATCAGGATACTGTAGAACAATCTTCTTCGAGTCACTGAATGAGTTTGGGCTCACGGCAAAGCAGCGGACACGGAACGGAGAAACATTAGACCGATCGGGGCATATTTGGATACTAAAGTACGGAGTACTCCGTATGCTCCCTCATAAACCGCAGGAATCTGTCAAGATGACGGTGGTTTCCGAATCCTTTACGACTATTCCAATCCTCGACTTTTCTCTTTCTACTGCGCCCGAAACAAAAGCCTCCTTTCTTGCTGATCTCCGCAATGCGCTCGTCAACGTGGGGTTCTTCTATCTCACCAACGCGCCTGTCGCACCGCATGTCACGCAAGAATTGGTAGCAAAGACGAAAGAGATATTTGATCTTCCGCTTGAAAAGAAGCGGGAAATTGAAATGGTCCACAGTAAACACTTCCTGGGCTACTCGCGACTCGGGGCCGAAATTACTGCTCGAAAGCCAGATTACCGAGAACAGTTTGATGTGAGAATTCTCAGCTTTAGTCGGATTTCTTGGAACTAGTTCACCTGATTGATATAGTTTGCGACAGAGCTGCCTGCTCCGCCCCCAGAGGCGCCTTTGTATCGCAATATTCGAGGTCCAAACCAAGTGTGTTTCTGCCGAGGCTGCTGGCTCTTCATGAAAATGACCTGACCGTTGACAAACAACTTTATAGTGGCCGGATGAGGCTGTGATTCCTGGATTTCGTCGATCGGTTGAAGCCTACTTAGCTGAACTGAGCCCCGTAGCGGATCAATTCCAGGGTTTGATCGCCGAAGCTCTGCATCTCCATCCTGCAGCATTAAAGCCGTTCTTTGAAGTTCCTTTGCAACAGAAGATGAAATTGATCAAGTATCCTCCGCCGTCTACGGAAGCTGAGGCTCAAGGGGTCGGGGCCCATAAGGATTCAGAATTCCTGACCTTCCTTCTGCAAGTTCCCCCCCATCGTGGACTGGAGGTGCAGAATAAATCCGGGGACTGGATTTCGGCCCCGCCAATCGAGGGATCTCTAGTCGTGAATATCGGCCGCGCATTGGAAGCGATTACTGGCGGTGTATGCACAGCTACTACTCATCGCGTGAGTCTGGAGCCCTCCAATTATGTAGATGCGCAAGGTCGACCCTTGGGTCCACGTTTCTCGATTCCCGTATTTCAAGGCATGAGCTTAGACCTGTCAGCGGAGGATATCTCTCTGGACATTCCAGAACACATTCAAGATTTGATCTTGGACAAAAGGGTTCGGTCAGATGCGGAGGCTACGTTCAATTCGATGTTTCGCAGCCGGGTTGGTGAAGGGACCCTGATCCACCGCGTTATCAGCCACCAGGATGTCGGACGTAGGTGGTATCCGGAGGTATTGGCACGGGCTTTAGGAGAGTACGACAAGCAGAATCCACTCTCTTTACAGTAGTGAGACAGAAGAGAATTCCAAGCGTCCTGTAAAATTCTCCTGAAACCTTGGAGAGAAACACTGCCTCACTTCTAGTCTTGGCTATTGATAAAGTCTCCCACAGTGTCGAGAATTTCCCAGCAATCAGAGCTACTACAATGGAACCTTTCCTATATAATTGATCAGACAGATCAGCTTTGGGGACTGGAACCTCCAAGTATCACGAAAAAAATGAGATTATTCTACGTGCTTGCACTTGTCCTACCCGCAGTCTTTGGAAAAGATATTTATGTCTCTCCTACCGGGTCTGATAATGCTGCAGGTACAATCGATGCACCGTTGAAGTCCATTCAGCTCGCTGTCGACCGAGCTACAGGCGGAACGACCATCTATCTTAGAGGAGGAAGATACTCCCCGACCGCAAATATCCAAATCACCAAGAGCGGCACCTCACCGGCACCCTACATTCTCAGGGCATATGGAGGAGAATCGGTTATGATTGATGGCGAGGGACTTCCCGGGTATGTTTTGCTTCTTGAACACGAGCAAAAGACCATGCTAATAGGATGATGTAGAACTCCAGCTGGTTCAGACGCTTCTCTCCCTAACAAGGAACGGGGTATCCTACATATCGAAAAAGCGGACTACTGGGAATTCTATGATCTTGAGTTGATAAACGGACCCTATGGAGTTTATGCGCAGGATTCATCAAACAACCACTACGAGCGCATCGTCACCAGGGATAATTACGAAACTGGTATGAGTTCTCATATTTGTAGAAGATTAGTCTGATCCGGAAAACAGGGTTCCATTTGCAGGGTGACTCGTCGAATAATCTTGTCTTATACCTCGATTCGTATGCGAACCGAGATCCTCGCAAGAACGGGGAGAGTGCGGATGGGTTTGCGTGTAAAGAAGGATCAGGCGACGGAAATGTTTTGCGTGGTGCACGGCTCTGGAATAACGTCGATGACGGATTGGATCTGTGGTATGCTTTTCTCTCACAAGATGCGAATCTAAGCTTATGCCTCTAGGGAATTCAAATCGGGCGTGACAATCGAAGACACAATTTCCTGGGGAAATGGCTTTAATCGGTAAGTCGGACGAGCAGGACAAACCCCAGCAAGTACGCAAGTATCTAAAGTGTAGTAGATGGAACTTTGCTCCCTTTAAAGGCGACGGAAATGGGTTCAAACTCGGCGGCGGTAATGATGGTGATATTGGCCCTGCTAACCACCGGGTCATCAATTCAATCGCCTTTGGAAATTCTAAAGACGGATTCACAGATAACTCCCAACCCGGCAAATTTGAACTACTTCGCAACACAGCGTGGAATAACGGTGCCATGGGATTCAGGTTCCATACTGCAGCCGCGACTTTGACTGGTAATATCGCTGCCTCGAACGGGGAAGCGCCTACCTCGTTAAGTAAGGCTCAAATCTCCCGGGGAAATTCCTGGAATGATGGCAAGACATGGAACGATGCAAGTTTCGTCAGTGTCGATACGCGTTTGGTGCAGGGGGCGCGCGATATTCATGGGAAGATTAAGCCAAGTGACTTCTTGCTGCCTACTTCCGGAGGGACCATTGGGGCGACTACGGATTGGAATGATTGACTGTCGAAATATTGCTTTACGTCTGATTCTCATTCAGCTGCGTGTATTTGGGACTTTGATGTTATTTCAGATAAGCAAGAATGACTACTACGCTTTACATCCAATCGCTCTGGATCCCGAGGCATTTTCTTGCTAACAGCGCCTGGCAATAGTAATAATAACGAAGAGGAGCTTTTCAGCCAGAGTCAGGGACTTGAACTTGCCTTTGGAGGACCAAAATAATACTGGATCAGCTAGAAATGGCTGTCTGGACACCTTTTTATAGGACTCCTCCTACCAACTTATTTCATTCAGTTCATCTTGGAGTTTTTCTCTGTTGATAACGATCTGAGCATCGCCCGGGGGCCGGTGATCCAGCACAGCGAGACCTTGGAACCGGCCAACGCGCCGGCAACGCATAAGGATCTGGCGACGCGCCTTGTGTTCGAATCCCTGGAGTAGATGAGCAGGCCGCCGAGGTGCGTTTGGCTCTCGCGAAGCGGGGGGGGCAGAGAGACTGGGACGGGGCGGGAAATGAGCATGTTGCAGGATGTGAGGCAGGGTCGGCCTTTCGAGGTCGAAGCTATCGTTGGGAATACTGTGCGTTTGGGCAAGAAATGGGGGGTTCCCCCATGCCGCGGTTGGATACCATTTATGCCCTGATCAAGGGGCGGCGGTATGATGCTTTGCTGAGGGAGAGGAATGACTGTGGGATATGAGGTGGAGATGTATGCTTTCCCTCTTCCGGGATGATACGAAAAGACTTCTGAAGTACACACCCACAGGGCTTTTTTTCGATTGCAGGGAGATTCAGCCCAAATCTTGATTCAGAGTCCAAGTGACCGTCATTCTCTCTGTTTCGTATAGCAACCTTGATTATCCCAAAGACAGGAAACAACAGTAAGTATGATCCTGGTCAATAAGTCTATGACATTGTATTGCACTTTCACTAGCCCTAGCCCTAATTTCACATCCTTCACTGAGAGCTCTACTTCAAGCAAGCAACCTGTTTATATCAAGTGCTATCAAACCAGCACAGTTTATACCAATTCTCTCTACCACCCCGAATAATGCCCAATGCAAAAGCTTCATTTATGCGCATGCAGGGAGAGGCTCGGAATACTTGCAACGATCACTAGGTCCGCTGCCGGCCGCAGAAGGCTGCATTCATGCAGAAGATATTAGACAAATATGCCTCGAATTCAGATAGAGAATGAGAGAGAAAAGACCATACCTCGGCGCCGGTATCATTGCCCTCAAACTCCTGACAAATCTCATCCACATTGCTGGCACAGACGCCGCCCGCGATGGTCGCGGTATCGCCGTAGTTGCTGTTGATCCCAACCAGGTTTTTGCCCTCGACGGCAGTGACGCCGTCAATTTTCACATGGCGCTCGAACATTTGCTTGCAGTTTCCGCAGGAACGATACAGCTTGCCGAAGTTGTAGACGGTAAAGCCGGAGATACTCACGGTGCCACCGGAGTTGTGTTGGATAACCTATTGAGGTTGTTGAGTCTACAAGTCCGGATCATTCGATTCGCGGAGAAAGATCATCTCAGCCATACATACCTTGTCTTGGGCCTTCTGGGCACCACCGCCGATCACGGTGAAGGGACCTTGGCCATCTTTGAGGGTGAGAGCGTCTTGATAACCTTAGGTGTTAGCTCTTTAGGTGCTCAGCAACCCACCCGGTCAAGCCCCCGGAGTCTTGAAGCGGCAATGGATACGTACCCTCGCAAACAGCCTCCCACCAGACGTTCTCAATAGTGCAAGAACCCATGCAGTGCACGCCCTCGAGCTGGTCGGCGCCGATGATGGCGTTCTTGAGAGTTCCGCCATTCTGCACCCAGAATACCGCGTCATTATCGCCGCCTTCGCCTTCCGTGCAGGAAACACCACGACCGTATGTTTTCATACCGCCGTCGAAGACCTCTCCGTCGATGACCTGGGGCTTGCTGAGGGTCTCGCTGCCCTGGGACTGGGGCAGAGGGAAGGTGAAGCGCTTGCTTAGATGACCGTGGGACCGGGCATCATCCTGGAGACCCAGTGCGGCAGTCGTCGCCAGGGAGAGGAGCAGGACTTGCTTAAGCATGATTGATGGGCAATTGGAATACACGGAGAAACAAAGGGATCCGATACTTGAATCGGGTTGAATGTCGAGACCTGCGCAAGGAATTGGAGTTGTTGTTGTTGATATGGAGCTGGGACCTTTGAACGGGATTTAGAACTCTTTTATATCCAATTCCCCTCGACGCAGGACTATGAATCCGGCCAAAAACTCTCCGACATCTGCGCCCACTTGGCATGTTTCAAGGATATTTCCTGGCACGCTTTGCTTTCGCTGGAGGGATTCCGCTGAAACCGATCTGCACCGGAATACCTACCTACTCCAACGCATACGTTTCTACCGGAGTACAATGATCACTTGGCAATGCATTCCGCCTCTTGGTATCTGTGGAGTGGTTCCGCAATTTGGTGACATCCCTAGACATTGACTGATGCTGAATCGCGTGGCCGCGTTCACCCATGACAGCGCCTCGTAATGGGAGAGGGTTTTACGTTCTGTACGGAGTATCGTTAAGAGAAGCTACCGCACGACAAGAAACCCTAATGCGCGTACGGAGTACTTGAGGGGCATCTCTTCCTCTATTCGGTGCAGCCAAGGTGGCTTGTTCCTAGCCACAAGACTGCTTCATCAGGGGTGCCATACAGGGTATACGCATAATGTTGCTCGCCTCTGTCGTCATCATCTCAAGAGGATCCGGCTCAAGTAGGATTGTCCGGAGTGGGTATGTAATCCAATACGGCAGTAGATTGTAGTCAGGAGTCACAAGAGCCGAGATTGATATTCACACCCGTGTACGTTGAAAACATTCGAGGCTATGCAACTGTTATATATATATATACACATATGTAAAGGTAAATCGAATTAAATACAGAATCTCTCTTTATGTAAAGGTCCCCCCCCCCCGAAAACAACAATCTTACGCCAGCAGTATCCACTTCCATTATTATGCAAGAGGCTTCTCTACCTCTTTCTTCGCAAGATGCAACCTCCGCCGCCACTTCATACGGCTCTTCCGCATCGCGCGCCGGGTCCTCTCCAACGGGTAATTGACCGGCGATTCTCCCCCGGTGAAGATGAGGAAGTCGTACAGAAACCCACCGACAAACGCACCGCTCACGGTTCCGGCCCACGGCCCGTAAAACCAGTATGGGTTCCGGAAGAGTTCGCCGCCGTACCCGAGGGCGAGGAGGGCCAGGCGCGGACCAAAGTCTCGGCTGGGGTTGAAGGCCGCGCCGGTCTGGTACGCGAAGGTGATGATCAGACAGTAGATGACGAGCCCGACGATCAGGGCGTTCATGCCCGCGCCGGGCGGGGCGTTTTGGTCGTCACCGAGGGCGAGGATGGTGACCGCGAGCAGGAGAGTGCCTACGAACTCGTTGAAGAAGGCCGTGGCCGGGGTGATCCAGGCGTTGCGTTGGCTGGTGACGAAGCAGTTGATGACATCGGTTTTGGAAGCGTTGGCGGTGAAATTCAGGTACTGCTGGATGGAATCGTAGTAAAGTCCGTAGGCCGTGAGTCCCGCGATGAAGGCCCCCAGGAACTGCGCCGCGAAGTACTCGGGCATCTTGCGTTTCGGGAAGCCACGAAAGAACCAGAGCATGCAGGTCACGGCCGGGTTGAGGTGCGCGCCGGACACACCACCGGAGATGTAGATGCCCATCATCGTCGCCAGCCCCCAGGCCCACCCGGTGGTATTGGGGTTCCCGGAGTTGGCTAGGGTCACGCTGAGATCCGCGCAGAAGCCGATGGTCAGCTGGACGTAGACCCCGAGCGATTCGGCTAGGGCTTCGCGGTGGTGGGTACGGATGACCGACCAGGTCGTGTGGTTGTTGTGTATCTCGTCCTCGACGAGGTCCTGCACCAGGGGATGCAGGTCCTCTGGGTACGTGGCGTCGGGGAACTCAGGGAAGGCGTCTAGACGGTCCCCGAGCACGGCGGTATCGGGCTCTGAGGGCTCCTCGGGCACGGGCTGCAGGGGCTCATCACTTAAATGCTCGAGGGGAGGCGGCAGACCGATACGCTCTTCGGTTGGATCGGATGGGCGCCCGCTTTCCTGGACAGTGGTTAGTTCGGGGGGTGCTGCGCCGCCGACAGTCGAGCGGCGTCTCACACGACCGGACGACGTGCGAGACAAGCGCGCGGGCGTCACATCCCCTGTTAGAATCTTATTGAGGAAGTTGTTCTCGCGCTGCACGCGGGCGTCTTGGACCTGTGCGGCCATCTTGCGCGGATCGGCTGACTTTTCGATGCGTCCCTCCTCCAGCTCATTGGGGTCTACATCCAACCCCATCTTCTGCGACTGCTCGGCGGGGATCTGCGCATTCGCGCGGCTCTGGAGCAACTCTTCCTTGGTTGGCACCATGCCCGGCCGCACCACGCGGGGCAAGGGCTTTGCCAAACTCCATACGGGGCGCGCGTTGGCAGCTTGTTCATACGAGGGATTCAACTCGGCATATCCGGGATGTACGAAGGGCTCCTGCGCCAGCCGCAACTGAGCGGTGCCTTCGGGACCGGCCAGCGTGAAATTCCCCTGGGTTCGCTCCGCGAGACTCGTTCGACCCGTCAAGCTGGGAATGCCGCCGCTGTGGCTTCGTCTCGAGAGACCGGTGCTGCGTCGTTGCAGGCCTTCGCTGTCGGCCGCGACAGCCTGCCGGGTGGGCGAGGAATACTCATATGCACCTGCGGCGGCCCGAGCACTTCGAGTCGATGTATTACGTGCCAGCGTTGCATCTTCGTCTCGAACTCGGGTGGCTTCAGACTAGAGATGTGTATGAGCCTGCGAATGTCCCCGCGGTCAGAAGAGGAAGGGGTGGTTCGGTTCACGTACTCTTGCCCTGGGGCGTGTGGGCTCCCTATCTGCCATTGCTGCCGATGGGACTGAGGGCGGTTGCAGCTGGAGATGCTGAACTGCATACAGGGGGGTAGATAAACCCCGAAGGAAGAGTTGGAAACCGGCACTCCGTCGTTTCTCCCAGTGACCGTCAGTGACTGCCAGTGACTGTCAAATTACGCAAGGCTCCATCGGATCTTCAACGATTTTTCTTTTCTGGTGGTTGTTGCGAGTGGAGCCTTCTTCTGGCCTCTTCCTGAGACCCAATCATAGATACCATTTCGGGTATTCGGGAGAGGGCCTCCTAACTCGGGACATGTTGCCCACTCCATGACATCAAGGCCCATGAACAGGTCTCGGATTCTGGAGTTGATTTGATGCTACAGGCGTACTGTCTCAATCCATCCTTGCAGCAACTCGTGCTTTGACCCTGCGCCAGTTAAACAAGTAAAAGAAGATTCCTTTCGGCTCGGCTAGCCCGGGGGGTTTGAAACCGGAATCCCGATATGAGGGTTATGTACCCGAAGGCCCGTTAGTTTCATGGGTTTCTCCAGAGACAACTTGTATTTGACTTCAAACCCGGCCTTGCGAAGGGTCCGCCTACAGAGGAAAGGGGTTTGGATCTTGGTTGAATGAATGCGAATGCAACGTACATAGAGATGACGAACATAACTCTAGAATTCGCGGCTAGTTGAATATCCACCAGTGAAATCTAGACCATTATCGGCGCGACAAGTCGAGAGGACAACTATATTAGCTTCTCCTCTCCCAAGGCTTGTCAGGCTATGGATGCTAGTTTAACCAGTCCAGCTGTATTCTTAATCAAGGCGTATTCCTGAGGGGCCTCGAGACAGCGGAAAGCGCTCCCTGCGAACGGATGACCTGATGCGGTGCTCGGTCCACATACATGATTTGGTTCAGCGACACCAAAGAATATAAAAGTGCATGCAGAACAATCTACGCCGTTGGGATGGGGATTTGCCGGGCGAATATTGGGTTGGTTTGAACCGAGCGATTGACTGAAAATACTACGGCATCCTGGCTACGGATTTAATCGAACCGGGAATCAAGAGTCTCTATAGCAGTTTGTCCAAGTCTATACGCCAGGATCCTATATAACATTGTTCCAGTTTGTTCCCATTCCGTGAACCCATTCCGTCGTGACTCGTTACAAGGCCTGCCTTGATTCTTTTGCAGCAAATCTCAATCTCGGGAGAAGAAAAGAGAGCGACGGGAGAAGAGTTGCCGAGTTCTCCAGAGAATCCCTAACCCAGAGTGAGGGTATAAGCAGCACCGGTGCCACATGCGCGGGTGTTGACATCGTCCGGTTGTTGGTAGGACTCGGAGCAGTTCGCGTCGCCAGCGGCGCAGGTGACAGTGGAGCAGCTGGCATCGCTGATGGTGACAGCAAATCCTGCCGAGACGATGGGAGAGTCCTTGGCCAGGTTGATGCTGGACATGTCCCAGTAGAGGAGATCCTCGACCTCGGTATACTCGAACTGCAGGACGCTGGCTCCCGTGGTGTCGGCACCCATCTTGATGGAGATGCCACCTCCGTTGGGGTTGGTCTGCCAGGTCTCGGAGTAGGTGCCGCCATTGGCAGAGAGGGTTTGCATCTCACTGGAGTAATCCGACACAGACCAGAGATAGATGTCCTGGCCCATGTTGTTGACGATTTGCACGCTGCCGCTAAGGTCGCGCGGCGCAACAGGGAGAGCCGAAGCGGTCATGGCCAGAGCAGCCGAAATACCGAAGATGTTGCGGAAGAACATTGTGAGGGAGTGAAGTCAAAGACGTTTTTTTTTTTTCTTTTTGGTATGGTTGTTAAGGGAAGGACAACAGGTCTGATCTACAGACCGAGATTGAACGGAGTCGGCGTGGAGGAAAGGAGAGTGGGAGGTTCGACCTCAAGGAATGAATGAATGAACGACTTTGATGTAGTGAGACAAGAAAGAGAAGAGGAGAAAACCCTGCATATTTATCTCTTTTGGAGAACCGAATGAGGCATCAGATTCTGCTGTAAAATCCGCCTTACCTGTGGGCCAGAGAGATCCGTATATTCTGGCCGGGCCTTTGTCCCTGAATCCAGATCCAATCATAATGGAATTGAACGTCTTAGAGAGCGCCACTAGTGGGATTGAGGATCTCGTCGGACGCAATCAAAGAGCCCGATTCAAAGGGAAAGAAAAAAAAAAAAAGAAGCCCTAACAACGCACTAAAGGAGATTCTCCGAGTACAGGTCCACGTCACAAACTTGGCCTTCCAGGCTCCCGGTCCACATGCCAATCTCAGGATGGCCGTGCCACGGTATACATATTCAGAATAGAAGAAGTTCAGAGAATGTCTAGCGAGAAAGCGGTTGCCAGAACCGAGACACCGGCGTTCTTTGAGCCAGGAACCCTTCGTTACTGCATATAAAGAAAAACTCTACAAAGCCATGTTTTCCAGCCTAATGAAAGGATCCATGGTCCGCTCTCTTTTCCGTTGAATCACACCAGGGAGAGTGGATCGCGATCCAAGCGAGTCAGTCGCCACGGAAAACGGTCTGGTTCCAACAATCACAATCCCTCCGTCCCTGAGTCCTGACAGCAGCACACAGGAACCGGTTAAAAACGTGGTGGTGGTCCTTGGATGGTCTTTGCTCTCATTGGAACCCAATTTCCGACTAAGCAGTACTAGAAATGGCTCGCCTTTTCTCGATTCTGGTGACCCAGGACCCTCGTTCTCGAACGCTCTCGATCCAAGAGCGCCACTTTCCTCTCAGTGGCTGCGGATGGATCTTTTTACGCCAGTCGTCCGTTGGGCTCGCGAAAGTTGAAATGCCGCACAGCCGACTGAATCCCCTCGGGTGGTATACATAAACGGAACGAACGCTAGTGGCTTTTAGGCGGCCACTGTTGTTCGTTCGTATCGTGCTGTGCACCTTACTCCGGTAGGTTGCTACCTACGTACAGAGAGACGAAGGGTCTGCCTGGACCTGGACGCTCCATTCCGAGGAATGTGTGCTGGCCGTCAAGCCGGATTCGGACAAATGGGGAGTGACGATATGGATGCCTGTTCAACACGCGCGATCTAACAGGTCCGGCGGTCTCGTGTATCTCGTATGAACAGTCCCGGTTGAAATCTCTGTACGGAGGAGAAAGAGGCCTAAACTGGCTCTCCTGGCAGGAACATTGCCATCGGCTGTACGCTCGAGTCTTATCCAAGGGGCAAGAAGAAGAGTTGAGCTTGGGATCTTTTACTGGTATGGCCTGTTGAAACTACGCTTGCAGAAACAATAGGAAGTAGCCTATACATTCCAACAGCACGAATCCACGTCTTGCAGTCGTTGAACTGGTTTAATTGCCTGATGTCGTACAATATCGGGCATGGTTGACAATTCACATAATTCGCGGCTTGTGGACAGCAAGCACATGAAATCTGAAGAAGCACAGCAAGTAAAGCCAATTCAATCATTGCGAGGTTATCCAAAAGTCCCCATGTAAAATATATTTTCGCTTCCGGAAGAGTTACCCGGGATATCTCAGCTTCGTTGACATCACCGTCTCAAAATTCAATTGCTTCGTGATGTCACCGGAAAGACACCTACCTGCGCTTCGTCACCACTTCCCCTTGTATAACTAATAATATAATGCCCTCGCTTCACCACGGCTCCTGATGTGACCCTGGTTAGAGTCTATTCGTAATGCCAAAATTTTAGCTCGCTTTTAGAATGGGCGGTTCAGATCCTGCCAGGCAGACATGCATGCAGCTGGTCTTGGACTGTCACAGGAAGAGTCAGCGCCAGCCACCCTTCGCGAAGGACTCGGGATATTCACGATGAAGGTACTCGAAACGGTAGTCCGTTTGCTGGTGAGTTGGGCTGGGCTGGGCTGGCTTCTGGGTGATGCGGCGTCCAGCGTGGGAAAACGGGACGGCCCTAGCGATGCAGACTCGGTCGTCGATTTGACAGTCGTATCTGAGGGGGGCAATCAATCAAGCGCTCTCCTGTACGGGATCATGTTTGAGGTGAGTGAGCTGAGCTGGGGGGGTGGTTGGTGGATGCATATCTGTGCTGACTTGTTACCCGCGAATAGGAAATGGATCACTCCGGTATTTCATTCCGCTGTAGTCTTGCTTGATGATACGCCCGTACTAAAGAATGCAGGCGATGGCGGGATACACGGCCAGCTTCTGCGCAACAATGGCTTCCAAGGCTCTGACCCAGGACTCGCAGCTTATAACCCTATCGGGGCTGTCGAGATTATGCAGGATAGTCTCAGTCCTGTCACCGATGCAATCCGGTCCTCTCTTGCAGTGTCTCCGCAGTCGAACGCGACGGGATATGTAGGGTTCGCCAATACGGGCTACAACGGGGTTCCAGTGACGAATGCCACATATCGAAGTGAATTTTGGATGATGGGCGACTACAGCGGCCCTATTACCCTGCAGCTTGTCGGGTCCTCAAGCGGAAGAGTCTATGCCTCCCACAACATGACGGTGGATAGTTCATGGGGGAACTTCAGCCGGCATGAGGCAACGTTCAACTCCACTGCTTCCACTGACGCAGATAATGAATGGCGACTGCTCTTTGATTCCTCCCTGGTACGAGGTGGCGCGCTCAACTTTGGTCTTGTGCAGTTATTTGCACCCACCTATAATTCTAGGTACGCTGGTCGACTTTGAACTGGCCGCTGTATTAACGTGCAACCAGATATAATGGTCTACGAGAGGACATTGCGAGTTTGGTGGCCGATATTCAACCATCTTTTCTCAGGTTTCCCGGCGGCAACAATCTGTAAGGTATCCGATAGGTACCTAGCTTGTTTGGCATTCCTAACTGAGCATCCAGCGAAGGACTTCAGATCAACAACCGTTGGCAATGGAATTTAACAATTGGGCCAGTCGTGGAGAGACCCGGCAGGGACAGTAAGTGTTCAGTGGCCTGCATGAAATCCCGCTAATCTCTCCCATAGGTGATTGGTTTTATCCGAATACAGATGCCCTCGGTAGGCCGTGTCCTGTCATCATCATCATCATCATCATCATCATGCTAATCTGATTAGGGCTCGATGAGTACCTGTGGTGGTGTGAGGACCTGGGCATGGTACCGGTTCTGGCTGTCTGGGCTGGAAAGTCATACGGCGGAATTCTCTCGGGAGATGACCTTCAGCCCTATGTTACCGATATCCTGAACGAGCTGGAGGTGAGCGAGGAATAATTCTAGACTTCATATGGAGGAGGCTCACAGCTAGCTGCACACAGTATCTGCTCGGCTCGAACGATACCCATTATGGAAGCCTTCGTGCGCAAAATGGACGTGAAACCCCATGGCCCATTCAGTATATCGAAATAGGAAATGAAGACGACTTTACCGGCGGCTGCGAGACCTATCCAGATAGATTCACCCAGATATACGATGCAATTCACGCCAAATACCCCCAACTCACCCTTATAGCGTCTACAACGGATGATTTATGTCTGCCCGAGGAGCTGCCTCCAGGCATCATGTTCGACTTTCACTATTATCGCAATCCCGACGACCTGGTGGGCATGTTCAACCAGTGGGATAACCAGCCGCGATCGCAGCCCGTGATTGTCGGCGAATACGGCTGTCGAAACACCAGCGACCCGGATGGGGTCTTCTGGTCCTTCATGCAGGCGAGTTGCAGCGAAGCCGTCCATATGATCGGCCTGGAGCGAAACAGCGATGTCGTGAAGATGGCCGCGTACGCCCCATTATTACAGCACTTTGGGTTTACGCAGTGGTCGGTGTGTATATGCTATATAGACAGCCCTTCCTCCCCCCCCCCCCCCCCATTCCACGATCCGAGCTGATCAGTCTAGCCTACGCTTATTGGGTTCGACTCGAGTCCGGGCTCCTTGACGCCTTCCACGTCGTACTTTGTCCAGAAGATGTTTTCCACTAACCAGGGCACCACGGTGCATGCGATGAACTCAACCGCCGGCTTTGGCCCGCTGTACTGGGTGGCTACGAGCACCAATGCTACGTATCAAGTCAAGCTGGCGAACTACGGCGCGGACGACCAGGCCGTCAACGTCCGCGTCCCTGGCACCAAGGCTGGACGGTTGGAAATGCTCTCCGGGCCCAAGGAAGCGAGCAACCTGCCGCATAATGTGACGATCACCCCGGTGGTCACGGATATCACTGGGGATAGAGAAACATATACCTTCCGCATGCCTCCATGGGGAGTTGCAATTCTAGTTGTTTCCTGATATTTGGGTACATAGGTATTATCTTTGTACATGTCATCTCTACTTAATTTCCGGCACGCATCAATTTCTGGAAGATTTTCTTCACACCACTCCCCTCGCATTCTCCGTCATGGGCATGTCCTCCAGACACAGCGTCACGCTTGCTGAACTGCAGACCCGGCGTGACAGTAATGCAGTTATACTGCGCCTCTGCTGCTCTCAACATACAGATCTCATCGGTGACACAAGTGCCCGTGCAGCTCGCCACGTCCCATCCACGGGACTTACGGGCGTAGTACTCGTCAAAGGCCGTGGAGTTGTCCGCGAACACCTCGGTGAGGTTATGCCAGAAGGCAGGAGTGAGTTCGGCGGTGGAATCAGTCAGGGCCGGGGTCACGAGTGGACCGTACGCCTCTTTCACGGAGTAGTACTTTTCCCAGACGGGGCCGGCGCTCTGGTACGTGCTGGCGGACATGTTGGCGATATACGCGGTCATGTCGAGGACGCCAAAGGTCACGGGGTCCACGGTGTACACGCGGAAGGACGGATTGCCGCTCTTGGGCGTCATGGCCGGAGCGATATAAGACATGGCAATGGCAGTGTCGGACGTCTGGTCGGTGTAGTCGCTGTAGGCGATTTCGAATTCATCTTTGTGTGTGTGGCCTATTTGCGGTAATTAATAAGAGAGAGAGAGGGAGACAAGATGCACCCAAGGAATCATACCGAAAAACAGAGCGGCAATTGTCGCCTCATACCGATCCACAATCTGGTTGAAATAGTTGGATGCGTCGTGGAATGCATCCCCGGTGCCCATGGGCATGTGTCCGATAATATATGCCCGTTGGCTGGCGTTTTCGGCGGCTTGCAGCTCGTCCACCAGCCACGCGAGCTGGCCACTGGGATCCGTCTCCATCGGCTCCTCGTACATCCAGAAGTTCTCCTTGTAGTACAGCATGGTGTTCAGCGAGATGATGCGCAGCTTGTCGCCATACACCACCGAGTAAGCGGCTTGACGCGATTCCGCCACCGAAGCTGCCGTCGAGCCAATCACGCTGTCCCACAACGAGGACAGTGTGTCGTATACGTACTGGCTGCTGATGGTCGTATCGACCGCGGCGGGGGGGAAGCTGTTGATGGGGTTCACGTCGTGGTTGCCCACTGCCGCATAGACTGGGGGCAGGCTGCTGCTGGTCATATTGCCATAGGCGCTGTCGAGATCAGACACGACTTCGGCGTTGGTGACCACCCACTCGGCACTCTCGACCACATCGCCCGTGAACAGGGACAGAGCCGCGTGGGGTGCAATCTCTCGGATCGCTGCGTACATGCTTTGCTCCAAGCTCAACGGCGCATCGCAGTGGTGGTCGCCATAGGCGCCAGCCGGGTAGGAGGTGTTCCCCGGTGCATCCGCCGAGGTGTATGGTCGGCAGCAGATGTTTTTGGAACAGTTCCAGCTGGCTCCAGTCTCGTACGAAAGGTCCACGTGGATATCACTGAAATGGACGATCTGGATTGGGGTCTCGCCGCTGGGGGTCGGGCGAGTAGTGTTAGGCTTCGCAGATGGGAAGGGGACGCTGTACTCAGTGACTGCGGGTGGCTGGCATAGTCCAAAGATGGAACCACAAAACCATTGGGATGTAGAGGAGCCAATATCCATGAGTCGGAGGTCATGGGCCAAGATTGGTCCTTCGCGTGCAATAATCCCTGTGCATACATCTTCATCCTCCGCCTGAGCGCACCATCAGCCACGTAGTCCCTATCGAGCACACATGCATACATACCCCAGAGGCGGTACAAACGTCTGTGATCACGTCGACAAATGCATCGTTGCCCAAGTGGGCGAGCTCTTTTAGAACAGCGAGAAGAGTCTACAGCGGTAAGGAAGGGATTTGGCGGACATGGGAGTTTCGTGGAACAGGGACGAACCTCGCAGGCTGAGCACTCTGCAGCATCTTCAATATCGGCCAAAATCTCGCTGGCCCAGTTTCTGCTGCCATTCACTCCTGGCCCCAGTACCGCCACGGTAAACAGGAGGCTCAGGGCAGACCTTGCAACGCCGCGGCCAAATTTCATCTTGATGATCAACGCTTGCGTGATTTCCTTCGATGCAGCAGGGCAAAGCTTGTATTGCTGCTGGTCCCTAGGTTTTATACCCATTCAGGCACGGAATTGTCCCATCCTCCATGCCTGATACGCAGGTAGAGAAGGTCGTTATGGCTAATGAAAACAGCCCTTCACATCATGTGTACAATGTTGCAGTTCTCCACATGCTATCCAGGTGGAATGGGGCGTTATAAGCATTTCCTCTGCCCTCTTCTTCAGCGGGATTAATTAAACTCATCACGAACGTGTCTTGCTAATTGGCCTCGGTTTTCTCCTCCTCAAGGGCCTTATTTATTCTTCTCGGAGGAGCCACCCATTCCGGAGCACCCCGAGAATGATCCACAAATTTTCCCGCCTGTCAAGTGGATCTGTTGCATGATAAGAGAGAGCAATGATTTCGGCGGTGTCGGACATCTTTGCCAACTAGTAAAAAGCGTCGAGAGGTTAGTGTATGAAGCGGGCATATTTGCACGAGTAGACGGGCATAAAGGCTCCAGTTAGTGCAGAACATGGCCAAGCTGAAGGCTGCATTGTAATATATATATATCTATATCTATATACTCCATGTATGTGTCTGCCTGATGAGCTGGCATGTCTGAGCATGCTCACTTGGTTTCGGGATGGTTGGCTTAGAGGCACCGATACTAGTCGCTGGCTTGCCCTATTATTGGATAGCATCATCCTGCCTATACGAGCAGGATTCATAGATGGCACGCCTTAAAATCCGGCCTTGACATATATAGGAGAGAGATTTTGCTTCTCTTCTCATCATAAGCTGTTCAACTCTTGGTGCTGTTCTCCAGGTTGTTGTCTTGCGCTTTGTTAGCTATGAAGCCCTTTACCTTTATCTTGCCTCTCGGGCTCTTTTTTGCCTCTATTGCCACGGCCGACGTACAACTTGTAAGCACTGTGGAGATATATACCTATCCCTATTGAGGAACTGGGCAGCTGCTTATCCTCCCAGGAACTCGTGGAAGTCCGGTGGCTCGATGGAAGGCCATCCCGGACAGAAACGTTTGATCTAGCCTACAGCAATTCTTCTCTGCTGCCTAAAGATCAACCTTGTACACAGCTGCCGTACCTGTGAGGAAATCCTACTTCACTGCTTGATTATCAGTCATTGTATCAAACTGCTGATACAGGGTACCAGGACGCGCGAGGTGACCTTGTTGACCGATGGACTCCCCGGGCCGACAACGTGCTGGCTCTACTCGTATGTTGAGAAAAGATAAAAAAAAAAAGACCCTTCATTATGATTGCCTGGTTCTAAGGATAATCTAGCCAATACTGCCACGAGTCGATAGATCGTGTTACCAGCGCGAACCCCAGTAAAAACATGACCAACGCGGCGGTTTTTGCTGCCCGATGCTATCTCAATGAGTAGGGCCGGGTAAGAGACAATATGCTGTGATTCCGCTAGGGTTGGGTTGGACTTTAGCAGTTCTCGAAATTCTCGATAAATAGAGCTTGAATCCAAGTCTTGACCGGACATTTTTGTCCCACCTGTATATTTCCGGATAAGCCGTCAGCAATGTCTTCTTGGAGTATGCAGTGAGTGAGTGTTGTCTGGTGGCGTCCGCGATCCGCCCCGAATAGAACCAGTAGTTCACGAGCTAATGCGGAGTGATGTGTGCCAAGATCTGATATCCCCAGGAAAGGGAGGAAATGAGATCCTAGACTCCTAGAGGGTCGAGGGAATCGTCATGGGCCGGGTGTGTCTGGAGACTATTGGATTATGAGGCATCCAAGTGGACCAACTGCGGGTTCCCCCCCCCAAGGGTCACCAAAGGTTAACTAGAGAGAAAAAGATGGAGATCAGCAGCCCGACGAACTATGGCTGAGACGCTAAGAAGTTATTTGCGCTTGGATCCAGCCGATCGGGTCTGGATTGAACGAATCTCTGTCAGATTCGGGGCTGCGATAGGGCAGCTGAACCGCGGATTGAAGCTTGATCCATCAAGAGAAGGATGAAGGATTCCGAATGAGAGAGAGAGAGAGAGAGAGAGAGAGAGACGGGGAGAGAGACCAGAGATTCTCTCCTTTTCATCTGCCCTCTCTTCTGTTTTTTTCTTTGCCTTGTTTCCTTCTACTCTCTGTCAGTCATACAAAACCCCTTCATCTTCACACAACTCCCATTAACATGCGTCTCTCCCTGCTTCTCTCCCTCGCGGTGTCTGCATTCGCTGTCGACCCTGCTGCTGTCTACAATGGCGGTTACGCCTCTGCTCAGAGTGTGAAGCTGCGCATTGGTAACGGAGGTGCCGGCCAGAGTGGTCTCATCAAAGGTATACCACACGTCTCGCTTTGCCACATGGCTGTTGAAACTCACGTCAATTGCTAACGAACCAAGTCCTCGCCGACGCGTTCATCCAGGCCAGCGTTCGCAACGGCTCGGATCCCTTCCAGGTCGCCTGGTACAAGAGCGACACCACGGAATCCATCAACTACCTCCAGGAGAACGTGGTCGATATCGGCATCACCTATACTCCCGCGGCCGAGACCATAGCCATTGACGCGGGTATCGCCAAAGGCCCGGCCTGGTACGCATGGCGCGACCATTTCATGCTCGTGGGCCCTGCAGCCAACCCGGCAAGCCTGCGCAAGTCCCAGGACGTGAAGACCATGTTCTCCAACATCTTCTCCCGCGCTGCCCTGGGAGATGCGCTGAACTCGTCCGTGCCTGTGCGCTTCCTCTCGCGCTACGATAAGTCCGCCACCAACATCAAGGAGTCCCAGCTGTGGATTGCAATCGGCCAGGTTCCCTGGGCTACAGACTACTCCAAGTGGTACCACCAGTACATTGCCTACCCGATCCAGGCCTTGACGGCCGCGATTCTCCTGGACGAGTACACCATCACCGACCGCGGCACTTATCTTTCCATCTCTCCTGAGCTGCAGAACCAGACGGTCATCTATAAGGCTGCCACCGATGATGCGAGCGACCCTCTGCTTAACCCGGCCCATATGCTCGTCGGCGCGAGGGCCAAGAACGGCAAAATGGCGGATGCCTTTACCCAGTGGGTGGTTGGCAGTGAGGGCCAGTCGGTTATCACCAGCTTCACGAAGAACGGACAGCAGCTCTACACTGCTGCTCCTGCAAACAAGACCGCGCCATTCTAGACCATTTGCGTTGTGTGCTCTCTCTGTACACCTCTAGATAATCATTGTCCGATATGTACTGAACTATATAATGTCTATACAGAAGTGAATGAAGGAACCATCTTTTCGCTCTAAGAAATGAGCAGATCGCCAGTATATATATACAGAGCCAAGAGTACAATCAAGATGATGGAAAAACCTCATGTTTAAAACGGTTTACTGTGTAGACATGGGTTTGCACCAAAATGAGTATATATTTTGACAAAACCCCTAAATCTGACTCGAGATAATGCTATCACTTATTCAACAAGAGAAATAACTCTAGTTACAAAAGATGTCCTTGACGAAACTCCATCCATCATAGACACTGTGGTGCGCTGTCAGAACGAAATAGCGCTTGCCGGCGGATTCAATAATAGCTTGGCGTATAAGTTTCTCTCCATATAGAAATGAGCGTTGCAAGTCCTTTATCTAGGTACTGCTGCAGACAGTGTCCTTGAACCCGGGCTATCGGCTGACGGACAACAACCTGTATCGAGCCATCTTGTTCCCCGGCCACTATTCGGGTTCGGAGAATGGGGGTATTTCGGATGAGGAGATTCCACGCCTCTTTGAAGGCTACTATTTCCACTGTTTTATGAATACGAAAAACCCAGCGGCCAATGTACGCCCCAGGTTGCTGGGTCGTGATGGCCATAAGCCCTTCCTGAAGTGGCGTGCAGGGATAAACATCCTCAATATCCTCAATAGATGTTTTACATAAGTCTGCAACACGTTGTAATTGGGGTTTGTCACATTAAAGATCGGTATCAGTTCCTTGTTTCCACAACCAAAATCTGGGGATTTCATTTGCTTCCTGATGCAAAGCAGTTTGTTCATCCAAATATGCTGCCATTTCCTCCAATTTCGGGTAACGGAAGACATCCGCAACAGTGACTGGAAAGCCAGAACTATTTGCAGCCGATACAAGCCGCATCGCAGTAAACGAGTCACCTCCCTGGTAGAAGAAGTGATCGTGGATGCCGACACGCATGGGGTCAATATTGAGAACCGTAGCCCACAAATGTCGTGCATGCAATGCTCCACTCTAGGTGGGATATGCCTATTCCAGTCACGCAGCTGAGATATATCCCTGGGGCATATGATATCTACATCTCCGAGCATTCCAATCATCTGTATCAATGATACTCAAAAATGCTTGGACAAATGTCCGCGCCACATTCTCAACAATCTCTTGTCTGATGCGCGAATTCCAGTAGTCAATCCTGACATCTATATCCTCAGGGTCAATCTGGATATTGATTGACATATCATACTAGCCATCCCCACATCTATACTGCAGAATGGGTGGCGAGGATTGGGACAAGTTGGGTCGGGTTGGAGTGAGGAGTTTGGACGTGACGGCGTTCCTCCGGCGTCGATGCTGTGTTGGCAGTCACCTTCCTCTGACATGACATTAGTGTGTTGCTTTTCAGGCGGCCAAATTGTCCACTTTGTATGTTGTTATCAGTGGCATAAAAGTGTGGGTGTTGTAGACTGTCTACGAAGTCGAATTTTGCCTTTCGCAGAACCTGTGGGACACTTGCCGTCATTGGCACTTGGATCCGACAGATCACTGCATTCAAGAATGCTCCAACGGTGTTATTGATACCTTTCAGTGGCGCTTCTCGTCCAGATGTTGCGTAGGAGAAGCAGATATCTTCCAGGCCCGTAGATGACCTCAGCACCAACGCCCATGCTACCTGACAAATGTTAGCCACTGTAATATTCAAACTACCACAAAATTCCCCCAGCAATCCAGGTTTAATTTTCATTTCTTGGTGAACTGTCCCCAGGTCCCGACGATCAGACTGGTCACCATTTATCGGGAAGTATGAAGGATCAGCCCCTGCGAGGTACTTCGACCAGTAAGCCACTGAAGTGTCTTCCACCAACTGTTGTTGGCAATTGACGAAGTCATAGTATGGCATCACATGTGTGTCAAGGCTCTGGTTGCCATATATCCGAGAAAGATCACGCAGAAGGACTTCGGCGGACTGGCCATCCACAATGGCGTGCGACATATCCAAACGGAGATAAGCAGATGATTTTGATGTTTTACATAGCATGGCATGATGGGTCGCTTTATAATTTGGGAAAACAACAGGGCGGCGTGGTAAAATATGATGAGCAATTGATTCATCTCCATCCCCAATAAAGACCAATGGGTTTGGCACATTCCTCGATATAACTTGGTCAAAGTGCCCTGGTCGATTTGAACTTTCAATGAAGACGGTGCGGAGAGCTTCGTGACGCTGCACGAGAATACCCCATGCTTCACGAAGACACGAGAAGTCCAGGGAGGTTTCAATGGCGGGCAGACGAATTCTAACCACAAAAGAGCATTGGTATAATTCAGGATAGATGGCCGGCGCCACAAGCATGGCTTCCTGTCTTGGTGTGCAGGCAAAAATTGCGTCTGTATCTCGTAGAGGCTGGGGCGAAACACGACTCAGACGGGTTGAAACAAGATCATCAAGTTCTACATAAGTCAGATTGAGCAACGGAAAGTCACTCGGCGTGACACGAAGATCGCTGAGCCGACATTCGGCTATCAACTCCTTTAACGTAGCGCGGAAAGTCCCAGCGATTTGACCCAGTTCATTTTCAGTGAAATCTTGCTCCCTACACCTTAACTGAAGCTTTACCTGTTCGCCCTCCCAGAACGGTTGCACATAGAGGAGGCAAGCTGGCGGGAGGGTACTAAAATATTGTTGCGACAAAACTAGATGCTGCGCATTCTGTGGCGGGTCAAACTGCTTCTGCAATCTTCCTATACCAACAAGAATATGTTTCTCAGCATCGCGGGCAATTTCATCTGGAAGGTTCTTCGGATAGCCCAAGTTCTTGTCTTTGACTCTTATTAGCAAGTCGACGCCAGTTTCTCCTCGCTCCTTCAAAGTGTATGGGCATCCGACTGTATCAAAGCACCCTATCGCCCTTGGGAATTTGCCCGGATTCCCACACAATCTTGCGTTGGAAATGGTAGCGAAATTCACCCCATCGTCGATTTTCCTCATTGATTGGAGAGCAGTGAAAAGGGCCGTGACGATGAAGTCCCCCGGGCTCTGACCGAATTGCTTTGTGAACATCATCGTGATACAGCTGGCTTACCACCTCTGCATCAGTCCGCAATTCCATCAGCTCTTGCTGGATACCCCATCCTCCGTCCAGAAAGCTGGCTTCATTTAAATGACCGTTCTTCCCCTCTCCTTTCATGTGTTCGCCATTTCCTTGCTGTTTCGGACCGATACCATAACGCCGTCCGCCATCAACCGCATGTTGAGAGTGTGCCCAGGCCCAAAACGAGTCTTCAATATCTTCATTTTGCAGCGAATTGCCCTGGAGTGCATCTTCGAGATCGTGTTGGATGGTATGCCAGGAGTAGTTGTCGATGATGGTGCGCTGAATCGTGAGGTTGAGGTACCGCGCGTAACACGTGCCAGGCTGGATAAACACCGAAGCGGCGACAAGCTGCTTCTTCGCATCTCGCATCTGATAGCATTTACCCATCCGCTGAATGTCCAAATCCTCGAGGTCTGCCGGTGTGGAATCTATTCTATACGTGAACAACTCCTCATCATCCATCCAGTGGATTTCTGCAGCGTTCACTCTATCTGTTGTAATATTTGCGCATAGGATTCGATGATGGCTGACCAGTTCCTTAAGGGCGGCGTGAACTCGCGATTCCAGGATATCGCCGTCCAGGCGAAAGAGTGTGGTATCCCAAGCGTTCATTGATGTATAAAGCTGCTGTGCACCAGTCAATGCGATCCCGGAAAGGTTTGGCTGTTCGTGAGGTCTATCAGCATCCATGCCGCCCTCATTTTGCACTCTAGAGGGACCGTCCAGTAGCAATGGCAGGCGGCTCTCCTCTGCTCTCTTCACAGATTCGCATAGCTTCCTGATACTCGCTGTTTGAAGCATATCGTGGATCGCGATATTATACCCCGCCTCCCCGCAGCGCGCCATAAGCTTAATCGCTAACAGAGAGTCCCCTCCCTGAGCAACGAATGATTTCTCCATCTTCACCTTGCCAACTGGCCGGCGGAGAACCTCCGCACAAATCTCTCGGATTTCCTGTTCAATGGCTTCATTATTCGAAGCCGTCCCGCTTGACAAGTCTCGGGTTGCGAACATAATGTGGACCCAGTTCGAATATTATGATTTATGATTCAGGTGAAGGGTGAAATGAGTGGAAGGAAGCAACACAGCAGGTTTTCGATGAGTTCTGCTCTGAATAGCCGTTCAGAATAATACTTTTGCTAAGTGAACTCGTGCTGAATATACAAAGTACATAGATAAAAACAAAACATCAGCAGTCTACACAGTGGTAGCACAATTTCAGCACAGACAGCCCAGCACCGGCCACCCTCGAGTACATGCTTCGATCAGTGTCATTCGCCTCTGTTGAAGGACTGGTCCTCCTGACACAACTTCACTACCATGTCGATCATCATCGACAATCAATCTGCTTCCCGTACCTGGAAAATCCCCACCTTGTTTCCTAGTTTCTTGCATTTGGCCCTTTTTGGAAGCTGCCACAAAGTGGGCCAGGCTATGGAGCGAATGCGCGCCAACACAAGCATCCTGACTAGTGCCAATGAATAGTGACCCCGCTGCTAAAAGCTGATTCCTCGTGGCGGCCAACAAGTTTCCCGAACTGGAAATTGAGGGTGATCAATTCGCTGGACTCTGTATGTTGATCTTTGCCCGGGGTGATGCGCCGGGCAAGCGCGCATCTCATCACAATGTACTCCGTCCGAGGATCCTGACATGTCCTTCGCTTTCTCCATTGGTTGGGAGTGAAGCAGCCGTCCAAAGAAAAAAAAAATAAATACATCAAGAATTTCCATGGTGAAATGAATTAGCCTTATGCAAGAGAAAGCATTGCCCACAAAGAAGAAATCAATAAAGCTGACTATTAATTTCCTTCCGGTTTGATTATGACGCAACACTTGAGCTTCCGGCCTTCTCATATAAGCGAGACAGGTAAGATGAGCCAGCCAGCCCCCGGAGAGAGGCCGTTCAAAGCCAATCTAAGAACTGCGAGTCCCGCTTGGGGAGCGCCTACCCGAGAGCGAGATACTCCGACTCCGTTATTGCTTTTTCTGGAGAAACACAAAACCCCTGTTAATCCTTCCACCCCGGTATAGACACGCACCAATACCATCAAAGGTCGTGGCTCTAAAAGGTAAACGCAGTGAACATATTGCTCCGGTCAACACGATGCCCGAAGTGCGTGCCTAATCCTAGTGAAATCTTGGAAAAACGCCACTACGGGAATTCCCCTAATTCAGGAACCTAGTTTGCAAGCTTATCCAATATCGCTGCCGATCATCAAAGACCTGGCTATCTGCTTAGCACATTGGACGGTTCTAATATCCGCTGTGGAGCAAGAACTATGGGAATGTCTTCAGCTCTCGCTCCCCAAGCCAGCTGCGCCAAAGGCCCAACATCTTGGACTTGGTTGGCTTGAATAGTCTGCTGCGCTCTATCCTTGACCCTAGGCAAACCGACTCTGAGGGTGTGCCGGCGCTACAAGATAGCCTCACACCACACCGTGCCGTCTGGCACCCCAGCACGGGTCAATTTCTCATCCTCGAAAGTTTCAGAGACTCCCGGCAACTCCCATTGCACTTTCTTCGCCCCGGCATTGTGAAATCTCCCAAGTTCAAGGCCCACGTCTTTTGCAGGTTGAATTTTTGAATCTTCTCATCAGCTGCAGTTGTCATCATCCTCGGCCATGGAGCAACCCCCGTATGATCTTCCATCAACCCTCGCCTCGGGAGTGGTGTGGACAGATTGGAACACCGGCAGCTCTCCAGAGACAGCACCAGATGCCAATAACTGCTATTTGAACTCAAGTTGGGAGGTGCCAATAAATTTCTTGCCTGAGTGTTATGCTTCAACGCGCGACAGTTGGTCTGATCATTGTGGGACACCGCTATCTGCCTTCTTCCCAGCTCATCGCACCGAGTCCGTGCCTCAATTTTCTATGTGTTCCCTTGACTCAACAATCTTCATACCGGCCTTCAATGACGCAGACCCCGCCCACCAATTCAACCCGCAACAAGAACCGTTCAATCAATCGCCCTTCCCTCTCGCTCAGCCTAGCAAGCCAGGCTGCCCTTCTGAATCAGAGCGTTCGGTTTCGATACAAGCAATGCCATCGACCCATTCCACCCCAACATCGAGCCGTGTCACGAAATCTCCTATCCGATGCTTTGAGCACAGCTGCGGCGGTCGAGCCTTCTCCTCGCCCGGGAACTACGAACGTCACCTCCGAGAGAAGAGCGGGCGCGCCAAAAGCTTCACCTGTGAATTATGTGGTCAACGGTTCACACGATCGACCGCGAAAAACAAGCATATCCGATACGGAAGGTGCCGAATACGCTCCGTCCGATAGGTTCGCCGCGTGATGGGCCTCGCCCATAAATACGTATATATACCCTATTTTTTTTTTTTTTTTTTTTTTTTTTTTTTCAAAAGCATAGCATAGATATACAGGAGCTTGGATTTGGGTCTGGGGGTTTCTCTAGCACGGAAGATGGTGAACGATCGCATAATAGATGGATGTCCTCGGTCGATTCCACTTCATGGCTAATGCCTGATTGTCAGAGAGACGTAGAGAAGTTGTTCATGGCGTTCATGGCGTTCATGAGGAGAATGTCTTTTTTGTAAATACCTTATGGATCTCACGAACCCGTTAATAGGAGTAATTCATTGCGCAAAATACCATTCTTTAATAGATACGGTATTCCATTCCATCAACTCGATTTTCTCACTAGCCATGCCAGAGGGAAGATATATATTTTTTTGCCTCTGATCACCCAACCCATCCAGTTAAAGAAGCTCGACAGCCACCAGGGAATCAAGACCGTAACTATCAAGACTCTGAGCAGAGCTGAGCATCTCAACCGGGGGGGCAATCAATTTGCTCAGTTGCTGGAGTATGGAGCCGCAGATGATATCGACGGCATGCTCAACCTGCGTCACGCCGCCGAGGAGGCTCAGAGCATCGACAGACTCGCCAGTCGCCGGGTGGGCGACCTGGTCGTGCTGTACGAGATGTGCAAAGCGGCGCGCAGGCTTTGAAGAACTCCCTATGCGGGTGAGTGATGGCGTGGTTGAGAAGCACAAGTACATCGGAGACACTGACAGAGCCCAGACCGTTGCGCTTCAGAGCTTCAGCAACTTCTGGATTCTCGCTCACGTAGCCAACCGCTCGTACGGGACCGATATTGATGGAGAAGGCTGGGATGCCCGCGGCGGTTAGATGCCGCACCATCGTGTCCTGGAAACTGCAGGCAGCGCTGTAGTTCGACTGTCCAAAGTTCCCGCGGATAGCAACCGTCGAGGACATCATCACGAAGAAGTCGATATCTTTGAAATGCTGCTGCAAGTGCTGGGATCCGCGAACCTTCGAGGCCAGCGCGTTTTGCCAGTGTTCCACTGTCATCTCTTCAAAGAGGGAATCCTGTAAAGTTCAAAATCGAGATTCGGAACAGGTCGAGGGTGGTTAAGGGTTATTGTTGACTTACGTTCAATACCATTGCGGAATTTATGATACCGCGAACAGGTGGGAGATCGGACTGCGCAATGATTTGAGCTAAGCAACGGACAGCTTCATCAGATGAGACATCGCAGCCAGTTGCCAAAAGGTTAACATCTTGGGCCTGGATATGCTCCACAAATCCTTTGCTTTCCGGATCGTTGGCACCCGAACGGGAGATTGCGGCGAGGTTCTGAGCACCGTGGTTACCCATCCATGAAAGAATTGCTCGTCCCAGCCCGCCGAAGCCACCAACGACAATGTATGTGGCAGATGGAAGGGGATGAGCCTGGGGTGGCGACGATGCAACCGTCTGCAACCGTTAATACCCAATTTCAGGATGTGGAATCACTCACCAGAACTTCTTGATCCTTGTCTACCGTGAGAATGATCTTTCCGGTGTGCTTGCCTGCCTGGATCTGGCGGATTGCGGTCTCGATCTGAGATATCGGGATTGTAGTGAGAGTGACTGCCTTGATCGAGCCGGCTGCTGCGAGGTCCACGACATCACGAAGTAGACGCCTTGCCAGACCCTTCTTCTGCTCAATAATCACCGTCAAGCCGACGTACGCGAAAGTGACATTGCGGAGCAAGAACTCCATGGGCATAAGCGCATCATCCATGAGATCCTTGCGCCCAATTTCCACGAATCGTCCGAATGGAGCAACGAGGTTGCAAGACTCACGGAAGACCTCACCACTGAGTGAATTCAAGACAACGTCAACGCCGTATCCCCCAGTTAGTTCTTTGATGCCACCGTGAAAGGCCGTTGTTCTACTTGAGAAAATATGGCCATGCGGAATACCATATCTACTATGGAGCAAATCACGTTTGGCATCACTACCGACGGTAGCAAATATCTCAGCTTCAAGATGCTGTGCAAGCATGATGGCTGCTTGGCCCACGGCCCCAGCTGCTGAATGGATAAGAACCTTGTCTCCCTTCTTTCAAACCAGCCTTGTTGACGATGGAACAATACACAGTCGCCCAGACAATAGGCAGCGATGCACCCTCTGCGAAGGGCATGGAGTCCGGTATAATCTGGCAACAGTCACCGTGCACCACCGGGTAGTTGGTGTATGAGGGCGAATATAGGGCACAAACACGGTCCCCAGGCTTGAAAGGCCCCTGCATGTTGGCTCCGACCTCCACTACAACGCCACTACAATCATTGCGCATCTCAGTGATGCCCTCCAATTGACCGGCTGCAATGAGAACATCCTTAAAGTTAATACTAGCCGCACGCAGCTCAAAACGCACATCATCCGGACCGAGACAAGGGGCTTCAACATCATCCTTCCAGCGGATCGTCTCTAACAGGCCCGGCACTCCTAGCTCTGCAGTCAAGATGCGTTCGGTGCCGATGAATTTTTCTACAGGGAGAATTTCCGCAAGCTTGTCCAAAACCGCAACGTAGGGCGTCTGGATCTCCAAGGTGACCTCGCAAAGGTTTGGATGCTCCAGTCGAAGGCTTCGAGCGAAGCCAGACCAAATCCCCGTTTCGGCATGCACGGGCATCCCAAATCCAGCTCTTAAATCCACGCCAGTGGTTTGCATCGGGGTTATTACACAGTAATTTGGCCACTTCGGGAAGCATAACAACGATGCCACCCGCTTGGGACGAAGCGGTGATGGAGTGAATGCAGACTGTACAGTCACCACAGCCCTTCTGTATTGATTGAATTTGTTCCGCAGTGGCTTGAGACTTGGTCTGTTCTGAGCCTGCAACCAGGTAGACGGGGGGCATGTTTTCTTCCCTTTTCGGGAATCGTACACTGGAAATAAACACACTCAGATTGCCGCCATGCTCCTCCGAGTAATCTTCAAACACCTTTTCAGGGTTCTCAAAGTCTGCTCGCCGTAGCATAGAAAGCCATTCAGGGGGTGTGCGAATTGGCGTAAGTGTACGACCCTCGTCATAGCCAGCCCACCAGCCCTCGAAAAGCCCAAAGACCAAGTTACAGAACACCGCTGAACGAGAAACCTCCATAATCATAAATTTGCCACCTGGTTTGAGTAGAGGACGTATGTTGCGAAGGGTTTCCTCAATCCGAGGGGTTGCATGGATAACATTGCAAGCGATAACCAGGTCGTAACTGCCTGGTTCAAACCCTTGTTCCTGGACATCTTGCGCGGCATTTAGCACCCGGAATTCCACAACATCGACAAGGTCTCCCAGACGTGCCTTTTGGCTGGCTCGAAGAACCCAGTTGAGAGATCTGTAAAATCATATCTTTGAACGTAGCGATTGCCATCTCCGTTCAACGCCTGGAGAATAGGCAAGGTTCCGGATGCCGTACCGGCTCCAACTTCTACAACCTTCAGCCCAGGGTTGAATTTGCCTAGTTCTTGACAGTAAGCTGCCATCTGAGGGTAGCACCTAGAGGAGCACCATTCAGAGTACAGCCGAGACAATAGATTTTTCTGGGGATACTCTAAATTCATTCAATCGGTCTACCAAGGCAAGTTGGATAGCTGTGCATAGAGGCTGCGAAAAGGCAGGTTCGTTAACCCTCGAATCTGCCTGAGGTCTACAAAGTTCACTCAAAATGTCCCATGGGCACCCCAGACGAGCCAATTGCTGACGCGCATGCTCCAGGTCACCATCGCGCATCGCAGCAGATAATGGTTTCAAGATCACTCCTGTGCAGCCCTCACCTCGCCCGTAGCCATTGGCGCGAGAGTCAAAGGGATACGAACGTCCTTCCGTGGAAAACATCTTGAGTCGGCTCTGATATGAAAACCGTTATGGATCTAGAAGCAGGTTTACACCGCCAACAAAGCACTGTGTGGTTTCACCGCTACGCAGACTCTGAACGGCTTGGTGTAAAGCTACCAGACTTGATGAACACCCTGTGTCCATTGTGAAGCTAGGTCCGCGCAAATTGAAGAAGTAGGAGATCCTGTTCGAAGCAATGACTGGCCCAGTACCGGTAATCAGGTATAGCGGTGGTTGTTCGATATCTCGCGTGGCGATTTCGTGATAATCGGAGGCCCCGATCTAGTTCCCGTCGGCTCTTGGAACGCTTTCATGTTGAATCTCATCTCGGGTCCAGGAGTCCATGCAGACCGTCCTGATTTCAACATCTCCCAGAGACTGGAGACATCTGTTGCGCTCCCTGAAAGCCGACAGCTCATACCGATGATTGCGATAGGTTCCAGCGGCCCACGGCTGCTACCATAGCCGACATTTTCTTCGAAGGTATTGCTCTCATTATCGCTAAGGACTGACCACGGCGATGAGTAGAACTTTTCGCCTTCGGTAGCCTCGCTGTCCGCCGTTTTGGTATGGGCTCTAGATGTGTTACTCAACATTTTGCAGTTGAACAGGAAGGCATGCACTCAAGTGACGTTCCCGTGTTGCATTGGGTTTTGCTATATCTACCACCTATAAAAAAGCCAAAAAGAAAAAGAACAAGAAAGCACGGCCCACTACGTAACCTCAGCCCTGTTATATCAGGTTTGAAGTACCTTTTGTGCTTTGCTCCCCAAACACGCTGACGGCGCCAGTATTCTCCGCCACAGACAAATCTTTTTGGCTCTGCCTCTCATCAGATATCGGTTCCTGCAGGTCACAACTTACGGAGTAGGTACATTTCGGGATAATTTCGGACGTGGCTGCCGTAGAGTGGAAACACATCTGTACCCCCTTCTTTTACCTCCAGTACTGCGTCCGCAGCCTGGTCAAAGATTAGCCAAATATGGCGCCACGAAGGAAACCCAATGAGCACGGCAGGAGACGACCAGTTATACCAAAGAGCCATACTTGGAACAGAGCCCACCAGGCAGCGTGCACCCAGTCAACACGCCAGCATCCACGGGGAAACTTGTGATTGACGCCGCTATCTTCGCACGAAGGAAATCTGCATGAAAGCTCTGCATGGAGATCCAGTAGGGTGATCATCCAGGCATGTCAATAAGACATGGGTTCGGTATTATCGATGCTGGCAATTGGTAGTAGAGCTGAAGCAGTGCACAGTTGCCGGAGATGCGTTGCAATACCGCAGTAAGGTGCGTTGTCATAGCCGCGGTCCAAGGCCCTACTTCAACTTCCACCTGGGAAGACGATTAAATGTCATATGAATTTCCTCAACATGTACGTGCTGGCACGATTTGTCATTTACTTCCAAGGGTTTGCTCTGTAATCTGGCGGCATCCAATCTCTACCAGGCGTAAGTTCCATCCTTGTATTTCCCCTAATCGTGGTTCCCTTGCTCACCATGCGCAGCGAATATTCTCAAGATGGAGAACAGTGTGGTCAAGCTCAGCGTTCCTACTAGCGAGGATGTGATTAAGCTGTCCATCTTGGATCAACAGATTATGCGCTTCTACGCAAAGATTGTGAACATTTTCAAACTGGACACAGCAAACAACCTAGACGATGTCGTACACCATCTGAAGGAGGGCCTCGGGGTCGCCTTGAGTGAGATTCCCGACTTCGCCGCAACCCTCGTGCCCGTCCCAGGTTCTCAGCGGAAAGAAATAGAATTGCACATTGGGCCTGAGTCAGGTGTGCAGTTCAGGGTAATTGATCAAAGAAAAGAAACACCCTGGGCATATGGAAGCTATTCAGAGTTGGAGAAGAGCCTGGCACCATTCTATAAGTGATGCGCGGGGTATCAGTGTCCTAGTGGACGCATGGGCTCGTCATACAAAAGAGTCCCTCACACAGGGTAAGCTGGAAGCTCCAGTGGCACCACCAGAAGGTGCCAGAGACCGTTGGCGCTTAGACCATGGATTGCGGGATGCGTCTCTCGACCAAATGGAGGAGTATACCATCGATAGCTCTATTCGGGAGCCGCCTCCCTCCACGCAAGGAACTCACTTGCTTGGCAGCTGGAGCAGGCTTATCCAGGGGGGACGTCGCTCTTTACCACCCGGTTGGACTTCCGGGCACGTACCAAACCACCATTCCCGGACACATTCGTCGGCAACATCAACAAGCCAACCGCGCGGGTACGCCTCCCCCTAGCGGAAGTGTGCGCAGCCTCCACGCCCGAGTCACTCGTTACTCTTGCGGAGGCCATTCGGGTCGCCACGGAAGGTACCGGGGAGCAAGCCATGCGTACGCTTATTGGTCTAGTAAACAACGCGGCCGCCGTGACAGATGTGGCATGGAACTACAACTACTTCCCGGAGCCAGATCTGGGAGTAACGGACATCTCCGGCATCGAAGCACTCAAGCAGAACTGGGGTACACCCTTGGGTACGCCGACGCATATCAAGTCTTACTCCAGGGAGACTGGCCTCCTATATCTCTTCCCACAGGACCAGGATGGAGGGTTTGAAATCCAGATCCAGTGTGAGAACGAAGCTGTGGAAGCCCTGAAGAGGGACGACCGTTTTCAACAGTACTGTGAATTTCGCCAAATCTCGCATCACAACGAGTCGGCAGGAAACGCTCCGCCATAGATAGAGAGCATTGTGACATAGAGATTGGTGCTTCCATATAATCATTTGATGTTATCTCTAGAATCTTTGATTATAGGTGTGCATTGGTTTTGTAGTTTATGACTACTGTATTCATTGCTCCATCGGTTATATACATGTGAATATAACACATACTCCGAGTCCTTAAATATTCACCAAATGTTTCAACAACTTGAGGTTTGCTAAAATATAGGCATTTTTTGGAGCACTACTCACGCTTAGAAGGCTTTGATTTTCTACTATAGGTTGCGATCTAGTGCGGCCGCTCCTGTCACAATCGATCGAACAGACGAGATATCGAACGGATCCAACACAAAGGGATTGGCAGCAAATGCGGCGAGGATGGGAGTGTACCTAGGATGAAATCTGGAATCAGCCAAGGCAATCCATAATCTGCGTGATAGCCTCACTAGATATAATCTCTCAATGCGACATCGAGGACGACGAAGTCGAGCTACCGAGCCCAGATCAAATATCTTATTAGCAAAAGCCGCGAGAGGTTCGTGAATGCCCATCCCGGTGTGCCACTTACAGTATTCCAGCTGTAAATAGCAATAACCTTGTCCCAGGGAGATCCCTCATTAGAAGACCACCCCCAAATCTCGAGCCAGTGCGCGGGATAGGCATTCAACTCGCTCCTGGAGCTCTGTGGTCGAGTATGACTTGCCCGTGATGGCGTCCACAAATGGCGCCTTGCCACCGCACTGTGGGGGTAAACGGGCATTTCCCTCCAAGGCAAACTGACCAACGGGGAGTGAGTCAGGTATTTCGCAAGGGATCTGTGGCACCCACGAGGGAGACGTAAAGATCATGATGGGTTGGTGGCTCTCTCAACGAAGGTACGGGAGACGGATGACGGCTACAGATTCTCTAAAGTGCTACATAAGGATATATTGAGGAAAATGAGGATCTAGGAGATGCAGAAGAAAAAGGAATAATAATTCAAGGCACAAAATACCCCACAGAATGGTTTCATTGCTTAAGGTAGCTTCACAATCTGATTTCCTGAGTGGATAGTCATGGTTCTCTTCGTATGTTACCCATCAAAATCCATAACGGGAGTTCTGAAAGGCACACCAAGGAACAAGACTAATGAATGCCATGCAGCCCCATTCAAGGCACTTTACGGAGTAGTACAGAGTAGATCTAGACTCGTGCGTGCTTTGGGCCGTGCACTCAAGGTAGGATGTGTGCTTAAGAATAGACGCTTTGGAAATAATTCGATCGAAGCCGACATGTCAGGGCACAGCAAGATCGACAAATGCCCACTGACACGTCAGATCCACCTCCATGGATTATGACTCTAGTGTGTTTGTTTTCTATATAAAGATTATATTTTAGTTGTCCATTAGTATCTTGGTTAATCTTACCCCGCCTTTTTCGCTGTGCAGTTGTTTATTTAATTATATCAATTGGCATCCCTCGTCACCGGTTGTCTCACCCTCGCATTTGATGCTGGTACAACACTGCAAGATAGCAATCAACTAGGACTGAATCCAGCAGGGTTTCATTGGAAGTCAGGATAGGGATCTTCAACATGATTTCCAAGGACAGGAATCTCTCCGACATACCCTGTATGAGGTATATTGGATTTGACAAATCATCCGTTGCAAGGGTTATGGAAGCCGAATCTAGAGCGTGTTCTGCTAGGAGAATATAAACGAGGAATCTCACTACCCAGATTCAACTGCAGAAGCAGAGCCTAGGATACAGTTCGGAATTCAACAAAGAGAGCTCAAATGTTCCGACGTTGTAGCACAAGATGAGATTTAGCTGCTATCTGATCTAGCTTTGGCAGTATGCGGAGGGAAAAGGTGCAGAGTACTCCGTACACTTCTTCTCCTTGGTACCTTGGGATGTCAGGGATGCTTGACAAATCTCGTATGTCCTCTCATGACCGAGCTGAAGAGACCACAGAGTATACCTATCGAATTTCCGGGTCTGGGTAGTTGCATAGCTTCGGATGCCCTTTGACGCTTTCTGATAAATGCAAAACCAGACATTGTGACGAGGCGAGACTGCGTCTGCACAGTAGATCGAGAGCAAGCCCTTTGCGTCTCTCTACAGGAATGCATGAAAGTCCCATCCAAACCCACTTCGCAGCCCGAGATCCACCGTGAACGGCCATTACTGCCAGATAATCAAATGCTGTTCTCTATCATGTGAACATCCTTGTGAATGCAGATTGTCTGACTGAGCTGATTATAAGCGTGGAGGTGCAATGTCATCCAACCAGTCCATAGATGGACTCTTGCTCCTGACGTGGAGATACTGCCATTGTCTGGATGGCTGATTCTCCGGCGCTTCCTGCTCCGATGGGAAGGAGGCCGAGATGGATCTTGATTCCTAAAGTTGGATACAAACACACCAGAACCTGAGCATTTGGAGTCTGGTCTGCTATTACTCCGTACCCAATCCAATCTGTGAGATGTAGACTCTCCAGCGCGAGACCACCCTATAGCATTTTACCTACTATTTTCCCTTCCTGGAACGTCTCCGCTTGTACGGAGTACTTCGCACTCCACCACGGGTCGTAAAAGCTCGGGACAAAGATTTGTCTATTCCATTGCTTACAGCGTTTCATTTTCTTTTCTCCGTTCAGGTCTTATGATCTGCAACACTCGCTATTAATTTACCGACGTAGGGCCGACCTAGGCTTATGCAAATAGATCGATCTCCGGGGATAGGAGGTGCCGCTGCGTGCGGTGGGTTGATCTTGCAAAAGTACGCCGTGGGAAGATTATGACGAGTATTCCGTACTATGTGGTATGGGGAATACTATCTTCGCAGTCTTGACCACGGCGGCAAAGTCTCCATATTGGATAAGGCTAGTATACAACCCTACAACTTAGGTCACTAAGTACATTTTCCTCCTACATCCTCAGAAGTGCCGATAAAGTATATTCGCAACTGGCTTGTTCCAGTGTTCAGGTATTTCTTCCGGGTTCGATAGCGTAACGAAGTCACAGCCTTGGACGCTGAAGGAAGGATATGACAAGACATCGAAGTAAAGGGCCAACTATTTGAATGGCTGACCAGCGACCTGCGCATTGCTTGAGGTTGTAATCACCAGGATATGTGGCGATTCAGACAATTGCCCAAACGAGGCATGTGTACTCCGTAGGGCACGGAATCCGAATGCGGAACTGTCAATGCTTCAACTTGTGTCCAGTGCTTGGATGAAACAAGAGTTTCAGCACAAGATGAGTGCGTTGGACTCCTTAAGCTGTTGGATGAAACTGTGTCTCTATTGCCTAACCATGTTCAGAAATCTCACGCCTAACTTGACGTTGGCATTAGACATCGAGCCACTGCCGTTGTTGTATAACGCAAAGGCAAATGATGGAATTGATCCGTTATCCCGTCTCATTCGGGGTATGGCCCCAACACCCTTGTCTTACTTCTATGTATCTTGAAATTGATGTTTATAGAATTACTCAGGGGAAATAAGCAGCCTTGTTTCGAGTGCTTCTACCAAAAGTTCTTCAAAGTCATTACTGTCTTACGCTTGAAAGATCTTTACCTCTTTGATTACGAGCCTATCTAACCGCGCCTGAGCGGCAATAAAATGGTTAGAGGAAGATGTGCAGTTATGGGTTATCCGCCTGAAAAGCTGGCGCAGGGCCGGAACTAGATGATGCTGGATATCACTCTCCCTGGACGTTGAATACGTGAAATTGGAGTATCTGAAAAAAGGGTTGTCGGATAATATGCTCAGAATCGAGCTTTCGGGTCCAGAATATCAACACCTCAGCGTTGTTGATGCTCCTGCGCTTTTGCACAGTAAGTGAACTAATTGATGATAGTTGATAAGAGTTAACATGTTGAAGATCCAACCAAGTATCAGACTGCCAAAGATGGAGTCATCATCAGGAATCTCATAGCGGAATATATCATGGACAAGCGCACTATTATTCTGTAAGTGTCCTCGGAAATTCTGGCTGACCTGAAGTAGTGCGGTTATGGATGCGCGAAATAATCTGGTGAACCAGAAAGTGTAAGTTGGTTACTACAAGCAAAGCAAGCAAGTTATTGCTGTGAAATAGGTTCTCCATGGCGCGAGCAGCTCATCCTCAGGGCAAGCGTACCGTGGGGATTATCACCAAATGTGACACAGTAGCAGAAGGGGACGAAGAGGTTGTATGTTGCGTCGTCTTTTATGTCGGGTTCGAGCTAACCTAGGAGCTGGTTTTGTGTATTGATAAGCTCACTATCGAGTTCGGGGATGGACTGGGATATAGGAGCATCAAGATAGCAAAAGGATACTGGATGCCAGCAAGATAACAGATTCAAAATTTTCTTTCATTCGTTAGATTCGACCCACTGAAGCCATCACACACATTAGAAGGAAACTAAAAGACGAAAGCTATGGGTCTACTGCATTAATGTTGACCAAAAATAATACTGCATCGGACGAAACGGTCGTCTAGACACCTTTTTAGCTGAACGGTAAAGGTTGACAATTAAGAAAAGGCGGCGTCATTCTGTAGAAAACAATGCAAACGAATAAAAAACGAATAACCCCTCGCAGTATTGCAAGGAATGAAGTCGAAAAGTTGACAAAGATCTTGAGAATGCTAAGAACATATCTAGGCAGGAACAAGGTTCATGAACCCGAGGTTTCTCGCGGCATGATCGCGCAATTGCTCGATATCTAGGTAAAGGACGTCATTCCCATCGCGACCAGCTAACATCGCCGGCCCAAAAAGATCACATCGTCGGATCCCTAATCGTTGGCTGCTTGCGGTAGCAGGCGGGGGAAAGACAGTCTGTATAAATTTGGGGTAATAAGAATGTGAAATATTAATCAAAAGTCTTGAACATACCTCGCTTTGTACAAGTCTGGGCATGCCGTTTCGATCTCTCATGAAGAGCTCCACGGTCCCTGAGACGCGACCTCCTTGCAATCTTGTCCATTCAACAATGATTACAACCTTAATAGAGCCATCACCACCCACTAGCAACATGTTCATACCGTCAAGAAGTGGTGCCCCCGACTCGCTCCAGCCGCACTCAACTGCAAGAGTTGGGAGGATGTGACCGTTGACTCGGAAAAAGAAGTCGGGTTCCTTCGTAGAGCCGGTGTATGGACCGTATTTAAATTCAAGAGCTATCTATGTTAGCTTAAGATTCCTATTTAGGTAAGTGAATTATAAGATAACTTACTTGTACCGACTATCCCATGCAAAAGCAACTGTTCCTCTCGCGTTACATCATGATTTAGGAGCCAGTCTTGGATACAGTTCTGGATCTCTGTCGGCATAACCCTGATGCTTAAGCTGCGGCTCGTAGTGTTGTAGCTTTTTCTAGTAGGATAAGTAAGACTCTCAACGGAGATTAGACGCAGAAGGTTTCAACTTACCGAGACGCGATCTTCTCGTCGATAAGCCGCAATATGGCCTGTCCCCAGGAGGGAGGCACGTCGGTAAACACAAACTCGTGATACTCCTTCACTCGACGCAGGTAGGAGAGGACGTGAGCTTCAAAAACAGCCAGCTTGTCGAACTGCCTCGCAGAGGTCACAGTCATGAATGAGCCCGACTCGAGGGAAGGAGTCGAAATGAGAACGTCTGCCATGGTGAGAGTAGGGAATTGAGGTTCGAGAAGAAGGTGAAATAGGAAGGCCAACTGCCAAACTCTACCGTTCAGCCTAAAAGGTGTCTAGACGGCCATTTCGTCGGATACAGTATTATTTTTAGTCAACAGGAAAGAAGGAAAGAAGTGGTTTTGTTTCGAGGGAGAAGAATGGTGAATTCTTAGGAGGTAGTTGGTGTAACTATATAACTAGTTATGGTGTAATTTGCTGCTTAATCACGGAGCGGGTGTGCACTCCATAACTAACTAGCTAAAATATTAGAAAATCTATCTAGGTAGCTTAAGACTAGAATATCAAGCTCTATTATTGAACTCTATACAACTGGCAATAATCCAGGATGAAGCTCTATGCAGAGGATTTCTTCTTCCCCCGATCGTTGCCTTAGTCCTGAGGCTGCGACATCTGCTGAGTCAGCCAGATAAGGTGGTGCTCGAAAATCAACACAACATTCATTGTTCTTTTCACTCATTCGCGGGGCATCAGAACAAGCATCGATTTGTTGCTCGTGGGTCTAAAGGATAAAAAATGCAACCCTCCTCAAGAGATCAAGTTGATGAGAGGGAAATCCTTCTACCTGACCCCAGTGAAGGGGATGATGCCAGGTCGGACCCAGAAGAGCCCGCGCACCCCTATTCTCGTCAACGCCGGCATCTGGGACTATTCTCAACCATGTTTCTAATGTAAGGGTGTTGGGTGAACAGTGACTTATGGAACACCAGCATTAACTCATTAGTACTAACCGCATGATCGGGACCGCCATATTCTCAACCCCTTCGTCCATTGCCGGCAGTGTAGGAAGTGCGGGTGTGACGTTAGTGTTATGGGTAGTTGGCTTGATCTTGGCCTATTGTGGTCTTTTCATATGGATTGAATTGGGGTCCTTGATGCCTCGAAGCGGTGGTGAAAAGGTTTATCTGGAGGCCGCATATTCGAAGCCACGAATGCTGATCACAACTGTCTTTGCCGTGCACGTCATTTTTCTTGGGTTCACTGGTATATAACCTACTTCCCTACTTCCGTACAGAAGACCAAGATAATCTTACTACTATATAGGTATTGGCAGTGTTGTAGTGGCCGAAAATATCCTTCTAGCATTGCATGGTTCTGCTAGTGATTCGGTGAAAAGGGGTCTGGCCATGATCGTTCTTAGCTCCGTTGCCACGATACATATCAGCTCGTGTTCTTTAGGAGTTCGCATAATGGTGAGTATCTTTTTGAAACGCTTTATTTTAGCTATTCTGACCGTCATAGAATTTACTCGCGTCTGTCAAAATCCTCATTTTGTGCCTCATAATAGTCTCTGGGCTGCGAGCTCTTCGCGGCGACCTCTCACAGATTCCTAACCCCGCCAGTAGTTTTCGGGATCCGTTTGCGGGATCCTCGTCCAATGTATCAGACTATACAAATGCCTTGTTGAAAATTTTGGCCAGCTATCAAGGCTGGTCGAATGCAGCTTACGTGCTAGATGAGGTGCAGAATCCTCGAAGGGTCCTGAAAGTTGCGGGTATTCTGGGTGTCGGGATCGTTGGAATTCTTTATACTCTGACGAATATCGCGTACTTTGTTGTTGCCACACCAGAAGAAATTAGTAGAACTGGTGTCACGGTGGTGGCGATGCTGATTGGAAAAGTCTTTGGCAATACGATGCTTTGGTTGACTGCCATTCTAGCAGCGCTGTCGTCATTTGGGAATTTAATGACAGCGTCTTTTTCAATGTCGCGCGTGGTTCGTGAATTGGCTAAAGAAGGGCTACTTCCCTATGCTCATTTCTTCGCTGCAACGACATCCTCTGGGTCTCCATCTGGGGCCTTTCTCCTGGTCTTCTTTTCGTCCGCAGTTATGATTCTGTTCATTCCTTTCGGCAAGTATGCCTTCATTCCTAATCAAAACGTTTGCTAACTGTAGGCAGGAGAGGTATACAACTTCCTGCTTGATGTGGGTCAATACGCCATTTCCATAATCAATGCTCTTGTTGTTACTGGACTTTTCATTATTCGCAGAAGGACAACCCATCCCCAGACCTTCCGTGCGTGGAATGTAGTGATATATTTATTTTTCGCGAGTCAGCTCTTCCTCTTGGTCACCCCTTTCGTCCCTAGAGGGCTGGAAACGGGCAGGCTTCTACCATCCTGGCTTTACGCGGTGTTAGCTATCTTGGTTTTCACTGGTGCTGGAATATATTGGTGTGTCTCCTGGGTGGTATGGCCAAGGTATGGTCGTTTTATTTGGATAGCCCGAGAGTCGACACTTTCCGATGGCTCGCTGTTGATTAAATGGGACAAGATTAAAATTAATTAGAGTAGGTTGGTCGCCATCCTAGATTTCCTCATCCTGTGCCTTAGCTATCGAGTCACTAACACCCCTCACGCGCTATAAGCCCACGATAGCGCCTACCAATAATTGGGCTGCATAGCGGGCCTTCTGTACCTCCAAGTTCTCCGACAAAACGAACACAACCTTCCCCGCTTCTCCGTATAAGAAATCTAGAGGTTGTTCGGTGGGCCTGGGCAGGCGCGTCGATATGCAGAATATTCTTTGGCTTTCATAAAACTTGAATGCACAAGAATGCCAACTACTAACCGTTGAAAGCCCTCTCGCAAGTGTCAGGGTGTCACGGTATACCCTCTACATGGCATCTACAGCTTTCTAGGTATTCCGAGATTATCACAGACCAAGCAATACAAGCACGGTCCGAAACCACTACTCCAGTTCGGAAGGGGGGCGTGATGGCCACCCCGCAAACCCCCTTTTCCTTGCTGACTTCACAAACTAGCCATTAAACTATCTTCGCGGTACGAAACAGGATGCTGGCGAATATGTATGGATTCAATCACGGATATGAAGCTTGTCAGAGCCAGGCTCGCAACTGAGGAGCCCAGTGTTACCTGCCAACCCGGATGTTTCTGCATGAGGTAAACTGTGCGAACATACATTGTTTGGCCTTGGACGGTAACATTTAAGTCTACTCTTCCATCAGCATTCCCTCAAGTTCTCTTTGGGTCCGCGGATGAATAGTTTTTTGGGTCTCCAAATCAATGAGGATGATGGATCACAGAAATCCAAAATTTGTGCTGATCTCTGGATGCACGCGGTGGCACGAGCTAGCCACCTGATCTCACGCAATGGAATGGAAGGTTGTCTTGCTCTTTGGGTATTGACTGACTTGTGATTGTCGACTCCCTCGGCCTAGCAGGAGTTGTGGAAAGATACACGGAGAATAAGTCTCCCAACGTGAATCTTATAGCCCAAAATTGCGACACCAACATGTTCTTTCCGCAGCCCACAAATGCTGTGAATAACAAACAAAGTTGCCAATATATTGCGGGGAAGAGAAAGTTTAACAGGGGTGTGCCACTAGGCTTGGATTTAGGCGTCCAGACCTCGTTCAAGCCAATATGCAAGTTCCAACACATGTCTTCATATCATCTGTGTATATCTGAAAAACTTAGGAGACCGAGGCTTTTTCGGTGTATCCCATGATACTATTATGCAACCAGCATATAAATACCGCTCATAACCCCTGAGATGTCAAGGTCAGAATCGCCAGCCAGCAAAGTCGAAACTACTCTACAGGCCGATCAATTCAGCATCGCCCCCAAACCAATCTTCTTCATAATGAAGTTCATGACAACCCTCGTGACCGTTAGCCTTGCTTTCGGTGCTTTTGCAGAGCCCATCGCACAAAAGAAACGCGCTCTCGCAGACTACCAAGCTGTATTCCAGGATATCAGCGACCAGGTCACCGTTATCCAAACTGACGTGGCCTCCTACGTTGCTGGCTCGATTGCCGGGACTGTTGTCCAGGATGATTCAAGCACTCTGGTAGATGTCATCAACAACGGTACGACTACCATCAGCGGACTTGATTCACTTTCCAATCTGGATGCCCTCGGCCTGGTATCTCCTATTCAAAATCTTACAAGTGGGGTCAGCGACCTGGTTGATGCTGTGATTGCCGCCAAACCCAACTTTGATGCGGACGGCCTGTCTGCCGCCACTCTAACCTCCCTGCAAACGCAGAAGAACGCTTCCGAAGGTCTTCGTGACACCATCACCCCGAAGGTTCCATCCGCTCTCTCTAGCATTGCGGCCGATCTCGCCAACGGAATTGTCAGTGAGATTCAGCGTGGCATTGATGCTTATTCTTGAAGCGCCTACGGCACGAAGGTCATGCGGCGGTGAATGAGGAAGCGCGTATGGAAGTGTACGGGGGCTATATCAGCTATTGCCAGTGCGGTCTTGCATAGCCTGTATAACCGCAGGATGAGCTGTTCACTAGTGAATATACGGAGCTATTCTTGAAATCCTACCTTCGTAGACTCCTTTATCTTGACTTGACCCGGCGATCATCTCTCCTCAGCCGGTATCCAAGCCAGAGGAAACAATTAACAGGACGGTTATGAACATGCGTTTACCAAATGAGATACAAATGCCCATAGCGCTCTACAAGTAGGTGAGTAGCCATCCTCACAGGCCATAAATATCCGCAAATGGGTCACAGGTAGAATCACCATGCCTAGTGTGTTGGATGGTGTTCACGACATCTTCCGCGATTCCCCCCCCCCCTCCCAGACCTCCTCGATCCAGGCGACAGTCACATCGATCCCCGCGCTCACCCCAGAGGAGGTCCATACATTGCCATCCGTCACCCATCGGGTGAACTCCCTGTATCCGTGTTTGATTGTGGTGGCGCGTTTCCCGTCCGCCGACCCCGTGCGGTTGCATCCTGGGGCGGTTTGGTCGACACTGGGTAGAGTCTACTAGGACACGCTGTAGAGGATCTTTGGCCTTGTTCCGATCCGATAGTATTCTGGAGTCTTGAACAACGTAACTAACATGTACCTGACGGCCAGACAAGACTAGAATATTTGGACACGGACACGCAGGATTGCCGCATATTTAGGCTGCTCCCACTTTGGACGGAGTAGCAATAACAGGGCCATTTTTGCCTAGCAGAGTATACATATACCGTGGGCTACAGAGAATCCAAAAGATTCATATGATATAATATATTAATACCAAAAAAAATCAAGCAATCCACTACCCGCTCAGCAGGTTTCCCGCCTTCCACAGCAAGGTCAGACAACTCAGGTTCCCGATCCACCACGTAACGCCGCGCAGCTGGCTGAGGAGGGGTCGATCCACGAAGATATAGATAAACCCATAGCTGACACGGGCAAACGTATATGTTAACGCGGCTCGGTTGATCGTCGTGCGAGGAACTCCTGAGAAGGTGGCGAGTGAAATCGCCGCCACCAGAAGCGCAAAATTCTCGACCGCGTTCGCGTGGGCGGCTTCGTTACGGCGGAGCATGGCGAGTTGGGCCTGCGTGAGCTTTCCTTCGCGCACCGCTGCCTCGCCGTATTTATTGAGGTCCTCGCGGGGGGACACGTTGTGGTCAATGCCAAAGTATTGTTTCAGGGTGCGAGACGACAGCACCCCGTAGGCCCAAACGAAGTGGAAAATGAGGCAAGAGGGGCCATAATTGGGGACTGGAGTTGCCAGGGGCGCCGATCCGAGACCGATAGCTGTAAGAAGGTTCATTTTGGAATGTCTGACGGCGGAGGAGGTCAGGGCTCGTCGGATTTTCGTCGAATAGCGCCCTCCTTTATATCTACATCAGCCAACGTTGAGCTGTCCAATTAATCCTTTCGGACCCCACGGACCGGCGGATTTGGATTTGAAATCGATGGCTCTGGACCGAGTCAATAACAGGTTCCACAGCCACCGGACGCTAGCTATTGATCATGGGAACAACACGGTAAAAACACTACTACGTGTACGCTATAAGGTATCCCGGAATGATTTTTTGCTAAGATGTAACACCCCGTGGCTGGACATGTGTCTCACCAGCATGCCCTAATCACAGCACAAGCCTGCAACGCAGCCGCGGATCCCACCACCCAGCCATTCTCCTTAATGCCGGTGCGGAAATACCATGCGGAACTTGTCCACAGAAGCGCATTGCAAATTATCGCGATGGCTTTGTTAGTAGGATCGTAAAGCGCCCGGGGATTACGGGACCACTGATAATGCAGGAGGCCTATCACTCATGTGGTTAACATAACCTGGGTGAGGTAGAGACGAAATAGAGGAAAGCAGAAGAAGATGATCTGGGAATGCATACCAGTCATGAAGAAAAAGGCGCTTCCCTAAGCATCATGGTTAGTGTCGATTCTGTGATTTCTGTCGGTACTATGGAGCAAGCGTAGTACATACTTGGTACCAGCCAACAATGGCACAGGCCCATGGTTTAGTACCTGGGATGAGGGTAAATGCTGGATCAAGGGTCCATTGTCTTCCTCCGATCTAAAACCAAGGATTCAGTATATGACTACCTGTTCCTCTGCCGATATCAGGATGACAAAACCAGTATGGGCAGTGAACCGGAGGGGGAATAGTAGGTCAGTGACGTACTGTATGTCCAATCGAGAGGGCAATAAATGACAAGGCAGAGGCCTGAAGCATAGGAGCAGGTGCCATTTATATAGATTACTATAAGAGAAAGTCAGAGGTTGTGTTTTGTCAACCACAACGGATCAATTGCCAGTGTGGGGAGAGATAATAGATATACGGAGTACGCCTAGGAGGAGGCTTCGCATTTAAGGGGTTACATAGAATTTGCGTAGCCAAACATAGCGCTTGGAGTCCATACGAAGGAGCCAATTACTTGACTGCTAAATCTGCCTCTACAGGACGGTCGACCCACTAAAGATCCGCCGAACAGGGTGCATGGAGGAGCATAAAAAGGCGCGATACGTTCGGAATCGATCTATCGAACAAGCAAGAAAGAAAGCCTCTCTTTTTTTACTTGGAATTCTGCTGCTTCGTGATACACCGAACGAATATCTCCGCAAGACTCTCGACATAAGGCCCGAACAACGACCACTCAATGGCTGCTACAAAGCTCCTTCTCACTGGCGCTACGGGATATATGTAAGCGAAAGACCCTGGGGATTTGCTGTTAGGGAAGAAAGAAACTGATCGGATCCAGCGGGGGTACTGTGCTCACACAGCTGCTCAAATCAACGGTCCCGGAAATAAAGCAGCTGTCTGTTTCCGTCTTGGTCAGGAAAAGAGAGCAAGCTGAGCGATACGAATCCGAAGACGTGACGCCAGTGATATTCAATGGGTTAGAAGATACAGAACAGATTCGGTCGCTAGCCAGTGGCTATGATATCATCCTCCATGCTGCGGATTCGACGAATTCCTCTGCCGCCGAAGCCTTGATTCTGGGACTTGCCGACAATCAAGACCGCAGCAAGAACAGATACTTTATTCACACGAGTGGAACCTCGAGTCTCGGTGACCGGCCTATCACTGGGCCGTCCGCGAAGCCGAGAGATCATTCCGACAAGGAAGATATATACAGCTGCCTGAAAGCTCTCGAGTCCCTGGAGCCATATGCCCAACGCGCCACGGATATTAAGATTGTTGAAACGGGTGACCAAGCAGGCATTGATACTCTTGTGATCAAGGCGCCGATTATTTACGGCCGAGGAACGGGCTATTTTCACGAGAAGTCGTTCCACATTCCCTTGTTCATTAAGGGTGCAGTTGCCGCGGGGCACGCCGAGTATATCGGTGATGGCTGTGGTGTGTGGGATTATGTGCATGTCGTCGAACTGGGCAAGTTCTTCGAGTTTCTCCTAACAAGGGTCCTGCGAGGCGAATCTGTGCCATCGGGGCACCAGGGCATCTACTTCATAGGTAGTCTAAGGTATTCGTGGAAGGAACTATCTGAGGGGATAGCCACAGCTGGTTCTACGCTTGGACTCCTGACATCGGCAGAGGCACAGTCAATCAGCCTGAAAGAGGCAGCTGAGAAATATACTAGAGGAAATGAGTCATTAGCAGAGGTTGGATTGGCATCCAAGTATGTATATCCCCTAGGCAGCTTCTGTTCTCAAGCTAATAGTCCTATTAAGCTCGCTTACCCGCGCGGATCTGGCTCGAGAAATGGGCTGGGTCTCGAATATGACGGACATTGACTTCCAGAAAAGCCTCCTAGATGACTTTGATCTATTGTGTCGCCATGCAGAGTGAAACTGGTGGGCAAAGAAGGATCCTTCCTTTCATGTCCTATTCGTGAAACATGGATTTATATTGGTGGGAATTCAAAATAGCAACCACAGTCATATATCAGACAAGGACAAGAGACTATACAAGGCCAGCAGATAGTAAGCCCAAGTAATTCCACATTCAAACACTCCCCTCCTCCACCCTAGCCTTCACAAGGCAATCCTCGAGGATTCATTGTTAATCCCGAGAAGGACAAAATGCTAAATTTATCCATAGATCAATACATGATCTTCACCAGGCATGGTGTTGGGGGAGGGTTTTTTTTTTTGAAACCCTTGAAGAATTCGAGCATGGCCATAGTTGATTGCCGAGTGCAATACTCCATACACCGGATACGGAACTGTCCGACGGACTCGTCTGTATCCCGAGCCGGACATGCACTTTATGGACGGAGAATGATGGCCTAGTACTGTTCGAGACTCGTAGTTTGTAGTTGGAGCGGCGCGGATAGTTAGATGTTGCCTAACATGGACAAATCAGAGCGAAGTCTCAAGATCCACTCGGCACAGATGAGCTGAAGGCCACGAAATTGCCGGTGAAGAGGGTGTTCAAAAAGCCGGTTCTGTTGCTCGAGAAATGGCCACCACTTCGCAGCCATGGATTGTGTGAGAAGCAAGCAGAGTCTCGCGCAGACTCCCTCGGAAATGGCGACCCTGGCGACGGCAGGGAGACGAAGAGCATTCTCAAGAAAGTCCCGGACTGGATGTCAGACGTGTCGGTTAGTAACCATCCTGCGGTGGCGGGGGACTGAATTCCAGCTGATTGGCAGTAGAACCCGGCATGTTCGATGCGATGAGGCTCCGGGGTCATGTCTTAATTGTACATCCACTGGCCGCAAGTGTGACGGATATGACCGGAACCAATTGCCCCTGCATATCGTTAGGGCCCGATTGCCTACCCCCATGGCGGGCCTGCAGCAGAATATCGGCACGAACCTCCCTGGAACGAGCTCTGACGAACGGCGCTGTTTCGCCTTCTTCCTAGGCAAGACGGCGCCCATGATAGAAACCTGCTTTGATTCCGAACTATGGCGGCGATTGGTTCTCCCTATGAGCCAGGCCGAGCCCGCTGTGTTCCACGCGGTCGTCGCATTAAGCGCGCTGCACGAGAATTCCGTGGCGAGAGGCCTCGGGAATGAGTATCATCGCTTTTCCCTCAGCCAGTATAATAGGGCAATAACGAAGCTGCATCAGCGATTCGGGTCGAATGATCCCCAGCTGCACCAAGTTGTGCTGACCTGCTGTATCATCTTCTTTACCTTGGAGCTCCTGCAGGGCAATTATAAAGCAGCCTTCGCACATCTCCGGCAAGGCTTAAAGATCATGCAAGTCCAACCTGGCAGTCCCGACCAGTTTCCGGTGTTGAAGCGAAGTCACCCATTAGACTATGACCCAGCCCTGGTGGAAACATTCATGCGCTTGGATTTAGAAGCTACAAATTTCGACTTGTCGGGCCGCGGTTTACGGCTTGGAAACACCAAACGACCGCTCGCCGTCCCCAGTCAAGAGAGTCTCGAAATCACTTCACTGGTAGCAGCGAAGCAGCTGCTCGCCAGCATAACATGCGACGTCTTCTGCTTTTACGATCACAGCGCCCGTGTTTTTCAAGGCACTGTCCCGCCGGACCTCCTCTCCTTGTCGGCCGAGCGATGCAGGATCTGGCGCCGACTGGTGGAATTTACGGCGAGCTTTGATGTCTTTCTTTCGAGATATCGTGTCGAGACCACTCTGACTCCCTCCAGGATCCGCGGCATCAACATCGTTCAAGTATATCAGTTGCTTTTGAAAACCACGTTGGAGGCTGCAACAACGGCGTCGGAAGTGGCCTTTGATGACTATCTCTCCGTTTTCACCACAGTCACCCACTCTGCGGAGAAGATCATCGAAAGCCTGAAGGCTGAATATGGGCACGATTCTCTGCCTACCTTGACTATGGATATTGGAGTCATCCCACCGCTATACTGGGTGTGCGTGAAGTGTCGCTATCGGCAGATTCGTGAACGCGCCCTTCATCTTCTCGAGTCGTGGCCACATCGAGAGGGTCCATACGACTCCAACATGGTGGTGCATATTATCAAAGCTATTTTTGCGATTGAAAGTGAATACGTGACTATTGACGATGCCTACGACGAGAAGTTGGGGATGGAAGTTGTCCGTGAAACCTGGAGGCTGACGAGTCTGTCAGTCGAGATATCTGAAGACCAGAGGGACGGTATCGTTACTTATGCCCTCTCTGGTGATCCGAGGCTGCAGCAGCGCCAGTTTAAGCTCGCGGGCGTAGATTCCTTGACTCGAACCTAAGATAGATGTTTCCAAGACAACTAACGAGGCGGCTGGTCTGTCGAGAAAGGGTTCCCTTCCTACTTCTTGGACTCTAGAAGATTCCTACTGTTCCTCAACGAGTTAAGACGTTTGTGTGCATCAGGGATGGGGCAGTAATTCACCGTCAACTTGAGTCAAAGCCCCGATGAGACGACAGTTGGCTAGGATTCGACCGTCGATATTCCGGTCTCGACGGGCTTCAACGTTACTATATCGGCTGGACTCGAGCTTGTAGCTGGCTATCCGCAAGCCTATTCAATTCTGGGACCTTCTGCTGTAAAGATCACGGCGGCATCTGGTTGTTGTTGGCTCCGGTATGGGGGGGGGGGGAAGACAACCTGTGTGAGGCTATGTCGGGTCAAGAGAGAAGCATATAAAACCGCTCGGAAATGAAGACCTGATGGCACCTGGACAGTTCCAGCTATCTCTGCTACCCCGCATGAGCAAGCTGCTATTGCTCCATACAGCCTCTGTTACAGCGTGAGTGGTTAGGGTGATAGGCAGCTTCTAGTGCAATGCTAAACCACATCCAGTAAATTTGTGCCAAAGTGAAGATAAGGAAGACATCCTGATTCGAGTGCAGTAATGTTTCTGCCAAACCTGATAAGCCTTGGGGCCACGTTAAATGCTCGGTGGTTGTTGAAATAGGATCGCTCACCTTCTCAGGGAGGTGCCTCACTAGACGTCACTTTGCTCTTCCAACCCCTGGCTACCTAGGTAGGTGGCACTGGGCATATCAGCTCGCAAGTCCTGACTAGGACTGCATGCATGCTCATTCCGCACCGGATGGGTATGGGTTATTGGTAATTGGACCATCACGGTGTCTGTGGACTTTGGATGGCTTTTACCACCCGGAGTTTGCCAGGACCGACTGGCAGTTGCTTTGGTGTTTTTTTATTGTAGTATATGGAAATAAGGTACTATTTGCGCCATGCTTACCCTCTGCTATCATTGCGGCAATGGTTAGTCTCTCCGTGAAGGCGGATCTTGTCGACACTCAGCTAAGGACACACTGTAGGTTTTGGCTCTCTTTTTCTTTCTTTTTTTTTTTCAGTTGAAAGCTGGTCACTCCCAGGATTTGGACTAACCAATCATTCAGGGGTATTACGCTAGTTTTCGTTCTTCGTTGGAATTCTCCCTGGGCCTAGATACGGAGTACACTTGAGTATATTGATTCTCGGCTCTAAGATCCTCTCGATTCTGATTCACGCGTGAAAGCCTTTCCGCTGTGGGAATAATCACCTCGAGTGCAGTACGGAGTAATGCAAGCGTGAACCTCCCTAGGGCTTTGTCCCTCTGCGTGCCGGTTGGTGGAGGAGCCGGCTTATTTTTCGTATGTTTTACTCATTACGACAGGACATTGACACAAATGACCTGGATCACGGACCAAATACATATGTACCGCTGGGATTATTCCTATTTGTGCCGCTCCCTGATTCAAATGATATTAGACCCTCCCATTGCCACAAGTCCGGTCAAAGTTGACGAGCAAAGTTGACGAGCGTACCGATCTGGGCCCTGCCTGACAACTATTATTCAGATGCTTCGTGGCCACATAAACCTCGGCTCTTCATCGCATTTTTTGCCTTGGTCTCAGTAAGTGACATGGCAATGCTAGCGTGGTCCTGGTTGGGCTGCTTGTTATTAGTGGAATTTGGTACGCGATACATGCCAGAAAGGGTATTCCGGGGCAACTCTTGTCCAACAACAACAAATGAACGACTTGTTGCCTCTCGCACGGTTTATAAAGGTCCGCCAGAGTCGGATGGTCTCCTTGTACTCCGTGGAGGGCATGTTGTCGTCGTCTCCCTGAGGCGACGTCGATTCCGTCCAGCGACCACCACCCTCAGGTTATCGTTATCTATGTTATTCAACAGGCCCAACCAAGCAGCGGAGTACGGAGTATTAGGCGCAGTCAATAATTAGACAAAGGGGGGCGCGTGGGGGGGGGGGGAGATAAAGTTGCCTCCTCAAACGATGTCACTCCACGACAGGATTTCATTCGTAGTTACTCCGGAGGAGCAACTTTAGCTCAAAGATTAAGTAGAAAAATGGTAGTTTTAATGTGTAAATTCAACTGGTAACTCCCGTATCTGCTAATCTGCTAATCTGCGAATCTCCAGGCATACTCGCAGTCTTATTGGCAGAGGCCTAGACCTTACGCAGAGTACAGACCCTAAATTAGCTGCTGAAAGGAATCAACAAATATGGGGCTTCCGAACATTCTCAGCCTTCGAGAACAAGAGCCCCGAATGACCATTTCTGTGCCCCGAGCTGAAACGGAAAGATAATAGCTGTCCCCCCTCTTCCTATGCTATGTGGGCTGGCTCCGCAAACCCCAATTTCCCCTGGGGTTATCCACTGGGCAGGAGCCTTGCGGGAGACATTGATTGAATACATACTCCGTAGACAGACAACGCTGAGCCCCCAGATTGCTCCAAGGTAGATCAAGTTTCGCACGCGAGGCTCTTGCTCATAAGAATGGTGTCCCTCTCCCCCAAAAGTCGACGGCTTATCTCTGCTGGGTCTGGTTGCAGTGGCGTGATGGATGCAATCTATGCGGCAGAAGTCTCGCTCCAATCACCCCCTATCCCAATGTGTGATGCTTGACCGGCTCAGGCGGAGTGAGATGAGGGCGGTTATTGGCCCAGAGCATCTTGTCAACACCTTGGCTATTCGTTTTAGAAGCTTATCGCAGAACCAGACCAACCATATGGTGTTGCACAGTCTTCCCCGCCAACGCTAAGCATGCTTGATGCTACCTAAAGGACTCTCAACCTTGCCGTCTCAGGAAGGTATCGACTGTGTGTTCGTATCTTCGCCATGAAACTCGAATGCTTATCAGCTCTCTGGCTGTATTATCCCACATGCTTATCATCGGATCTGGGCGCCTGCAATGGATGCTAGAAGTGGTTTTTATAGGTGAAGTGCCCGCCCCCTGGCCATACCTCCAGATTCCGTACCTCCGGACGGTTTGCGCGCGATTTGTGATTCCGCCTGGGTTTTTCGCCTTTTGTTTCTTTTCCCTCTCTCTTATCTTCCATTTCTCTCTGACCTCTCCGGACCTGCCGTGTTGATCCCATCCATCACCCCTAAGCTGGGCTGGTCGTAACTATGGCAGACGGAGGCGTTTTGAAGTCCTCCCCGGACCCTGAAGGGAAGCATTTCACAGTGGAGACACCTGCGTATCCGGATCAAGATGTTGGCATTGTCCATAAGGCAGCGCCGCTGGCTCGTAACTTGCGAGGGCGCCATATGCAAATGATTGCGATTGGTATGTAGTGTTTGGGGCGATGTACGTGAAGGAGAGAGGGTGCGAACTGCTGAAACTAACTGATTTACAGGCGGCGCAATTGGAGCAGGTCTGTTTGTCGGTACCGGTGGTGCTCTATCCACTGGTGGTCCAGCGAGTCTGGTAGGTAGCGCGATCAAGTTACTCTCACTAACTCCGGGGGGGCTTCGACTGACACACTGATACCCAGATTATCTGTTATGTTATCATCGGTGTTATGCTTCTATGTACTGTGCAGTGCTTAGCGGAGATGGCTGTCATTTACCCTGTGAATGGCGCGTTTTTCACGTATATCGTCCGCTTCGTGGATCCCTCCTGGTATGCCAAATCCGTACCATCAGCCCATCGGCCTACCAAGTAGTAACTGACATCAATCGTAGGGGTTTCGCGATGGGGTGGGATTATGCGATTACCTGGCTGACCGTGCTACCCTTTGAGCTCACTGCCGCTTCCCTAACGATCCGATTCTGGCGCACCGATATCAACATAGGGGTCTGGATTGCTGTATTCTTGAGCGTTCTCATCATCATCCAGGTCTTTGGGGTCCGCGGCTATGGCGAAGGTATGAAGCCCTCCTTGGCTGCGACTGTCCTGATATTCCAAAGCAAGCGACTAACCATGGTGAAGTCGAGTTCATTCTTAGCTCTATCAAAATCTGTGCCTGTCTTGGATTCATCATCCTGGGGATCATCATTAACTGCGGCGGCACCGGACCTCAAGGATACATTGGCGCAAAGTATTGGTATGACCCTGGGGCCTTTGCCAATGGCTTTCCGGGCTTCTGTTCTGTATTCGTGGTCGCGGCGTTTGCCTACGCTGGAACAGAGTTGGTCGGTCTCGCCGCGGCCGAGTCGGAAGAACCCCACAAGACGATCCCCTCTGCTACGCGTCAAGTGTTCTGGCGCATTGCCATCTTCTATGTGCTGACCTTGCTGATGGTTGGTCTGCTGGTCCCTTATACTGACCCGCGTCTCCTGCACGCATCCAACTCCAACACCAAGGACTCGCCTTTCGTCATTGCCATTTTAGATGCCGGGATTCCTGCCCTTCCCTCAATCTTCAATGTGGTCATTACGCTCTCGGTTATCAGTGTCGCAAACTCCTGCACGTTTGGATCGACTCGAACCATGCAGGCGCTGGCAGAGCGCGGCATGGCTCCTCGGTTCTGTGCCTACGTGGACCATCGGGGGCGCCCAGTATATTGCGTGATTATCCAACTTCTCTTTGGGTTGCTCGCTTTCATCGGCGAGAGTGCTCAGGAGGGTACGGTCTTTACATGGCTGCTCAGTCTCAGTGGTCTGAGCTATTTCTTCGTCTGGGGCAGTATATGTCTTGCCCACATCCGATTCCGAAAAGCATGGGTTCTTCAAGGCCACTCGGTTAGCGAACTACCCTACAAAACCCCTCTCGGTGTTGTGGGCAGCTACATAGGGTTGGGTCTCAATATTCTTTGTCTGATTGCCACTTTCTACGTCTCCGTCTGGGTATGTTCTGCGTTCCTCCCTCTACTCCGTTTATCCACACCCCGGCGGCGTGTGTGTTCTAACTCCTGTCCTCGTCAGCCTGCCGGATCCTCCCCCGACGCAAGTTACTTCTTCGAGCAGTACTTGGCTGCACCCCTCATCCTCGCCCTCTACATCTTCTGGAAACTTTTCACCAAACAGTGGCGAATGTGGGTGCCTTTGGCGGAGATGGACATCACGTCCGGCCTGCGCACCGAGTTGCTGACCGGCAACGAGGACCTCGAGACGCCGTGGACGTGGAAGAATTTCCCCTTGAAGCTTGTCCGGCTACTCATCTAAGCTGTCCAATCATGGGCGCCTTGATTCTCCTGTCTATCGGCATGGATCTAGCAACGATGAACGAACAGAGACTTTGTATCAACTGCGTCGTGCGCATATGTGTATATACACGCTATTATTCGAGCGATGAAATTAGGTTAATGATTCAAATATACATATTCCAATTCGTTCTTTCACTACGTGCAGCTCGCGAGAGAGAAACGGCATGGAAAACGGTAGAGTCCAGCGGCCCTGGTGGACTATTCCGACGAAAGACAGCAAGCATCCCAGTGGGATCGAAAGATATCTTCGCCGCGCAGAGTCTCAACCCACAAAACGCTCTGAATATGCAGGCGGACGGCGCTCCAATCGCCCAGCTGCAGCGACGCAGCCACGGCCCGTGACCGGTCCCTATACCACGGGTACTGGGCCGTACCCGTAGAAGCCACCATTCCGATCGCCAGAAGCCAGACGTCAATGGAATTGGGGGAAAGGGGTAGTATCACATGAAGCTGGTTTTGCAGCGAGTGCATCAGGCGCGTAACAATGGTACGGAATATCACTGCATGCGAGTAATATGTCGGTCCTTGAACGATGAACATGTAGAGTATGGTTGCGTAGGAGATGCATTCGCTCATCGGGGACATTTTCGCGGCGGCCATGTCTGGTTCGGAGTGTAGAAGCCGGTGTACAACAAAACAGGCCAGGTCGTGAAGTCGCGTGGTCGGTAGGGGTGATTGTTGCGCGCGCTGGAAGATGTGGCGAACACGGAGAAAGACAGTTCGGACTTCGGGATCAATATCCAGGCTGTTGTCGAGTTCGACGAGGTTGTTCTCAACCGGCGGCGATCCCAGTTGCCATTCCGGGGTGGGAGGAGGTATGCCATCTCCGATCCCGACGTCGTCCTGGGTCTTGAACTGGGGATGGCCCACGATGAGCATGGATACCCTTCTTGACATGTAAACGAGTATATACCCTGGGGGTGTGTTTTAAGGGTCAGGTAGCTTACCAGCTCACCATTCTCGCCGTAAGCGGGCTGGTCTGTCTCACGGCGTTTATGCCACCTCTAATGGCGACGATCTTCTTCACCCCCTCAACATGCAATTCACTGGTCTCGATATTGCCCTTTCCAAACTTGCCGTGGAGAAATATCAGCGCCGGGTCGTGGAGTTTGAGCAAGTGATCTTCTTACTTCGATAGCGGCCAAGGTGATGACAGCATTCATAGTTCCGTCTTGCACGGCCAATGACCTGTCTTCCACCTTGCGTCGAAGCAAGGCTATCGAGTCGGCCATTAGCATCTCCGAGGCCTGAAAGCCCTTCTGGGCCAACAGCTCCTCGTCCAGGCAGGCCGTCTGGAGCGAGACATGAAATAGGGCGGGATCGCCCAAGGCAAGGGGCCACCAGGAGACAAGGAACGGGTTTGACGTCGCGTTCAGGTCTAGAGGGTAGTATTGAAAGACGATCTTGTGTACAACTGAACTCGTGAGCTTCTATTGTCCTCAACAAGCGCAAGGGAAGCTGGACGTACAGTTGTGGATCAGACGTTGTACGTGTTGGCGAGAAAGTCTGGTCTCCGGGTATGAGTCAAAAGGGTCAAGAGACCCAATGCGATAGCCCGTTAATGTTCCCCGTCTATTGACTGGGTGCTGTGATAAGCGATCGCCATGTCCGGGGGACGAGGGCAATGCCTTCCCAGGCTCATTCGCATAGACGCAGTTCACGTCGCGTTTGATGCAACGGGAGCAGCGCGGCGTGCGAAGGTCGCAACTATGTTTAGATTTGGCACACGCGGCACAGGACCGACGAAGAGTTCGGCGCATTTTGGAAGATCTCAAGTGAAAGTTCAGGGGGCCAGCAGAAAGAGTCAGACATATTGGTGGAGACGGGTGAGTTTGCCGACGAGTTTACATAACTTACATATCCGAGATCCCCGCTTAGCTACTTGGATAACTTCTATGTGATTTGTGCAAGAAGGCCCTTGTAAGGGATTAGTAACCAGTATAATCCCTCTTGTCTTGCTTTAGAAGGGAAATCTTTCCGAGAACCGAAACCCTCCATCTTCAAATCTATCAGACGATGTATTAATGTACCAGAACCCGGCCCAAACAGGACTAGACTCCGCCGCACTGAATTGTATTTATATCGGCCCATTGTCGGAGTCTAGGCCTGATGGGGGTGACTTGTATAGGAGGGAAATGGTGGAATCTATATACAATAATGGACCCATCCCAAGCAAATCTATGGAAGCCGTCTGCTTATAAGAATGGTATATAGAGTGCCTATTTCTCCCCCGAGACACTTGCGGAGGTCTCAACTACCACCATGGCCTCCAGTATGGCGATTGACATTGTTAACACGACCTCCACAGCCCAGTCTGAGCTGGAGCAAATATGGCCTTCCAGTGCTGCGTCCTTGTCGGCTCTCTTGCTCAGCCCGCAATACGCCGTAATTTTGTTGCTTGGTTTGGTGGTATATGACCAAGGTAGATTGCATCAACCACGGATAGCACACTTCTTGTCCAGCTAACGCTTTCTCAGTGATGTACATCAAACGAAAGGGTTCCATTGCCGGTCCTCGCTTCAAGATCCCATTCATGGGCCCGTTTCTCCAAGCACTTCATCCGAAATTCGAAGCATACCTTGCGCAATGGGCAAGTGGCCCTCTGAGTTGTGTATCGGTGTTCCACAAGTAGGTACCTGTCATTGCCTCGCGGAACATGCACCAGTGCTGCTACTTATATGTGGACCTCTAGATTCGTTGTCCTCGCTTCGGACCGAGACATAGCCCACAGGGTTTTCAAGTCGCCCTCGTACGCTGAGCCATGCATAGTACCAATCGCAAAGGATATTCTGGGCCACAGAGCATGGGTTTTTCTTCAGGGCAGAGCTCATGCCGAGTACCGAAGAGGATTGACTCCCTTGTTCACCAACAATGCGTTGGCCACCTACCTCCCGGTCCAGGAGAAGGTATTTGCCGATTATTTCGACAACTTCGTCGCCGCAAGCAAAGCAGTGGATGGCCGACCAATGGCCTTTATGACCATGTTCCGGGAGATCAACTGCGCACTTTCATGCCGCACCTTCTTCGGCGACTATATCTCTCACGATGCAGTCCAGAAAATTGCGGATGATTTCTACCTTGTGACTGCCGCTCTGGAGCTAGTCAATGTGCCCCTGTCCATGTATATCCCATTTACGAAGCCCTGGCTCGGGAAGCGAACGGCCGACGCGGTCCATCGCGAGTTCGCCAGGTGCGCGGCGATGTGCAAGGCCAATATGGCGAGCGGGGCGAAGCCGACTTGCATCGTGGACCATTGGGTGCTGCATATGATGGAATCCAATCGATATCTGGCGAGAGTTGCCGCAGGCGAGACCGACGCAGAGAAACCAACGAATCGGATCCGCGAATTCACCAACGAGGAGATCGGAGAGACTCTATTCACATTCCTCTTTGCGTCTCAGGATGCCTCCAGCAGCGCCACCACTTGGCTGTTCCAAATCCTCGCCCAGCGGCCCGACGTGCTTGATCGCTTACGAGCAGAAAACCTGGCCGCACGAGGCGGTGATCGGAGCAAACCGTTCGATCTCCCGATGCTGGAGTCGCTCACCTATACTCATGCAGTGGTCAAGGAGCTCCTGCGCCACAGACCACCCGTGATCTTCGTGCCTTACCTGGCAACCAAAAACTTTCCTGTCACCCCTACCTACACCGTTCCCAAGGGCGCCATGATTGTCCCGTCTTGCTACCCGGCCTTGCACGACCCAGAGGCCTACCCTAACCCTGACGTCTTCGACCCAGACCGCTGGATCTCAGGCGATGCCCAGTCCAAGACGAAAAACTGGCTTGTATTCGGCGCGGGGCCGCATGATTGCCTAGCCAGGAGATATGTGCCGCTTTCCATGGCCGCTATGATTGGCAAGGCAGCCTTGGAACTTGATTGGAAGCATCATGCGACAGAGAGGTCGGAGGAGGTTCGGGTATTCGCTACACTATTTCCCATGGTTAGTACCTGCCTGCTATTCAAGTCTTTCCTTCTGGTTGGTCTTGGCTCACGCGTTGTGCTGATTATCTAAATCCAGGATGGGTGCCGATTAGTCTTCACGAAACGTCCCTAGAGGCAAGTAGGTATACTGTACATTTAGTTTGAACCCAGCTTCCTCGGGCGAGAAGGCGGCCAAACCCCGGTAGTTATATAAATGTGAGAGATTGGGATCTGGATCCGTCGGGTCTGGAGGAATATATCATAGTTTGAACTAGATGCAGTGTTTATATTCACTGGTAGATAATTTTGAGACTATGCTACTATCAAGAATTGTGACCCGTAACGGCACCCCAGATATACGCCACCCATCCGCCAGCTACCAGGAGCATAATGAATGCGAAGCCCGCCATTGCGGTGCGTCGAGTACGTTCCGGATGGGTGACGAGATTCTTCTCCTTCAGCTCCTGGATGATTTCCGCCCCCGAGGCCAATCGCTTCTTCCGGGTCCACTGTATGATGGAAAGCTCGTCAAAGACATAAGACCCGATTAAGATCGCTAAGCCAACAGCGACCGCCACCGCAGCAAGGAAGAGGTACACCTGGACCACCCGGCGATAGGAGTTGTGATCCGCATCCTGGAGGGCACCCGTAACAATACGAATGATGATATTCATCCTGTTGCGGCTGTCAGTATTCCATTCTGGCAACCTGTGAATCCATCATCCCGAACTTACGCGTTGTTCATGGTGACTTTCAATGCATACGCTGAGCCAAAGACAGACTGGTGCCAGAGGGTGGTACGGATGCTGTCAATGATCGAGGTAGGGCCCAGCGAAGAAGCAATCGCGTAAATGCCAAACGCTGCGCCCGTCCCGGCCTTGGACGGCGCAAAATTCACCAAAACCATACTGAGGAATATACCCAGGCCACAGGTAAATACTGATGAGACACCGTTAGCACGTTCGTTCCTTGTCGAGATATCAAGCTCGGTTTCTGAAACTCACAGACGGAGGCTCGATTGCCGAGAATATCAATAAAAACACCGAGGCAGGGAACGAGGAAAAAGCCTAGGGCGCATCAGCTTGGAACGGTCTGGAGGATATAGACCGGTGATAATTATCATACCTGCATACTGTGACAAGGAGCTATACCACCCTGCCTTGATCGAGTCGACGTCGAAGCGCTGCTCAGCCAGCTCCGTGGCATTCTGGCTGAAGACCAAGGCCGCACTGGTCTGGAACAGTGAAAAGGCAAGCACGCTCCAGTAAGTCCATGGCAGCTGCAGCATCTTCTGGAATTCGAATTTTTTGTTCTTCTCCGTGAGTTGCTCCTGGGTGGCAGTATCGCGCCGGCCACTATATCGGCGGTTGCAGTACCTGGTGAAAAACCAGAATACCACGGTCGCAACATTGGTGAATATGTTCATGAACACTGATATCCAAAAAACCCAGGCAAAGTTACCCGTTTTCTGTGTGGATATTAGCATCGTCACAATTTCTATCCGGAATCGGAGGTTGGGACGTGAATACCTTTGCGATCACGTTCGCGGTGGATTTTCCCACAAAGCCTCCAATCTACTTTCTGGGTCAGTCAGGAGTACAGTAAGAGAGTAGGAAAGGCCTCGTAGTGTCCGTCACCTACTTTACCTATCGCGAGCTCAAAGCCAAGTGTAGATGCAAACCCGTTACTGGGCGGAAACCACGAGGAGAACATTTTGTACTGCGCAACCTGGGTGGAAATGTCCCCCAGCGAGAGAATCACCCTGCCGCCGACCATAAACTTGAAGGAGCGCACTGTGGCTGCGGCGGCGACGAGGATGGAGCCGATTGTATATACAATATTTCCGTAGACAATCATGCCAGCGCCTCCCACGCGATCAGTAACAACACCGCTGATCAGAAGCAGAACCGTAGCCATGAAATCCTCACTCGCTTCCAGAAGCGAAAACTGAACGTTGTCTATATGCATTTTCTGACAAGGGGTTTAGTTAGCCCACATCGATCACTCGAGGCAGAGCCGCACCCCGCCAGCATTACCTTCTTTATGGTGCTTTTCATAGCACCGGTGACCCCAGAGCTCCAGTGCGATCCAAAGCTAATGCATGAGATCAACAGCACGGCGATCAATTTCGCCAGCAACGGTGGTGGTGGTCGCTCCGCAGCATCGGATTCGGAACCGGACCGCTCGTCCAAAGATGGCTTGAGAGAGTCTCCGGGGACATCTGCAGTTGATGACTTGAAAGTCGATTTTTCCGCGTCCATTGTGACCGGGGATACCGATATGTGCAAACACTTGACTCAATTGACCTAGGCTGGGTGCGCAAGAAAGAACCTTGCACGACAGCACGACGGACATGCCACCCAGTATTTATCTGAGAGAAAAGAAGGGCCAAGGAGGCCTATCGACGCCCAGCAAGGGTTCCGCCATCAACAGTGGATCAGGCCAGTGGAAGAATGAATCACGGCCACTCTCCGGTAAGCTCATCCCCGGGAACCACTCATCGTCGTCAATCAGCGTGCGAGCTGTGACAAATCCGACTCAAGACATTCTTGGCGCTGTAAAAGTTTTTATCAGATAAGATGGGTCTGTACCGGAGATTTAGAGAGGCGAAAGAAAGGAAGGAAGAAAGAAGCGGCGTATGGGTGAGATTGGGGTTCCCCCATACAGAGTACTGTTACGCACCTCCATTTGAAGCAGCAGTGAGACTTACTTTCTTTCGGAGACTCAGATCAGATAGTGAAAGTGAAAGCGGTCTCACCGAACGAAATTCGAACGTGCTCGAAAGAATCCTCAACTATTCGCTCCACTTAGTGTGCATTTTGGAAGCATTACTCAAATCTGATCTGATAATCGAGTCGACAGTCGACCCCTGAGTTTAAGTGGATCATACCAAATCCCCGGCCCAGGTGGTAGGCTGGTGATTCTTCGGAGTTATTGTGTTTTAGGGCTTATACTCGGTATGTTCTGTGGTCCCTCAATCCAACGCACTCACACTTACGCTGGACTGATTGATAAGATTAAGCTAGAACTCTACGGGGGTGATTTCAGAACTGGCACATCCAAGTGGTCTTTATGTTGGAGTGCTACACTCAGTGAATGCAACCAGCACCACCATAAAGCAGCATCACCATAAAGAAGAAGATAGCGACACGTGACTACTCTGTGTATTTAAGGCCACCATTTCCTTCTAGATCTCCATGCTTCCTCCAAGCATCTCCTTCTCTCTATTTCCTAGTTAGACCAATTGAATCCATTTCGGTCAACCTTCTACCGTCATAGTTTGACGACCTCTCATCATCTTTATATCCTCCCAGTCGCTTCCCAGTCTTCTTCATCCACTGCATGTTCGAACAGGGTCTGAATCCTAACGGGCTTCCCGCGCTGCTTCATTACCATTTACCCTCGTATTTCAACCGGAAACCTGCGCAACTAGACTATGAAATCAAACATGAATTCCCCCCATTGCATCCTCTTTTACCCGGGCAATAGATCACTGTTTCTCTGAACATACTGAATGGGTTGCCCACACGGTCACCCACGCGTACTGCGTGATCCATTGGGTTTCCTCCCCCTCTGGAAGACTCGCTAACGTTGTCGGACAAGCATACTCGGTTTCCCATGCTGTGGTAGTCTCCGGGGGCATCTGCTCGCTGCTCTCCGTTTTGGTGCAGGGGGGTTCGTTGCAAGTGGTTCCCTGCGTGACTGTCGCATAAGTGGTGATTGGGACAATCTCGGTTTTGGTACAGCTTATCCCCGGGCACATAGCCCCCGTACGGGTCACCGTTTCGTACTCGGTGGTAATTATAGTTGTATCTGCCTCTGGAGTGAGTGAAGTTGCGGCTTCGGGACTTGTGGTTATTTCCGTAGGGCCAGAGGCTCCTGGTTCCGTTGGGACGGAAGTAGTGGTCGTAGTAGTATGATTTGTTGTTTTTGGCGTCCAGGTTGTTCTTCGTGAAGTAGTGGTGGTGGTGGTGGTGGTATAATGTGTGGTGTTTGGTATGCTGGTTGTGGGTGGAATAGTAGTGGTGGTATAGTTCGTTTTTGGCGTCCAGGTTGTCTTTGGAGTGGTAGTAGTATGATTTGTCGTCTTTGGTATAGTAGTCGTAGTAGAGTTGGTGGTCTTTGGAGTCGTGGTATAATTTGTGGTTTTTGGAACGCCGGTCGTGTGTGGAATAGTGGTGATGGTATAGTTTGTTGTCTTTGGCGTCCAGGTTGTTCTTGGTGTAGTAGTCGTGCTATTATAATTCGTCGTCTTTGGAGTGGTGGTATGGTTCGTTGTCCATAACGTTGTGCTCGTTGTGCTCGTAGTGTTATAGTGGGTTGTCCATGGAGTCGTAGTACTGGTAGTGTTATACTTCGTCGTCTTTGGAGGAGCAGTGGTATGGTTTGTTGTCCATAAAGTTGTACTGGTAGTGTTATAATGAGTTGTCTTTGGAGGAGTAGTAGTATGGTTTGTTGTGCATGGAGCCGTAGCACTAGTAGTATTATAATGCGTTGTCTTTGCTATGCTGGTTGTATTCAGCGTAGCAGTAATAGGAATAGTGCTGGTGGTTGTAAAATTTGTTGTTTTTGTTGTTTCTGTGCTTGTATGGCCCTTTGTACCCAGAATGGGTGTACCTGCAGTACTCGTAGTACTGGTTGTGCAATTAATGGAAATAGCAGCCCTATCAGCTCTCGGTTTAAGTGTATGAATTCCTTGCGGCAGGCTAGCATTAATAAGGACAATTAAGTAGAGGACAAAAAATAAAGTCCTAGGCAGAGCGTAAATAGATGCCATTGTAAGTTGCTGGACGGCCCGGAATTTCTTCTGGTAGAGAGAGCCCTTGAGCATTCGACACTTCAAAACCAACCGGCAGGATGGTCTACATATTTATGTTCATCCTTGCATGACTTGGTTTTCATAAAAGGCTGAGAAACCTCTCTAGCAGTCACCAATATAAATGCAGATGGCTCTGGATTGCCAGTATACCAGTCGTGGAGTCATTGATGTCAGCCACCAATCGAGGGATATAACCTGTATATGTCACGCTGCGTTCCCTGTGCTCTATTTTCTGATGTTGCATCTCCTGGAAATACGACCAACGGCAGCCACAAAATACTTCATATCTGGTACTGTGGCTTGGGAAAAGATCCCTTTTAGGGCTGTTGGTCACGTGGTATTCCTCATTCGTCGAGATTCAACTGAGAATACTGGCAATGTTGGATTTTGCGCACTGATTCCCAGATCATATCGTTCCGGTGTTGCTGGGCTTTGAAAAAAAATAAAGTAGCAGGGCCCATTGCCCAGGTCTAGCCCCCAGTCGTAGCATTCCTGTGCTACATATCCCATCCGGGTTGATTCTAGGCGGTGACTATCGTGTGGTATGTAGTAGATAATATGGGGAATTGGGATGTGTAGGTCACTCATATACTTTATGGTTCTAGCTCACAGTCTATCAATCTTTAATATGGAATCAAAATCCGTAAGGAGTGATTAAGAGTGAGAGAACCCAGCAGATACATCTGAAAAGCAGGAGTGGCATTCACTATATCCTGAACAATGAAGAATCAGGGCGTTCTATTATTCCCTGTTGAATGCACTCCATTTTGTTGCCAATTGGAAGACTCAATATATCAGGCTAATCTAGTATATTGCCAACGTCTTGAAGTGCTGAGAATAAGTTGGTTGGGTATCAAGCGAACTAATGTGCCAATAACCAAGGAAAACGCTCCCAAGGCAATAGATACGAGCCATTGAAGGCTACTTAGGCGGACCACAGAGAGGGCATCTCCCCCAAAGCATATTATTAGGATCTGCCCGATGATTATCACAGAGTCAATCACCAGGAAATATCGATTCCGGAGAATGCCCTGGAAAATATCGAGTTTGGTACCAAGGCAACGACAGCTGAGGGTTGGTTCCGGTTAATAGGATTTACGCAGGAGAAACAGGTGGATGAGTGAGCAACCTACTTGAACAGATTGAAAAATTGCATCCAGACAAATATATTGAAAACCAATGTTTTGAAGCTTTCTTCTGGTCCAATGCGGTATAAAAACCTATCACCCGCGAAATTGAAGAGAAGAACCACGATTATCTGGTACAGTGATTGTCCAATAATCATTTTCCACATTTCCACACTGATTAAAGGTGCAGAGCGTGGTTCTGGCTTCGCGTCAAGTAGGGATGCAGACGGAGGGTCCGTGGCTAAGGCCAGAGCAGCAAATGTGTCCATGATCAAATTCACCCACAGTAGTTGCACAGGGGTCAAGATAGATTCCTCTGTCTTACTTATGATCGCAGACACGACTGTAAGGACAACCGCGGTGATACTAACAGTCACTTGAAACTAGGAGAATGGTCAGCATGAAGACAGAAAAAGCCGGTGGAGGGTGGAAGAGAGAGGTACCTGCAGGAATTTCTTCACGGAGTCATTGATGGACCTCCCCCATTGGATGGCCTTGACAATGGCAGTAAAGTCATCGTCTATCAAAACGATGGATGACGCCTGTCTCGCAATTTGCGTGCCAGCTATTCCCATGGCGAAGCCCACATCGGCAGACTGGAGAGCTGGTCCGTCGTTGGTTCCGTCGCCAGTAACAGCAACAATCTCACCTAGCTCTCTGAGGTATTTCACTAGCATTAGTTTATCCGCTGGGTTGGACCTAGCAAGAACATGAAGTCGTGGAATGACTGTATAGATCTGCGCTCTTGATAAAGATCGAAACACGGATCCCTCTAGAACCAGACTATTTGACTGCAGGATGCCGCATTGCTGGGCCACGGCCGTGGCAGTCCCCACACTGTCGCCTGTGACCATTCGCACTGTTACTCCGGCATGTTGACATCTTATAATCGCCTCGGGTACCCCTGGACGCACGGGGTCTTGGAGGCCAAGTACTCCGATGAATGTCATGTCCTCCACCAAATGGTCAAACGGGGCCTCACAAGAAGGGCTCTCGTTTGATAATGCGTCTTGGGGAGGCCAAGTGTGAAAGTCTCGATATGCCAACGCGATCATTCGTAAGGATTGACTGGCGTATTTGTCCATAATACCATTCCAGTAGGCCATCATATTGGAATCCATCACGGGGGTGTTAAAGGTTGCTTGATACACGTCTTCCAGCGTTTGAATACTTCTGGCTAACAACACCTCAGGGGCACCTTTCACGTACATTCGATACGTGCCTCCAAGGTCTACTACCGTTGCCATATACTTTTTGGAAGAGTCAAATGGCGCGGCTCGGATCACTGGGACGCGTCTTCGCTCTGAGGTGATGGATCCAACCCCGAGCCTTCTGAGTGCAAATATAAGTAGAGCGCTTTCAGTCCTAGAGCCAACAAACGCTCTGTCTGTGCCTCTCTCTTCTTCAAAGGCTGTTGAATTGATGACGATCGATTGAGATACCAGGTCTTGAATCTCTTCACATATGCCAGAGAATATTCTATTGCTGAACGAAGCGTTAGGGACGTCCGGACTTGAATGGACATCTGTTGGGAGTCCCTTGAACTCGCAGTTTGCCCCAATCACGCCCGCAGTCACAGTCATTTCATTCTGGGTAAGAGTCCCGGTCTTATCCGAGCACAAGCTAGTCGCATTGCCCATTGTTTCACAAGAACTAAAAACTCTTACTAGATTGTTGTCTTTCAGCATCCTGGTGACTGCAAAGGCCAGGGCCAGAGTCACGGCGAGCGGCAACCCCTCGGGCACAGCAACCACGATAACAGCGATGGATACCAGGGTGATCCGTAGTAACTGTTGGAGATGTTGGCCTTGGTGCATGGGAGTCTCTAGTTCGCGGCCCAATCCAACCCAATACTTGGTAATAAGGATGACGAAAAGGAAGATCGCAATAGTCACGCCAGCAGTCGCAAGCTGATTTGCAACGATGGTTAATCTAACTTGCAATGGAGTCGGCTTGATCTCTTCTTCCATCAGCGACATTACAAGCTTACCGTAAGTGCTGCGCACACCAACACTTGTGACCAGGTAAGTGCCGACTCCCTCGAGGACCGTTGTGCCCGCGAACAGAAAGGGGTCACTATACGCGTTTGACTCCGCAAAGGGTACCATCTTATCGCCTTGAGTTTTCCGTTTCTGGTCCGATTCTCCGGAAATAGAGGACTCGTCACATCGAAGGTTGTTCCCTGTTATCACAACTCCATCGGCAGGAAGCACATCTCCGGGCTGGATGTATAGGACGTCGCCCACAACAACATCGACCTTCGAGATCTGGCACAGCCGACCAGATCGTACGGCAGTCACCAAATGATCGGAATTCTGGTAGATGGCATTAGCTATTACACAAGGTAAACTTTCGGGCTTGTAGAGATCGAAAACCTTTCTATTCAGCTCTGCAAACTGCCTTTCCTTGCGCAGGTCACTTAAAGCTGCAACCACGACCACGATAGCAACTGCAATTAAAATAGTTACTCCTTCCACCCACTCAACCCGCGGTTCGTCGGGGTTGTGTGAAGGGCCAAAAGCCTGATACAAGCCCAGAGCGAGTGAGATAGCCGCGACCACTGAGAGCAAAATTAACACATGATCATCGAACCCTTTGTATACCAGTTCAAGAAAGCTCTTGCTCTGTTTCTGCGGGAGAATATTAACGCCAAAACCCTTCCTTCGATCCGTAAGAGTCGGTTCAATCTGGTGGGAATCTTCACGCGCTCTATGTTCAGCATTCAACCCGTGGTCCCGGTGGGTGAACAGTGATGCTACAATGCCGCTTATGCCTCCAAGAGCCATGAACAGATCCACGTTACTGGTAGCTATCATTTCATCCAGGAGATCGGGGGATACGGGGAACGTGGCATGGGAGGAAGTGTCCAATTCCTCATGTGGATGAAGCTGTAGCTCGCTTCCTCTATCAGAATCATGAGCATACGACGCCGCAGTCTCCACGAATGAAGTATGCGAGCCACCTACGGAGAGTGAGCCCGCAGAGACAGATGTGTCATCGCCAGACAAAGATACCGACGGAGAACTTGGCGTGGGAAATGTCCCATAATGATGTAGAGATTCCCGCTCTCCTGGCGCGTCCAGCAGTGCTTGAGACTTTTTGCAGGCCACCGGGTGAAAATTCTCAACATCATCTTGACGTCCGGAGCCCTGGCAGTAGGAAATTAGCAGGGGTCATAATGCTGGACACGCGGAAACTTGCACTTGAGGCACTGCCTATTAAGTTTAGCATGGTGGGAGCAGCCTGTCGTAGTCAACTTCTTCGTGTACTCTCGGTTCAAGGACAGCTAGGGTATACACCCAGGATCAAGGGCACATTCGTCAGGCTATAATTAAACATCTATTTCACCCGGTAGCACAATTTTCGTGTCAGCGTATTTATAGCCAACGTTTCCTCCTTTCCCACTTGTTGGCAAAGAGGCTGTGCACGCGGGATTGGATATAAACGTGACAGGTATACATGTATAGTTTTGAAAGCAGGACCGAATAACTGTCTAGGTTTATTCGTGACAAACAACTTTATTTCAACATCACCTAGCAATATCTTCACTTGACATACCATTTCTATGGACGGACGCCATCTCATAACATAAAAAGGAAGGTTAATGACCGTCATCTCGATACTAGATCTGGGTGCGAGCCGCAAGAAATCTCTTGCGGTTTGAAGTCTTAGCTCAGTTCACGAATCACAAGACCGGTAAATTTATACTCGTCATATGTTCTTTCATTTGCTTTCTCGACAGCCCCAGTGGCCATGACGCTCTCGGATCTGCGAGCCGTTCAACTATTAGCAGAGTTCCGGTTGTTGTTTCTTGTTTGGGGTAAAGGTAAGAGGGATTACATGCAAGCTGTGCACTTGTGGATCAAATCCAACATCGCTCATGTCTACTGCTCAACTTGCTTTGGTATATATGATCTAGTACAAGAGGCACGCATGCGCTTGCAATCTATTCACCGCTGTTGTATTTGTGATACTTGCCAATATCAATATATGGCCAGCAGCCGGAGATATTCTCAGTGTAGCTTAGGTATATATATGCCTTAACTACTACATAGAATAGATCAGCTCATATTGTATCGTAAAAAATTTAAGATAAAAATACAAACTCACCTTGGTTTCTTTTGCTCAATTTTTATGAGCCCTATCATCTATTCAGGCATGATATGATATACATAATATAATATGCTTAATGCAAGCTAATATGCATGGTGGTTCATATCCAACGTTGGTACAAGCATGGAAATAAACAAACCAAGTACAAGTACAAGTACAATCCCTCCGATTTCAGGAATAACCGTTATTTCTTCAAATTTTCCTTTCCGTCTTGATTGCTGTCTAAATCTTCTTTGGATGTAGGAACTCACTCCGGATCTATGAGCATTCAGCCATCAGGTAGGGTTATAACAACCTCGCAGCTACCTAGGTATATACCGTCATTTACCGGCATGGTTTAATAAACAAATTTAAGCATAAATAAATATATTATTATACGAGGTTCTTCCTCTTGCTATTCAATATCTTTGGGATGTACTGTAGATTTGATTCTTGATTCTTATTATTCCCACTATGACTAGAGGGCAGTAATCGGTCATCGGGTTCAATCAAAGTCAATGGGCTGCATTTTACAAGTCTCCAATTCAGCTTCGGCTCCGCGGAAAATAATATATTGTGGGAGCCTTCCAAGAACACACTCTGATGATTGTCACAGAAATAGACCAGTTCGTGCCGAGTATACCGGAGTACGGAGTACTCCGTAAGCCACCAGCAGGTAGGTAGGTTAAAGATATGGGCAGAGGATCATGCTACGGAGTAACTAGTTAACTAGTTATCTAGAGAGAGCTTATTAAAATTAATTTGTCAACTGGGTCCATTTGTTAGAGCACGGTCCGGAAGGTGGAGCGCACGTCTATGGATAGCTAGGTTGAATATTTCCGAAACAACTTACCAGGACTTCGGCAGCCGTTCATCTCTTCCTGAACACATATCATGGGGCTTCGGTACAAGAAGCGAGAGCCAGATAAGATCTCAGACTTCTTTAGACTCCTGTTACTCTCGTTCGGGAGCATACCTAGGTACGCAGTGAACAACCATCATCACCGGGCATTTTTTGGCCATCATACGTTAGCGGAGCATCCCCCCCGTTCCTTCCCGGGCCAGCCGGAAACTAATTTAGTCGAAAATCTGTTCATCATATTTGAAGCCCCTGGTTCGCTGAAGAGTGTCTAGACTACTACGCAGGACATTGCAGTCGAAAAACTACCTAAGTAGGCAGGTACACATCGGAACTTGACCGAATCAAAATGCCGGCAAACAATAAGAACCTCCGTCTCAAAGGTCCAGACATATCGCAGTATCTTTTTGGCATCCAAGCGGCCCCTCTTCTGCTAAGTGGGGTTTACTCTCTGCTCTGGCCATCCGCTGTGGCCAGCCTCCCGAACTCTCCAGTCAAAGGTGTTAGCATGGGGACAATACAGGCAATGAGGTATTTCTTTGGGGCCTAGTGAACAAGTGGTGGGTTGATACTCACCTACATAGCCTTACCTCTCTGTCTCTAGGCGCATTCTATGCCGTCGCCTCCTTCCAGAACAATATCCCGATGATGGTAACCACGGTTCCCGGGCGACTTCTAGCCGCTTTCATTTTCCATCGGAATGGGGGGCCATGGCGAAGTGTCGCACCTTTTGAAGGGCTGATGGGTCTGATAACCGCAGCGGCGGTTTACTGGGGGTGGTATTCGGACCAAGAACCCAAGAGAGCGTAAACATATGGTCCTTGTTTCGGCACTGAGAGGAAATCTATGATCGAGAGAGAACTATTTTTGTGCGGTGTGATCTACTTCGTAGTATACTTGCTGCTCAACATGTCTTTCCACCAAGATGCCATCAGCCTCTACGGGCTCCAGGCGAATCATCTCTCCGTCAGCGCCATTTGCGTAGGTAACTAGCCGCGCATTCCCTTTACTTCGGCTAGAGTTATCAAGCCTGTACCAGCTGTCATGGACACCGGCCCCTGACTGATCAGCCGACGGAAGCCCGGCCGCCCTTCTAAAAGCAGTCACGAGGGGCTTGTAGATTATGGGTAGATTGGCGCACAAAATACCTCCAAGAGGTTCCCATACCGATAGGATTCCCAGAGGAACTCCAGCCCCTAGAGGATTGCAGTTGTGAGTTGACTTTTGTTCCAGTCAGCGCGAGGGTTTCACTTACAGGTAAAATCCGAAGATCCTTGGGAGACGACGACAGATAGCCGCACGGCACTAACAGCACAAGTTCTGTATATCCTCAACGTTCAGTAGCTATTCAATCTGGCGGAATGGATGATAAGTCCTTACGCTAACCCCACGGAAAAGAGGAAACTAAGGCCAATTTTCTTGGGTCTCGAAATCTGCAATCGCAGAATAATGGGTAGAGGGAGCACGAAGATCCATATGTCGGTAGCTAAATTGGTGATGTTGGTGAAGTAACTGAATGCAACGAGATCGAAGCATTTCCCCGGAATCTCGCTGTTCCAGAATTTCTGTATAGGTCGACACTGGAATCCAAGCACGAACTCCATCGTCGCGAGCCATAGAAACACAAATCCCGCGGTGAGCGTCACAATGAACCGGAATTTCTGAGTCGGAAAGAGGCGATAGTACAAGGCCAAAACTGACAGCTTTGTGCTCGCAATCGCAAAGTCATAGAAATGGCTAAAGACATAGTCGCCCTTTGCAAGTTAGAGCGGATTCATGACGGTCAACACGGGCTCGTACCAACATGAAGGTTTCCACTTCCTGACCGGATAAAGCTTCAATGTGCCTACCCATGCCATAAGGAGGTCCTGATACAGGGGTTAGTTGCGTGGTAATAAGTCTCATTGAGACATTGCTTTGCATCAGGGCCATACCGTACACCAACCCACTGACACACAGCCCGACACTGACAATCTAGCCATACAAAATCAGCATTGCTCCCATGTCAAAAGAAGATGGATTGGAAATCTCAGTCCCATACAGTAGCCCAAATCATGAGAATGTCGTCGAACGCCAATCCACCTCGCCATGGCTGCTGCTGGGCCCAGAGTCGCAGGGCCGTCGAAAGGATCTCGAGAGGGATCGGGATTGAATAACAGACGATCAAATCCGTCACCTTTGACTGAGCCAGATATTCGGGGCTGTCAGAGGACGTCATGTCTGTCCGTGCAGTCCATCCGAAGTCTTCTTCGGGCCAAACTTCAGGAACCCAAGCCTACTGCACATCGTAGATGTCTTAAATCAACTTGTAAGCTTCTGCTAGTCTTGTTAATACCGGGGGAAAAAATTTAAATTAAGGAGATAAGAGCCCTTGTCATATTTGTTTTAGCTCTTACTGTTTGGTCCGAAACTCCCGCACTAGCTCAAGCGAAAGTTGTATCCAGCCACGGAGATCAAGGCTAACTATGCACGACCAAGAGTCTCCGAAATTACTTCCTGGCTTTCCATCCCCTATGTCTGGATACACCCGGGATCTGCGGAATACTTAAGGTAATCCTGCAACGCCAATTCCCCCGCCGCCCCCCCCCCCGGCCAGGTCCCTCTGCTGTTGGTCAAGCAATGAAATCCTGCCCTCCTACACCTACATCTTCCTCTGCCAAACGTGTCAATTGATCGGTTAAACAATGCGATTTGGCCCCATTTCCCTTTTCGCAGCTGGCTTTTCGGGGCTGGTGGCTGCTCGCCCTGTCGGCCCTGAAGAACCGCTGGTCGATCTAGGATATGCAACCTATCAGGGATACTACAATGACGCACATCGTCTGAATATCTGGAAAGGGCAAGGACCTCGGACTTTCTCGATCATCTCTAAACATGGTTAACAAAGTCTTCCATACAGGATTCGATACGCTGCGCCGCCCGTGGGTAAACTGCGCTGGCAAGCCCCCGCGGCACCCCCACAGGATAATGAGAATGTCACTATGGCTGTTGATCAGCCTCCGGTATGTCCACAATCTGGTGCGGCTGGAACCCCCGCTGTCTACGGCTTCAATTCCGGCCTGGGGGACGAGGACTGTCTGTTTCTCAATGTCTACGCTGCCCCTGGAGCATCGGGTCTTCCTGTCCTTTTGTGGATACGTCAGTCTGTCCTTCATATAGGCTTGCCGCCTAGGCTACTCAAGTGGTTTTGCTGATCTGTTATAGATGGCGGGGGCTATGCGCTGTTCGGCGCTGTGTATGACCCGAGTTCTATGATGAATACGAACGACAACAAGTTCATCACCGTGGAGATTCAGTATCGCCTCGGCGCTTTCGGATTCCTCTCCTCAGATGAGGTCAAGGCACACGGTCAAGCCAATGCCGGCCTCCTTGACCAGCGCTTCGCAATGGAATGGATCCGGAAGCATATTGCGAAGTTTGGCGGCGATCCCAGCCGAGTCACCATTGGTGGGGAGTCTTCCGGTGCTGGAGCAGTCATGTTGCACTCCCTCGCGTATGGTGGCCGAGAATCACGTCTCTTCGACAATGTGAGTTCCTAATTCAACATGTCGCTGTAATCTCTCAGTCCGGCTGACTCCCGGGGAAAACTAGATCATCGCGGCAAGCCCGTATTCCCCTCCCATTTACGAATACAATGACGAGGAGCCGTCTAACCACTACAACTCCTTTGCCGAGCTTGCGGGTTGTGGATGCGCCAAATCAGCCGGCTACTCCAGCACATTCGACTGCCTTGTGGAGGCTCCAACTGCGGCTCTGCAAAATGCCAGTGCCCTGGTCTCAACCTCCGGCCTCTTCGGCACCTTTGCGTTTCTCCCCGTCATTGACGGCGACTATATCCGAGCTCGCCCATCGCAACAGCTGTTGGAGGGCAGGGTGAGCGGCCAGCGCATTTTAGTTGGAGTAAGTTGGTTCTTCTTCATCTTCAGATCATGTCCAACGTCCTGACATAGAATGATTTTAGAATAACGCCAACGACGGTGTTCCCCTCAGCAACCCTAATGTCGTCAGCCGCGAGGCATTTGCCAACTACATCTCCAGCACGTTCCCACGGCTCACTGAGGAAGATAAGTTCCTGCTCAACGAGATTTATCTGACGCGGGATTCCCAGCCCAGCGATGACGGCCCGCGGTTCGACACCCTCGGTGACTGTGGCCCGACCGCTCTAAACCAGTCAGAAATGGCCACAGGTCTCCAGCAAACAGTGTTCAACATCTTCGCCGAGTCGACCTTCGACTGCTCTGCTCAATGGCTTGCCGAGGCTTTCAGCGAGGGACCCCATAGCGCCTGGAAATACCAGTACTCCGTCACACCCGCTTACCACGGTGCTGACCTGGCCGCCTACTTCTCCGATGCCGTCACCGATTTCAACCACGCCTTCCAGAAGATCTGGGGCAATTTTATTATCCATAACACGCCTGTCATTTCCCTCGCAGACGCCACGGCGGACAAGCCCAATGCCACAGCACCAATCGGACCTCACCAGAATCTGCTCTGGCCTGAATTCACGCCTTTCTCGCCCTGGCAGATGGACCTCAATACGACTGGAGGCTACATCAAACAAACTGTCGTCACGCCTAATCTCACCTACTATCTCCGGGAAGGCGATGGCATTGTCAACACGTTCCGTCTTGCCGACGCGTATGCCTGGGAAGGAGGTCGAGGTGACCGCTGTTCCTTCTGGCGCGCGGTCTCAGCCCGGGTGCCTCTGTAAATCTACGTGTGGGATAACTGCCAACATCTGCGAATTTTTGTTTGGGTGGTTGTTTTCGTTTATTCGATTGGCCTGCCATCTGTATATATTGTATTGTGTACTACTTAGGAGCAGTAGAGTATCTGGGCCCGAAGAGCTTGTACATATTTGAGTCCAGGCCCAAAGATATAACACCGAGATAATGAAATATCGAGCCTCTAAATATGATATTCCTGACTTATACCCTTCCAACTCGAAGAGATAGTAGTGGGCAAGTTTAAGCAATGGCTAGTAGTCAATCGTCGATGCCTTCAATGAGTCCTTTGGCGCCTGCAAGTTATTCTCTCGGTCGGGGTTTTATTTCACCGGCGGTCAGATTCTGACCAATGATATTGGTTCAAAGTTTTGCCATCCACGCTAACCCAATTCGGTATATCAAGAGCGAAAACTGCAGGCGGTGGAAGACGGCAGAGCGGGTGCTGATAAGAAACCTTCCTTCACTTCTCAAGCCAGAACTTCTTCAACCACTTTGAGGATTCGCTGTAATGGTCGACCAGGGTGTGCCAAACTGTATGATGAGATATAACAACAGAAGAAGGGTTGACTATAATATCTCATCATACAGTTTGGCACACCCTGGTCGACCATTACAGGCTTTACTCTGTGTGGACTGTGGGCATTTGACCCGGTAGGTGCTATAGCATCGTCTCCCTTATTATCAACCAAGATGGTCTCCAGATTATCTTAACGATGCTGGGATTTCTTCAGAGGAATGATAAACAACTAGGTTATGATCCGAGTATCATGTCTACATCAGATGGGAAAAGATTTATTGATATTATACGAGATCCACGATCCGAACGTCTTATCCTTGACAGTCTTACAAAGCGGGCACCATATGTCGTGGGTAGAGCTACGATTTGCTGGAAAGCTCACCGTGAAGGGGACCAGACAAATATGCCGTGGTTATTAAAGACTCGTGGCAGTATCCGGGGCGAGAAGCAGAAGGCACACTTTTACCCGAAGCAATAAAGAAAGGCGTGGTTAATATCTATCTACAAAGCAAATCGCGCGTCTCTATGCTTTCTGCGCTTGAGACCTGTATAGAAGGTGCGTGCCCTCACCAGATCCTGGTGTTAACCTACTAATATATAAAAAAGTGTTACAAAACATTGGATATGGAGCTGGGGCTTTTACAGGGGGATATATCCACCGGAAACCTCATTCCCAATGATCAAAAAGAGAACCCATCATGGTCGGCATTTGAATTGACCTGGATCTTGCTATTAAAGAGCACCGTGGGCAACCCTCTATGTGAATATGGAGCTGGCTTCGGGAAAGAACGGCTGTTTAATTCATGAAGGGGACTTCACTCCCCCGGTGAATGAATACTTCACCAGGTTCTATAAGCCACTGGTCCCTTGGGTGAACTGCGTACGGAAGGCTGTGTTTCTAAATGGTGGACGGTCTCCTTTTCTCCTAATTCACGATCACTAATTATAAAAGAACTGTTAAATTAAGCCTAACTTGCAGGACTAACAAGGCGCCACCATCAATCTAATCTATCCCATAATAAGCTAATGTAGTATTCATAAGATTCAGCATGAAGAGAAAGTATTTTGACCCCTATAAGAACAGAATAGAAGAGCATCCACCGAGCCAAACCGCCCCGGTAAGCCTCGAACCGACCAGCGGCGCGATGCGGGTCCCCCCGAGAAATTATTAGGTACAATATTGAATCTACTCGGTCCATCATTCAGGATTCTTCACCGCGGCTACAAATGTGGATTGATGGCTCCGCTGCTATGCCATTCTGGCTCGGACACACCCAACCCCTAATTCTGTATGGGCTGTGCTCTGTCCTCTCCGGATTCGAGTCAGGGGAATCGTGTCCGGTAGGTTCGATGTTTAGAGCTGGTAAACCGGCAGCTGTCCGGCTAGGCCCAGGGCCAACATCCATGGATTGGTTGCATACATATCCTGGGTTCATTGGGATGGCATTGACCGTAATGGTAACGATATCAATCCTAGATCGCGCCGCAGCCCGGAATTTCGCCGAGGCAAGCTTGGCGAGGCGGATCGAAGATTTTTTTTTGTGGATTTCTTTTTGGTGTTGTATGCTTCACCGAAGATTCTCTCGGTCGTGGAGTTTTCTGCATTGGCTTCTATAAGGGGAAGGATTTGGATGTTGCGCGTCGCAGAGAACAAACTGGGGGTGGGAATCAGGGAGAAGAGAATAGCGCAGCACCCACAACTGCTTTATATCGTAGTCTTAGGCTATTAGCTAGCTTTGGAGAAGTAGCAAATCTCTTTGCAGTCCTTCCCCTTCAACATCACCGGCCAATGTGTGGGGACTCCACGAATGTAAACGGTGAGTGTAGCGCAAGGTCAACCAGGTTTGCTGGTCTCCACGCCAATGTGGTATAAGATGGTAGGGAGTCCATGGTCTCCCCGTCTTTGGGTGTAGAAGAAGACGATAGTTTTTGCGTACTCCCCTTTCACGCTCCTAATATGACGCCAAACTCTTCGGCGCCGTCTGGCCTGTCCGCCCGGGCTCTACACCACGCGCAGGTCGCTCTGGTTGGCGCCCCGGCCTTCATCATCTTTGGATATAACCAAGTTGGCCTTGGTCCTCTAGCGACTCTTGAGAGCTGGGTTAAGACGTTTCCGCAGATTGACACCATCCATGCCACCGGAGCACTGGAATTACACAACTCCACCAGCAAGGGAGCCGTGATCGCGTCGTTCCAAATCGGCGCCTTGATCGGGGCGCTCTCGTGCACATTCATTTCCGATCGTATCGGCCGCCGGAAGACGATTTTCGTCGGGGCGATCCTCACTATCATAGGGCAGATCTTGCAGGTGGCGTCCTTTGGGCTGATCCAGTTCGTGGTGGGCCGCATTCTGTTGGGCATGGGAGTTGGCCAGTTCAGTGTCGCGGTGCCGGTCTGGCAGTCAGAATGCTCGCCTGCGAAAAACCGTGGCCAGCATGTCATTATCGACGGGATTTTCATCTGTCTTGGATATGCACTGTGCAACTGGATTGAGTTTGGCCTGAGCCAGATCCCCGAAAGCACCACGCAATGGCGCGTCCCTCTCGCCCTCTCTCTGTTTCCCTCGCTGGTCATCTTGCTGTCGGTCTTCTTCCTTCCCGAATCCCCGCGCTGGCTGGTCCAGGTGAACCGCGTCGAAGAAGCAAGCCATAGTCTCGCGGCTCTCAAGGGCACGTCCCCCACGGATGAGAGTGTTCGACTGGAGATTGCCGGAATCGAGACCAGCTTGGAAATGACGGCGCACTCGAAAGGGTCATTGATGGAAATGTTTTCGAAGGACGACCAGGAGAAGCTCTTCTACCGGTTCAGTCTGTGCATTATCTTGCAATTCTTCCAGCAGATGTGCGGCGGAAACCTCATCTCGGTCTACGCCTCCACCATCTTCCAGCAGAACCTGGGCATGAGTGCCCGTCTGGCCAAAATCCTTGCCTCGTGTGCTCTCACCTGGAAGTTTCTGTGCTGTTTCATTGCATTCTTCACCATTGACCGTCTGGGCCGTCGCGTCGTCTTCATCGTCAGCGGCGCCGGGATGGCGGTTTGCATGACCGCGCTGGCCATCACCAACAGCATGGGATCCAGCAACCAGGGCGCATCGATTGCGTCTGTGATTTTCATCTTCCTCTTCAACCTGTTCTACCCCATCGGCTTCCTCGGCGGCAATTTCTTGTACTGCACCGAAGTAGCTCCCGTGCGTCTGCGGGTCGCTATGTCTGCTGTCTCCACCGCCAATCACTGGCTGTGGAATTTCGTCGTCGTCATGGTCACTCCGGTTGCATTGGACACCATTGGCTATCGGTACTATGTTATGTATGCAGTGCTGTCGGCCTGCATCCCAGCGCTGGTGTATTTCCTGTATCCGGAGACCATGAACCGCAACCTGGAGTTGATCAATAACGTCTTCCGCGACGCCTCCTCGCCTTGGGAAATCGTGTCCATGGCGAAGAATTTGCCCGAGGGCGAGATTCCCGAAGCACAGCTAATTGCCATGGCAAAGAAGGGAGATGGCTGCTCCGTGGAAATGGAGGAGAATGTTTAAGAGTAATCTAACATACGTAGTGGTATTATACACATCGAAGAAAACAGCCATCATTTCTTGCATTCCTGGGACGAAAAATTTTTCTTTTTAAGAGCTAGACTAGCCTGTACTACCGAATGACATCCGTCAGTATTTCATCCAGAATATTTTCCCGAGAGCGAGAGAGCATTGGGCCCTTATTATATTATTACCCACGTTCGTTCCCCTGGCCCGATGCTCTTGATAATTGAAAGCTTGCTCTCCATATTTCTCAAGCGAATAGGGTATCCTCGTCAAGCTCGATATAAACAATGTGTAAGAAGAATGCGAACGAAGGCTTCCGAGATTCCCCATGGTGTGTAAAGTGCCGGATATCGGACAGGCTATGTATGTATTGAACAATCCACCAGTCGCGCTTGACTGGTTTCTTGCTTGGCTTCTCCGATTTCCGTCGACCAGATGGAAATATCCGCCAGCTCTAAGCCAGCCTCTTGAGGACCGTAATCCGACTGTGTCAACGGAGCAATGAATAACTAATGCCAGTAGTTGACGAGAGTGACCCCCTTTTTGCGTTGACTACTCCGTACAGTGCGCGAAGTCAACAGCCGGACAAATCGGTCCAATCAAACAACCGGCTTTTCCCTCGGTAAGATGGTCCAGGATGTAATGTTCCTGCCGCTGTCCCAGAAAAGCCTCAGGGCCGGGCTGAAGATCCGGTCTTCGGGACATGAATGCGGGTAAAGCGCCCTTGGTCCGATCTTTGTACAAGGACGGCGGATTATTTGTTCCATTCGAATATATTAAAGATAGCGGGAAGTTCCGGAGGGAATGACTGGTAGTGTTATGTTCTGCGGGTGTATATAGATCATCATGAAATAGGAGTATATATAGAGAATTATCCCAGGGCCTCCGTGGCGGCATTCGGGAATTTCCCAGTTTTATAGATTGACCAAATCCCACTTCACTATATCCACCATCTATATACTTCATTCGATTCTTTCCAATATGGCCCCTTCAGTCAATGAATTCCAGCACAGCAATCCCCCGATCCACGCCTCAGTCTGCAAAGTCGGCATCAATGGATTCGGCCGGATAGGTGGGTGATGCTCTCGTGGCATGTACGTACTTTACTAGCAATTAACCATCTCCCCCGGATCCAACAGGTCGAAATGTTCTCCGTGCTGCTCTTACACGAACCGATATCCAGATCGTCGCCATTAACCACACTTGCACGTCCGTCCAAGACCTCGTCTATCTCGTCCGCTATGACTCCTCGATGGGCAACCTCTCCGAGAACACTCCCATCCATATCCTCAACGACAACCTGATCAGCATCAACGGCCGTCAGATCGCCTTAACCTCCGAGCGGGACTTGAAGAAGCTCAACTGGCCCGCTGTGGGTGTCGAATATGTTGTCGAATGTACGGGCAAGTTCACCAAACGTGATCTCGCCCTGGATCACATCACCTATGGCGGAGCCAAGCGGGTTGTGATCTCTGCCCCCAGCTCCGACTCTCCTACATACGTGTATGGCGTAAACTCGGACCAGTATGCAGCCGACGACGATCGCAGGGTCATCTCGTGTGCCAGCTGCACGACCAACTGCGTCACCCCGGTGTTGAAGGTGTTGCACACCCAATTCGGTATCGCCCAGGGGTTCCTAACCACAGTGCACGCCGCGACCCGGTCCCAGCAGGTTCTGGACGGGTACAGCAAGAAGAACCGCCGACTGGGTGAGTTGTCTCTGGGTCGCCACATCATATGCACCGATGAAGTGTGAGAGGTTGACGCTGACGGCAACCACAGGCCGCAGTGTCTTTGGCAACATCATTCCTACCAGTACCGGCGCTGCAAAGGCCATTGCAACCGTGCTGCCAGAGCTGACTGGAAAGGTCACGGGCGTGTCGATTCGTGTCCCAACGTAAGACTTCCTTTTTTTTTTTTTTTTTTTTTTTTTTTTGTACTCCCCTGGACAGAAAAGGTTCTCATCTCAAGGGCTAACAAATCAGACCCAACGTCTCCATGATCGACTTGACCGTCAGCACCGAACAACCCACCTCTCTAGCGGAGATTATCGCCGCCTTCCGTCGCGCATCGAAATCCGAGCTCGCGGGGGTTTTGGCCGTCACCGACGAAGAGCTTGTCAGCAGCGACTACCACGGAAACCCGCACAGTGCGATTGTGGATGCGCCTGCATGCACAGAGCTGAATCCTCGGGTGAGACTCGCGCGTTCCCGGCCTGTCGAATCGAGTGAAGCTAATGATATGCGCAGTTCTTCAAGATCATGGCGTGGTACGACAACGAATGGGGCTACTCTACCCGACTGCTGGATTTGACGGCGCATGTTGCGTCGCAGGAGATTTAACCCCGTGTTTATAGATAATGACAGTGGATAAGACTTTAATACCCTGATAAATCGATATGATTTTAGAATAAATCCCTAGGTAAACATGCATGGAATCGCGAAAATCGGATGCCACTAGCGGGCGCTAGTCCGCAGAGTTACAGTACAACAACCGCAGTAAGGAAGGCAGACAGACAGACCCTACGGCAATCAATCCGTATAAGATAAACAGGCTCCTCTTTTGGAAAGGACGGTGCGATTTCTGTTTATTCATTCAATGAAAGGAGAGAAACCCAGGAAAGTTGTTGTTGGTATTTCACATTCTCCCCAATGCCCTCTTGAACTCCATCGATTCTTCTAGAACAGCAATAGCTATGCATCCATCATGTCTGTCGTGTCTTGATAATTACAAGGTAAACCCTCTCATCACTCAGGGGTCCGGTGTCATTCGCTCACATATGCCTCTGGTAGAGGGGTTAGCCTGCGCCCTCGGAGCCACGAATAATGATTCCAGATGTCTTCCAACACGGAGAGGTCGTGTTGCCTGTTGAGAAGCCTCACGGCAGAGGCCTGCTTGAAGTAAAACGAGACGCGGGTTCGGGAATCCGCGCATGCTGCTGCCCCAGTAATGCACGTCCATATTAGGGCCGCGGGGGCATCGCGGAGCCAGCGTTCGTCTTCTGTCAGGGCCAAAGAAGCCCTCAGGTCGCGGGCAAGGGCATCTAGCTGTGCTTGCTTTGCAACGTTGTAGGGCTGCATGTCTACCAGATGCCGGAATATCATCGCAGCCAAGTAGCAGCAACCGTGAATGGGATCTTGCGATGGAGGGGGCAGCTCTGCCGCTTGGGTCGGGTCTATTGCGCCGTGCAGAGTGACCTGCTCTTTGATATTAGAAACCCATTGAAAAAGACTTTGGATTTGGGCATGGTCAGCCTCGGACGCCGGGTTCTTGGGGGCGCTGGTGTTCAGGGCTCTATGCTCGAGGCCGAGTGGAGCCGGAGACGAAAGGGTCGAAGAAAAGCCCCATTCCGGATCAAATGCAATCATGTAGACGATTCTATTCCTACGGGCCAAGTTAGCGGACTGGGAATGCAGGGCTGAGACGGCAGGGGATAACCCAACATTTCCATCAAGGTCGCCACCACTCCATCTAGACCCAATTTATGGAGACCCCCCCGGAGCTCGACCATTTTCTGCAGGCCTGAGAGGTGGGCATCGGCCGCAGCACGGTCATTGTTAAGATCCTGATTCAAATTAGTCATGTGGGCGAGTTCACAAACTAACTATCTCTCGCGTGCACCTTACTGCGAAGAGGGCGAGCGGGGCCACTGAGGCGATCGTTCGGTCGTCCAGGGCCAGGACTGGGTCTGACAGACGCTCATTGATTCGTCGGATTACTTCATTCTGGTGGTAAATCGTGATGGGGTTCTGTTTTTCTCCCCGGAGGATGTCAAAGTAGGAAGATCCCGCAAAGAGCGTGGCGTGGAATAGACAAGGGTCACCCAGGGCTTTCTGCACCCACACAGTCTGGAGCGTGTACGCTGTACTCTTAGCGTCCACAGGAACCCTGGACAAGCCTAAACCCTCGCAGACTACGGTAATTCTTGCATTAGATCGCAGGGGTTCCGGCTAAATTGGCCAAAGGTGTCCGCCTAAGCTACTCACAAAGCCGAATCAAGCGTGGCATATACCAGCGTGAAGCGATGGGATACGGTTCGGATGCTTCTGGAGAACAGATTGCCCAGGCGTAGTATATACGGTCATTGGCCGTCTCCCACAATTTGACATCTTGCGAGCGGTCCAATGCTTGCAGGCTGTCAGCAACTGTCATCAATTGGTTCTCAACCTCCTGGGCTCTGATTTGGCGGTATGGGGTGGCGTAGAAACACGGGCCGGACCTCCTGGATGATATACGATGAATTAAATATGCACAGCAAGGCAAAGGAATGACCTACTTTTTGCAGAGACTGCAGGTGGGCACGAGTCGATCGCATTTTCGCTTCCGCAGGCGACACGGTTCACAGGCCGCCAGCATCATCGTCATTGCGAAACCAGAAAAGAGAGAATCTTGTAAGGGCCAGTATGCGCAGGACTCTACCGCAGGTTATCGAAGGTAAGTAAGTAGCAGACCACGATCGTTTCTTCATGGCCACGACAGTGGTGGCAGACAAAGGTCGTCAAGCTCGGCCTCTCCCCGCGTCTTCCAAGATAATCATAATAATGCGGATGGGAGAGCCTGCTGCTGATATCTGGCTATTCCTCAGCCAATAATGACACGCTTCTGCTCCGAGCTCTCGTGAAATGTAAGCTTAGCCGGAGTAGGGGCTAGTATCCTGTAACTCTCGGGGCCATTGGATAGCAACATTCTATATTCTCCACCCAGGGCCCTGCGCTTGACTAGATCATCCTCGGAGTCTCCAATGACAAGGCCAAAACTGAGCGGGCTCCTATCCAAGACTGACCTAGTTAGTTAGTTATATCCAGTCTGTCTGACCGAGTGTTTACAAATCCAACGAGCCGCTTAGTTAGTTATCTGCAGTGGAAATACTGAAATGACTGCCGCGGTTCTGTTCGGATTTTTACCATGATCTAAAAGTCTCTCTCTCCGCTATTCATCGAGGGTTAAATGCTTTCGGTAGTTGACTTGTGGTACCCAGCTATGTGAGTCGGTAGAATTGTCGTACTACATTGTTACGAAAATAGATCGTATATCACTATCAAAGTAGATTATAGAGAACAGAGCGCACAGATACCCTTAAATCCATTATTATACGCTGGAGCACCATGTCTGTGACTTGAGGGTGTGTAGTTAATATTGATATATACACAGTTAACAGCCGCTAGTCTGCATCATCTCCCAAATACAGCAAAGCCATGCACAATTACACCAAAATGAATGCATGCAAAGCTGACTTTGGTTCTGTCAATCTTTACTTGTATATAGTATTTCCCTTTTCTATATAAGGCCCCTTATGGAACGCTTCTTCCATCATGTCCTTTCCACCAAGCCCGGCGTCCCATATTCCCATGCCGACATGGATCTCTACGTCACTGCCGTTAGCCTCGTAGTCCTGTATATTCTGAAGCGACTCCTTCTGGAGAAGGGCCCTTCAGAACCTCTACCACCGGGACCAAAGCCGTTGCCCATTGTTGGCAATATCCGTGATCTTCCCTCGGGAGATAGGCCCGACTGGCTACATTGGCTCAAGCACAAGGATATTTACGGTACATGCAAAATGGCTCTGGGTAGATCGTTCGTCCAAACACTGCTAATGCGGATCTCGGAGCAGGGCCTATCAGTACGGTGACTGTTTTCGGGCAGCGAATAATCATTCTCAATGAAATCCAACTGGCAATGGAGCTTCTTGAAAAGCGATCTGCGGTGCATTCGGACCGTCCCGAAATGCCGTTTGCCAGGCTGTAGGTTTAGTATTGCCCTATCTTACGCCGCTGTTTTTCTCTAACACAATCAGTTGTGGCTGGGCGGATACCCTCGCTATGCTGGGGTACTCTAAGCGCTTCAATGCTTACCGCAGGAACATACACCGCGAGATCGGATCTAAAGTAAGCGTTGCTCGCTTCACTTCAACACAGGAGGTCGAAGTGCGGCGTTTCCTACTCCGGGTATTGGACAACCCGCAGGATCTACTCGATCATACCCGAAAGTGCGTGCGCAATATCTTCCCTAATCCATTCATTGCGAAGTGAATATGCTGATTTTTCGTGTAGGTTGGCAGGAGCTGTGATCCTGAAGATCACCTATGGCTACTCTATTGAGCCCTTTGATCGGGATCCGCTTGTGGATCTTGTCGATGAGGCAGTGGAAGGGTTCTCTCTGGCTGCTCGTCCGGGAACATGGCTCGTAGACTTTGCGCCTATCTGTACGTCTTTCCAGTGTCCTCCAGCGCAGCCTAAGCTAAACACTCCGTTTAGTGAGATATATTCCGGCATGGTTTCCAGGTGCTGGGTTTCAGAGAACTGCAAAGGCCTTCCGCAAGCTAACCCAGGCTCACTGCGAGGTCCCCTTCGCATTTGTTAAGCAGCAGATGTCTCAGCCCAACTATGAACCATCTTATGTCTCGCATCTACTGGGGGAGAAGCCGATACCACCTGGGTCCGCAGAAGAGATTGCTATCAAGTGGTCAGCTGCCGCTCTCTATGGCGGGGGAGCCGACACGGTAATTCCAGACTTTTCTTCCTCTTTACTGGAGAGTATGGCGCTTGCTAAGTATACTAGACCGTTTCAGCCATATCGTCGTTTTTCTTGACGATGGCTCTCTTTCCCGAAGCCCAAAGAACGGCTCAAGAAGAAATCGACCGTGTTATCGGGCCACATCGATTACCTGGGTATGCTGACCGTGAAAAGCTGCCTTATGTTGAGGCCCTGGTCAAGGAGGCCCTCCGCTGGCATCCTGTTGGTCCTATGGGCATCCCTCACAGGTCTATCAACCACGATGTGTGCAATGGTTATTTTATCCCCAAGGGGTCGATTATTCTCGCGAATATTTGGTGGGTGCTTCTGCTTCTGATCGTTGGGCAGGCACTACTTATACCTACTTCGCGATGTTGATAGGGCTTTCTGTCATGATCCGACTGAATATGCAAACCCAATGGCCTTCCAGCCCGAGCGCTTCCTGGGCAAAACCCCAGAGCGCGATCCACATCATATCTCCTTTGGGTTCGGCCGTCGCGTTTGTCCCGGTCGTATAATCGCCGACGCGAATATCTACTTGACCATTGTCCAAGCTCTAGCGGCTTTCACTACCGGTAAAGTCATGAAGGACGGCAAGGAGGCCGACATTAACCCGGAGTTTTTGCCTGGGGTAATCAGTCACCCAGCGCCGTTCGAGGTGGATATTAAGGTGCGGAGCAAACAGTATGAAGAGCTGATTAGGGCAGTGGAAACAGAGCACCCTTGGGAGAATAAACATACACAGATCCTCCGAGATATCTTAGTGGAGGCTGCCTAGGACAGACATATAGACGAATATCAAACTATATGCGCCGCTCACCGAGAAAACCCGCCTGCTACTAACTATGTAGTACTTGAGCAAAGGGCATAGCTGGCTGGCTGGTAGTGCTTATTATGTGGGCAGACTTCGGGTTAGAAAATATCCACTTTGGGCAGACATTTTAATGTCATTGGTATGGTCGTATACACTCCAGTCACTAAACCCTGCTATATCTCAACCATCCCGCCTATTCTACGAGTAACCTGGCGCAGTTCTGACCAGGTATTTATGTCGTCAGTCGTCCCTTATCATAGAGATTATCCTTTTGGCTGCTCCTCGACTTCTGAGCTCCCTGGATGAGATGGCCGACTTCCAGCACATACGCTTGTCCAACAAGCCCTCAGCTCAAATCTCCTACAGCTTCCATCCACCCGTGAACTGTACGAAGCCAGTATTGATTGTGTTTCTGAATGGGCTCGGACTACCACAGGTCGCTTGGTTACCGGCAATTGCCCAGCTGAAGCAGATTCAGCAGAGCACTTCCAGCGCTTCCCCGGCTATTCTGACCTACGACCGCTTCGGTCAGGGACAGACCACCGATCGTGATCCACAAGACGAAGGGGCCCCGGACCCATTCCACGGCCATGACTGTGTCGCTGCCGTTGAAGATCTCCGCCAGCTTATTACCCAGATCAGTTCGCAAAAGCTGGGCATCACAGACGTCGACAGCGTGGCTGTAGTGATTGTTGCGAATTCCATCGGATGTGCGTTGGCTCGACTCTACGCCCAGAGGTATCCTGGGACCGTTGCTGGCCTGTTACTCCTCGACAGCATTCTCGCCAATTCCGATTTTGTCTCTATACTCCCCGATCCGGACGCGGACGGCTTCGAAGCGAGCCAACTTCCCCCTGGCGTTACCCCCGATGTCCTGCGCACTGCACGGGCAGGTATACGACGTGTCTTCCATCCCGATGTCGGCAGCAAGGAAGGCTTGAGTCGAAAGAATTTGATGAGACTCCTCCCGGCCAGCGACAAGCCTGCCCTTGTCGGTCCCGGCCAGCAGCGCGGCGGCCCCTTTGTGACTGTTGTTGGACATGACTTTGAAGCCTTTGCCGAAGAATCCGCCAAAATGGGCCGTTCCAAGTTACTCACCACGGTGTATATGAACCCGTACTGGCACAAGTACAACGAGGGGCTAGCAAAGATAACCGAACCGGAAAGGAGTAAAGGGCCACTGCAAGCACCGCATTCCGGGCATTTTATACAGAAGGACAACCCGGAGTTTGTGGCCCAAGAATTGCATGAGCTCCTCTCGAAAATCATGTAGGTAGCTATGTCGGAGAGACTCTACGGGTGGAGGGGTGCTTGAAGTTATACGATAAGTTTCCATGTTTCCGAATTGCCCAACAGCATGGGTAATTAGAATAGTAGTCAGATACTATCATTCAATTACATGAACCATTTAAAGTGCAATGATCCCACTTGTCAAAAATAAATCCCGGGTCTCCGGTGCTTATTCCGGGTACCTTCTTCACATCGCCAGCCTTGGAAACGAGCTGTGAGGATGTCTAATAATAACTCTTCTTCATGTCTTAGGAAGTAGCATAGACCCTTCTTATTCACAGTTCCCTGACATGAGCATACGGTTTGGATGTCAGCAATAGAGTCCGCCATGACGGTCCCGGATGTCTATTACATGATGTTTTGACCTACGAACCAATTAATAGGGTCTGTACAGGACTGTCCGCTATTCATGAATCATGCAGAGACATGTCTCGAACTGTTGATCTCCGGGAACGTGTCTGTAAGCGCCCAGACCCATTATGAAGAAACGACAGATCGTATACGAAGAGGTTATTGAAGTTCGTGATTGGGGAGACCACGTCGATTGTCTCAGAGACTGCCAGCAGTTCATCATGCATTGGTCTAGTTTCACTGCAGTGAGTAGAAACAAATAATGACTAAGAGCTGACCTGCATCCAAGCTGCAGTGCAGTGCAGTTGGAGTCTTGTTCAGGTTGGGCAACAGAGTCGATGGGAAACACGGACTACAAAAGCTCAGTGCTCTCACAGCAGGAAACCGGAAAGTCTTCCATGAACCGGACCATCACCACAGTAAAACAAACATTGCCCCCCAAAAATGATGCTCCTGAAGGTTGCAGCAAGCCTGCTTTCTCTCTCTGTTTCTGCTTCTTCCCTCTCTCTCCGTCCTCGCTCCATCACTCCACCCAGTGGCTGCCCCATTCCCACTTGGAAGGTCACCACCTTCCATTGGTATAATGGCTCGCACAGTCTGGACTGCATCCACAACGAGGCCGACATCAACGCAAAGGGATGTTTATGCGGCAGCAACTGGTGTGACCCGAACCCCAGCACCTGCAATGGCAGCATGGTGAATGTCTGCTGGACCGGGATGCCCAACTACCAGCCCTGGGGATACGGACCCCCAGAGACGCTGGAGATCGATTTTGCGGACGGCTTGACTTGCCACGATCAATACATCGGCTATCGCGTGCATGATATTGGCCACGGCGCAAGTAACTGCGGCTACGCTGATCGTGGCCTCGGAAGAATCGTCGCGTTCTACGGCTCGTCGGATTTTGCCCAATCCACGGGTCATATGGACTATACCTTGGGCAGCGGACATGCCTTGACCTGCGTGAATGGCAGCTCCATTACCTACTCGGGAAGCACTGATTTCCCATTATTCTGCGAGCATGATGCCGACTTCAATGCTACCTGTACAGCCCCCGTTTTTGAGATCCCCGTCCTGTCCTATCAATGGGTCTCCTAGTTTTCACGCACAATCGGCTGCGGTGTTGAGGGACAAGGGGAAAGCATGATCATTATGTGTCAAATGGAGCGCAAGGATAGGTGAACGGGTTGTTAGCCATTAGAACCAGCTATATTCTATTTTGTCGGGAATGCACGAATCTGCCCGAGACATACGAGATGAAGTAGAATAGCACAAGTTGAAATTACAGTCCGACATTTCCCAGCTAAAGGACATTTCGACGGCGTAGAGGCAGGATTTGATATATGTAGTCTGTAAAGCGAGCGCCCAGGACAGGCACTGATTCGTTAGTACCTACTGGACATTCTGGAGTTTGCGAATGCGAAAAAAAAAAAAGGTTAGAACTTGCCTCCAAAATACAATGTCTATCTGAGCATGAATCCAAGAAGACTTTCAGCGTGATTAACGTGCATAGAATCTATCCACCCAGTATCCCCCCCAGTTGATCAAACTCATTCATTTCTCCAAGGGGCCATGCTTCAAGATTCCAGGGCAGGTCATGGAGAATAGACTCCAACGAGTCGAAACTGGGTGATCTGTCCAACGTCTCGTCCTTAAGAAGCTTCATCTTTGTCGACAAAGACTCCGCGGATACGGAAACAGCCGCGAGACAATCCAGACCGCTGAAGCACCCCGTGGAATATCTCACTTGGCCTGCGTCAAGACTCAGACTACCCAAGTGTCTTTTATCTTGCGGCAATTGGTTGATTCTTGTCGCTGCCATGTGGATAGAGCGTGAGTTTTTGCTCAGTTGCGCAGACACAGAACGAATAATCGCCAGTTCCTCGGGGGAGTCGACCTCGCCATTGGAGAAGAGGATCGAACAGTAGATCAGTGGGACGGCCACCACGAGACTTACCCATCGGTGGATAGAGAGTAGACGCGGCACGTCCTCGCGGTAGAGCATGGACTCGTATAGACGGGCTACGCAGGACGACGCAACAATCGCCGTTTTGCAGAGAAGGAACGTATGCCGGTGTGTGCCGGGTAGAAGGTATATAAGAACTATACAGGCGAGATGGAAGACATGAAGCTCAGAAACCACGCGGTTGTACTCTTTCCGATGAACCCCATTGATCAATGGACAAAGCTTTGTCAAGTGACAAAAGACCTGGGCCGACATGTCTGGAAGATCAAAGTCGTCAATGCTAATCATCGACGGTCGACCAAAGCAGGCGGATTGAAGGGTATCGTTATCCTACACGTATTAGTTTGGGCGCAACTCCTCGGTGCAGAAACCTTACAAACAGATACCACCATATCCTTCTGAGGCATCTCTGGTCACTCCGAGCATACGCTGAGGAGTTCGCCCTATGTAGCCCCAGTTGTAATGCAAGCCTGATCGCCATACCAGACCATTGCCATGATGAATCCAGAGAAAGAAACCAGTTGAGGAGCGTCGGAATTCCAGCAACCCACCAAGCAAAGTGCTTTGAGAGTCACATAAGGGTCCTTTTCATGATTTAGGAAGAGCAGTGTTTTGATGCGGCAGTAGATATCCTCTGGCGAGAACGGCGTCGAGTCCGGTATATGACATGTGAGGCTTCCAGCAAAGTAAACAGCCTGCTGTAACAAAAGCGAGGAATCCAGGAGGGCGATATCCCGTTGATCGATGACAGGAACCAAGACAAATAGATTTTTGCGATAAAACTCCACTAATACCTCTCGCAAAGCCTTTGGAGGCAAGACCGTCGGCTTTCCCATTAGAGAGGGAGTCAACCGGCTTCTGCATCACAGGGGACACCTCAGACGCGCAGGACAGCACCGACTGGTCTCCAATATAACCGTGGAGCTTTTGATTGCTCGCGGCGCAAGTCCTGGAATGTTCACGATCGTTCAAGCAGGATCCATCAGTCTCCTGGGCCAACGTCGCGGGCCATGGTTCATTAGGAAGGGATGCTAGACGTCGCCTCCGTGATGAGATGTGTGGACTACGTATACTTGGTGTTAACAACCGTACCATGCTGACGCCCGGCATTCGGGCCATGGTTCGGCAAACTCCTACTGGCATTGCAAGCTATCTCGTAGGCAATTACCACAGCTGTTCCCCAGCTGGGCCTCTAAATCGCACCGTACCTGACCCGTTCAGAGTCTTGTGGCTTTGGCAGGCCCATGGAGATCTCACCTTGCGGTCGTCATGGCATCTGATGCAGACCTTGCGTGCTCGGTCTCGAACCCTTCGTTGGGGCGGCATTCTCGGCTGAATCGATGGCTGTCTTTGTATGTTAATCATCATAAACAGGGTTAAAAGATATGCCTGATTTCTGGCTACAAGAAATAATGGAATGAACTTGGGTACTTCCGTATCACGAGGACTAAAGATTCACTTCAACCTCGGCAATTCAACTAGAAAGGAGAAGAAGGCGACCACTTTATTCATGATGTCTCATTCAATTGCCTATTCTAAGCAAATACTGTGCATTTCGGACGCTTCTCTCTCAATGTCAGATGTCCTACAATGCGGTAGGCAGCGATTCTTTGCACAAGTTATGATTCGGTGGAAGTTTCCAACATAAACGGACTACCGAGTGCTGCCGATAAGTATCAGCCACTGAAACAATGAACTTGTGCTTGGGAAGGGTGGCATAACAAGGGTAGAGGAATCGGTCTTGCATAAAGCGCTTCCTGTAAACAATCGTCTATACCGTAGATCTCAAAATCGCGGTCACATAAGTTCTGGTCTCTGCGTTCCGTGATAATTGGATACTCTGGTTTAACTATCAAGCCTATACTGCTACCTGTTAAAATGTAATACTTCCGAGTGTACCGACCGACTGCCGAAAGACAGGTAAAATGTTTTGGCCCACTATGTATTGGTATCAAAACGCACTGGCATTCTTGATATAAAACCGACCTAGGCATCATGTGAAGAGGGCTATGATTTTATCTATAATCCTAACTCTGCAGAGCAAATAAAGCACGCTTGGAGCCCACTGAAGGTGCTGACGAGCGAGTCAGCACTATAAAAGCTCCAATATGCTTTCCCAAGAATTTGTGAGAATCTGTGAATAGATTCGACCTTGAGCAACTTATTTTCTTCACAGCCAACCAATACCCTCGCACAGAGTTACCATCTTGTATAGATTCCTTCCCCAGCATGGCCAGTCATCCGAATACAAATGATTCCATGAAATCTACCTGGCGCCAGCAAGACCGATCCAAGTGGACGATCTTTCATTGGATGTATGAATGGGCAGACATACACCCTATAGATCTTCACAGGGACATCCCTAAACATGCAAAACACGAAAAGATCCCCTATATGTCGGATTGGCAGCTACAAAGATGGATTCTATTTCATGCTGGAGCCACACTCGTGCTACATCAGGTTTATCTGTATTTGACGGGGCACAAGCCAGGTCCGATTCTTGCTTTCCTATACTATTATGCTGGAGTCAGGATATTCACGGCCCGTCACCTGCGCGCGATCCGGAATCTGGGGCACACATACGGCTTTTTAGACGGTGATCAGCATGACCGAGATGGCGTGCCTGATGTTGGGGTTAAAAAAGCCCTGATAGCGTCGATGTTGGCGGCATTTGTGCGGCCACTGATGACGGTGTTTCTCACCTACGATGCAGACAAACCACCCATATCAATGAACTGGACCTGGTTGCTGGTCGAAGTCAGTCTCTATGGTATCGTGCTGGACTTTTGGTTCTACTGGTATCATCGGCTTATGCATCAAGTGCACGGTCTGTGGAAATACCATCGCACTCACCATCTCACCAAGCACCCCAATCCGCTTCTGACAATCTATGCGGACTCCGAGCAAGAGTTCTTTGATATTGTGGGGATTCCTCTGATGGCCTATGCCACTATGAGACTTATGGGCCTCCCAATGGGATTCTATGAATGGTATATATGCCAGTTATATGTCATGTTTGCCGAACTTGCTGGCCACAGCGGCCTTCGTCTCCATGCGTCGCCTCCCAACCCGTTGACCTGGTTAATGAGGATCTTCGACGCCGAAATGGTCATCGAGGACCATGACCTGCATCATCGGATCGGATGGCGAAATAGCCACAACTATGGGAAACAAACGCGCATTTGGGATCGAGTCTTTGGAACGTGCAGTGAGCGCATTGAAAGTGCAAAGGATAATGTCGATTACGAGCACCCTGCTACTATGCCCATATTCTAGACGACTTTACCTCCTATTGTATGGAATTCAGTGACGTTTTCTATATTTACAATTCGTTATATAGAACAATATTTACTTCAAGAACTGAGATCTCGTTATCTCCAGGACGAGAGCTAATGAAAACAAATTTATCTGGAAGCTCTACGCATGTTTCACTCGCAAAGCTCTTCTTCTATAGCGTGATGTCAGCCTGTTCCACTCCAGTTGAACATCTGCTCCAGGGCTCTTCCCTTGGTCTCTACTACTGAGGCGCGTGGGAATGCTTTAACGCTACATACGACTCGGATCATAGGGGAGGCGGACCACGAGTTGTCATCATGAACCCCGTATCCGAGCAGCCATAGAAAGTAAAGACTGTAGGTAAAATATTTGCAACTTAGTTCAGGTTCTAACTCGCTGAACCTGTGTCCGTAGCACTAACATATTCACATTCTCATCAAAGCAAGTTTCGATACCACACAACGCAGAAGACTGCCAAACTTGATCCTCATGAATAACGCAGGGAGTATTGATGAAAGGGATACAATAATGGATTTAACACTCTGGGTTGTCGCGGCCCATTTCATGCAGTTTCTCTGTAGCTCGGTGCTTTCCCTCTCCAGACACTCGAGGATTATGTTGCGCGCTATGTGAGGAGTAAGTTCGTTAATCAATGCGATTATACCGTTCCAAAACTTACCCTTTCAGTCCTGCTGCAATCCGAGCAGGGTCTTTGACTGGTTCCGCGCTCTTGTAAGGCTTGCGGCGCGCTTCCTCGTCATGTATCTCCTGCAGCATCTTACTAGCATGTTGTTTTGCGTCCTCCGATACGCGCGGGTTATGAAGAGCACTGCCCATTCAATCACCAATCCATACCTTCTCTATCGGGTTCGGAGGGACGTACGCTTTATACCCCCGCGCGGAATTGATCCTTACCTGGTATGTATCAGGCACCAGGGTCCCGGGGTAAGAATATGAAGACATGTCGCACGAGAATTGAGATTCTAGTGATTCATTGCCGGACACTTCAGGGCAATCCCACGGGGCTCTTGCTCGATACATATATAAGCCGTGGGGGAAACCTTAGAGGTTGGTGGGATGATCACTGACGCTCCAGCTCAACCGCAGCATACATGCATCACTTTCCCATGCCGAGGAGAAGATGAACCCTGAAAGTTGACATCACTCATCATTCCAGTAACGTCCCCGCAGAACCGCTGGTCGGTAGCTCACGGCTGTTTAACCCTTTAGCTTTATCCGGTGTATTTTCCGACTCCTCGGAAGCTGTGAACGAAAGTTTATTGGTGTCCAGATATACTTGTCCCATGGGCTTCACAATGCCATTCGCTCTGAGAATTCTTCCATCCGGTGACCTACCTGGGGTCGGTTCAAGAACCCGCGTGTAATTTAGATTCAACACATTGTGACGTTATATGATGAGAGGTCGTCAAACTATGACGGTAGAAAGTTGACCGAAATGGATTCAATTAGGTCTAACTAGGAAATAGAGAGAAGGAGATGCTTGGAGGAAGCATGGAGATCTAGAAGGAAACGGTGGCCTTAAATACATAGAGTAGTCACGTGTCGCTATCTTCTTCTTTATGGTGATGCTGCTTTATGGTGGTGCTAGTTGCATTCACTGAGTGCAGCACTCCAACACACCCCCTTTAGCAACACATCCATTTCATGAAGCTATTTAGAGTCTATCTCCAACCTACTAAAACCCAACCTCTTGATGAATTTATCAAATTTCGTAGTTAGTAGTACCTTAGTTAGCCTATTAGTGATATTATCCTCTCCACCCATCATTTGTAGCTAAATTCTGCCATTTTTGATTGCCTCTTTAATAAAGAAGTAGCGAATATCTATCTAGCAGAGTATAGATATGTAATTTGGCTTCTTTACTAAAGTAATAGTATTTATAGAATCAGTATATAAAGGTATAGTACCTTTTATAGACTATTCTAGTCTAATAGCTATATATAGCTTTTATAGCTATATAACTAGCTTTATTACTGCATCCCATGTAATAAATTCAGTAATAATTAAACTTAAGGTAACTAGTGATTACTTTGCTAATTTCCATATAATTAGTGCTCTAAATATAAAAAATATGAAGCCTTTTATTAATTTCTTATTTTTATAATCTATATAGAAGGCATCAATATATATATGTAATAGATTATCTAAATAACTTAAGACTATTATATAGTCTAAGGTCTTCTTTAAATATTAGAAAACTTGTTTAACTATATTATAATCTAACTTGCTAGGATTATGATTCCTCTATAGTAGTTGTGTTATTATATATTAAATATCTGGTTAGGTCTAAATAATAATCTAATTTAATGATCTAGTCAATTCCTGATAATGAGTAATGTCTTCATTAGCAGAGGCATACATGGCATCTGGAATAACACCACTAGTATCTTGGGTAATGCTGCTAGATTCTGGTGTTTCTTTAGTTGATTTCCATCCCGGAGTTATTGGTATATGACATGGCCAAAGACCATGGAAATTCTATTTATAGAGTATCTTTTGGATATATGCATGTTAAGATATTAATATTAGACTACTAAGCAGTCTATAAATATTATATCCTAAGAACTGCACAGGTTCACCTAGTTACTTTAATTTGAAATATCTTTCTAGCTTATCTATAAATTATTAAATATTTACTTTATTAGGACTAGCAACTATTACATTATTAATATAGATAATAAGTATTAGCTGCTGGTCTAGATTATGATAGAAGCATGGGTCTTTGTTGATTACTTTTATGCCAATTTTTACCAGAATATCATGGAATTCCTCATACTAAAGAAATACTGACTATTATAATCTATATAGGGCTTGGAGTAGTAAACATACCATACTATCTTGCTTATTAAAACTAGTTAGTTGGTATATATAGATCTTTTGATCCTTGATTATTATATTAAGATAGGTAGTCATCATGTTAAATTATGCCTATTTTAAATTAAAATAAGTAATCATGCTTAAAAATAGCTTTACTAAAGTATCTATTACTACTAGAGAGTAGACTTAGTTAAAATCTATATTTAATTTTTAGAAGTTTCTATACACAACCTATCTTGCATAAAATTACAATATATTATTATTTATATCTAACTTTAAGTTATATACTTATTTTCCTAGTAAGACTTTTATATCCTTTAGTAATAGTATAAATTTATAAATCTAAATAGCTTTAAGCTTACTAATTTAACTTTATATTACTTATATCTAGTAATCCTTTTATAGTAACTTTATTACTTGGGTATAGATCTATAGGATTCTAACTTTATAAGTCTTTATAGGCTTGATTTCTAGTATAAAACTACCAGGATCTGGTAATACTACAGTAATTATGTTAGATAATTCTTCTAGCTTTAGATAGGATTCTAGTAGATGAGGTATTTCTAAAAGTATTTTTAGAAATAATATGGACCAGAATTAAGATTATTATTCCTATTTTACCTCCTCTTCCTATAGTTACTTTGCCTGCTCATCTTTAAAGCAAATACTTTAGTATTAATTCTTTATAGATCTTGAAGATCTCTATAGAGTAGTAATATTACTACTAGTATTATTACTAGCAGGATTTCATGCCTTTACCAGGTCAACTGTTTTTATATTCCTAATATTAAATTTAACCTGCTTTCTAGTCTTCAAATACTTCCTTTTTAGTATATCTAGAGTTATTAGAGTATAGTTATCTTTAGAAGGTTCTAAAACTAGTAAGACCTCCCTATATTAGGTAAATAACTCTAGAAGCCTTTGTATTGGTTGTAATACTGGCATTCTTTTAAAAATAGGTTGACTAGTATATAGATTATTTATAATAAAATAGTTAATTATCTTTTTATATCTACCCTGCCTAGATTATTCCTCTATACTAGGTCTTACTATCTCCTCCATATCCTTACTAATTACTCAATTATTTTACTTAATAATAGTTTTGGAAACAGCCCTAAAAGTAGGCCAAGAGGCAGGTGTCTGCTCTAGTATAATGAGCTCAGTAGTTTTAGAGATAGCCCTAGGGGCAGCCCTAGAGGCAGGTGGCTGCTTGGGTATGATGAGTTTGATACCTGCCTCTAGGTCAGGTAGGGTGGTTTTAGAGACAGCCCTAGAGACAGGTAGGCATAGATATATCAAGTCAGCACCTGCCTCTAGGTTAGATAGGCTTGGTTTGGGTAGGACTGGATTAGGTATTAATATTTGAATTCTTCCTATAATAACTTCATTGTTATTTACTAATAATAAGGTTTAGTAAGATATATTATCATGAGTTATTCTTCTCCTTTCAGCATTAATAAATATAGTTGCTCCAGATAGACTATTATTATTTAGTTTTAGTCTATTAGAAAGTCATGGTTATATTCTATCTATTCTATTAGTATTACCTTTATTAAATATCATATTTCTTGACTAAATTATCTTCCCCATATCTAGATATCATACCTTATAGATATAATCTTTATTATATCTAACTAGTTAATTAATTTTTACTCTAGATAATATTTTCATACTTTTAATCCTATCCTTATATAGGATATTTATAAATATCTTGCATCCCTATATATAAATATGTTGCAAATTAATATCTTTAATTAAGATATTTAATCCTTTATAAAAAAGTTATATAAGTAGCTTTCCTTCATTATTACCTTCCCTGACCAATCTATTTAAAATATGGACTACTATATCTATACTATACAGCTATATAGTTAGCTCTATTTTTACTTGTATGTATATTATGCGGGCAGTCTAGATTATATAGCTACTAAACTATTTAATAGCGCTGTTTTCCTTAGGGGTTTATGGTGGTATTAGTTTATATATAGTACTAAAATCCTTGCTCCATCTAGCATACTCATTAAATTTAGGAGTAGAGTCAAATCTGACCCTTCTAATATAGATACTAGTTATATTTAGCTAATTATTATGTATTTCCTTTAATACCTTTAAAGATTTACTTTTCGCCTTTAAATATCATGTAAAAAGGCATCTAGAATAATTATCTAGAACTAGTAAGATATACCTAATACTATTTCTTCTAATTGGTTTAATTTCTTGGAGATCTATATATATAAATTATAATAGTTTTATTATATATAGTTATGGTTTTCGGGATATCTTTTTCTTTGATTTTAATAATTAACATGCTTTGTAGTATGGCTCAGTATTCTAATTAGTAGCAGGCAAGTTATTAGTGGCTAAGTCATCATCATAAAGTATTGCCTTATTGTGTTTTAATTGTTTGATAAATAGATGACCCAATTGTTGATGTAATAAGTCTATTGGTATGGTGGGCATGATCACTACCTCATTTAGAACCAAAAATGGGACATTATTATCTAAGATAGTATATCTAATTACCTTATCTATTACTATCTCACAAATATATTAATTTTTTAAGTCAAAATAGATTCCTAATTCTACTTTTATTCTTTCTACTAGCATTAGGTTGCATGATATATTTAGATTCTAAAGATATTCTATTTAGTATAATATTAAAGTACTATTATCTAATTTAAATTAAATTATTACTTTTCCATGATCTTAGGAATATACTACCTTGCTATTAGAGATAATAAAACCATAATTCTTAAAGCTATTTAGATCTTTAATTAGGTTATTAAAGAGATCATAATTATTGTATACTACATAGCCTGCTCTGGAGTCATATAGCTACCTATTCCTAAAGGTAATTAATATTAAAGTTATTAGTATATTAACTTTAAATAGCATGAAATTATTAGTATCTAGAATAGTATTAGCTTATATAGCTAGAGTAATAGCCTGGTTTTAAATCAAATTATTCCTATTCTTTAACTTATATAGCTTAAAGTACTAAAGTATTAAAGTTAGTCTCTATTCTTTCTTCTACTTATTAATCACTAAATATAAGTAATCCTTAATATTATATTTTTCCTCCTTATAAAATAAGTATAGCATTCCAGGTTTTCTTAATTGCTTTAACTAATAATTAATATAGCTAGTAACTATTATATTCTATAGTAATATATATTTCTACTATTACTACTACTTCCTTCTATTATTTATTATTATTTAAGAATTTAGTATATTCATAACTAGTATTATAGTATTAAATATAATATTAAATAATAGATTCTCCTAAATCTTGTCCTTTATCATATTATATATAGCATAAAAATACTTCTATATAGTTATTTTAATAGGATTATTATCTAGGTTATTTAAGATTAAATCTATAAAACTTATATTATCTCTTTTAAGCTCCTAAAGTATTACAGTAACTACTTAATAGGATATAATAATTATTTTTAACTTATTAAAAGTATTTATCTTCTAGATAAAGTCTAATATAAACTTATTAATAATTATATAATTCTTATATTTAATTTTAATAACTTCTCTCTAGATCTAGTATATATATTTTTAACTACTATTAATAATTATTTTTTATAACTTTTATATAAAATTATCTATAAAGATATATAGGGTAGTATTTATTAGTAATTTTTCTACTAGTTTCTTACTTATTAAATATAGTATCTAACTAGCTACTATTTATAAAAGAAGTTCTTATAATTTATACTTAGGATTATTAAGTTATAGTCTAGGAATATTATTTTTAAGAAGCTTATCTATTTTATAAAGTCTTAACTCTATTTATATAAATAAAGCCTAGATTTTAAATTTTAAATTATTTTCTAATACTATTATCAGGCTCAAGTTAAATATGCCATTCTTTAGCTTTGTTACTTGATTTCGGCTATTAGTAAACAGGGTAGTAGCCATCAAAGGTAGGTATAATAAGTCAGGGATGTTAAGATATCTACCAGGGGTAGGTTTAGTTACTATTTTAGTTAAATTATGGAGATTTTTCACATACTATTGCCCAGGTAGAGTAACACAATAGCAGTACAGGTAGTGTAATACAATAGCAGTAGGTAATATTTCTACCAGGATCTCTTTCTAATCAGGGAGCAGATTACTATACAGGGGTATAATAAGAGTTTTGGAGGTCTATGAAGCATAAAATAGAACCTCAAGGAGGGCTCATAACCTAATAAGAGGTCATCAAACTATAACAGTAGAAAGTTGACCAAAATAGATTTAATTAGGTCTAACTAGGAAATAGAGAGAAGGAGATGCTTGGAGGAAGTATAAAGATCTAGAAGGAAACAGTGGCCTTAAATATATAGAGTAGTCATGTGTCGCTATCTTCTTCTTTATGGTGATGCTGCTTTATGGTGGTGCTGGTTGCATTCACTGAGTGCAGCACTCCAACATTATATATTTTGAGTCAATTATGACTGTTTGCGGGTATTGAACCACCAATTGATAAATGTAGTGAAACACATAACCCTCATGCCAAATATAGCCTCCAACACGAGAAACATACATTCTTCACACTCCTAAATTCGTGAGACTTGCTGAATCAAAGCTGATGAGGACTTGAACTTGACTGGTCTACTCCATCAAGCACTATTGCAGATATTACCCGTCTATGTTCCTATGGTAAAATAGTGAGACTCTTCGTGTCTACTTTCAGTCTCTAAGTACTGGACATTACCCTAGTCTTGGAGTTTAAGAGTTAAAGGTCTCTCAATAGTCCTCAATCTGGTGGCCGACTTGGTAGGCTCCGGTGACAAGACTACCGAGCTGTCGGTTCTACAAGCCCTTGTCCCCTCTCTCTTCCTTATACTATGTCGGCACTTTGCATGACCACGTAGGCTCCGTTTGCCTTCCCCGGCATTTACCCGGCATGGCTTCTAGGACAGTATTTACTACAGAGTGGTTGAGCGCTCGGGTCCCTGACGGCCGAGCTGCAAACTGGAATTCCGAGGGTTCGGGCCCGACACGAGCTATATAGTCGAGCGGTGTTTCGGGCGTTGCCAGAGTATGCACTGACAGCATATGAGACGGGCTTGAAGTCGTGCCAAAACTCGAAATAAAGATGTCTTCCCTCAGGGTTCTAATTGTGGGCGCGTCCATCGCCGGCCCGACTGCGGCCTACTGGTTCGCCAAAGCCGGAGCACACGTCACGGTCATCGAGCGTTTTCCGACCCTGCGCACCAACGGACAGAATGTCGACATTCGGACCGTTGGCGTTACGGTAATGCGGAAGATCGCGGGGATGGAAGAGGCTGTCCGAGCAAGGACACTGTCGGTGGATGGGATCAGTCTGGTCGGTGCTACCGGTCGACCGTACGGGACCGTCAAAGCCACTGGGAATCCCGAGCAACAGTCGCTGGTATCCGAGTATGAGATCCTCCGGGGCGACTTGGCGCAGATTCTCTTTGACTTGACGAAAGAAACAGAGAATATCCATTATGTGTTTGGGGAGCAAGTCGCCTCGATGCGCCAGAAGGGACCCCGGAGCGGCCCGATTAGGGTCGACTTTGCCCACGGGTTTCCGGCCGCAGAGTTTGACCTCGTGGTTGCCTGCGACGGTGCGACTTCGCGGACCCGAGCGATGGGTCTGGCCTGTGGTGTTCGGGACCATATCAAGCCGATGAACTCCTGGGCGGCCTTCTTCTCCACCAAACACGATCTTGTGGACGGTAGCAGAATGGCACAGGCGTACAGCGCCATGGGCGGCCGGTTTGTGGCGATTGGACCCAGTTTATCCGGTGGCAATCAAGTCGTATTGATGGGTATCAATCCGCGTCACGACGACGACGACTCCATGCGACTCTTTCGCGAGGCTATGAAAAGGGGAGACGAGGCCCTGAAGCAATTTGTGGCCCGGTACTATGAAGGAGCTGGCTGGAAGTGTGAGGCGGCCGTCAAGAGTATGATGGAGGCACAGGACTTCTACGCAAACGAGAGTGTTCAGGTCCAGACCCCAACCCTGTACCAAGGGCATTTTGTCCTGGTTGGCGATGCGGGCTACGCACCCGGCCCTACTGGTACTGGCACAAGCCTCGCAATGGCGGGCGCATATGTGTTGGCTGGCGAGATCAACAAGCACAAGGGGGATTTGATGGCAGGACTTCGAGGCTACGAGGATCAGATGCGGCCACTGATCAAGGAGTTACAGAGGATTCCACCACTTGTCCCGACCATCTTTGCACCACAGACAGCCTGGGGAATATGGCTACGCAACACTATCTTCGCTTTCGTTTGTTGGACTCGAATTCTCGAGCTGAGCCAGCGGTTCTTTGCAAGCTCGTTTGCCGACTCTGGCAAGTATGAGCTGCCGGATTATAAATGGGATCCTAACTAAGGCACCATCTGACCTGTATCCTGCTCTTGGGGCCCTTAGCTTAGGATATATATTGTTGGAGTGCTGCACTCAGTGAATGCAACTAGCACCACCATAAAGCAGCATCACCATAAAGAAGAAGATAGCAACATGTGACTACTCTGTGTATTTAAGGCCACTATTTCCTTCTAGATCTCCATGCTTCCTCCAAGCATCTCTCTATTTCCTAGTTAGACTAATTAAATCTATTTTAGTCAACTTTCTACTGTTATAGTTTGATAACCTCTTATTAGGTTATAAGCCCTCCTTGAGGTTCTATTTTATGCTTTATAGACCTCTAAAACTCTTATTATATTCTTGTACCCCTATATAGTAATCTGCTCCCTGATTAGAAAGAGATTCTGGTAAAAATATTATTTACTACTATTATATTATACTACTTATACTACTATTATATTACTTTACCTAGGTAATAGTATATAGAAAATTTCTATAATTTAACTAAAATAATAACTAAACCTATCCCTGGTAGATATTCTAACATCCCTAATTTATTATATCTACCTTTGATAGCTACTACCCCATTTACTGATAGCTAAAATTAAGTAATAAAGCTAAAGAATAGTATATTTAACTTAAGCCTGATAATAGTATTAGAAAATAATTTAAAATTTAAAATCTAGATTTTATTTATATAAATAAAGTTAAGACTTTATAAAATAAATAAGCTTCTTAAAAGTAATATTTCTAGACTATAATTTAATAATCTTAAGTATAAATTATAGAAATTTTTTTTATAAATAATAGTTAATTAGATATTATATTTAATAAATAAGAAATTAATAGAAAAATTATTAATAAATATTACTTTATATATCTTTATAAATAATTTTATATAAAAGTTATAAAAAATAATTATTAATAATAATTAAAGATATATATACTAGATATAAAGAGAAGTTATTAAGATTAAATATAAGAATTATATAATTATTAATAAATTTATATTAGACTTTATTTAGAAGATAAATACTTCTAATAGATTAAAAATAATTATTATACTTTATTAAATAGTTACTATAATACTTTAGGAGCTTAAAAGGGATAATATAAGCTTTATAGATTTAATCTTAAATAATCTAGATAATAATCTTATTAAAATAATAATATAGAAGTATTTTTATACTATATATAATATAGTAAAGAATAAAGTTTAGGAGAATCTATTATTAAATATTATATCTAATACTACTATGCCTACTATAAATATACTAAGTTCTTAACTAATAAATAGAAGAAGGCAGTAGTAATAATAGAAATATATATTATTATAGAATATAATAGTTATAGGCTATATTAACTATTAATTAAAGTAATTAAGGAAATTTAGAATACTATACCTATTTTATAAGGAGGAAAAATATGATATTAAGGATTGCCTATATTTAGTAATTAATAAGTAGAAGGAAGAATAGAGACTAACTTTAATACTTTAGTATTTTAAGCTATATAAGTTAAAGAAAAAGAATAATTTAATCTAAAACTAAGCTATTATTCTAGTTATATAAGCTAATACTATTCTAGATACTAATAATTTTATACTATCTAGAATTAATATACTAATAACTTTAATACTAACTATCTTTAGAAATAGGTAGTTATATAACTCTAGAGCAGGCTATATAATATATAATAATTATAATCTCTTTAATAATCTAATTAAAGATCTAAATAGCTTCAAGAATTATAGTTTTATTATCTCTAATAATAAGATAGTATATCCCTAAGGTTATAGAAAAGTAATAATTTAATTTAAATTAGATAATAGTACTTTAATATTATACTAAATAAAATATTTTTAGAATTTAAATATACTATATAACCTGATACTAGTAGAAAGAATAAAGATAGAATTAGGAATCTATTTTGATTTAAAAAATTAATATATTTGTGAGATAGTAATAAATAAGATAATTAAATATACTATCTTAGATAATAATATCTTATTTTTAGTTCTAAATAAGGTAGTAGTTATGCCTACTATACTAATAGACTTATTATATTAATAATTAGGTTATCTATCTATTAAATAATTAAAATATAATAAAGTAATACTTTATAATAATAACTTGGCTACTAATAACTTGCCTATTAATTAGAATACTAAACTATATTATAAAGTATGTTAATTATTAAAATTAAAGAAAAAGATATCCTAAAAACCATAACTATATATAATAAAATTATTATAATTTATATATATAGATCTCCAAGAAATTAAACTAATTAAAAGAAATAGTATTAGGTATGTTCTACTAGTTCTAGATAATTATTCTAGATGCCTTTTTGCATAATATTTAAAGGTAAAAAGTAAATCTTTAAAGGTATTAAAGGAAATATATAATAATTAGCTAAATATGACTAGTATTTATATTAGAAGAGTTAGATTTGATTTTACTCTTAAATTTAATAAGTATGCTAGGTAGAGTAAGGATTTTGGTATTATATATAAACTAATATTATTATAAATCCTTAAGGAAAATAGTACTATTAAATAATTTAGTAGTTATATAATCTAAACTGCCTGCATAATATATATATAAGTAAAAATAGAACTAATTATATGGCTATATAATATGGATATAGCAGTCTATATTTTGAATAGGTTAGTTAGGGAAGATAATAATAAAGAAAAGCTACTTATATAACTTTTTTATAAAGGATTAAATATCTTAATTAGAGATATTAATTTATAATATATTTATATATAAAGATATAAGATATTTATAAATATTCTATATAAGAATAAGATTAAAAGTATAAAAATATTATTTAGAATAAAAATTAATTAATTAATTAGATATAATAAAGATTATATCTATAAGGTATAGTATCTAGATATAGGGAAGATAATTTGGTTAAGAAATATAATATTTAATAAAGGTAATATTAATAAAATAGATAGAATATAATTATAATTTCCTAATAAATTAAAACTAAATAATAATAGTTTATTTAAAGTAACTATATTTATTAATACTAAAAGGGAAAGAATAACCTATAATAATATATTTTAAAATAATACTATTTCTTAAATCTTACTATTAGTAAATAATAATAAAGTTATTACAGGGAGAATTTAAATATTAATACCTAATTTAGTCCTACCTAAATCAAGCCTATCTAACCTAGAGGTAGGTACTGACTTAATATATCTATATTTACCTACCTCTAGGGCTGTCTTTAAATTTACCCTACTTAATCTAGAGGCAGGTATTAAACTTATTATACCTAAGCAGCTACCTACCTCTAGGGCTGCTCCTAGGGCTATCTCTAAAATTACTAAGCTTATTATACTAGAGTAGATACTGGCCTCTGGGGCTGTTTCTAAAATCATTACTAAGTAAAATAATCAAGTAATTAGCAAGAATATAGAGAAAATAATAAGACTTAGTATAGAGGAATAATCTAGGTAGGATAAATATAAAGGGATAATTAATTATTTTATTATAGATAATTTATATATTAGTTAATCTATTTTTAAAAAAATACTAGTATTATAATTAATATAAAGACTTCTAGAGTTATTTACCTAATATAGGAAGATCTTACTAGTTTTAGAACTTTTTAAAGATAACTATACTTTAATAATTCTAGATATATTAAAAAGGAAGTATTTAAAGACTAGAAAATAGGTTAAATTTAATATTAGGAATATAGAAATAGTTAACCTGGTAAAGATATAGAATCCTACTAGTAATAATACTAGTAGTAGTATTACTACTTTATAGAGATTTTTAAGATCTATAAAGGGTTAATACTAAAGTATTTACTTTAAAAATAAGTAGGTAAAGTAATTACAGGAAGAGAAGGTAAAATAAGAATAATAATCTTAATCCTAGTTTATATTACCTCTAAAAATACTTCTAGAAATACCTTATCTACTAGGATCTTATTTAAAGCTAGAAGAATTATTTAATATAATTATTATAATATTACTAGATCCTAGTAGTTTTATACTAGAGATTAAGCTTATAAAGATTTATAAAGTTAGAATTTTATAGATCTATATTTAAATAATAAAATTATTATAAAAGGATTATTAAATATAAATAATATAAAATTAAATTAGTAAACTTAAAGTTATTTAGACTTATAAATTTATATTATTATTAAAAGATATAAAAATCTTACTAGGAAAATAGGTATATAACTTAAAATTAAATATAAATAATAATATATTATAATTCTATATAAGATAGGTTATATATAAAAATTTCTAAAAATTAAGTATAGACTTTAATTAAGTCTATTTCTTAGTAGTAGTAGATACTTTAGTAAAGCTATTTTTAAGTATAGTTACTTATTTTAATTTAAAATAGATATAATTTAATATAGTGACTATCTATCTTAATATAATAATTAAGGATTAAAAGATCTATATATACTAACTAACTAGTTTTAATAAGTAAGATAATGTCACGGAGGGCAGGCGGGCAGTAGGTGTAGTTAACAGCAGGATGTATATTCAGGCTATCTGCGTACAGGTACAACAGGTAGGGGTCAGGTTAGGACAAGGACATAGCTTGAAGAGCTACAACAGGATTAGGGGCAATATGGCTTAAATATAGGAGTAGAGGTAGATAGTTAGGGCAGAATCTAACTAGATAGATATATAACTATACCATGATAATATCCCCTCTCTTAGGCTAAGCTCTAGTAAAGCATTCCTAGGGTCCAGGCTTTCTAGAATAGCAGTAATAATAGGTAGTAATATATTTAGTAGTATTCTCCAGGTAGCTAGTAGGAACTTTAGTAATAGTAGAGTATCTAACCTACTTAATAGTATACTTTAAATATAGGTAGCTATCTTAATTATAGTAGTCCTAGCAAGAGTTAACTACTTTCTTAACCTCCTATTCTTTAATACTATTAACTTTAATATATAGGGATTTAGTTTCCTCTTATCTAGATAATAGGTCTTTAGTAGTTAGGTATAATAATTTAATATAAAATACTAGATATATTTTTATATTCTCAAGCAGGTCTAATTTATAAGTATAAGGGTTAATAACCTTCCTAATAAGAAAAAGGCCTAGATTTTTCTAGTCTAATTTTTTTTAGGGGTATAGAGTTATAATATTCTTAGTATTTAACTAGATTAATTAGCCCTTAATATAGTATCTAGTAGGGTAGTATTTCTAGTTAGTATAGTATTTA